GGAGACGGGAGCGAGAGCGATGGATGGGATGGAGGCGCTGTGGGGGAGCGCCAACGGTAGCCCTCCACTGGCGGTGGTGCGCATGCAGTGGGCGCCTCAGGCGAACCCGCAAGGCAGCAGCAAAGAAGCCCACCTCTTCACTCCACCTGAACAGCCTCCTCCGCCCTTTCGTGCTTCACTGACTGGTTCCTCCAACGTTTGCCAGCAGCACCGGCACCAACAGAAGTGGCGGCTGCTGCTGCTGCAGATCACCGGGGCGCCGAGCCCCCCCTTCGTCATTGCAAGTGGCTGCATGTAGCACACACCGAGGACTCGACGAGATGAACGACAAAGGTCTCGGGAGGCTCGGCGGGGCGGCCTGCTCCCCAGGGGATGTCCCTGTTGGGGGGGCGTATTCGCTGCGAATGGAGACAGAGGCTCGCAAGCAGGGCCGCGTCGATGCCCGGGTTGGATGCGATTTGTCGCTGCCGGACACAAGGGGGGTCCGGGTGACCTCGAATTGATTCCCTGCGTTGGTTCTCTTGAGGCTGTACAGCTGCCGGCCCTACTTGTCGTTTCGGCCACCAGATGGGACGCACGATGCCTTGGGTATCTGATGATGTGCGCGGGGGGGAGCGGGACCCTTTGCGGTCTGGGGGGCGTGTCCTGTTGGGCCATGGAAGTTCGGAACCAACACTTGCATCCATGAATAGGATTGGACGTTAAACAAGGTGGCCTGGGCGGACGACCGAACGACGGCGGCGGCGGCGGTCGCGGGCTGTACGACGCGGGCGAGACACCGAAATCTGTGCCCGTCGCATTTTCCCACGGCTTGACGATGCTCGCGCTGCTCGTACCTCGCGTCCATCTGCAGCATTCTGCAGCATCCGACAGGTGAGGCTCTGACCGGGCGCCCTCACGCGCCCACGCATCACTCATCCTGAGTCAGGGCCGACGAAGCGCCGCGACGGCACATGCTACCTGTCGCGGCGACGAGAGGCGTGCGAGCGGCGGCACTTGCGACGTGGGTGAATCTGTGACCTGTCGGCGATGGGCCTCTTTGTGCTGCATCCCATCATCTCGCGGCTGCCGGCACCGACAAGTCATGCCGTCGGAGTCAATGGCGGCGAGACGTGGTGCCGAGTACATATTTCGAGTCTCAGCTCTGCCAGGCCAATGCTTCCGTGTAATTCGTGAGGCTCAAAATGAATGCAACTAGGCGCGATATGCAGCTACCGACGCTCCATCGACAGCCGCGCCCGATGGGGCTTAGCGCAAGCCCGGCCCGGGAGATCCTACCGGAGCTCGAGCTTCACTTATGTCATGATCTGGTGAGAGCTCCACGGGCAATTCCACGTTCCGAGACGACGACCCATTGAGAAGAAACCCGGGAACCAACACGCATCGACGGCCTGCAGTCACTGCCGCAGCCATGATTGACGACGTTCTGTACCTCTACGGCGGCGACCAGTGAGTCTGCCACCCCCCTCCGTCCGGCTGCATGCCGCGCCCGTGGCCGAAGCATTCTGCACTTCTCCTGAAACCCGCTCCCGCCCCCCCGTCCATTCCACGACACGGCCAACACCACCCCACGCTAACAAACGTCCGCCCTATGCGATAGGCCCTGGGACTCATCCCTCTGGGAGACGTCGGACGACCGCGTCCGCGGTGGTGCCAGCCAGTCGCACCTCACCGTCGAGAACCCCGAACGCGCTCGCTTCCACGGCCACCTCGACACGACGGCCCTCGGCGGCGCCGGCTTCGCCTCCCAGCACAGCATCGGCGACCTGTCCCTGGACCTGCGCGACTACGAAGGCATCATCGTGGCCATTGCCGGGCCCGACCACGCGGATGGCAAGCGCTACGCCCTGACGCTCAAGGACAACCTGCCTCCGCCGCGGGACGACGGCCGTGAGCAGTCCGGCGTGAGCTGGGAGGCAGAGTTTGTGGCCAAGAAGCCGGGAGATGTGAAGCTGCGCTGGGAGGACTTTAAGCCCACGTACAGAGGCAAGCCCAAGCACGACGCGGAACCGCTGAACCTCGGGGATATAAAGCGCGTTGGGCTGATGATGCGAAGGCAAGTGACAATTCAGCGGGGATTCCCTCCTTTGGAAACGATCCTACTAACACGGAAATCTAGCTTCTTTGGCCAGCAAGAGGGCGACTTTAGCCTCCACCTGCACGGCATTGTCGCCTTTAAGCAGCTGCCAGCGTCGACGGCCACAACGGTCGTCGCGGAGCACGACGACGAGGAGCGGCCCAAGAAGGAGCTCCAGCGCAACAATACGAAGAAGGGCCTCCGACGCAACGAGTCGGACCTGGAGGAGTTTCCCACGCGGCCCGCGGTCAAGAAGGGCCCGTGGTGGCGGAGACTGCTGTGCGGCCTGGTCTGAGCGGCCATGGGAGCTGCGACGACGATCACCCAAACTGCATCGCGACATTCCTTTACGGAGTTTTCCTCATTGAGCGAGCACACTGCACTGTATAATACGTGGCTGGGGCGCAAACGACATATAGACGTATCAATCTCTTATCCCTTGTAGACCAAATTATGCTGTTGCATTGATTGTGTCGCTGCCGTGTGAATGCTCACTGCTCACTGCTCACTGCCGGGGGGCGCAGGACGGGCCGTCGCGCGTCCGCGTGGTGGTGGTGGTGGAGCGTGGGGCGGTTTCTCCAGCGCCCATTCTCGGAGACACGGGCAGGCGGCCCCACCGGCGCGGCATTGGCTTGTCGACGGCGATGGCGTCACGACTCGCTGCCGGAATCAGAGCGTGCATGACGCCGTGACATGACAGGCGTTGCGTTGCGCACGGGCCGGGAAGGGGAGTGACTGCGCGCGCGCCGTTGGATGGACGCATGCTCGCATACGTATAATCACTCGGCGTGGTCAACGGTCCGAATTCCTCGTCTGCCGTCCATCTGTAATTCGGTATATATCGTGGCGCGCAGTTGCGGATCCGTTTCGAGTCTTGGGCGACGACCACCTGCATGACATCTTCCCTCTAGCCTGCGGCCCTTCAACCTCACTTCTCTTTTCCGCACCGGCAACAGCAGTAACAACACCGCCGCACATCACATCACGAGAGCAGAACGGGGCAGAGCAGGCACAGAGCAACGGCGCCGCGGAACACACAGCAGGAAAAAGCAGCAGCCACCACCATGTCGCTCCTCCACGCGCTGCTGCGCATCACGTCCTTCCGCTCCCCGCTGCTGCGCGCCCTCGTCCCCTGCGCGGCCGCCGCCCTCGCCGTGCAGGCCGCCGCCGCCGCGCCCTCCATCCTCGCCCGCTCCGAGCGCTTCTACGACGTGTCGGGCTCCGCCACCGTCCTCGCCGTCGGCGCCCTGAGCCTGTACCTGTCTCTTATACACATCTAGATGTGTATAAGAGACAGCTTCTACGACGTGTCGGGCTCCGCCACCGTCCTCGCCGTCGGCGCCCTGAGCCTGTACCTCCCCGCGCTGCGGGCCCGCGCGGCGGGCCGCATCGTCGAGCTGCCGAGCCTGCTTGACGCGCTGGTTCCGGGGCGGACGGGCCCGGGCGCGGCGTGGTGGAATTGGAGGCAGATTGTGGCGACGGGGCTGGCGATGCTGTGGACGATTCGGCGTGAGTGTTCCTCCACTCCCCTCCCTTCCCTCGCTTGTCGAGTTGCCGGGGCTCTTCTACCCTTTGCTCCCTTTGATGCTATCCGCCCTCCCGCTGTGCCCTTGTGCCTCATCCCCTTGGCACCGGGCAATAATGGGTAATTGGGTAAAAGTAAGGAAACGGTCTTGGGCTGACAGATGGTTCAAAAACCGCAGTGGGATCCTACCTCTTCAAGCGCGTCCTCTCCTCCGGGCACGACTCGCGCTTCGAGGGCATCCGCGACCGCCCCGCCGCCTTTGCGGGCGCCTTTGCCGCGCAGGCCGCGTGGGTTACGCTCATGCTCGCGCCCGTCATCGCCCTCAACGCCGTCGTTCCCGGCACCGCCCTCGCCGCCGGCGCAGCCGCCTCGACGGGTGTCCGCGTCACGGACATGCTGGGCCTGGGCACGTGGATCGTGGGCTTCGGGTTCGAGGCCGTGGCGGATGCGCAGAAGAGTCGCTGGGCGAGGGAGAAGCGCGACAAGGTGCACGACGAGGCGTTTATGACGAGCGGGTTGTTTTCGGTCAGGTGTGTTTCTCCCCTCCCCATTTTGCTCCCTCCTCCCCTCTCTGGTCCGGCTTGCGCAAACCGGGCCTCCCTTCTCCCCCCTTTTACCCTACCCTCTCTCCATCTGTTTCTGTCCTGCTTGAAAGATATGTGCCAACTAGCTGACACGCCTCGGGGGGGAAATCACCAGCCGCTTCCCGCACTACTTTGGCGAAATCACCCTCTGGACGGGCCTCGCGACCTTTTCCGCGGGGGCGCTCGCCGCACCGCCCGCGCAGGCGGCGCTGGGACTGGGCGGCGGCGCGGCGGGCATCCTGGCCACGTCGGCGCTGTGCTTCGTCGCGCCGGCCTTTTCGGCGTTCCTGCTCACGCGCGTTTCTGGCATTCCCATGAGTGAGGGCAAGTATGATAAGAGGTACGGCAACCGCGCGGACTACCAGGCGTGGAAGCGAGATACGCCGCGCCTTGTGCCGAAGCTGTGGTGAGACGCACTGGGATGACGCTGTGAGAAGTGAAGTGAAGTGAGGTGAGGCTGAGACCGAGGCTGAGGATGAGGTCGAGGTGACGTGAAGTGAGGTTGAAGTGACGGCACCGACTCGGGTCGGGCCGCGGAGAGGAGCGGATGCTCTGAGCTCTCGCTCTCAGGGGGGGCAGGGCGGCGCCGGGCGAAGTGGAGGAAGAAGCCGGGTGAACAAGAGTAATAATCAAACACATAGACAGGTATAACCGGGCCGTGCTTAGCATTTTATGATTTTTTTTATTCATTTGACTCCAATCCCGTCGTCGGGAAATATGGTGATTATATGCCGCTTCGACACTATGCAATAAACACTTTGACAACTCAAATGCGCCGTGACCCGTGACACACACACGCTCCCCGCGATCACATGCTTCTTTGCCCTACACATCGACACTGGCCCCCACCTTACAGTTCTACTTGTGGAACTGCTTGACCTTTTCGATCTCGTCCCAGCTGCCCATGTAGATGCCGGCGCGGTCGTGGATGTGCTCGGGGGCGACCTCGAGCATGCGCTTCATGTTGCTGTCGAGGGCCTGGCCGCCGGCTGTGTTACGCAATGCAAGTTAGTATTTGTATGCGTAGTTTTGGGCGGGAAACAAGGGTATAAAGGTAAAGTAAAGGTAAGGGGTCGTGCTCACCGTTCTCAAAGACCAGGGCCATGGGCGCGCACTCGTACAGGATGCGCAGCTTGCCCTTGGGGCTCTTCTTGTCGGCCGGGTAGGCAAAGATGCCGCCGTAGAGCAGGGTGCGGTAGGCGTCGGCGACCATGCTGCCGATGTAGCGGGAGCTGTAGGGCTTGCCGTCGGCCTGGGCCGTCTTGAGGGAGTTGAAGTAGTCGACGGTGGGCTTCTGCCAGTAGAGCGAGTTGCCCTCGTTGACCGAGTAGATGGCGCGGGCGCGGGGGATGCGCATGTTGGGGTGGGTGAGGATGAACTCGCCGATGCCGTTGTCGAGGGTGAAGCCGTTGACGGAGCTGTCCTTCATGGTGAGGACAAGCTGGGCCGAGGCGCCGTACATGGTGAAGCCGGCGGCGACGAGCTCCGTGCCGGGCTTGAGGATGTCCTCCTTGGTGCCCGTGGAGCCCTCGGGCAGCTTGTGGACGGCGAAGATGGTGCCGACGGACACGCCGGCGTCGAGGTTGGACGAGCCGTCGATGGGGTCGCAGGCGACGGCATAGCGCGCGCCCTCGGCGTTCTTGAAGTAGATGATCTCGTCCTCCTCCTCGGAGACGAGCAGCGCGCACTTGCCCGACGAGCGCATGGCCTCGATGAAGAGGTCGTTGGAGATGACGTCGAGCTTCTTCTGGTCGTCGCCCGTGCTGTTGGAGGAGCCGGCCAGGCCCGTCAGGTTGACGAGCGTCGCGCGCCGGATGTAGTAGGCGATGGACTTGAAGGAGAACTGGAGCGCATGGCACAGCAGGCTTCACGTCACAGTTAGCCGGGCGCGTCTGCGAGGGGGACGGGCAATTGGGCCGTCAATTGGGATCGGGGGGAAGGGACGCACGTGAAGTCACCGCTGGCCTCCTTGTGCTTGACCTGCTCCTCATTGAGGAAGCGGGTGAGGGTGACAATGTTGGTGTTGACCTTTTCGCCGTTGCCGTTTTCCGCCATGGTGACTGATGGGGGTTCGACACGCGTGTGTCGTGTAAGTGTATGTCAGGGAGGTTGTTGTTAAAAGATTGAGCGGGAGAGTGACGGTAGAAGGGCCGTCGTTTCGGCAGCTCGGCTCAGTGGATGGAGGGGCGGTTAAGAGTCGCTTTTGCGAGACAGCAGCGCGGGGTATTATCGCGGGGCGGAAGGGGGAGGTCACGAGGGGGGCAAAGAATATGAAGGCGACGACGATGTCACGGAAGAAGAGAGACGAGAACCCAAAAGAATCCGTCGACTGGTAATCGGAAACGAGGATGAGATGTGAGAAATCAAGAGAGGAAAGTTGGGAAAGGCGATGATGCAAGTTACGGCATCATAAGGTAATGGAAAAGTAATGGGCCACGATGCGACACGGCCGCGCTCCCGCTCTCTCCCGCAGCCCTGCACGCACGCTCCGTCATCCTCCCTCTCTCTCTTTCTCCCGTTGGCCCGCCCGCAGCCCCGGTTTGAACCTCTCCTGCTACTGCGCGGCACTACCGAGAGCAAACCGTGCCCCTCGAACCCGTGACGACACCGGCTATCCAAGGGCCTCGGGGTCTCGAACCCGAGCTGCCCGCGAGCCGCCCATTCGCCCTCCAGGGGCCCCACGAAAGGACCCGCGGGCGGGCAGGAGAGGCGTCGGTGGGGGGAGGGGGGCCCTGCCAGATCTGAGCCTGCCATTTTGCGCGGTGCAAAGGGAGATGCCGGGCACGGCTGGGTCGGTGGGAAGAGGATTTCTCGGAACGTGGGGAGAGAGTGGAGGGGGAGGGGCTGGCGGCAGAGCGCGAGGCTCGGGGTTGACACCGAGGGCCTGTGGCTGGTTATCGCAACATGCTGCTGTGGCTGGTGATAGGATTGAAATGTGGCTGGCCTCTGGCGCCATCACGTGCCAGGTCAGCCCAGCCAATCCGTCATGCCGGCCTCCACCAACCAACGCCCCCGGCGGCTCTTGCCATGTCAGGCAGCACTGTCCTGCCCGTCTGGCTGGCTGTCTCGCCGGGGACCCGCCCCAGACACCAGACGGATGCTTGAGTGGTGGTGCTGGCGCGGGTGGTGCGTGCGCTTTCCATGCCATCCATGGGTGCTCCTTCCCCGTGGGCAGCGAACCTCGGCATGTGCTGGGCCACCCGGCCGGGCGCTCACTCATCAGCCCAGACTCCGGGGGCGCGCGCCAAACGTGCGAGGCCAGGGCCCCAGTTGCGCCGACGCCGCCGAACGACACCCGCAACAGTTGCTGCACCACCCCATACAGCCGTTTGCTTGCCCCAGACGTCTCTCTCTCTCCACCCGAGGTCGGTCCATTGCTCGCAACCGCAGCGCAACTCTATTTTCTTTGCTCCCCTCCGTCTCGTCTCATCAACCTCCTCCTCCTCCTCCTCCTCCTCCTCTCTCTCCCTCACCACCTTGTCGTCACAGCCATCGCCCGCCCAACCCAGTGTCTACGCTTGCGAAAAGCTAGCTCTCTCGTAGCTGCGACTGATACGGAGAGACAGACAACCGCCCCCGGCTGTCTACCTGAGGTAACTTAACTACCGCATCCCCCGTCCGGCACCAACCCCCGTCGGCGCACTCCGCGGCCCGAACCCGTTCGTCCCGACATCAACACTCACACACACACCCCGTTAGGTACGCTTCCGCCAAACTTTCCTGTCTCTCTTTCCTCCCTTTTTCCCAACCTCTGTCAAGCAGCCAACCCGTCTGACAAAACGATCCTCCCGCAGCGCCGACGCCAGAAACCCCACAAACCGCCGCCCATCATGGTCGCCGACGCCCTCGTCTACCACCCCTCGGTGGCGCACTACCTGCGCTTCGTCGCCACCACCGTCGGCCGCGACAAGCTCCTGCGCACCATCCAGTACTGGTCCCGCTTCTACGCCTGGTACCTGCTGCGCACCAACGGCACCCCCGACCAGATGGCCCCCTGGGCCGCCCTCAAGAAGCAGTTTGGCCTCGTCCGCAAGGTCCTCCGCTTCGGCAAGGCCGTCGAGCACGTCAAGGCCGCCGCCGTCGCCGCCGACTCCAAGAGCCTCGACACCTTCCTCCGCTACACCGCCTTTGGCAGGCAGATGGGCTACGCGGGGTACCTCACCTTCGATGCCCTCGCCCTGCCCGACGCCCTCGGCGTGCGCAAGTGGGAGGGCGCCAAGCGCGCCCAGGACAACGGCTACCGCTTCTGGGCCGCGGGCTTGACGTTTAGCGTCGCCGCGCAGCTGTATACGCTGTACCAGCTCAAGCAGCGCGAGGCCAAGATTGACCGCAAGGACGGCGAGGGAGTCGTCGAGAGCAAGCGCATCGCCATGTACGTCCCTCTACTTCTACCATTCCCCAGCATCTCTCCTCGCCGTATATCTGCATGCTAACACCGCCCCTCCGCAGCGAGCGCTCCGCCAGCCAGCTCCAGCTCCTCTGCGACCTCGCCGATCTCACCGTCCCGACCTCGGCCCTCGGCCTCATCGGCTTCGACGACGGCTTCGTCGGCCTCGCCGGCACCCTCAGCAGTTTGATCGGCGTCTACTCGCAGTGGAAGAAGACCGCCTAAGCCCTGAGCCCTGAGCCTGACGCCTGTCTCCCGCCGGGACAGGCTTTTCACCCTCCACGCCCACTACCCGCGCAGAGTGAACGAGATGTATACATCGCCCAGACGGCGTTCCGCGCCGCCCAGTAGAGGGAAATCCACCATTTGTAGAAAGTTTGGACGGAAAGGGGGACGGAGAAATGCAGAGCGGTCGAATGGACGCTTGCTAGGCGCGACACCCAACCACCCCCGGAATCCTTTTTGTATGCCGACACGACACTACACCATCGCTTATCCTTGATCTATAGCCGAGTACGAACTGCGGGGTCCATGTCGGAGTTTTGTATGTACCATAATTGTTGTTCAACTGGACACTTGGGCGCGAGTAAGAACTTTGGCGAACGCCTTAAACACGCTTTACCAAGTCATCGTCCACCAAATCCCGTGCCATGACACGCGACACGACTTCTCCTGAGGGTTTCACACTTTGGTTGGATTGAATTGACGTCCTATGCCTCCAAGCCTCGCAAAGCGGGTCAAACATGGGCAGACTGAAAGCAAAGAAAGAGCGCAAAAACGTGCCAGGCATTCTGATACTCGTACAGATTCGACTCTTCCGTCAAACCCTGTGGTGCTTTTCCCCAACGCGTCCCCAGCCCCTCCTGTGCCGGCCGGCAAAGCGCCAACCCTGTCCTCAAATCAAGACTCACAGCCCTCGTCCTCATTGCTCGTCGTCAATGTCGCTTTCGCGCCTGCCCGCATCCCTTGTTCCCCACACAAACCGCGCCGAGCGCCATCGTTTTTCGGATCCTTATTGGGCGGCCAGAAAGCAGAGGCGAAAGTGTTAAAAAGAAAAGAGTACGTTCAAAAGAGACAAGGAGAAAGCAAAAAGAAACCGGAACCTTGGGAATAGCAAACCCAGCCCGTCTTTGTTCCTCCTTCGTATACGGTGGTGGTGCTTCGTGGTCGGGCTCGGGTGCCGCATGGCACATCTATTACCACCGGTCAAGGCCAAATCCTCGTCATAGTGCGTCTCCGCCAAACGACGTGCAAAAACGACGCAAGACAAAGGAGCTAAGAGCGAGGAGGGAAATTACCAGTAGCGCCCGCCTCGTTCGTACTCGCGGTTGTACCCTTCGCGCGGCGGGTACGCCGGTTCGCGCGGCGGAAAGTCCCTCGGCGGCCGGTCGTACGTGCGCCCGTTGGCATACGGATCGGGGGGAGGCGCCGGGTAGTCACGCCGATACGGGTCGTCGTAGCGCCCACGCGGTGGCGGCGGCGGGTAGTCCTCCATCGGGCGCCGAGGCGGAGAGCGATAACGGGCGCGGTCGTCGTAATACTCACGCCGGGGGCTGCGGTCGCGGTAGCCGTACGGACCTGCATCCCGACGTGGGCTGTACCCGCCGGGAGCCGCACCTGCACCGCCGGCGCCTCGGGGAGGCCCGCGACGGTCGTACTCATCGAAAGGTGGCATGTACGGTCGCCGTCCGGGAGAGCGCGAGCGGCCTCGGTCTCGGGGGGGCATGTCTGGCTGGGTCTGGGGGCCATCGCGTTAACATCTGACAGCCAAAGTCGACAACGGAGTCGTGCGACCAGGCGGGGGGCGCGTACATCAGCAACACATTGGACGCGTTGGCCCTTGAACTCTCGGTTGTCGAGCTTCTCGACTGCGGTTCGTAGATCGGCGGCCGTCTCGAATTCGACGAAACTGTCAAACCGTCAGCGTGGAGACCAAACCGACACGTGGTAGCGAAAACTCACCCTCTACCCGAGTCGCGGCCCGTCTCGGAGTACACTACGTCCAGGCTGGACTGGCGAGCAAAGTCTTTGAGGTCCTATTGCCAGATAAGTTGCTGTCCCACGGAGCGAAGTGATGATGTTGGCGATGGCCGGCGAACCAAGTCCACGAATACCATCCACGAGACGAGGGGGAGCGACAAGAAAACCAGGGGACGTGTCGTGACCAGCCAAGCGAACCAGGTGCCGTGACCGCGGAAGGGGCTTCGCCAGGAGGGGAGGTGCCCGCGGGATGGAGACGCCAGTCCAAAGATTTGGAGCTAAACAGTGAGTGCATCAAGGCGCCAATCCCAACCGGCGAGGGGGACATGAGTACTCCAAAGGATACAGGTGGATGGAAGGGGCGGATCCGTGGAATCCGGCGACGAGAAACGGGAAGATTGAACAGACCTGCCAACTGGTTTCGTTTGGAAGCCCGGTGATTTGCATCCGGAACGGGGTGCGACGGGGCCGCGGCGGCGCGCGCTCGTGGGTGCCAAATCCGCTCTCTCGGTTGCGCGACCCGCGGGCAAACTGGACGGTCAGGCGCTCTCCCATGAAATCAGATCCATCTAGAAGCGGCATGTGTCAGCATATCGCTCTCTCGCGGGGAACGCTTTGACATCGATGGACTCGATGGGCCCGACGGGCCGTTGCGGGGGGGGAACGTACGGAAAGCTACAGAGACTCAAAGTTAGCATCAAAGTAACTGAGGCGGCTGGCCACGCGTGGCGGGATGGAGCGACTCACCAGGGACGACATCTCGCGCGTCCATCGGGTCCTTGTACTCGATGAAGCCGAAGCCATTCATCAGCTTGACCTCGGTGATCTCTCCCGTGCCATGGGTCGCAAAGTGAGCCTCGACATCGGCCTTGGTGGCTGGTGGGTCGCGTCAGTCGATGTCTCCGTGATGAAACGTGATGATTCCAGTGACGCACCGTTGCGAGGAAGGTTGCCCAGATAGAGCCTGGTGGCCGAAACCTCGGTCATGATGCCGGCTGGGAGTTTGGCGTCAACAACAAACGGGGTAAGCCTTCGGAGTGGGAGGGCCTCTGCGCTTCTTCTGCCTCTCGCGTTCTGGGCGGGCCTGGGCAGTTCTCTCGCTCTCTCTCTGGGACGCAGCGCTTTCGAATATCTCGGCCTCGGGCCTCTGGATCCAGCAAGGGGGCGGGCTGCTGCGGTCTGGGGATCCGGGACGCGAGTGGTGGCGGTCGGATGTTGGGGGGTTGTGCCGGTGAGGAGAAACCTGGGGAAGCTTCGCCAGCTGCATGCGACCTTGAGGCTGGAGCGCGGGCGGTGGCGCGGGGCAGAACCAGCCCAAAGGGGGATGGGCCGCCTGCCGTCCCACGCGCGCCAACGTGACCCAGCGCTGGCCGCCCAGCCTGGCCAATTGGGGCTCGTGGCGCTCGACTTGCCGTCGTCAAAGGGGCCAAAGCTCTCGGGGGCGGCTCAAGGGCCATCGAATCTCGAACCTCACCGCTTCGTCTGAAGCTTCGGCACTTCACCTTTGTTTTGTTTTTGGTTGAGGGCATCCTCGAAATCCTCGGTCATGTTGCCGAGACAAGGCAAGCGCACACGTTGCACAAGAGCACAGACATCACTCCTCCCACCACTGTACATGCAAACTTGCAAAGTAATGTACCTCCCGATTGCGCACTGACGACTCGGGCATGTCAGCGTCACATCTCCACGTCTGAGGCTTCGAGACTTCATCAAGGCATCGGGTTGCCGAGACGAACAAGCAACCACGTTGCAGTTCTTCCTTGGACCATCATCGCACATGATTTAACATTAAACCTTCGAAATATTTCGTATAATCGCATCCTCTCATCGGAGTCTCATGCATGATGGATGCTCCCATGCCAGTCATACAAGCCAGCTGCCACCCCCATGAAGCGCATCATCATCAATTCTCTTGCGAAAAACCACTGCAGACCCCCCGTAGACGCCTCGCTCAGTCAACATGAACGCACTGGAATATGTAATGCGTATGTGTAAACACAACCGCCGCCGCCGCCAACCTCCAGCTGTGTCGGGTCCCATCGGCACAGCGCGACCATCCATCCCCATCATCACCATGTTACGCCTCGTCGAACAGCACGGACACCATCTCATCCAGCATCGTAAACACCAAATGCGCACTGCGAATCTCAAGTCAGCATCTTCGTCCCCAGACGTCCGTCGTCTCAAACCACTTACTTGAGTCTCGAGTTGTTAAACGTTGCAAACAGCCGGCGGCTCGCCGCCTGGGCATTCACCCGGCCCACCACGCTGCCCGCTAGGTCCGGGATCAGCGTCGCCAGCATCAGGCTCGCCTCGGTGCGTGTCTTCTTCCTCTCCGCCTCCGAGCGCGGCTTGCGATCACGCTGCAGCTGCCCGCCGGGCCAGAGGCTGTCCGTTACCAGCCCTATGTATCGTAGCAGGGACTCCTCCTGCACCAGCGCCCGCACGTTGTCGCGCACCTTGCGCTCGATGGTGCCGCCCAGGAGCTGCTGCAGGACCACCACCACCGCCCGGCCACGCAGCCAGTTGTTGCCGCGGTTCAGCTCAAACACCTCGAGGAAGATGTCGCAGATGGGCTTGATGAAGGGCTCCAGCTCCTTGTTCTCGAACGCGTTAAGTTCCGCCTCTGCCTCCGCCGCGGGAAACGTCTCCTCGTTGATGTTGAGGGGCATCGAGTTCAGCTGGCTGGTCGCCGCCGCGATCAGGTTCTGTCCCGCGACGGATATCTGGTCGAGCACCGGGATGTTGCCCAAGATGTCGTCCATGCCATCCGCGACCGAGTCGTACAGGCGCGTCATCATGTCCTTCTTGTCCTCCCGGTCCATGATATCCTGCCCCTGCGCGATCGCGCTCTGGGAGAGGAACGCTCGTAGTTCGCGACTACGGCACACGTCCGGCAGGAGCAGCAGCTCGCGCATGTACTTCTCGAGCGCCTCGCGCCGCTTGCGGAGGAACTCGCTCTGAAACTTCATCACCATGCGCCGCCTAGGAAAGTCCAGGTTCCGCACCGACGGATATCCGGACCGTAGCTTCTGGTGAAGATCGTGGAACTCACTATACCTCCGCGTGACGATCCAGGACGCCGCCGGCATCTGCTCCCCGGCGTTGCGCTGCACCTCGACCACGTACAGCGCGAATTCGCGCCCGTCCTCCTCTCTGCCCACCTGTATGTTCTTGATCCGGATCGTCGACCGCCCGTAGAGGCTGTTGTCGCTCTCCTGGACCACGTACTGCTGCCGCTGGAGCTCCTTGCGCCGTATCTCTCTTTGCAGGCTTGCCTTGGACTTGCGGAGGATGCGCAGCTCCGACGTGTTGTTTGTAAGGTCCGCCTTCCTCGTCAACGAGTCCACGACGGCTTCCTGTGCCACTAGGCGGTCAATGTCGTTTGTGAGAGCTGTGATGGCTTCTGCGAGGCCAAGATCGCCGGGGGCAGCCTCATGCACCTCGTCCTCGTCCGCAGCGCCTTTTGATATTTCCGCATCCTCATCCTCGTCGGGCAGGTATTTGTCCTCGTCATCGAACAAATCATCATCAACAAAGACTCCTATCCGCGATGCCGCGCTGACCAGGCCTAGGGACGAGAGGCTCGGTTTCTCGCCCTCTTTCCCAGGGTTTGGCGGCCTGCCCACATCTATCGAACCTCGATTTGAGTCGTTGTCGTGCCCGGAGAGGAAGCTTCCATCATTATCTTCCGCCCCAAATAATGACGCACGAAGGGCTTCTGCAGTCTGTGGCCTATCGTCATCCATGATGTTGTTAAGCGCCTCCTCCACTGCCCGAACGACCTGTGTGTCCGGGACCTGGTGCGTGGGTGCGTCCTGGTCAAGGCTCTGTACCGAGTCCAGCATGCCATCGTTTTCTACATCGTCATCGTCAAACAGAGGCGTTGGGGAGCCATCATCCAAGGACCTGCGACCCGCCGCAGAAGAGTTGACACCGTTCCCATTTCCGTTGCCATTAAGCGTCCGCAGATCCGACGCGGATCCGGAGCGCCGACCCAAGGGATCAGACGGTGGGACGAGCCTAGATATAGGTTTCGGCTTGGACTGATAGGACTGTGCCGCCCTATGTATGGGCGGTTGGGCAGGTTGGCCCCGATGGTCCGAGGAAGGGGCCGGTGGCAGACTCGCAATAGAAGACTCTTGCGACGCGAGGCACTTGTAATAGAGATCCGACTTCTTGAACGCGTGAAAGTACCGAGACTGCATCTCCTCCAGCACCACACTCTGCGCTTTCAGGATTGCGCGACGTGCACGGTGATACTGCGCGGGTGTGGCAGCCTTGCCGGCCTGGAGAAACTCCTTGACCTCTCGTTTCGATGAGCTGGGCACGTTCAGTTCCGGCTTGGACAGGTATGCCTGGTTGATCTGCTGGAGGTCCATCCTGTCCGACTCGGTCCACATGGTCAGGTTCGAAGCAGGCTGATCGTCGTCAGGCCCATCGTCCTCGAGCGGGTTCCGGAAGCCATCGACGACGAGCCAGAACTGGACCAGAGACATGAGCTGCTGTCGGTCCATGTACTCCATGAAGTACGACAGCCCGGACGAGTCGCGAAGAAGTTCGACCAGCGTGGCGTTCTCTAGACGCGATGTAGAGGCAGACGCCGGGAGGGGCGACCGCAACGGAGCGGCAGCCGCCCGTCGGTCTCCTCCAGCGGCAAGGTGGCTGACTCTCTGGTCCAGCAGTCGCTTGCCCATCTCCAGCCTCCTCAAGTAGACGGGGTCCTGGTTCTCCTGCAGCGAGTCGCGCTTCAGCTGGCTGGCGACCTCGCTGCGAAAGCGCCGCGCGTCCGACAAGTTGTTGACCTTTCTGATGCCGCGTATAAACTTTTCAAACTTGCGCTCGCTGTCCCCCGGCGCCAGGCGCGGCGCTGCCGCTTGCTTGCCCGACTTGGGCGTCGGCGAGGCGTGCTGGTCGAGCGCGGCCCTCAGCTTCCGCACCGTCGACCTGTCCTGCAGCATGGAGCGGCCGTAGTTCTCCATGAGCTGGTTCCACGTGTCCGGGTCGGACAGGAGCTGCACGACGGGGAAGAGCACCGCGCACCCGACGATCTCGCGTATGAGCGTCGACACGGCCCGGCTCGAGACCATGTTTCCCGGGAGGACCCTCGGCAGGACGCGCGCGACGAGCGACCGCAGGTAGTCCTGCTGGACCATCTTGGTGTCCGGGAAGGACAGCGACGCGGCGGGATGGAGGCGCCCGTCGCGGAACTTGGACGCAATGGCGAGGTCGAGCTCTTCCGACTCGGTGACGGACCTGTTAAGCTTCCTGCCCCGCACCGACCGCTCCGCCTCGGCAAAGTCGTGGAAATGCGCCGTCATGATGGGCACCAGCCGGCTGGTGACGAGCTCGGCCAGGTCCATGTGCTGCAGCGGCTCGAGCAGGCTCGCGAGGGCCAGCCGGACCGCCCTGTCGACCTCGTTGGGGAACACGGGGTTCGCGCTGATGCCGGCGTACCAGGAGCGCACAAAGTCGCGGAGGATCATGCCCAGGAGGCCGTCCACCGCCTCACCCACCCGCGCCGAGCCCAGCTCCAGCTCGGGGCGCGCATATTCCTGCCTCTTCTTCAGGGCGTCCACCTCGATGCGCCATCGCTTCGCGTCGTTGAAAGAGGCCCCGCGGGGCAGCGCCGACCGCGGTTCGCCTGCCCGCCTCGGGCGTCGTGATGTGAGGAGCAGCGCGGCAACCAGGGCCGCGACGCTGGCGACGATGCCTGCGACAAAGGCGTATCCGGCCCAGCGGAGCACTGGGAACCAGCCGACGGCGTAGCCCCAAGAGAAGAAGGCGACCGCTGCCGCGAGGGCCGTTTGTCTCCGCTTCAGGGCCATGGCCGGAGCTGCGGTTGACTCGGCCGCATCGTCCAGACGTACACTTTACGCAGCTCTTGCAATGGGCAGAGTTGGAGTCGGTCTGTGAATGACGAGGCACCATCCCAATCGGGGCAGCTTCCTCAGGATGGAACGCAGGTGGATGGATGCGACTGGCGTCAGGTTCCAGGTTATCGATTACCTAGCGGGCCTGGGGGGCCACGGGCACGCTGCAGCTAGACACTCCAGGGGCTACCTCAGTGGCGCCATCCCACCGTTTCAGCGGCATCCATTGTGCAACCCCGAGAAACAACGTCGGGGGTTGGCGGTCAGGACCTCCTCAGTATGGAACCTGGAGGGTACCTGCCTAAGGCATACAGCAGCATCGCAAGCTACCTACCTTATACACGCGCCCTCGCGCGGCCATCGCACACCACCCCATCTAAATTCATGTGCAGCCATGCAAAATAAACAAATGTTTTTGACTGGCGGCGTCACCTATGTACAAGCCCGCTGACCAACGCCAACTGCTACCAAGCCTGCTGCAATGCCTCGTCCTCTAAGAACACATACCATACCCATGGCAGACTCCCAGCCTTCCACCACGTGCCAAACGCCCCAAACACCTTTTTGTTATACCGTATAGGTATAATGCTCGCCTTAACGTACACTGGCCCTGAGACACGGGGTGGCAGCAGAGCAGCCGCGAACAAAGAGTCCCGAGGCAAAGCAAAGCCGCAACTCCAGCCCCGGCACTACTGCCATCCCCCGGTGACGCAAAGCATCACACCGCCTGAGTCGTCTCGACCTCCTGCCTGAGCCTTTGTGTCGCAGCAAGAGTGGCACTGAGAGGCCTTCAAAGACCATTTCAACCCCAATGGCCTGCCTTCGCCAACCACGCGACAAGAGACAGACCCCGAACCGCGCTGCGCCGAGATGCCTGTCCCACACAGCGCCGAGAGAACTCGCAAGGCCTCGTAGCAACCCTTGTAGAATGAAATGCGGGTATCAACCATGCCGAATACTTTTAATCCGAATCGCTTCAGCCACGTATATGCTCGTAATCCCACACGCTCGTATGCTCCCCGTATTTTCGTGGCCATCGTGGGAGGGGAGGCGCGTCGTTCTCGATTTATGATGCGTCCCGCGTTGCGAGACGCTCACATGGCAGAAACGCCCTGAGCCCCCGGGTCGACGACGTTGTCGGAAAGGTTGATGAGCAGCTGAGCGAGGCACCTCTTAGTGGCGGCATCATCCCTCAGGACCGAAGAGAATGTCGCGTCCCGAAGGGGTTCAGGAAGACACTGGCGCAGGGCTTCACGCGCCCTCGCGTTATCACTTAGCCTGGACCTGGCTGTCAGCATTGTGTCTTCCAAGGCGAGTGATTGAAGCGCCTTTCGGCCAGGTGAGGGTGGGCATACCGGAGGAAGCAGCGGACAACATGCTTGAGGAGTCTAGCCGTCTGCGACTCCACGAGCTGGGCAACCATATTGCTCAGTACGGTGCCAACCGCATAGAACCGCTCGTAAGTGGCGCAGATGTAGTTGAGCCCGTTGTCATCCAATAAGATCTTCTGGACGATGAAGATGGCAACCGTCTTGCTAAGTTCCGATCCCGTCTCCATAATTCGCAGGCATAGCGGAATGATCTCCGTAGTGAGCAAGAAGTTGATGACATCGGAGGAGTCATTCTTGACCAGCGCGCCGATGACGCCCAGCGAAGTAAGTCGGAGGTATTCGAACGGGCGCGATTTCGACGTCGTGTTCAGGAATGGGTAGAGAAAGAGGGGGATATGAGCTGTTTGCACACGTGGTCAGTATTCACTCTAGAGCAGAGAGGACGAGGGCATAATCTTACCATTCAGAAACAGGGCACGGGTGTCGTTGTGTGACGCCACGCACTGCAGCAGTGCAAGGGCGTTGCACACCCTGTTAGAAGCGGCGGCCGTCAACTGCGAAGGGTTGAGCAGGGTGTAAACGGAGATGATCTCCTGCAGGAGCGAGGTCATGACGCCTTGAACGAGTCAGTACGATGCCGAACATCGGGGTTGCGACCAGACAAGCTGGTCACTTGGGGGAAGGCGCCGCTGACCGAAAGAATGCCACAGAATGAGGGCTAGTTCGGGGACCTGCTCCCTCTTCTTGCTCAGCTCCAGCAACGCCGCCTCGCGGGTATTCTCGTTGAGCAAGTCGGCAATGTATCCCATAGTTCGCCGATTATCGTCCGAGATGTTCTCGTGGCCCGCGTCCTGGGCATGAGCGGCGGCGAGGTTCCCCGCGCCAGAGTGGTTACCCGACATGCGGTTGAAGTGCTGCTGCTGCTGTTGCTGCTGCTGTTGTTGTTGCTGCTGTTGCTGTTGCTGCTGCTGCTGATGCTGGGCGACAGACACGACGCCCTGGTGGCCGCCCTGGTGATGCGACGCCTGCTGGTGCAGCCAGGGCGAGTCGGCGCCCTGGAACGGGTGGTGCCCGAAGACCTGGGTCGAGGGCATCATGCTGGGCAATCAGGATGGGTCGGCTTCCGAGGGCACTGCCGCCGGATGCGCGTTGCGATGGGCGTCTCGACACTGGTCGTGGGAGGGCGGTCGTCGAGCCGTGCGAGCGGTGCGGTACAGTGCGGTGGCCAGGCGACGAGGAGGAGGCGCAGGCCAAGTTGCGCGAGGGTTCCGTGGCGCCGCTCAAATGACGGCGACGATGGCGGGATGCTGGTCAGCCTCGACCCGGTCGTGAGAGCTGTCCGTGGTTGAGGTTGCGGCTCCTCGAGGCAGAGGACATGGGCGGAGGGAAGGGAGGGTCTGGGTCTGACAGAGGCGCTTTGAAGGATGGAAGCGAGGCCGGTCCGGGAGGGAACGGCAGTGTGTCGAGTTTCTGTCGCAGTCTCTCCACTGATGAGCGGTCCTCGAGGGGATACTTTGCGCTGCCGCCAACTATGGCGCTAGGCGGAAGTACCTATCTGCTCAGCCGGCCGGGGCCATCTGGAAGGACGGCTGGCGGGCTGAGGTGCGGAAAGGCTAAGGTACTGAGCTAAGGTCTTGCGCACAGACCCCACTCCTCCACCGAGTCCACCTGGGCTCACTCCTGTGGCCTGGAGCCCGGACGTTGCGGCGGTGACTGCAGTGCCCAAACAGAGCCCGTTTACTTACCTTGCCTCATGCACTGTAGGTGCTTCGTGCTTTGTGCAGTAGCGTGCATCAAGCGAGCCCAGATGCTGAATCCATCTCGCAACGGCCTGCAGAGTGGACTGGTTTCTGTCAGAGTATCCGTGGCCGATGCAGTGGATCACTTTGCAGACGTACTCACTCCCATCGCGATGAGCGGACAGCCCCATTGCTCGCACCCGCCTTTGTCACACTCACAAAATGCGAGACAGACGCACACGCACCCACGCTCGCGCGCGTACACACACACACACACACACACAATTGTCTTGACGTGACAAAATACCTGCTCGGCTCAAAACAAATTCATGCCAGCCTCTGGGCTGCTCGTTCGCATTAGTGTCTCTCCCTGTGCCTTACGTATATGCCCACCCCCGTCCTGACCGCCTCCAACATACCTAGTTATGCCTTGCTAGCTAGAAAATCAACTACTAACGCTCACGATGGGCTATACAAACGCAATGCCTGCTTGCTCAAGACTCGCCTCCCTCCTCAGGGACGGCGAGAATCAACAGGTAGATAGTAGTCCCGCCCCCGTCCACAGTCAGGGGGCTGCTCCCGCTCCCGCTCCCGCTCCCATGCAATCTCGATGCGCCATATAAACAATTATATACCGTTCTTGGCCACGACTACAGCCTCAGTTCCCTGAGAATCTGGTCTGCCATGTTCTTGTACTGCCACGTGTTGCCCGTCAGGCGCTTGAACTGGATCCCGTGAAGCGACAGCAGGGGCACCTTGACGATGAAGATCTCAAACTCCATCACCATGCTGCCGCCCAGGTCGCTCTGCACCTGCGTGCTAGTCTCCCCGGGGACGCGCCGAGATGCCCCGTTGCGACGCGGGATGCTATCCACGGACGTCTCCGAGTTGGAGTAGCTGCGTTCCCTGTCCGACCGGCCCGGTGTGCGGGGCGTCGTCGGGGGCCGATCGCGGTCCGCATCCCGCATCTCCTCCCGGTCTCGATCCTCCCCTCTCATGAGCCCGCCGAAGCTGAAACGGCGGCGATGGCCAGGCGTCTGGGCCGGCGGGCTGCCGGGCGGGTCCTGCACCTTGTTCAGGTCAATGCTTGGCGCGTGCCTGCAGCTGAAGCCGCCCTTGATCTCCGTATACTCCACATTGAGCTGCTTGAGCACGCGCTTGATGTCGGCGCGGATGGCGGGCACCGATTTGCCCGACGTTGTCGATACGCTGAACAGACCCTTGAGGAACACGGGCTTGGCCAGGTCTGAGCTGTCCAGCCTTTCCGTCGACACGCCGCTCTGCTCCTGGTCCATGTCCGTCTCCTCGGGAACGTCCGCCTCGTGGCCGCCCTCGCGCCGGAGACGGCGACGCTGGATGCTTTCGCGACGTGCGTGCCCAAGCGACTTGGCCCTCATGTTCATGGACCTAGAGTGGGCGTGGCCCCGCTGCGCGGCCCCTGGGTTGTCGTTTGAGACCGACTGGTCAGAGCCGCTTGTCACTGGAGGGTCCTTGGCGATGCGACTGGCGTCGCGAACGCGCCTGACGTCTGCAGAGTTGACGCTCGTTGACCGGCCAAGGCCTGATTTCCGAGATTCTCGCGGTCCGCTGGACGTAGCGGGAGGGCTCAGCAGCTCGCTGTGCTGAGGCTGACTCCCGGCAGAGCGTAGCGCGGGCGTGGACTGGTCATCCCGGCTCTGTCTACCCCGGCGAATGCTGAAGCTCTTCTTCGGCGTTGTTGGTGCGTTTTCCGCAGGGGAGTGGACCTGCACCATAGGCGGATGTGATCGATCCTTTTCGAGGCGATCGGGGTCCCGGCGCTTACGGGTGCTGAACCTGCGAAGCAAGCCAGCAGCGGTGCCCTCCTTCTTCTGCAGCTGCTCCACCTTTGTCTCCGGCGCGGGCGGCGGCGGCGGGTGAGCCTGCTTGGCTCCGGCCTCCGGCGCGTCATCTTCGCCGTGCGTGCGGGCCCGCGGCCTGGTGCGTCCACCCGTGGGCTTCTCGCCGGGCATCTCGTAGCCTCCCGGGTTCGTGTGGGCGGCCTGCGGTGGCGCCAGCTCCGGCATCGCCTCGGCCTTCTCCCGCTCGCGCTCTCTTTCCCGTTCCTTCTCTCGGGGCGCGGCCTGAGGCGACTCAATCCGTTCTCGGTCTTGCTTCTCCTTGACCAGGTAGTAGATGGAGAGGAGAGGGCTGAACGCGTACAGAGGATCAGAACCGAGCTGGAGGGCCTCAGAGCTCGGGCCGGTGAGCGTGTCCCGGCTGGTGCCAGAGTTTCTGCGCTTATAGAAATCAAAGCCGAAGCCGCGCCGCTTCTCTCCGTCCCGGTTTGGCTGCGGGATTTCCTTCTCGCGTTGGTATACCTTCACGGCGTGTTGATACTCTTCCGAATCGATGATCTTGACAAGCTGGGCTTTGATGGACTCGGGAGAACCAAAGTTGAAGCCCTGCATGGCATGGATGACCTCAGAGTCCAGCGGCTGGGACAGGGGCTCGCGGGCGGGCAGGTAGTTGTCCGGCGGGCCGTTGAAGCCCTTGGTCATCCAGGGATGACACATTACCTCTTGCATGGTGGCGCGCTGCTTCGGGTCGGTGACTAGCATCCGCGACATGAGGTGCTTGCATTCTGCGTGACGTTAGAAAAACGAGAGCTTGGGAGAGGCGGGCTGGGACATACCACTGGAGAGCCAGCTCGGATAATCGACCAGGCCCTTCTTAATCTTGGCGTGTAGCGCCGGCATGCTCTGGTCGTCGAATGGCACCTTACCACAGACGAGGACATACAGAACGATGCCGAAGCTCCAGACGTCGACCTCTGGGCCCGTGTAGGCCCGCGCCTGCAACAGCTCCGGGGCCGCGAAATACAGGCTACCGCAGAACGTCTTGAGATGGCCGCGTGGCGAGAACAGGTTACTGAGGCCGAAATCAATAATCTTGATATCGCCAGTCTTGCTTATTAGAATGTTCTCGATCTTGAGGTCGCGGTGGACAATGCTGTTGCGGTGGCAATAGTCGAGGGCACTCGCAATCTGACGGCTGAACTTGCGGGCTTGCTTCTCCTTGAGTTTGCCGTGCGAGATGATGTAGTCGAGCATCTGACCACCGTTGACATACTCGAAGAGCATGTACCAGTGGTAATTTGTCCGCACAACGTCTCGCATGCCGCAAATGTGGGGGTGGTTGAGGAGGGTGACGATGGCAGCCTCGCGAGCTGTTCGGATCTCTTTGGACTGGTCAGCTCGCTCCTTATCGGCGCGGCTCTGGTGGCCATCATCGGTGGAACCGCGAGGAACGATCTTGCAGGCGACCTGTGAGAGGAGCCGCGCATGGCATGTCAGTCGGAACTAGAAGAAGAAGAGGGGAATCATGGCTTATGGGGGGCCTAGGGCAGCAACGGACCTGTTCGCTCCCGTCCTCCTTGCGAGCCAGCTTCACCTTGCCCATGCTGCCGGCGCCGATGGTCTTGCCCAAGATCCACTTGCCCGACTGGGTGGGAATGGTGGTGCGCGATCTTGCCTGCTTGGCAGCGGGCGGCTGCTGGTGCTGGTGATGAGCCGCGTCGCCATGGCCGTGAGCGGCCGCGGCGTGGGACGGGGCCGAGGGCGTCCCATTGCTTGGGACGGCCGAGGGAGGCATGTCGGGCTGGGCGTGGGGGTGGTGATGGCGGCTGTTGGAGCGCGAGCTGTTGCGGCGATGTGGCTGGCGGGAGGACGCCGACGATGTCGACTCGGCGCCCCTGGAGGGGGGCGGTAGACGATCGCGGTCGCGGTCGCGGTCACGATCTCGGTCGCGGCTTGAAGTGCGCTTGGAATAGGAGGCTGTCGCTGCTAGGTTGGTCGTCTCGGGGTCATTTTGGGGGAGAATGTCCTGGATTGGGCGGGTGGAGGACGAGGTGCGGCGGTGGTGGTGACTGCGCGCCGAGAGCGACGAGGATTGGTTGTGGTGGGAGGAGGGACTTCGGTGGTGATGGTTGGACGAGGGGGACGGCGGCGGGTGGTGATGGCCAGTGCCTGGGCCAGCGCCGGAGCCCGCAGCAGCGGCGCCCGCTGAGGCCGCTGGAGGTGGGCGCGAGGATCGAGCCGAGAAGGACCGGGACAGGGGCTGCGGTGCGCGCGACGACGCCGACGACTGCGGAGGGGTCGCGTAGGCGTAGTCGGGTCCTGCTGCTGACGGGGCCGTCATGTCGAACGGGGAGACAGGCGACGGGAGCGAAGGGGGGAGCGCGAGGAGAGAGTGAGGTCAGCGGCGAGCGAAGAAGCCAGAGCAATCACGCAACAACGGCGGCGGGAAACAAAGCGGCGACGAGGCCCAGCCCAATTGGCGGCGTGGGTGCGGGCTCCAGCTTGTCCTCGCACCGACTGGCGAGCACGGGAGCAGGGGCCGGCGGGCTGCTGGAGCTGTCGAGGTGCTGAGGGTGCCCGGGCAGGTGCTCCTGTTCCAGGTTATTGCGCGGCGCGGTGGCGCGGCACGGCGGCACCTCCTCGTGCTCGTTCGCTGGAGGCGGCCCAGCCGTTGAGCCCGGGCGGGTGTCGATCCTCGTTTTCGCTACCCGCTATAAATTATCGGCGCCCGTTGGGGGGGCTCGGCGGGAGCAAGCTGGGCGGGGTGGTCGTCGCGAGCGGCGATGGTGGCGGCGGCCAATGGACACATGCGCATGCGCACGATGGCACGAGGGATGGTGATGGGGATGGAGAGAGAGAGAGGAAGAAAAGGAGGAGGAGAAAGAGGACGGGGAGAGTTTGCGTCGAGGAGATGCACGGAAGGGAAGCTGCTGCTGTTGCTGCCGTGCTGGGCAAAGAAAGGCAGTTGGGTCTGCTAACTTCAGGTCAAGTTCCAATGCGGTACGGCAAGGTACCTCAGGCGCCACCTGTGGTGCTACGGTGAGGCAGGTCGCGGCTCCGCGGCAGACCAGCCAGGGCTCGATCGGTGACCGTGCTGAACATGCCGTACCTTACCTAGCAGCGCGCGAGCCGTGGGCCCCGTCCATCATCCATGTCCGCGACGGGGGACGCACATGCGTTGGGGACGGCGGGAGCATCCATGGATGCACACGCACGGAGCGACAGGCTACGCAGCCAAAACGGCCACCGCGGCAACCCGTTTTGCTTCTTCCGGGGTGCTCACCGTCACTCCGGGCCCCCAAGATTGCCAACGCCAACGCGGCGCGAGGCACCTCGCGCTTGTCCCTGTCTGTGTGGAATCCAAGGTTTGCTTGCCTGGGCCCGGGATGCCGAGTCAGCGCTCGAGGCCGCGACACTTGGCCGAGATCAGGTTGCGACGCTCCGATTTAGCGCCTTCGCTGGCGCCAACGGCCCACCGCCCAGCCCACTGCCAGCCCACTGCCAGCACTGCTGAACCGCCTGCAGCGACTGGCCCCATCGCTCAGGTCCAGCGGCCCGGCGCTTTTGCTTGCAAGGTACCTTACCTGCCCGTGCCAGCGGTGCCCGCTAAAGGCATTCAGCTGCCTCCACCATCACCAGCGCGGCCTCGTGGAGTCGCCGTCCATGGGCAAGCGTCGTCCCCATGCCCGTCGTCATCTCTCATCCCGTCGACATGCAGGCCTCCCCGGGCCCAGCCTCCCGGGCAGCGCGCCCGCGAGCCCCTGGCATTGGCGTCCAGCGCAGCAAGCACCCGACCCGAGCGCCGTGGCACCCAGCGCCGCAGAGGCCCACCGACGACCTGGCAACGCGAAGCTGTCCTTTGGCTATTTCGGTGGTCGAGCACCCACACCAAGCTTGGCAGCCCAAGCTCGCAGGCCGGGCTAAGGGGGCTGGGGAGGTCTGGGACCTGCCCGTACTTGGCGGTGCCGGTTTGGTGTGCTGCGCTGTGATGGAGGTGGATGATGGAAGCCAACCGTCGTGGCCAACATCCCATCCTGCGCAGCAGCCGAGACTCTCAGAGTCATCACCACCCTTGCCCGCCTGCCTGGGCTCTGCTGGGCTTCATCGCACCTGATCGAGGCGAGATGCGATTCGGCGGCCGCAGCGCATGGGGGCTCGACGTGGGTGTGGTCGTGACACGACGGCTTCTCAGGCTCAATCGTGGTCGGTGCTGGTTGCGCAAACAAGTCGCGGCGAGCCCCTCCGCCACTTGCCCGCCCCGCCACGCATGGACGGCATCAACGAGATGGCCTGCATGCGCGCAACAAATCCCTCTGCCAAGTCGGGCCACAGCCTGGGGATGAAACGTCATAACCTTTTGCGTGGCCGCATACGTACCCCGATTGTCGTCGTTGCGCCGTGTGCCCGTTGGTTTAGGGAAGCGTGATGTCGCGGCACTCGCGGGTGCGCGCGTTGGGCTTCATGCCCTCACATCACTGCCAGATGCTGCAAGATGCTGGGAGGCGTCAGCACCTTGATACCTTGTGTATGCATGTTGCCGTACCGGGCCGTACCGGACAGGACAGTACAGGACGTGAGCGTGCGCGCACGCACGATCAACCCACACATGCTTTGATGCTGCCAACATCCCGCCCTCGCTGGCCAAGCCACTTCAAGCCCGATTCACCCTACTGCCACACTCGGCTCTGGCCGCGGGTCGCTTCGCTCCCGGGTTGTCGTGGCAGGCGAGCTGCGTCACTCCGTTTCGCCCTGGCTTGCTCGCGCGCGACACAGGACGCGAGCTGTCAGGCACCAGGTCCGATTTCGCGCTTCGTAATAGTCCGTGGTGCGAAATCCCCATCTTCAGTCGCGCCAATGATCGCCCACTCCAAGCGGCTGCGGCGCCCTCGGGCAGTCACACGACTCCCACCTGTGCATCACAAACATTGTGGACGAAAGAAGCAAGCGTCGTCAGAGCTTCAGATCCTCCTGTCCCTGTTCCGAGCAGGGAGAGCTTGAGCGGGCAGACCAGACCGGGCCAGGGGTGCGTAAGGAACCGGGGGTGCTAGTGGCCAGTCGGTATTAGCGCAGCACCTCCTCGAGTCCGCCCGATAACCATGGGGACGCTCCTTATCGATAACGCCCACCAGAACTTCTGCCCAGTGAACATCTCCGAATGCCCGGCGCCTCTGACCCATGCCTCTGTCGACTATGAATCCGCGTTCGCAGCTCGACCATCACCACAGCGGCCCGCATACACAACGCTGCGCACCGGGAGACTGGGCAGCGATGCCCTGATTACGTGGAACTCATGTCCTACAAACGTTCGCGGTCCACGTTCGAAACAGACAGCAACCATGCGCCGTACGCCCTCTTCGGCACGCCCCTCCCCGACGAGGCCGATTCCCGCGACGATGGCGCGTACCTGCCTTTGTGGAAGCAAGAAGTGAGGGACGAGAGGGGCCGAAAGCGGCTGCATGGAGCTTTTACCGGTGGCTGGAGCGCCGGCTACTTCAACACCGTCGGCTCCAAAGAAGGTTGGACCCCGTCCACCTTTGTATCGAGTCGGAGCTCCCGCAACAAGGATGGCACCGCCTCGACGCAGCAGCGCGCCGAGGACTTTATGGACGAGGAGGATCTGGCCGACGCCGCCGAGTCGCAACAAATCCAGACCTCTCAGGCGTTTGCAGGGCTGGGATCGACCTCTCAGGGCGAAGACCGGCCAGCGGGTCTGATGGGCTTGTTCAAGACGGAGGGCAACACCATGGGGCTGCAGCTGCTGCGCCGGATGGGCTGGAAAGATGGGCAGGGCATTGGCCCCAAGGTGCGCCGAAGCGCTCGACTCGATGTCGGCAAGCCGTCCTCAGGAGACCAACCCGAGACACATCTTTTTGCCCCGGACAACGCCCCGATGATACAGTTCGTGCGAAAAACCGATCGCATGGGTCTCGGGCACCAGAGACAGTCGAAGCTTCAGGCTCTTGGGCAGAGACGAGACGCGATCGACGAGGAAGACGAAGACAATGACAAGCCAGACGACGGGGCGCGGCATTCGCTCTTTGAAGCGAAAAGGCCCACGACAAAGCCGGCGCGGGGTGCATTCGGCATAGGGGTTCTAAACGACACCGGCTCTGACGACGAGGACCCTTACGACATTGGTCCCAAGATCAAATATAACCGCGTCATCGGAGGCGACAAAAAGAAGAAGAAGAAGGCGTCGGCTTTGGCGAACCCGTCACTCGACAAAGCACCCAAATTCGTGCCAAGGATGGCCAGGGCCGGCGATAGCCTCAGGCGGTGTCATGACGGACGGCTGCCGCTTCCGGGGTACGTTCTGGCCAAGGTCACAGAAGACCTAGCGTCGCTGTTCTCCGAGTACGCCCCTCCAGCGGTCCCGCCCGATTGGAAATCAGCAAAGGATCCAACAGCAACGTCAAGTTCTTCGGACTACCTATCAGCAGCGGATGCCGCGAAAGCATCTTCTCTTGGTCCTCGCGAACGAGCAGCTTTACTCGGCGAGAAGGCACTGCCGGGCAAGTCCGTCTTCGACTTCATCTCTGCCACGGCTCGAGACAAACTCGCCGCGGCATCCGGCAAGTCTAATCTCCCACCTGCTCGAGGGGAGATACCTGCCGAGCTGGCCATGTCCGAGGAGGAGAAGCGGAAAGCTCTCTGGGACCGAGCCCCCAAACTAGAGCGCGATACGGCTGCGGCAGCGCTCGCCCGGAGTGCGGGCGGGCCGTACGCCGACGACGAGGCAAAGCGCACGCGATATCGTCGGTACTTGGAGAACCAGGCAAACCCGGGTCTTCCACCGCCGGAGAAGCGCAATGGCGTATCAGACGACGACTTTTTGCGGGAGGTGAACGAGTTTTACAATTGCGCGCGGATATTCAAGCCGATGACTGGCTTCATGGCGTCCCGATTCACGACATCCAAGACGGTCCTGAACTCGACGTCTGCTGCGGAGGACAAGACAGAGCTCTTGGCCAAGCCGGAGCCCAAGGTTGCTGACCCTGCGGAGGAGGCAGCAAGGGTGGGCATGTTCGGGCACATGACGCGGACAGTCGCCGACTTTTATCCAACCCGCCTCTTGTGCAAGCGATTCAACGTGAAGGCGCCTGCGCATTCGCGTCCGGATAACGAGCCCGAGTCGAACCGCCCGAGGAACAACACGGAGAGCTGGCCGATGCCCGCTCAGGAGGGAGAGTCGAGAACCGCGGCGCCACCTGTGCCCGTTGGTGCTTTGCCCGCGTTACCTGCGCCGGTACAGAGCGAAAGTACCGCGGCTGGTGCGCATGTCAAAGAGCAGAACAAGGTCACGGAGGTAGATCCGGAGAGGAACGAGGCGCTCGAGGGGAAGGCGGCCAACGAGGACGTCCTGCGTGCCATCTTTGGCGATGCCGATAGCGATAGTGAGTGATACCAAATTAAATCGGTCAATGTCTTTTGGCAATCGCTGCTGTGCGTTGTGTGTCGTGACGGTGCCATTCCGTAGGCTATTGCGACCACTTGCGCGAGGCATCGTTCGTGTAAGCCATCCCTGCGCAAACACAGCGAAAAGCGACGGAGGCTCTCAAGCTAGGTTGCCGGCCGCAAAAGATGATCAAGCTAAGAGAAAACAAAGGTCCAATCCCTTGCGCAGCTGCATGAACAAACGGCCTTGTCGGAACAACCAAGGCACGAGGGTACATTAGAAGACCGATCGCACGCAGCTTATTAGCCGCCCTTGCTTGCATGCATGCACGTATGCACGCACGCATGCATGCAGACATACATACAGGCAGGCCGGAAGTCGGGTCGGCCTCGGCGGCGGCGCCTGGGGGCAACACGCCGGGGCTGCCGCCGACTCTTGCCGCGCTCGTGTAAGTAGGTACGTTGAGCGAGGTGACGACGGGACGGGCAGGCAGGCGGGTGGTGGTGGCTGAGGAGAGAGAGTGGCCTGGAGAGGGGCAGCCAAAAGTGTTCAGCTCCTCCGCGCCCTCCGCGCCCGCGTCGGGGACTCTCTGAAGCCCATTCATTTAATTCCTTGGCGCATCTGGAAAGACTGCGTGCCGCCTGGGGATCTCTTGCTCTTTAATGGTTGCGAATTGCACGCGAGCGCCGTAGACTCCCATGCATAGCTTTCGACTGCGGTTTCACTTTACGCGTCCTGCTTTCTCGTGCGTTTACAATGACTGACAAGGAGCACTTGGCTGCTCGCCACGGTGGAAGCCACCGATCTTTGGGCCGCGATGTGCGCAGCCGACACGGTGCGACCACCTTTCCCAGTCTCATCGATGCTACTTGCGAGGACCTCTCCAGTGGCCTCGAGAGGCGCCTGTTTACGAGTGTGGAGCTTGTCAAGGCAGGTAGTATCCCGGTCGCACAATGCTTGGAAACCTTGGCCTGCTGACTTTGGAGTAGACGTACCTCGCGCGCATCGAGCAGGTCAACGACAAGGTGCACTGTGTCACCGAGATCAACCCGGACGCTCTGGAGATTGCTGCCGAGCTGGACAGGGAGAGGGCGGCTGGGAACATCCGAGGGCAGGTGGCATGTCCCCGTGGTAATGGCAATTGTTGCTTACAGTGAGAGCAGGCCGCTCCACGGCATTCCCATGCTGATAAAGAACAATATCGGGACACTTGACAAGATGAATACCACGGGTGAGCTCCTCGTTGCCGAAAAGGACGGGCTATGAGCTCTTGCTAAGCTTCCCAGCCGGGTCGTGGATCCTCTACGGAGCCAAAGTCCCTCGCGATGCCGGAGTGGTCACCAGGCTCCGCGCGGCCGGGGTTGTCATTCTCGGCAAGACAAACATGTGTCAATGGGCTGGCTATCGCTGCAAGAAGCCCAGCAGCGGGTGGTCCGCGCACGGCGGGCAGACGTTCGCCCCTTACTACGAGTCTCAGGAGCCCTGCGGCAGCTCCGGCGGCAGCGCCGTGGCCGTCGACTTGGGCCTTGCGTTCGCCGCGTTGGGGACTGAGACGGACGGGTCCGTCGTGTGGCCGGCGCAAAGGAGCGGCGTCGTGGGGATCAAGCCGACCGTCGGGATGACGTCGCGCGACATGGTGGTGCCGATATCAGAGCGGATGGATTCGGTCGGGACGATTGCACGCACCGTCCGGGACGCCGCGTACGCGCTGCAGGCCATCACCGGGCCGGACCCGAACGACGGCTACACGGCACTTGTCCCAACGACACCAGACTTGGTGGCGGCGTGCAAGGAGGACGCGCTTCGAGGCTCCAGGATAGGGGTCCCCTGGAATGTCATCAAGGGGCAAAACGAGGACAAGAGATGGGACGTCGAAATAGATGGCTTCAGGAAGGCTCTCGAGGTTCTCGAGAAGAATGGAGCAACCATCATCGAGGTCGAATTCAGTGCCAAGATGGAGGAGCTCCGCGAGGTCGAGTACACGGTCATGGGGGCAGACTTCATGTCCAGTCTCGCCCGATACTTTGCAGACCTGAGCGTCAACCCGAGCGGCGTCGGCACGCTCGCCGAGCTGCGCGACCTCACGCAGAAGCACCCCAAGGAGGGCTTCCCCGAGAAGAACACGGCGCACTGGGACGACGTGCTCGCGCAGGGGTGGGACAACAGCGACGCGCGGTTCGCGCCGGCGTGCAAGCGGCTCCTGGAGCTGGGCGGGCCGCAGGGCCTGCTCGGGGCGCTGGACCGGCACGACCTCACGGCGGTGGCGATGCCGACGACGCTGGCGGCCGAGTGGACGGCCGTGGTCGGCGCGCCGATGGTGACGGTCCCGATGGGCCACTACCCGGCGGGCGCGGAGGTGGTGCGCCTCGAGGACGGCATTGTCGACACGGCGCCGGGGGTGCCGTACGGCCTGAGCTTCCTGGGGAGGCTGTGCTCGGACGCGGACCTGGTTGGGTTGGCGTACGCGTTTGAGCGGGAGACGAGGGTGCGCGAGCGGCAGACGGTGAGGCGGTGGGTGACGGCGGACGAGGAGGTGCGTTTGCCGGGGGGGGGAGGGGGGCCTAGCACTTCGGTAGGTGGCCGGCCGTTATGATGTGCCTAAGCGAAGCCGTTGAATTTTGCAAGGAACAGAATGCTTGAACTGGCCTGGGTTCTGTGATGATGCATTTGAGGTTCCTTGTTGGCTCGAGAGGTGTGAATCCTGGGCGTGTCTGGCATCCGTTCAATGTTGGCCAACATCGCCCCAGGCAGAGCAAGCAGCGGGGGAAGAAGGGTTTTGTGGGGTGTCAGCCACCGGGCCACCGCCCGCGTGCCGCCTGCCTGTGGCGGCCGCTCACCTGTGTGGTCCTGCGGCGGTGGTCTCCAGCGCAGCCTTGGAGAGCTGTTCACTTAGGTAGGTACCTAAGGTAGGTAGGTTCCAGGTTCCATTGGGTTAGCGCCCCCCAGCCCACCTGGGGCGACCTGCACTCTCCAGCCGCCCAGCTCGACCGCCCAGGGCCGCAACTCCAACTGCGGTGTCCTGCACGGTTAGGTGGGCTGGCGGGCTGTCCGTCCAGGTTCCACCCCGGCGGCTGGCGCTCCCCCGTAGGTGAACAATCGAGGCGTCTGGGTGGCAGCCAGGTTGGCGTTGGGTCACACCTCGACCGCCGCGAGCCTTGGGCCTCCTCCCTACAGGGATCAATTGCTCGTCTCCGTTCATCACGTCCATCCACCACCCAAACCTAGCAACGTCCATCGTCCCATCGCCGCCGCCGTTGTCGTCGTCGTCTTCGTCGTCGCACATGTCGCCTCGCTGATCCAGCACCGCTCGCCGACCCGCAGCCGTAGCCGCCCGCACACGCTCGCCCACCTACTGTACCGCGCGACCGCAACGGCCCCGTTAGCACCGTCCCATCCATTGTGCCACGCATACGGCCGCCGCTGCTGTTGTGATCACCCGCCCAGACAGACGTCACTTGACAGCCTTCACGGAGTCGGGCCGTCCGTTTCGCTCGGCCGCTCTCCCTCCGTCGTCGCCCTCCGACCAAATTCCACACCCTCGTCTGCCTCGCCGGACCGCGGCGCCAGAGACCCGCGAGCCACCCGCCGCATTGTCTGGGACGCAGGAAGCCAGCGCCTCCCCCCGTCCGGAGCAGCAGCAGCAGCAGCAGCGCATCGAGAGCCTCCGTCACCGCCGTCGCGACATCTCAGACTGCTGCGGGCACGACGTCGACGCCGACCACGAGCGCGAGCAATCGCCGCCGCCCCAGTATCCCGCCTCCGAGGCGTCCTCCTCCTCCCGTCCGCCGCCCTTCTCGTCGCTCTTTGCCCCCTTTCACGACGCCGCCGCCGCCTCTTCTTCCGCCGCAGCAACCAAGTTTGCCGCGTCCGCGAGCGCAGAAGCCAGTGCCTCCGCCCCGGCCTACAGCTACGCCGCCACCGCCTGCCCCGACTCGGAGCCTTTCGATCCGGACCAGGCCGCCGCGAGAGCGTTCCGCGACCCCGTCGCCGAGACCAAGAGCGTCCTCCCGCGAGATACAAAGGGAGAGTCCAGTCGAAAGGACGACGACGCAGAACCGCCGCCGGCGTATTCGGAGGGCGATAGTCCTCTCCACTCGTTTTCGTTCGTCATGTCTGCCGCCGGAGGAGCTGCGAGTATCATTACTCAGGTGCAGCAGGGTGGACCGCCCATCAATGCCATTGGAGGTAAGGGCTCACATCCCTGCCACGAGATACTGGTGCTAACAGTGCTGCAGATGTTGGCGCCGACGAGACCATTGCGATGGATTTGAGGTAGGTCAAGGTTAGATCCCTAGAATCAAGACGCAGTAGGCTGACGTTTCGCAGGGGTACCAGATTCGTCCTATCGAGGGATGAGCTACTGACGCTGCCCGAATTTGTGCTGCTCTCGTTGTTCCCGAACGGCTTGTTCCCCGAGGGACACATGAACGGCTTCTCCGAGAATGACGCCGTTCAGGTCGACGTATGTATGGGTTCCCCATTTAACGCGAGCATTCTGCTGACATACTCCTAGTACGATCCGGCGTCGCTGCAGTATATGCTCGACTTCTTCCGCAACGTCGCCCAGTCCATCCCTTCGGAGTCGTCGCCCAGCACGTCGCAGGACGGCGATGCAATGGACTCCCTGGGGTCTCGAGATGACTCCGCCAAGCGCGCGGGCATCATTGTGCTGCGCGAGGACCTTGACTTCTACGCAATCCCCCCGAGCGCCGACATCAGTCAGCCTGACATGATCGAAGTGAAGCGCGCAGCCGCAAAGGCCCTGCAGCAGCAAGACGGAATTTTTTCGGGACTGAAGCGCAGTGACGAGCCTGGCACTACGGAGGCGCATCTTATTGAGATGTTGACGGCTGGGTGAGTAACTCGGTTCCGGCATCACAAATCACAAGACACTTGCTAACGCGACGGCAGAGGCTTCAATCACGATGACAGATGGGGCCACCGCGCCGGCGAGCCCAACAAGGCCGTCATTTGCAGCCTGGCGCTCGCTCGCCTACGCAGCGACATTCGTGGCAACGACATGGGCACCAGTGCCGTGGGCATGGCCCAGAAGCTGCTGCTCTTCTGGCGAAAGCCGGCCCGCCGGTGCTGGTGGGAGGGCATCGAGCTGGACAACATTGCTGGTGTCGAGGGGAAGCTCAAGGTTTGGATCCGGCGGGTGTGGACGCTGGAGATGAGCGTCATCGGGCTGCGGTGATGAGTGCCTCTGGCTGCACCGTGGCTACCGCTCTCACCCACGCGGAGCGGGTGTCACAAAAGACGCGAGACGTCGTGAGCGTGGAAGCATGCACATGGAAGATGCATTTGATTGTCCTGGCAGGCGTCATCAGGGTACAAACGGGCTTTGGTGCCTCTCTCTTTTTCTTGCCTTCTTTTCTTCTCCGCATTCTGGTGTTGTTGTGGTGGTGGTGCCCCTGTCCCGTTGTTGATGGAAATAGGCGATTCCCCCTTGGCTTCGATAATTCTCTTTTTTTCTGTTACATACCCGGAATTACAAAACAACCCATAGGTAGCCTCGAGTGTGCATTCTGGTTCTGGCTGCCTGTCCATTACTCCTCACTTCCTCCTCTGCCTGTTGTTGTCAAGAGCTGTTACCCCTGATGCGTACCGACTAGGACACCTCGCCAGCCCGGAGCACGCAAGGCGCGACACATGGCGGCATTTCCATCACAACGCGCCCAGCCCCGATCCTCCCCGTCCGAAGTGCCTCGGGAGCGCCTCGGCCCACCCATCAGTCGTACCGGGCCTTGCTGGTCCGCCAGTCGCGCACCTCGAGGTAGCCCGCCACGGGCGCGGCGTCGCGCTTGTACCGACGGCCCGTGTCGACGAGGGTGCGCGTCTCGGCGTCGAAGCAGTCGGTGGTGGGGCCGTCGCCGTCCGGGCCGCCGCAGAAGGGGTACAGGGTCTTGGAGCCCATCTCGCAGAACAGGCGCTCCTCGTCGTGGGCAAAGTCCGGGCCGTGGGACATGTCCGACTCGCAGAGCCTGCGGGCGGAGTGGCTCTCGTGGTTGCTGAGGGTGAGCTGTTGGGTCATCCAGTCGTCGCGGCGGACCAGGCTAGGCTCCTCGAGGTCCTCGGGCTCCTCGGGCTTCATGTCCCCCTTGGGCTTCTTGGGCTCGTCTGGCCTGTCCTTGAAGTCGGGTTTCTGTATATCGAGGACGCTGCCCGAGATTGGGCGGGCGAGGATGGGACAGAAGCCGACCTCGGGCACCTTACATTTCATCGCCCAGATTTGCTCTATCCAAGTTCTAACCCAGCCGGGAAACCACGACTCGGAGTAAAACCGACCAGTGACCTTGTCCCTGCTGAAACACTGTTCGTGGAAGTTGGGGTCCATGTCGCGGTCCCTCTGGCTCCGGTCATCGCGATAGTCAATGCAGGATCTTGGGCGAGTGCGGTGTCCGGGGTTTCCGGGGCTCATGTATTCGATCCTCCCGGTGTTGGTGTTGTTGAAGATCAGGACTGACGGATGATGCTCCATGCGCAGTCCAAAGGTGATGCCGTCGCACAGCTCGGTTGGATCAATAGTCTCGTTGTTTTTTAGCCTTGTGGCCAGGTCCGTATTTTCTCCAGCGTAGAATCCTGGCCACCTGACCTGGAACCCCGTGTGATGGCCACTGTCGCTGGGCCCGATCCACATGCAAGCAGTCTTCCACGGATTCCCGGGATATGGCTGGAACTGGCTCTCGTACCAACGCGCACCGCAGTACTTTCCGAACTCCCCAATGACGGCGTAGGACATGGAATTCGTCGCCGTCCTGTCGTGGTACTTTGTACTGACAAAGGACACGCACAGGGGATCGAACCTACTGTTGAAGATTGTGTATTCGCATTGCCTCTTGTGCGCCACACGAAGCTCCTTGGTGGCCTCGCCGTCCCTCATTTCCCTTTGCTTCCAATTGACATGATGGCCAGTCCATATCCCCTCACTGTCGTAGACCTCGCTGGCGTCATGGTCAGTATCGTGATGGACTGCTTGCTGCAAGCGGGCATCCACGAGACGTCGGGTACCGGCGTGGTGTCCAGGCATGCCCGAAAACACGTCTCGTGATGGACGGCTTCGTCGTCAAAGGGCGACTTACATTTGTGGCGCTCTTCCAGCCATACTTTGTTCCTTGGTGATGCCCGAACCTGCGCCGATCCTCATGGTCGAACCGACTCTGTACTTCTTATAGTCGGCCTCTATAAGGCCATGTATCCAGCTCACGACGCCAATGGTACCACCCATGACTCCGAGCCAACCCATGATATTTGGCGGCGCCGGGACGGGATCGACCTTGGGCGGGACCGCCGGAGCGTCCTGGGGTGCCGGTGCCCCAGCCACGGCCCCGGCCAGCAAGGCCACAGCTGCAATTTTCACCATCTCGCGTGCTGGGCGAGCCGCCTTGGTTCTCCGGTTGCGGCTTGCAATGGGTGTGTGTGTGTGTTCTCGCCTTCCTTGGCTCGCGGGCGCTTGGCGTTGTGAAGAACCGGCTGATGCGCGCTCGTGGGTTCCTCGACGGAATGGTCTTGGTTCGGGTACGCGGACGGTGTCTCGAGTCTTGTTTTGTCTTTTACAGTGCTCTTCGGTGGGCACCGAGCGCAGCGAGTATCGTTTGCGTGTGTGGTGGCCAGGCCAGCTAGAACAAATAGAGTGTTTGCGGTCGTCGATGATGCGCCTCAGCCCATGTCCGGGAGAGAAAGCCGAGGACAAGGAGAAAGAAAGACGTAGCGTCCTTGTGTGAGCGGCGGGCACGATATTTATTCTCTATCTGCACCTCACATGCTCCCTCATACTTTGTAATTGCTTTTCAAAGCGCAGTGGGCATACGCAACCCTCCCCGCGTTCTGGATTTCGGCGCGTCATGCGAGTGCCCCGGCGACGACACTGTACGAAGTGCATGCCCGCGTGCAGCGGAAGTTGGATCAAACCGAGGGCGGGGCATCCAGTTTTACTCCGTGGCGACGCAGACGCACTGCCGGAGTTTCACAGCAAATCTGCTGCAAGATTCATGAACCCTCGAGGCCCTGGAAAGGACTGACTTATGCGCACGCCAACACAAAACGTCTCGGTAGAATCGTGGCCGGCTGTATTAGAGAAAGGGCTCAACGAAGTGGCCGCCGTGTACGCGGGGGCTCGAAGCGTCGACAGATACCAGACGACAATCGCAGCGCACATCTCGTCGGAAGGGGGCAAATATTACGTCTTGTGGAACGGATTGCGCTTTTGCTCTCGCACTAGGCTAGAGCAGCGGGCGAGACTTTATGGCTTTTTCTCAAACGCAGTTTGGGTTCGGGGTTGAGCGCGTGGCGCGGTCGATGCTCGCAACAAGCGTGGGGTAAGTGACATCTTTGAGTTCATGTCCCTACCAGTCCTGCCCGCGCCGCTATGCAATACATGTTAATTGAACGGCACCCGCGTCATTACCAAGGCGACGAGTCTCAGGGGAATCCAGCTGCTACTTATATGCTCAGTTGTGGGGCCTTCAATTTTCCGCCGTGCGAGTTGAGGGGTGGCTGATCACTGCCCGACTTCACGGAGGGCACTGATCGTACGGTTATAGTTGTTGGAATCGCCTCTGTGACGCTGCCTGAAGTTTCTACTAACATCGTGTTGACTGCACTGGGCCCAAGCCATCACGTTGCTTCCTATTTCGTGTGGCGGACGCGTGACGAGTATCAGACGTTTTGAACCCAATCCGCCCCGTGGATACCGCCAGTCCAAAAATGCCGACTATTAGACACTACCAGGGGCGACTCGACAGATGCAGAACCTCAACTCAAGAAGAACGGCGGTTATTGCTCAACGGTGTCAAGAATTCATATATGTACGAAACGAAAGCCATAAATTCATAACACATGAGTCCCGGTCCAGCGAGATGACCCCCAAAACATTCAAATAACAGAAAATACTAATAGACTTGACGGTCTCTTGAACAGCCTGACGCGTTCCGGATAGAACGAAATATTCGGCCGAAACTGCAGATGATGCCCAGAACCATGACCAGGCTCGCTCTGGCCAGAGTCAGGGCCGGACACGTGGTGCCGAGAAGCCTGGCTGGGCTCGTTGCCAGAACCATGACCGGACAGGTGACAAAAAAGGTAGATAGTTACGGATATTTCTTCTTCCCAGGCATGACGTCGTCGATAAGATCAGAACCCGCTTCGTCCGCAATTGCGTGGCCAAATTCTCGAAAGGGATTGGATGGATTGTAGCCGGCGCCTTCCATATCGCCCTTACTTCCCCTGAAGTTGCCCTGGCCACCGCTGTTTGTCTGGCCTTGGTATCCTTGGGTTCCCCTGTTGCCACCGGTCATCTGGCCTTGGTATCCTTGTTGGGATCCCGTGTTGCCGCCGTTTGTCTGCCCTTGGTATCCTTGGGTGGTTCCCCTGTTGCCACCGGTCATCTGACCTTGGTATCCTTGTTGAGTTCCGCCGTTGCCGCCAGTCGTCTGGCCTTGGTGTCCTGGAGTTCCCTTGTTGCCGCCGGCCATCTGGCCTTGATATCCGTTTTGGGTGGTTCCGCCGTTGCCGCCGGTTGTCTGGCCTTGATGTCCTTGTGCTCCCTTGTTGCCACCGGCCATCTGGCCTTGGTAACCGTTTTGGGTGGTTCCGCTATTCTCACCGTTCGTTTGGCCGTGATGTCCTTGGCCTCCCTTGTTACCACCACTGGCCTGGCCTTGGCTTCCCTGGCTCCCGTGGCTGTTGCTCCCCTTGGCACCGCCCGAGCTTGCATGAGAGCTGCCTGAGCTTGCATGGGAGCTGCCTGAGCTTGCATGGGAGCTACCTGCGCTTGCATGACGGGAGCCACTTGAACTTGAATGGCCGCCACCTCCACGCCCGCCGCCGAAGCCACCACCGCCGCGACCACCTCCGCCGCCGCCTCCCCTCCGACGCTCAAGGTGGTTGCTGCTCTGGTCGGCGAGATCGATTCCGCTCGCCGCAACTTCACGACGCCCCGGTCCCGACGAATCATGGACTTCGGCGTTGGCATTATGGTCGCGCGCCGCAGGAGCGACGACCTGGGGCGTGGGGATGACTGACGCGACGACCCCGAGGGCCCCCGCGATGGTGAGGACAAGATGAGAGACGCGCATGGCGGGGGAGATGACAGTGGGTGGAGAAGGGAATCAAGGTCTATGACGGCAATGCGTCCGGGTAGTTGTGACGCGCTTGGAGGGAGATGTGCGGCCTGCAGAGGCTCATTCCAAGAGAGAATGGGCAATATATTTATATGCCATCGTCGTCACCCGTCAAGATTTCATGACAATCATTAATCGAAGTGAACATGGTCAGAGTCGTCCTCCAAACACAATGTCCAACTCTGAGCGTTTTAAAAGACATCGGCGTGATCATGGGGAAGCATAGCTTTCTTGTATTCCATTGCCCAAGCGTCGTCTGTCGGCCGCGTCCAGCCGTATCAACGGCGAACGTGTATAGAATCCCAAATTAAACTTGGCCGTGCTATTACTTAAAGCACACGTAACGCCTCGACATGTCTTCAGTCAGTTGAGGCTGGCCGCGACGCGGAACGGATATGTTCTGAAACCGTAGGCGTAGAAGAAGGAATTGGCCGTCGTGCAGCCCAAGCCCAGCATGGCGACGCGTGGAGCTGGTCGAGCCGGCCTCTATTAATCGTTGCAGATGGACGAGCGCGCCAGGTGGCACGGACGACGCTGTCGTCATCCACCCGGCGTGGCGATCTATGTTGGTACCTGCAGAGCGCAGGCCAAGTCTAGTTTCCTCGTCGAGCCCAATTCCAGACATTCGGCTGCTGAGTCGAGCGCATCAATGCATCCTGTCTGATGAGTCGCGCAGACGACATACCCACCCGCAGGGTCTTGTCGGTTCCGGATCGGCAGACAGCCAGAGTGCCGGCCGGGGTGTGCATGCGCCTGGGGGCTCAAATATTGGCAGGGCTGAGCATCAGCTCGTGAGGGGGCGGGGGCAGCCGTCGGGAGTTTCGAGTCGGACGCGGCACGGAAAATCATCGATATCCTTGCCTCACATCCGTGGATTTCCACATCCGCGGTGATCCCGCAGGCGCCATGGTGCGTAGTTACTGCAGGGCAATTTCAGGCATGCTCCGCAGCGGGCTTTTCTCGCGTGGCGGCGGCCGGAACGAAGCGATGCATGCGTGGGTCTCGACTCTCTGGCGCAGGTCTCCGAGTCGGAGCAGGAGATGCAAGAGACGCGAGACCAGCCAGGCTGGGGCAGCCTAACGGACTGATAACCCGAATATTTCAATGGGACGTATACTGCTAGCTTCGTCGGCTAGCGAGTTAAGCGCCAAAGTTCCCACTGTTCGAAGTCGGCAAGAGCCTTCCAAGGTTCTGGGTCTGGGTCGGTCCCCTGGGGCCTGGGCGCCTCACGGGGAAGGGGCGAATGAGGTTAGCACTTGACAGAGCCGGACCCCTCCTTCCCGCAAGAGTAAACCTCTTCGCGCGGGCGGGAAGCCACCCAGAAAAGCCACTGGGAAGCCACCCCGCTCGCCGCCAAAAGTGTAAGCCCGCCGTAGTGTAGCGTAGCGTCCCGGTCTTTTTTACGAGCTCGCCATCCTCTTCGAGTTTCTCACCTCTCGTCCAGGCATCGCAGGGCTCTCTTTCCTTTTTTCTCCCCCTCTGGGTGTGTGCTGCGTTTGCTTGTGTGTGCTTGTCGTTGTCGTTTCGAGGGATCCTCTCCCATCGATTTGACACCACGTCAAAAGCGCAACCCCGCGTCTTGCGAGTCCGTCAAAGAGTATATTACCACAGCGTCATCGAATCGCAATGGCCCTGCGCTCTCTCCTCGTCGCCCTGGCCGCTGCGGCCGCCGTCACCGACGCCGCCGCCAAGGTCATCGTCCCCCGCGCCGACGACAGCTGCCCCAATAAGCTCAAGGTTTCTTACGAGCCCCCCGTCGCCGCCAAGGGCTGGCAGTACCGCCTCGCCGCGCACGGCTTCAAGAAGCCCCGCAGCATCGCTTTCGACAAGGACGGCGCCCTGCTTGTCGTCGACTCGGGCGTGGGCGTCTTCCGCCTCACCGTCGACCAGGATCAGGGCGAAACCTGCGTCGTGACGAGCCAGCCCAAGAAGATCATCAGCAGCACCGAGGTAAGCCAATAGACACCGAGCAGTACCTGCGGTAGTGAGACAGCACGCAGCGAGGATCGGGGCGCCGACTTACACGGCGCTGCAGTTGAACCATGGCCTCGCCCTCTCCGATGACGGCAAGACGCTCTACGCCTCGTCTTCGTCCAAAGTTTATGCGTGGGCCTACGACGCCAAGGCCGGCACGGTAGCCGACTCCAATCGCACCGTCATTGCCAACATGTCGTCCACCGACAAGACGACTCGCACCCTTCTCATGTCCCAGAAGAAGCCGGGCATGCTCGTCGTCTCGCGTGGAACCGTCGACGACGAAGACCCCCTGGCCCGCAACAAGTCGAGTGGACACGCCCAGATCCGTGCCTTCGACGTGTCACGCCTCGGGGACAAGGACGCCCCTTACGGCTTCATGGACGGCGTCTTGCTTGGCTGGGGGCTGAGAAACTCTGTCGGCGTGGCGGAGGATCCGTCCAAGGGCGGCATCTGGTCTGTCGAGAATTCCATTGACGAAATCACCCGCAATGGCGAGGACATTCACCAGGATAACCCTGGCGAGGAGCTCAATTACCATGGCCGCCTCAATGACAGCTCCACGACCAAGGACCAGGGCGGCAACTACGGCTTCCCGCGGTGCTACGCCATCTGGAACACGACAAGCTTTCCCAATCTCGGCTCTCTCAAGACGGCGGACCAGTTCCCCGGCCCCGATGACGCCAAGACTCTGTCCGACGACCAGTGCAACAAGGACTACGTCGCCCCGCGGTTGACTTTCCAGGCCCATACCGCGCCTCTGGACATCAAGTTCAGCCGGGATGGGTCCAATGCGTTCCTCTCATTTCACGGCAGCTGTAAGCGCCACCTCTGCGTTTGGCCTTTTCACGTCGTGCTAATTTACTAACAACCTCTACGCAGGGAACCGCAAGAACCCCACTGGCTACCGCATTGCCTCGGTCGCGTTCAACAAGGACACGGGCGAGCCCACCGCCGCTCACGACAGCATGACGGCTGCCGTTGATGTGCTCTCGACTCCGGACCTGGCCAACTGCCCCGACGGCTGCTTCCGGCCCGTCGGCCTCGCATGGGACGCCAAGGGCAGGCTCTGGGTCACGAGCGACAGCACCGGCGAGATTTTCATCCTGAACCAGAACGGCACCAGCGACGACGGGGGCAATAGTATCGGTTCTCGGTCCCTCGTTGCTGACAAGGCCGCCACTTGGGCTGTCGTCTTGGCAGCCGTCGTTGCGGGCCTGTTCCTGGCATAAAGACGGCACGACCTGCAAAAAAAGCGAAAAGGTGGTATCTTGACGGAGAAATTACGAAGTATCATGATTTTCATTTTAGGCCTTTTCTGTATATGCGAACAGCACTACTCTTAAATATAGTCTGTGCGGAAGGTATAGCAACGGCAGCAACAGCAGTAGTATGCGCCCAATATCATAATATTTTACGGACATAGCGGCAATCCGCTTTTAAGCGAATTGAGCCTTGCCGGCCCGGCAGCTGCGATGCGATTCAAGTGACTGCGTTGTGGCAATGCGATTCATCTAAAATATCGCCGTGTGTCACGCGCGCCACTGCCATCCTCGACGAATCTGCTAGCCATGGTTCCTACAGCTGGGCGACCTCTTCCTTTGTATGCGGTGTACCTTCAACTACCAGAAGCTTTGGCACGCATATCTCCAAAGTCAAGCCGTTGGGCACGTACACCTGGTCCAGGGAGCAGGTTGATGTAAGTACCTCGGCCCCTTATCCGAACCGGCCGCGTGAAACTGGCAGGCCCGTGCCTTTTGCACCAAGAAATGGTTCAACGCCGCGTCGCGCCCAGAAAAGGTGTCATATTTGATAACTCTCCAGATGTTGGGCTCTGGCTTGTGCGGCTAGATCCTAGCAGACAGACGGCTCGCCGCGCGCCATGGAACTCCTCGTCGGGACTACCAAGCTCGATTTCTCGAAGCAAAACGCAGTGGGAGGGGACTTGGGCTGCATCTGGGAAGATTGGTTGGCATAAGCAACAGCCCTCGTTGGGCATGGAAAACGAAAACAAAGAGAAATACGCTTTTTACATGTTCATTACTCTTCAGGAGTGTCTAGCTGCTTGTGTCCCCCTCCGGATTGCATTCGTACGGCTGGCACACATGAGCGGTGCCCTGAGTGATGCTGCCAGGCCAAGGGCCAACGTGGCCACGAGAAGTCCTTTCTCCCCGGCCCCCCTTTTGCCTCGAAACGCCTCGCAACCAAGCCGGCCATTGAGCCGCGGGCTATTCGCTGCTACTTCGGCTCTTTCTAGTCCATGGTCCACCTGGTCCTCTCAAACCCCAGCGACACGCTTCATTCCTCGATGGACTTGACGCACTCCCACTCGCCGCGGAGGTTCTCCTTCCACAGCGTGACCTTGTTGTCGGCGCCGCTGACGGCCAGGACGTTGCCGCTGAGGGACCAGCTGACGCGCCAGACGGCGGCCTCGAAGTTGAGGACCTTGCAGTCCCACTGGCCGGCGGAGGCGGCATCCGAGGTCCAGATGCGGACCGTCTTGTCCTGGGAGGCGGAGGCGATGTACGACTTCTGCAGGACGGTGGGGGACCAGGCGACGTCGCGGACCCAGTCTGCGTGGCCGGCGAGGGGCTCGCGCTCCTGCTTGTACGACTGGGAGGCCGGGTCGAAGGCCCAGATCTTGAGGAGGTTGTCGGAGCCGCCGGTGACGAAGCGGCGGTTGCCGACGGCGCCGGGGCCGGGGGCGCTGCTGACGATGCTGCCGGGAGAGGTGGCGGGGGCCCACGAGACCGAGTTGACGCCGAGGCCGTGCGCGGCAAAGGTGGTGTGGTCGACGGCGTTGTCCTTGAACTCGAGGACACTGACGCTGCCGTCGGACGAGGCGCACGCGAGGAGGCAGCCGGCCTCGTGCGGGGACCAGGCCACGATGTTGACCGACGCCTTGTGCAGCGGGAAGTCGTAGATGCGCTGCCACTGGCCGGGCGCGCCGCCCCCGACGCCGCCCTGGGGACCGCTGACGCTGCCGCCGCCGGCCTGCTCCTTCCAGATGAAGACCTTGCCGTCGTAGCCCGCCGAGGCGAGGATGTTGCCGTACTTGGGGTGCGCCCAGGCGACGCACCAGACGGCGCCTTCGTGTCTGCAGAAAAGCCGGGCGTTGTCAGCGTCGGGCCGAACGACAATTCGAGCGTGGGGAAGAGAGGAGAGGGCAGCCTCACCCCTTGAGTGTTTCTATCAGCCGCTGCGTCTCGCCCTCGATTTCGAAGATCTTGATGGTGCGGTCGCTCGAGCAGGTGGCGAGTTTCCGGCCATAGTAGTCAAGGACTGCATCGTGCTGTTTGACGTCCAAGTCAGCGAGCTGTGTGTCTCTGCAACACTCCCATTGACCGCGACAAAAGGGGGGGATTCCGCGCCGCCGGAGGACTGTCTGGAGGAGCTATCGACGGGGGAGACGGGAGGCGCAAAACGTACAATCATGTCATCGTGACCCGAGTTCGTAATGACCTGCGTCGCCTGGTGTCATCATGTTAGCCGTTGCTCGTCGCTGCGGCGCGCGACGGCGCAAAGGGGAGGGAGGGGTGGTGGTGGGCCAGCTTCTGCTTCGTGAGCTTGGGGCCGTACCATCTTGGGAGAGGATCGGTGCGCCAAGACCGACGCTTTGCAGGCTGTGTGTGAAGATAGACGGAGGGTGATTTGCGATCGGGAGGGAGGGAGAAAAGGACGAGGAGAGGACGGTATATGGTGAGCTTGTGGAGGAGCTGGCAGCTGTCGTGCTGGACGTGTACACTGTCTGCAGTGACCAGATGCCCCGTATGGCTTGGTGACAGCTGGCGGCGGTTGAGCTGCACGTGACGTCGCGCCCCGCGACCCCACCACCGGCACCCAGACCTCGAACCAGACCACCGTCCACCCAGGTGAGGGCGCGTCTATGGTCGTGGTGGGGTTATCAAGTTGACACCGAGAATTGATTGCGCTCGGTAGGCTGGGGCGCTGACTGATACCAAGGGGCAGTTTTTGGTTGATCATATTTGTCGCCAGAACAGCCATACAAAACTACGACAAGAGGATACAGACAAGAGATTGTCTGTTTGTCAAGCTTACGGAAGGACAAAGCGCCGCGACGCCCCTGGCTGTTGCAGGCCAGGTAAACAGCGACCACATCTCCATGGCCTGTACTCCGTAGCCAAGGTAAACGTGCAAGTGATGAATAAACAACGTGGCCACATTCCGTGGAGTGCACGAAGCATTGACGAGCACTCATACAGGGTAGGGCCACCTGCCGCTCGCATGGTCAGTCCGAGGCAGATTGCAGTCACCTGACCTATCAAGAGGAACGGCTTGAGTGCGCGAAGCTAGAGACGCGAGGTCATAAAAAAAAACGGCAATATTCGTCGGCTTCTCGGGTATGTAGCAGTTTGATGTCTGTTGGTGATGCCTTGCCTCGCGCCGGGTGCTGGGGGATGCCAAGTTACCAACAGTGGTCAGCCGTCGCGACCCACCAATGACTGCCCGTGGCTGCCGGGCGCCACAGGGGCGGGAAATCTGGGGTTCCCATTCCCAGCCAGCGCTGGCTGGGACTGGACTGGACCCCCGTTAATGGGATTGGACTACGGAAAACAGGGGCCTTAGTAACGCCCCCTTGCCTCCGAGCCTCGGGAGTCGGGACGGCCGAATGGCGGGGAGGAGCGTCGTCACAGGCCCGGCTCGCCGCCCATGAATAAGGTATCATCCGCCTGCACCGTCCAGACTCCAGACGACAACCTCTCCTCCTCCTCCACACCTCGACTCGTGATATTTGCTCTTCCCCGGACACCGCAGAGCCTTTCTATCCCTCCACACTTGACCACTTGTCTGCCTCGCCCGCGCATCTTTTCTTCGCCCGGCTTTTGACAGCTGGACCCGGCGTCCCACTTGCGCCGAGGCTATTCCCAGCGGCTTGTGCCCCCTCCGCGCATTTGCCGCTCTCGCCCAGCTATCCTCGACGGCCGCCTTTCGCACATCGCCACACGCCGCACTTCACTCGGCCTGCGCAGCACGAGCGGCGACGACAGCAGCGACCATGGCGGAGGCTTCGTGCAGCGGGCCCTCGCCTTTCAAGCGGCTCGTCGACCACCAGTCGCGCGACGTCAGCCACCACCAGGACCGGCTCGTCGACCGCGCCGGCGTCAACGGCCATGCCGTACGTGCCTCTTGCCCTTCCGTCCCGGCCCTCCTCGCCGTCCTTGCGGGAATACCGAAGCTGACATGTTCGTGTGTGCGCTGTAGTCCTTCCGATCTAGCCCTCAACACCCCGCGCAACAGGGCCACGACTCGTTCGGCGCGTTCCTCAACGGCGGGCCCTCCGCACCCCCCGCCGGCGCCATGATCCCCGGCATGCCTCACTCCCCGGCCGGCCGCCTCAACGCCCACGCCGCCGCCCTGCAGCAGCCCATGCCGCAGCACATGCAGCACGAGTTCGCACAGCAACAGCATCAGGCGCGCGCGTCTCCCGCGCCCGACCTGACGAGCTGGGCCGCCGACTTTTCTCGCTTCACGGCCGGTAACAACCAGCAGCAGCACCAGCAACCGCAGATGCGTGGTGGCGCCGCGCCGATGCAGATGCAGATGGCGCAGCCCAACTTCCAAGGAGCCTTCGGACAGGCCTTTTCGCCCATGTTTGGCCAGCAGGGGCCGCAGTTCATGCAGCCCGGTGCTGCTGCGGCGGCGGCGGCGCCGGTGGCGGAATCCGATTTCGATCAGGAGATGGCAAGGTGGATGGCTAGCAACGGCGGGGGGAACATGACGGATGTGGATGCCGCGATGGAGCAGATGGCGCGTGAGCTGGAGCTCAACGAGGCGGCGCTCCCGCAGACGTCGTCGGAAGCTACCGAGGCGGTCGCGAGCCAGCAGCAGACGTCCACCATGACCGACCTCGAGACCCCCGAGCTAGGCAACCTTTCCCTCAACGACCACACCACCACCATCAACGCCGAAACCATCGCCCCAACTGTCGAAGACACGCTTCTCGACCAGCCGCAGCAACACCAACCGCCAGAAGACGCCGCCAAGGGCAAGTCGGCCGTCTCCGAGGCCGCGGAGCGACTCCTCGAGTCCGTCCAGCACGAGGCCGGCGAGAAGTGGCAGAACTCGGTCTTCCTCTCCCTCATGCGCGACTTCCGCGACGGGCGCAAGGACATTGTCGACAATGAGATTCGGCAGATGGAGGGAGAGGGCGACGGCAGCGGCGGCGGCGGCGGCGACGATGCCCAACAGCAGCAGCAGCAGCAGAGCGCAACCTGACTCCTCAACGGAATCAAGGAGGCGAACCAGCCAGCGCAAGCTCAAGCTAAAGCTCAAACACAAAGATATCACACGGGCCGGCACGCCGGACCGCAGCACGTCGTGCCGCAAGACGACTGCCCCGTCAGGCGGGCCCGCGTCGTCCAGCCGTTCCGGTCCTGCGTGAGGCACCTCGGCGAGACGACGTTTTACTGAAAAGGACGCGACTGTGCCACCACCTGCTGCGTGTCAACGTCACCCCGGGATATCAAGGTTGCCCCGCCAGCTCTACTCACGCAAGCGCGGCCTGTGCTTGAAGATGGAGAGGGTCGCCTTTTGGGCCTGAAAATCACGTGTCACGAATACTAGACGACTTTGTGTGTTTGGATATCTCGAATGTTGTATATACGTGTTGGGATGAGTTTTGGAGACATCATCATCAATGGGTGAGAGTGAAAAGCATCTCTGTAGCAAGCCATAATGCACATCAGCATCATAACCACGCTCTGCGTCGAGTCAAGAGTATTGTCACAAGTATATTCTTTTCCACTATGCCCACGCTCAAGCCTAGCCAGTTGCCATCCCATGTTCCCCCTCCCTGCAGCCCATCTGTACCGGCCGCCCAGTCCCTCAAGGTACTTCGTCACGTTCGTCCTCCACGGTCTCTTCCCCCAAGCCATCCATACCAAGGCAAGTGTTTTCGCCAAGTGACCAAAGCCGCCCGCCCTTCTACGCAAATAACATGGCGTAGAGTCGCCCAACCTCCCGCGCAAATGACCGCAACGCAAAAATTTCACCCGCACGATGATTGATTATGCCACATCGTCTCGTTGCCGCAAGAAACAAGATGAGTGGCAGATAAACCCAGATCCCAGCCCCATATGCACGCGCTCGTTCGTGTGTGTGTGCGTGTGAGAATCCACTGAGAGAAAGTAGAGGGGCAATATGTCCCGTGACAACCGTGGCAAAAAACTCCAGGCCAAAAAGAAATCCGTTCCACCTGCTGCGAGTTGAAAACCTCCAAATGCAAGGCGCTACATACGCCGTCTGTGTGCTCAATGTGCAAGAGGGAGCCGGCCCAACCGGCTGCATGATTCGTTACAAAGAAAGGTGAATACAATGTTGTAATAAAGCAACGCTTGTGTTGGCACGGATCAGACGTCCGATGCCATTGGCAACGTGACGAGGTGGTGCATTTTGTCACCAATGGCGTCACGGTATGCTGTGCGTTCAGGTAGACCACCACAGGCAGCCGCAGTCGGTGAGCTCCAGAGCCTCCCTTGACAAGAAGCTCGTGGGGAAACGCTTGTCTCGCTGGCCGTAACGGTCGTGCTCCATGAGCGTTTCATCCAGACCTCTGCGGCGCTCCGCGATAGTCACTTCTATCGGTTTGCCATCGGAGCCGAAAAGTGGCTGCACTCCATGGCCATTGTCGGTGACTTGAACCTGTCTACAGACAGCCGTCGAGTTTGGTTGCTTGTATCGACGTTCCAGAAATTTGACGACCTTGGGGTAGGCGGGAATGTGATCAGGAGCCGCATCTCCGGTCGGGGTAGCATTGTCGATGGAGGCTGTCGTGGTCGCCGACGGTTTCCCTTTTGTGGAGGAGCTGGCGTTTTGAGACGGGTAGACAAATATCTCGAGCGACGTGTTTGGCCACGTGCAGATCCACGGCTTGTCGCCCTCCTTGGCACCGACATTCTTCTTCTTAAACCTGGTCGGGTCGATGCCTGCCATGGGCGTGTCAAAATAATGCCAATTTCGTTTGCTCTTCTGACCGGGGAAGGCCTCTTCCGAGACGATGACTGTCTTGTTGTAGGTGAGGCTGAGCCACCACGCTGGACCGCGGCCCCTCTCGAAGTTGTCCTCGACAAGCTGGAGAGATTGAGGATCCGGGACGTCCGGGGGCTGTGTCCCCCATATGAACTTCGCCGTCGATGGCTTAAAGGCAGTCAGAGTAAGCTCATAGTTGCAAGTCTGTGGAGCCTTTGGATCTTGTCGGATGTCCATAGAGTAGAATCGGAACGGCATGTCGCAACTCCATGCCTGTGCCTGCGTCGGTTCAACGAAACACGACTTGGGCGCCTGGCTGGTGTCGAGTGGTGGAAGGGAGAAGTATCCTGTGGCCAGGGGCGGTAGGCCGGTGGGTAGCGCGGTAAGCGGCCTGACGTCGGAGGGAGTGCCGGTTGGCTCCATGTCGGGTTGCCTGATAATTGACGTCTGTTAGCCAAGGCCCATCGAAACCTGTGACACGACAGCAACTTACTCGTCCCCTGGCGAGCCATTGTCACGGTTATGGCCAACGAGAACAGTCCCGATAACAGCGCCCATGACGATGCCCATGATGACGATGCTCACCAGCAGCAGGAAAATAGACCAGTACGGCACGATGCCCCAGAGCTTTCTCCTCGCTCTCCGCTGCCACTTGGTCATGGTCTTCTTTTCCGAGTACTCACGCGCTGCTGTGTTGACTTCGTGGTGACTCTCGCTCCGTGATACGGGACGTGAGGGCATTCCGAGGTCATCCTCCGTTGAGGAGAACTCGGGGTCGCGAGTTGCGATTCCAATTCCGCCAGCGCCGGGAATAGGCTGTACGGGAGACGGGGACAGATTGGCGACGGGCTCGGGAGACTTTCTGGCAAAAGAATCTTCCGCATATCTCGTGTAGGGCGGCAGTTCCTCCAAATGGCCCAGAGGCCCAATCAGATCACCAGCCTCTTCACCGTCAGGCCCAATTTGCCGGCGGTAGCTGGCACCCATGCCCGTAAAGCCGACCGGGATGTGGTTTGGGGGTGTCTGCTCCTCAGGCTCTTCGTTTGTCGTGGTATTCTGAGTGTAGAGGGCGTAAGGGTGCGTCGGGCCACGGGGTCCGTGGTATGACTGCCGATCGACGCGGGGGGCCGTAGCCGTCGATGCGTTGCTGAATGTCCTCTGCGGATACATCTCGTACGGGTGCGACGGCCCAGTTGGTCCTTCGTACGGAGTCTCTACATGCATGAGCGGCGTGCCAGTCGCCAGGCTGGGCAAGACCGGTCTGCCGTTCGAATGACGAGCAGAGCTTGAGCCATCGTTCCGTAGCGTCAGCGAGTCGTGGGCGCGTGGAGGCTTTGATGTGCTCGACGGGCGTTCCGGCTCATGATTGCCCTTTGTGGCCACGGGGGGCGGCGGCTGTGGTATTGTGGGATATGGCTGTGAAGCGGTCGGCCTGAAGCCAGCCTGTGCTGGCCGGAAGCCATCGGAGACGGCATGGGCGTCCAGATCGTAATCATCGTCGCTTCGGGCGCTTATGGACAGCCGACCGGACGTCCTCGTTGAGGATCTCCGATGGGAGCCCGAGCCATTACCGTTCGGGGGAGTCATGGCGGCGATTGAGTCGATGTCGAGGGTCGTCGTCGACGGTTGAGGAGCAGGCAGGCCTACTCAGGCCCACAGCGAAGGTTGAGCGGCCGCAGAGGCCGCAGACTTGAAGATTCTCGGCTGTTCCTTCGATCTGGCCTCGTTGGAGGCTGTTCTCCTCGCGGGATTATGTCGTCGGCACCGTAATTGTCGCTGGAAGTCTCGCGGATCGAGCGGTCACCGGGCGGAGAATAGGACACGGTCGGAAATGCGAGTCGGCGGCGGAGGACGCTGGGGAAAGAGCGAGTCGAAAACGAACGACGGCGGTGGTGTGCGGCACGAGGCAATGAGCGGGTCGACGTGAACGGCACGGTGGAGGGCGCCGGGCGAGATGATTGAGGCCGTGGTGATGTTGATGCAGGGGGGGATGGATTGAGAGGAGAGGAGCCAGATCCTCCTCGAGGGGAGAAACGGTGGGTGGGTGGGCACAGCCAGGCGCAGGCTCGCTGGCTGGGCTGGCTACCTTACGGAGAGCGATGGAAGTACCTGTAGCGTGGGTGGTACTGGCACGGCGCACGGTCGACCCAGGGCGAGGAGCCGGCGAGAGAGGCCTCGACGTGAGTGGGTGGGAGGGCCCTGCGAGGGCGAGCGAAGTGGGCGAGCCACTCAGTCAGTTGGTGGGTTTCGGGAACCTTGTGCCTCGTACTGGGCATGCGGCGGGCCAAGCCCATCTCAGGCCCGGCACCATGGCTGCGAGGATGGGTGGGAGGATGGGCAGCCGGAGACGCCCCGCCATTGGCCCGTCCGGGCGTTACAGGTGGGCTCCCCTCCCCTGCGCTCCCTACCGGGCTCGCCTGAGGTGAGGTGGGGCGGGTCCCGTCGGGCCCCAGAGGCAAGTCAGGGCTGGGCTCTCACTCACTCGCAGGCGCGCTGCAGTGCGGCCGAGCGCTGGACGGAGCACAGCCAACAGGCCCTGCCAGGGCTGGATGCCTGGGCTGGGCTGCTGCTGCTGCAGGAGACGGACGACGGGGGATGGGACGGCACTGGACTGGCCAAGGGGGCTCGCGCGGTGGGGCCGTGGACGCAGAGCCTGCACCCACCCACGCCGGCGCTCCAGGAACCGCTAGCTGCTCACGTCGCGTGTTTCGACGCAGGTAACTCGCTCTGCCCGGCACACGCATCAAGGTACCCGGCCCCTTAGCAGGACCGGCTTGTGTCTCGGCTCCAGGGTCGTCTCCGTCCGAGAGGAGGAGGTGGTTTCCTCTGCAGGCTGGCGGGCACTGCCTCAGTCACCTCACTGGCAACGCACGGCACGAATCGACCTAGGTTCCCTCCTCCCATCCTCCCGGTCCGTGGCAGCAGAATAGTGCGAGAAGCGAGCCCGCGAACTCTGCCGCCCGAGCCGGGCAGGGCCTCGGGGGTTGAGTTGAGTTGGAGTCGAGTCCACGACGCGTTGGGGCTGCGCCGCCCGTCACCACGATCGTGGCCCGGCCAAATCAGATTTTGGGGGATGCCCGGCGGCGCTTCGTATCTCGACGCGCATCCAAAGGCGCCGCCCAGCTGAAAGTCTCCTGATGATGGGGCGGTCGCGATGATGTCGTCGTCGTCGTCGTCGGCGGCGGCGGCCCTGGGCCCCTCCCCCCGCCTTTTGGAACGAGCCCCCGAAGCACGGCGGGCGTTCCAGCCACGCCGTGTCAGTTTGTTGGTGCGAGTGATTGGAAATGGCGGGCACGGACCGCAGCGTGGGATGGGATGCCGTGGTTGACGAGCCACACAAATGCCGAACCCATCTGCTGAAATATTGCCTCTGCCGCTCCTCGTGCATGGCATCGCATCGCGAGCGACACGGCCGCTGACACGCATGCAGCTGAAGGTGACACCGCAGCCATCAGTCAGCCTCGAACAGGCAAAGCAATCAAGCCTGCACGGTGAGTGAGCGAGCGGGCGCTGTGGACATCAAGAACAACCGTCTCATATAAACGGGGCTGCATCCCGCAGGTTAGAATTGCTGACGGCATTTCCCGTGGCCCAGGACATGGTCGCGAATCCACGCCGAGAACGGTTGGAGTCGTGCATATCGTCGGAGCCCACGCACGAGAATGATGTGAAAGCCATGGTTGCGCAAGCGGCAGTGTTGCTCGAGTTGGTGCCTCGAGTTGAACACTCGACTTCCCACGTCTTCATTCGTGCAACGTTGAACACGTCAAATGCCATTGGAGCCGGTTCGGAGCAGCAGAAGGACTGCTCTCCCGGTCTAGGACTCTGGCTAGTGACTCACCCCAATAACATCCCCCACGGAGAACTCCTTTCAAAAAGCTTCCCATGACCCCAGAATGGAGTAGACAGTCAACCCTTATCAGTAATGACGCAAGATGGAGATGTATTTGATGATACTGCAAACTCTCGTCTTCGTCGCGGCTTGGGGTGCTGTCGGCCGCTACGTTGAGACCCGCGGCCCCATCGCATCCGTCCGGAGCATCACGCTACTCAACAGCCGATTCTACTCCCTAGCGTCCGCGGCCTTGCTCGCTCTGATACTACTCGCGCCTGCGTACCAGGACACGGCACGGCTGCTGTTTCACGCGTCCAAGTTCTACGAGTATATCGACGTCCTCGGGGTCCGGGCCGCGGGCGGCGAGATCGACCTCCACTTCGGCTTCCACCACTTGACGACGCCGTACCTGACGTACTTTCGCGTGCTTCACCACCACGAGGGCTGGCGGATCGTTGCGGGGCTGAATACGTTTCACCACGTGTTGATGTATGCTTACTTTGGCGGCGCAGCGGCCCTCCGCTCGGCGCTGCCAGTGACGGGGACGCTTCAGCTCGTGGCGGGCATCGCTGGGGAGGCTTGGATGTTGACGAGGAAGACGATGCACGACGAGGTGCCTCTGTGGCCGAATGCATTCACATTGGGCCTCCTCAGCACGTACCTGGTATTGTGGATCCGAGACCTGAGGATGAGGAGCTTCTTCTCCAGTGACCCTTTGGCGCCCAAGAGTCACCCCGAAGCTGCCGTGAAGCAATCGTGAAGACACCCAATCATCTAACGAGGATCACACCTTGCAGCACAAAATGCAACAATTGGGCAGTTTCCGCAATGCACGCTTCCGACCTGGCTTGAGAGACCGTCTATCCGAGGTCTAGAATGGACTTGAGTGCTGCCCCAGCCGCATGCGTGAATAAATTTCGACTTGACAACCCCGGCGAGGCCGAAGAAGGGGCATATCTTATGTAAAGCGTTGGTGTATGTTGGTACATACTGTAGCTAGCAAACTATCAATGCAAACTTTGCCTTTGCTGAAAACTGACAAGGCTTGACATGAGTGTATACAGTGGGCAGGCGGACGAGCGATCGCTGATATATGATGTGTAACAGAAACCGTCCCCATAAAGTATAGAGAAGCGACACACAATAGGCAAACGCATTCGCAGAAGGTGCAAACAGGTCTGATATTTGTCAGAGGAAAACAATTCTTTAAAACATCCGTCATTTTATGTCTGCCTGATAATAAGCCACCTGATATCCGCGCTGAAGCTGAATGGGGCTGGTTTGCTTCACTCTTGTCACAGATCAGCGACAATACCTTCCATCGCGGACACATATCGCCGTCCATAGAACCTCTTTGTGCCCAAACCGCAAAACAATGTCGCAGGCTCAATTGGCGCGCGCGATTCGAGAGCCCCCGGGCAGCATCAGTCGGCACGCAACAACGCACTCTGCATGTGAACGAAACGCCCAGCGGCTTTTCCCAACAACATGTCGCCTAACATTGGCCAGCAATTGGTACTGTGCAGTACTTCGTACGAAGGAAAGTACGTATGACACTTGTATGAGCGCCCGCTACGGCGCAAGTCAGCCCATGGGCGCCTCCGTGGGAGACGTGGCCAGGCGTTTCAGGTTCTTTCAACGCAACGCGCAGACGCGCAGCGACGCCGAATCACCCACCTCATGGATGGACCGCCTGCCCGTGCTGCCGCGACCCCCCCGGGGCACGTCGGGTTGTGGGCGGGTGGGTGTTGTTGACCGTTGATAGTCACTGTGACTGGCGTCTCTGACCCCACGTGTGGCTGCGTCTCTGGCTGCTGCAGGTGTGCTATTGTTGGCGTTTGATGCTGATTGGAATGCGCGTCGGATGAAACAGATGCGAGGAAACTCTCTCTCCGGCTTCTGCCGCCAAAACGCCAGAGCAGCGCCGCTGTTCCGAGGCACGATGTCCATCCCTGCAGCCCAATCTGCCTCGCATGTTTGTGATCGAGCCGCACTTCCGGCATCGTCACAAACGTCTTTCTCCCCTTGGCTTTGGGCGTTCGCTTTGGTTTATGTCAGCGGTCGGCCCGCCAGTAGGGAGCATTCCGGCGAGACAACATCTCGGCTGGCAGCCAGGCGGGCGGTGGCGTATGCTAAATTATGGCGATGCAACGGCGGCTCCTGGGCGAGACACCTAGCCCTGGAGGGTGGCTCATCGGACGCGGAAAAGTCATTGGACGTCAGACAGTTCCGAGCAGGTCTTGGCTCGCCGACTTTTCCGTGCCACGACGGCCCCCAAGCCTCGGCAGTAGGTTCTGACATGGGAGAGTCTATGTTGCATTCATTCCTGGGGTATTTTGCCTCACCTGCTTACAAGTGCCGGATGCCCTGGATGGACCGTCGGCTGAACAGACAAAGGCCGTTTTGTCTCGGATCAGAGGCATGGGTCAGGTCAGGCCGGGGCTGCGAGTTGCAAGCCACCATGCCGTGGCGACGAGCGGATCATGAGAACGCCCGGCCAAGCTCCCCTTTTTCTGTCCATATTTACGTCTGCCGAGGAGCTAGTGAGAACTCTCAAGAGTGGTCCGATCGAGTCCCAGACGGGCACAATGGCCGGTAGGCGCGCCGCTGGATGGCCTGGATGGCCGCAGACGGCAACGTGCAGCTGTCGTCACAATTCCACGGCACGACCAAACCCGGCCGGTGGAAGCGATCCAATGCGAGCCAGAGTAGGCGCTTCGAACACGAGGTCGATCTGTACGATCAGGATGTCGTCTCGTACACGTGAACTACCGGTCAAGATTCTAGCTTGAAGGCTCACCCCGTCCGCTTCTACCAATTTCCTCAACCGAGATGTTCCGAAGGAATAGGAGATGAGGCTGCGATGGAGTGCTTGCCGTGAATGGGTATTTGAGGCCCACGATTGTGAATGCCGAGCAATGGCGCTTTCCGGGCAAGTGTCTAGCGCTCCGCTCGGTCGCCATGAAGTCGCGGGCGCTCATCGCCAAAACCTTTGCCAACCGGGTCGGCGGAAGATTCGAAAAGAACGCTGCTGCAGCTTCAACATGGCATGATCTCACCGCCTCCTACCTCCCGGGCACTTGGCAATGCCTCGTCTCACATAGACGACACAGGAGTGCCAACTCTTGAGCTCGACTCTGTATTTGCCGCCTGCGGAGGAGGCATTAGCAGTCTTGGTCACCATGATCTTTGTCTCGGGATGCACAAACACCACGGCGGCTAGTTGGCCTCCTGCCGGGATGCGCAAACGAGGACGCGCAAACGACTCTCGGTAGCACTCTGCCCCCGTCGACTTCGTACAAGACCCCATCGGCCCTGGTATTTCCCTCTGCGTCGCGGCCATACATAGTCAACGAAGTCGTAATGTCTTCACGATCGCGCTCGTCATCGGCCTCCTCGCCATCCTCCCGCAGAAGTCGCTCCGTTGTTGGCTTCTTCCCCAACCGCATGACCTTTTATGCAAAGGAGAGCAGCGGGAACTGGTTTTCTCGTTACAAGGAGATCCAACCGCACCAATGGCGGTCCGTGGCGGTCAGGATCATGGCATATGCAACGGGCGCGCCTCCCAACGCGACGGTCGTCAAGAAGAAGTCGCGGGTTCAGCCTGAGACGTTGGAGCCCATGGACGGTCTGGCCGAGTTTCACAGTCGCCTCTTTTGGATAACAGTTTACGACAATGGCGAGGCTATGCCGGCAGAAATGGTCGAAGATATTCCGCGGCAAAACATGCATTACGAAGAGCAGGGAGCATATGCTTCGGCGCCTGCGGGGGGACATGTTCAGCAGCTGGGAACCCGGGAGAGGCTTGCAGATGACAATGGGTATCCGGGAGGCGGCTTCAATGCGCGGCCAAATCAACCGGCAATACCAGTCGTTACTGTCAGCGCGTCCGATTCCAAGAGCCAACAGCAGAGAGCCAGGAGTTGAGAAGAGGAGTTGGGAACTGCGCGGCATGTTGTGGACTTGACTAGGCTGCAAGCTCCACGGACGCGATGGTCCGTTGAAGGCATAGTAATTGAGGGATCATCAGCGCCAAAACTACCAGATGGGTCTAAGGTGCAACTTGAGACGTCAATGGCCAAAGCCAGATGCCCAGACTGGCACATCACGACTCACGTGAGGACAAAACCTGTAGGTCCTACCTAGGTAATTTGTTAGCCGCACAACCATCTACCCGGGAGCGAAATTCCTCTTAGCTCAACCAAACTCATCGGTGAAGCACAATAGATTCATCGAGAGCCCGTTGGCAGCCGTGTAGGGAGTGCTGTAGAACAGAGAGACCCGTTATGGGATGCGGTGGGCGGGCGGGCCGCGGGCGGGCTCAGGGTCGACCGATTATACCTGCAACGCCAACGCGCCGTATCACGGACCGCATGAAGAATCCTTCAACGCGCGGCCGGGCGGGCCTGTGTCTTGCATGAAGTTTCGCTGTTGCGTGGAGTCGCATTCGAGACGCGACGAATTTGGATTTCTTTATGTGGTTGCTGGCTGATGCTCGTTCAAGGGTTGCAACAGCTTGTAGGTACCAAGGGCTCAGACCGAGGAGTTCAAACACGACATCGCCGCGATCGAGCCGGGCGGGCGCCCAATTTACGTAAAATCCTTTGCAACTTGGACAAGGAGAATCAAGAGGCGAGATTGGTCGTCGTCAGACGTGGCAGTGGTCCAGCGATTTAGAGCCGTGGAGCCGAAAGTACATGGCCCAGGTCAGCAGCATGCACGCACGCCGGGCGCCTGAAGCGGATCCCCAGCTGCTTGGGCTGGAGGAGAATGTTACCCAACTTGCGCCATGCATCGCTTAGAATCTGGAGCACTGCATGCCTTGGTTGGAGCATGGGAGAGAGCTGGGTGCGGACCGGCAATGCTGGTTGGCTGTGGTGTGCGGACGACGGGCCATGGGCGACGCCGCAAACGCAGATGGGCAGGGCACACTTCCATTGCGATGAGGCAGCCAGGCGGCAGATCGACAAGGCGGCCAGGCAGCGGGGCGGCGGTCGGGCGCGGGTGAGGGGTGGAGGGTAATGCTCGCTGGGTGAGGGGGCCGCATGTGTCGATGACCGGGTGAGTTGAGGTGCGCGTTGATGGGAGGGTGGCATGGACGTTTGCGTGTCGAAGGTACCAACTTCGTGCGATACCTGCTTCCGCCGTAGAGTGCGCGCGATGGCCAACGACGATGACGGCGCGGACGTTCCGTGCGAACTTGCGCCGGGCGGCGCCAGAGAGGAAGAACAAGGGGCAGGGGAAAGGGGAGGAGGAGTGGGGAGGCCGCTCTTGGCCGCGGCCAACGAGCAGTCCGGTGACAGCGTTTGGTGTTTTGGCAACCCGCAGGGCTGAGGAACTGAGCCTCATCATGGCACCTGCCACGGGACTTGCGACGGCGCAGGCCGCAGGAGTCACCCGCACCCCAAGCCCTGGAGCAGGCAGGCCCCAGGGCAGGTCGCCGGGCAGGGATTGCACCTGCCACCTGCCACCTGCCACCGCTCTCGCCCAATTCTACACATGCATGTGAGGCTGTGAGGTAAGGAAGGAGATAGCAGATACCAAGGTCGTACCTGCCCGCACGCCGCCAACATCCCCGTCTCGGCACTCTGCGCCGCCTGCAGTGCGCCAGGAGCTGCGATTCGCCCAAGGGCCATACCCGCATCTGCCCCGGCACGATCATCTGTGGCAAGCGCGACCCTGCCGACCACGTCCATGCAGGCAGGGTCGAGCCGGGGCAGGCGCACGGCGAGGGTGGCGGGCTGATCTGCCTGGCGATGCGGCGTGACGCTGCATGCCCATGGCGGCCACCAAACGCGGGCACGCTGCGTGCGTGGGCGAACACCCTCACCCTCGCCTCGGCTCAGTTACTTGAGTGACCAGGGCCCGACAGGCTGACGACGCTGTTTGCTCGTCATGACGAACCTTTCTTGAGCCACTTTGGCCTCCCGCCCGGCGTTCCATCTACGTTAGCTATCCAGTACTTAAGAGCGGCGTCCCTCCAGCTACCGGCGACGAGCCGTCGACCACCGTCTCTGCCGCCCATGCTCTCCCGCTAGGTCAAGCACTATTTGCCTTGCGGACATCATGGACAAGGATCAGCAGGCGCCGGCTCCGGCGTCGACGCCTTCGTCGCTGCCCGGCGAGACCTCGAGTCTCTTCACCCTCAACTACCTGTTCCCAGGCCTCACCGGCATTCTCTCCCCTCTACTCACCTTCTTGGGCATCGATCTCAACGCCTACATCCCGTTCCTCGTGGCCGGCTTCGGTCTCTTCTTTGCGTTTGACTGGCTCCGCTGGTATTACCGCGAGTTTGTCCAGCTCTACTTTGTGACCTCGGCCTCCATCGCCGAAGACGATGAGGCCTATGAAATGGTCATGCTGTGGCTCTCAAAGCAAGCCTTCTCGCGCTCGTCGCGCCGCTTCCGCGTTAACAAGGAGGTCAGCATGCGGCTCCGCAACTTTCGGTATTGGTACCGCGAGCAGCTCAGCGACGGCAGCGGCAGCGACGACGACGTCAAGGAGGGCACCCTTCATTACACGCCAGACTTTGAGACGCAGCACTCGTTCAAGTACAAGGGCACCACCTTCCGCTTCCACCGCATCCGCCCCAACACCAAGGACGGCAAAAACGACCGTGAGGAACTGTACATCTACTGCTACGGCCGCAACCCGCGAGTTCTCAAGGAGCTGCTCGCCGAGTGCTACGCCGAGTACATGGAAAAGGACGCCCGCAAGACCCTCATCTACCGCGCCAGCCTCTCGGACAAGATGTGGCAGCGGTGCATGTCCCGCCGACGCCGCCCCTTCTCCACCGTCATCCTGGACGAGAGTGTCAAGAAGGACCTGCTCAACGACGCGCACGACTACCTCGACATCAACACTCGTCAGTGGTACGCCAACCGCGGCATTCCCTACCGTCGTGGGTACCTCTTCCACGGCCCTCCGGGCACGGGCAAGAGCTCGCTCAGCTTTGCGCTGGCAGGCCAGTTGAGCATGAAGATCTACATTGTGAACCTCAACTCTTCGTCGGCTACCGAGGAGACAATTTCCAAGCTCTTCAGCGAGTTGCCCACCCGCTGCATCGTCCTTCTCGAGGACATTGACAGCGCAGGCCTGACTCACACCCGTGACAATGCGCCTGTCCAGATGCCCGTTCCCGCGAGGACTCCGCCTTCCGCTTCTCCCCGCCACTGGAGAATGCCTGAGATGCCGCCACCGGCAGCTGGTGCCGGTGGTGCCCTCTCGCTCTCTGGCCTGCTGAACATTCTTGACGGCGTCGCTTCTCAGGAGGGCCGTATTCTCATCATGACCACCAACCACATCGAGAAGCTGGACAAGGCCCTCATTCGCCCGGGCCGCGTTGACAGGACTCTCCACTTCGGGCTCGCAGACGAGGCCATGACCGCGTCCATATTCCGCGCCATCTACTCTCCATACGAAAACGAGGTTGCGCCCTCCCGCCGTGGCCGTGTCGGTGCAAAGGTGGTCGAGGTTGAAGACACTGTGGCAGATGAGAAGGAACGCGCCGTGATCCGCAAACGGGTTGGCGAGCAAGCGGAGCGCTTCGCCAAGAAGATTCCTGAGCTGGAGTTCTCGCCTGCAGAGATCCAGGGCCTGTTGCTGCAGCACAAGCACGACCCCGCCGCGGCAATCGCTGCTGTGGAGAGCTGGGTGATTCGAACTCGCAACGAAAAGAAGGAGAAAGCGGCCGAGGAGGCAGAGAAGAAGCGCAAGGAGACGGAGGAGCAGGCCAAGGCCAAGGAGTTGGAGGCCAAGGTGGGACGGTCTGATGACGGCGCCTGGGAGCGGTCAGATGCGGGCGGCGAGAGCGAGGCTGTGCTCAATGGTGAGCTTGAAGCCATCTCCACGGCCAGCATGGAGTCGGCGTCGGACGCGGGGATGACCAAGGCGACGGTGCAGTCGGACTCGGGTTACGGGACGCCGTAGGACGGGGCGGAGTCCATCAGACAGGAGGTGGATGATGCAAATGCCTGTACTTTAGTTTCCTGATACAACTCGTTTGCAAGCAGCGTGGCAATGGAACATTCAACTGGTATACGATCGGTGAGAGGGCACCGACGCCTCTCCAAAATGTCGTGTTCTCGTGAGTTACATTCATTCATGTTGGCTACTTGAAGTCGGCCTTGATAGCTGCGGCCGCGGCCTGTCCAGCCCTTCGGCCAAAGACGGTCCCCGCGGTGAGCCCGCTCCCGCCCGGGTAATTCTGATAAAAGAGGCCGCCCATCATCTCACCCACGCAGTATATACCACGATTGGGATGTCCGTTGGACTGGCGGAGCAGCTGCGCTGTCGCGGGGTCGACCTTGAGCCCGCCAAAGGTAAAGGTGATGCCGCAGGTCACCCGCACGGCGAGGAAGGGGGGCTTCTCGAGCGGCATAGCCCAGTTGGACTTGGGCAGATCGAGCTGCATGGCCTTGGACTGCGTCGACAGGCCGTCCTTGATGGAGGGGTCCCATTTCAGGGCTGGGTTCTCAGCCCGGTGAAGGTGCGCCGCCTGGTTGTACTCGCGGATGGTGCGCAAGAAGGCGTTCTTGTCGCGTAGAGTCGCCGCGCCGGTACCCCCGCCGGCGCACAGCTTGTCGCCCAGCTCCTCTAGCGTGTCGGCCTCGACGCGGTGCACCCGCTCGGGGCGGTACTCCTCGTTGCGCAGCCAGGTGCTCATCTGCGCGTCCCAGACCTGGAACGCGGCGTGGCCTGGCTGGGCGAGGATGGCGCGCCCGAAGCGCGCGTACGTGTAGTTGCGCAGGTCGGCGCCCTCGTCGACGAAGCGCACGCCCTCGAGATTGAGCATCAGGCCCAGCGGGTAGCCCGACTTGGTGAGCTCGTTGGAGGCGTCGCGGTCGCCCGCCAGGGGGTCGGCGCGCGCGTCCCACGCCACCGAGTGGCAGCCCGACCAGTTGCCCGCGGGCGCGGCGTCGAGGCACCGCATCGCCGTCTCGAGCACCTCGCCCGTGTTGTACGGCGTGCCGCGCACGAGCGCCATGTCCCACCCGGGGCCGAGGTACTGGCTGCGCAGCCGCGGGTTGGCCTCGAAGCCGCCCGCCGCGAGGACAACGGCCTTGGCGGCGATGGTCCTGCGCACGCCGTCGGCGTCGACAGAGACGTGCAGCTCGCCCGTGGTCCAGTCGCGCTCCAGCCCGAGAAACGCCGTCGAGTAGGCCACGTGCACGGCGTGGCGGCGCGCCGCCTCCTGCAGGTCGCGGATGAGGCTCTTGCCGCCCTCCGCGGCGCGCAGGCACAGCCCGCCCCAGAACTTGATCTTGCCGTGCACGACGTACGCCTGGCGGTTGAAGCTGAGGTGGAAGCGCACGCCGAGGCGGGCGAGCCAGCGCACCGCGGCGGCGGACTCGTCGACGAGCGCCTTGACGAGCCGCGGGTCGGAGCGCCCGCCGCACACGCGCCGCAGGTCGTCCTCGAAGTCCTCGTGCGTGTACGCCGGCAGGTCGATCTTCTCCTCGATGACGCCGTCGAGGTTGCCGACCAGCGGGCGCACGTCGTCGAGCCCGCCGTGCACGAAGCGGTACGCGCCCGCCGTGAAGTACGAGTTGCCGCCGGCCCACGACTCGGGGCACTTGTCGAGGACGAGGACGCGCCGCGCGCCGGCCTGCGCGGCGGCGAGGGCGGCCGAGAGCCCCGCGTTGCCGGACCCGACGACGAGGACGTCCACCTCGGATGGCAAGACGGGCTTGGTCGTCGCCGCGGTGGTGATGCGAGCCCCGCCGGCTGCCGCGCCGGAGCCGGAGCCGAAGCCGCCGACGCCGGGCCGGAGACTGGAGATGAGGCGCGAGACGGTGTTTTGGTAGAAGAAGATGACGTAGTAGAGCGCGAGCACGCCGAGGAATATCAGCACGTCGGAGGCTTCTGACATGGTGGCGACGACGACGAGAGGCGGGCGGGCGGGGACGGGGAAGGGGGGCTATTCTTCCCTCACGGCTGGAGAGACAGCATGTGGAAGCTCATCAAATGTACCATACGGGCAGGGGGGGTTGGTTCGTTCGGTTCCGGGTTTACTTTGCTTGACAAGGCTGAGATGATCTGCTTGGGGCGTCGGAGCGGCAGCGCAAAGCGTCAAGTGAGGGCGCGGGATGAGAAGTGATGACGTCGGGCTGACTGTGACGGCGTTTGGGGGGGATTGCCCAAAAAGGCAAGTAGACGGCGCGCGGCCGCCAAGACGGCGACATCGGCCAAGACAATCAATAGGCACCGGAGACCAGACGAGACCTCGGCTGAGGGGTGATTTGGTTGGACGCCTCTACCGCGCGGCTCGGAAACGGCTATTCGTTATGAGACTGAGCCATCACGTCGACCAACTTGACATGTAGTTTCCATCATTGCATATTATCCTCCATTGCAGGCGATAACAGGTTAAGAGAGTTAATGGATGGCGCAGAGAGTCAGCTTAACGCGTGATCACTGATCAGTCAGTCATAGAGCAAAGTGATCGTCCAGCACAGGACGCAACAGGACTGAGCGCGCTTGCGAAAACACATGGTCGAGCTCATTCAAGCGCCGAATACCCGTTTTACTTTACATGTAGTTGTGCGGCTGTGATGTCCAAGTTTATTCGGCACAGCTCAGATCCATGGCGCGGGCAACTCCGCGGCTCCGTGTGAGGTGATCGACAACAGCCGCGCCTGTTAGCATCATGGCAGTGCACGGCAAGAAAACGGGGCCTGCAGGGGACGTGGCCGCAAGCGAGCGCCTATCCTACCGTTCACAGCCCCCAAACCCTCAATGCCTCCAATCCAGCGTGTGCAGATCGAGGGACGTTGCTCCTGCTCCAATGTGGAACCTGGAGCTGGCGACTCTCATGTTGATGCTGGGGCCGGACGAGGAGCAACTAACGTTAACAGCTACCCACATTGGATGAGATTCGGAGATCAGGTCGCTTTCTTGATGGGAAGACTGCGACTGGAAAGAATATCCTAAAATTAGTATGGTGTTAATTCAAACTACTTCGAAACGTCGCAAAACACGGGCCACGGTGTTGCCCGACTTCGTGGGCTCACGGAGGGTTCTGGTCTGGCAAGTCCAGCACAGTTCACTTCTGACCTCACAATGACATCGACAGGTTATCGATCCCCGGCGCTTGCGCTGCATGCCCATCATTCACCACACAAGACAATCTGCACCGTAGGGAGCCGACCGTTGACAACGCCCGCCCAGGATCTAGATCCCATCATCGCAGGGCTGTAAGGAACCACCAATCCGGCAACCCGGCCTTGGCGACCACGTGAAGCTGGTAAACGCAGGGTATTCAAGGGTCTCTGGGTGTTCACCAAGCCCCGTCATACTTACAGGGATCGTTGGCGGTCGTCAGACTTTAGTCGAGGCGCTCCATGTCTCCGTGGTTGCGCTACCCCACAATGCCTATCACCATGCTTCTTTTGCCGCGCCTTTTATTCCCGAGCGGCAAGATCTTCAGCGGCTGGAAATAGAACCGTCAGCGGATTGACGGCATACCCTCGCAAGTCGCGACAGTTTCTCATCCTTCGTCTGTTGGTGTTGAGTGGCTGTGACGTAAACCGTCCAAGTCCGCTCGCTTCGTTCATATTCTGGGAGATCAATTGTACTGGAGAAGCTCTTTGACAGGGCGGATTATGCCGCGGAACAGCGCTGTCTACAAGGCACTTGCGAAATGCTTCGAAACCTATAAAAGCGGCCACTTGCACCTCGTGAACTTGTGTGAAATATTACTCTCAGACAGCACCTTTTCCTCAAGGCATTTACCTGGACGCCAGTCAAAGACACACACCTTTCTTCCACTTCAATGTTAACGGCTCTCCCATCTGCCATATAGAAACACAGCAATTCAACGTTAGTACGGCACCAAGATGCGATTTTCGCCATGGCTTTGCTAACGGTTACTTCCCAGGACCATGTACAACACCAAGCTAGTCAACGCGGCGACTGTCGCAGCCATTGTCATGGCCACCAGTCCGATGGGAGCGCAGGGCTTCGCCATACCAGAGCCCGCATCCCTCATGTCGCGAGAGCTTGGCGGCCTGAACATCTGGAAGATTGTCGACGCCGTACGGGACTATCTCAAAGACAAGAACGCATATGTAGGAAGCTTCTGCCCCCTAATAAATGCCCGACCAACACTCCTCAGAGAGACGCTAACATATGAGCTCATCTAGGACCCCTCAGTTCCGGACAAATGCGCGCTCACCGTCAAGACAACAGATGGCGGCAAGTGCGACTCGGAGGTCCAATGCGAAATGACGGACAAGCCCGGCAAAAGCCTCGGAGAATGGAACGTATGCGAGATCGGAAAGACGCAGTACTTTAAGCACCCAGACCTGGGCGACCTCTCCGTGACCTTCACGGAAGCAGGTGGCATCAACGGCAACAAGGAAGACGGGTGAGCAATCTCCAGTTGTTGTAAAGGGGGCACATCGGGAGCGAAAGATCTCAACTAACAGGAACCTAGGCTCCATCACCCGGCCCTTCAATTCAAGGCCTTGAACAACTGGGAGCAAATCAGGGTCCAGGACATCATTGACGCGCATCCCGGTGACACCGGAAACCTCTGTGAGAAGAAAAAGTCCAACGGCGGGCGCACACTGGAATGGGCGTGCGGGTTCCCCAAGTTGACCAAGGTCAGCTCGAGCGCCTTTGGGATCAACCTCATGAACCCCGACAGCAACAAGAAGGGCTATGCCAAGGGCTGGTGTAAGTTCTCTCCCGCAAGCCACCCATTGCAGACACCCCAGAGTGAGTACCATGGACAAGCAGGCTGACATATCCACGCTTAGGCACGGCGCATGTTATCCAATATCAGAAGAACGAGTTCGGCACCGGATCCGACTACAGGTTTGCGGTTCAGATCTTCGACGCCAAGAAGAGCCAGATCGGCCACGTGCAAAAGGCGCCCGTCGACTCGAAGAGATATCTCGGTGTCGCGTCCAAGCTGCCTTACAAGCTCGTCGTTAAGGCCGGCAAGGTCGACAGCGACCCCGTGTCTTTCTGCTACGGCGATCAGTGCTGGACCTGCGACAACGATGGCGGCGGCCGCCACGGCTGCACACTTGGCCGCGGGAAGAGCAACGGCTTTGAAAACGGAGACCGTGAGGGTGATATGGGCTTCACTTGCTGATTTCCTTTTGATGTGGTGATGGAATGCCTTTAGAGGTTGTGGGAAGGCTTCTTCGTGTGAGCAAGCACGGCTGTTTCTTTAACGTCCGAGATACCAATGTTATTCTAAAGTTGTCACCCAGATCATTCGTACTTTTAAGACTGAAGCTGTGTTCGTGTGCGACTACCCCAGGGAATGTAAGTGAAGGTTCTCACATACGTTGCATGTCGTACAAGTAGGTACCGATGGTTTGTTCGAGAGACTCAGACATCGGGCAAGATCTATCGTCGCGGCCTCATCTGCCATAGACCCCGCATTGATGAAAACTCCCACATCTTGGCCCCTCGCCGCCGTCAAGGCACACGCAGCTTTTTCTCATTCAGCTGCGGGACCAAATTGGAATCAGGCGTGGGAAACCGAGGGCGTGGTAACACCATTGTTCTCCCCACATCTCACCCCGCAGCCAAGATGCCCTGAATCTTCCAACCTGCAACTGAAATGCATTAGTCTTGTAACTAACGGACAGGCTAACGACTCTGTTTGCTGGGGTCACTTTGAGCTTGTCACAACTAGAATCGGTCGATTTTGCTCCAGAACCATCTCTGTTTTCGAGAGGCGACGTTGAGTTCCATGCCGCGCGGGCATCAGGGTATGTTGACTTCAATGTTGTTGGATGAGACCTACGAGTCTTCAACACCCGCGAGACTGGCCTCATACAAGTCTCTTTAATAAGGTCAATAAGCTGTAGCGCCACGCAGAAAGATGCTCATTTCACTATTCCCAAAGTAATACTCACGACGCCTTGGGCATCGCCCATGTACAGGGGTTCCCCACAGACATTGATCTGCCCCGTTTGTGGGGAAATCGTCTACTCTGTGCTGCGGTGATACCCCAGACAGGGTAGGACAACACGGCTGAACGAGAGACATCAGTACCAGAGGTGACGGCTTGCCAATTGGGCATTAATAGCAGCCAGGCCGCTGTACACGGCATTCAAGATCTGCACCAGAGGAGGCTCCTGTGACCCTCCCGATTGCTCAACTTTGGCCGCCTTGCCAACGCGAATCTGATCATGTTTGCGTCGTCCATTTTCGTCTTGTCCGTGCTTCAATTCGCCGCTGTGCAAGGCCATGGCGCATCTCACACGCCGAGCAGTCAGCGCGGCCGCATAGACACGCACACTCACTTTGTCCCACCGTTCTGGAGAGAAGAGTCGATCAAGTACGGCTATGGAAAGCCTGACGGCATGCCCGGAATTCCGGTGAGTATCTTCTCACGCCACACGCACATGCTCTTGTCTGCTTAGAACAAAACATGAATACAGGCCTGGTCGGAGGAGGCTCACTTAGCCATGATGGCCAAGGCAAAGATTGACAAGGCGATTCTGAGCATCACATCGCCGGGCACGCACCTCGTGCCAGGAGATATCAAGCTGGGGCGGAACCTTACGAGACGATGCAACGAGTTCGCCGCCGACCTCAAGAAGAGACACCCCAGCAAGTTTGGGTTCTGGGCCTCGCTGCCCCTCCCGGATGTGGAAGGGAGCCTGCGGGAGATTGAGTACGCCTTTGACACGCTGAATGCAGATGGCGTCGCGGTTCTGACCAACGCCCACGGCGTGTATCTGGGTGACCCCGTCCTGGAACCTGTGTTCAAGGCCCTCAACAAGAGAAAGGCCACCATCTTCGTCCACCCCACAAGCCCATGCATGGGTAACGGCACGGTGGCTCGCCCAGCTGCCGCGCTGCCCCAGTACCCCAACCCCATGTTCGAGTTCCTCTTCGACACCTCGAGAGCCGTCGTCAACCTGTTCGTCTCGGGGACCATGCAGCGCATCCCCAACGTCACCTTCATTCTGTCCCACGCCGGAGGGGCCATCACGCCTCTCGTCGCGCGCTTCACCGCCTTTGCGAACATCCTTCTTGGAAAGCCGCTGCAGCTCGACTCCGTGAAGGAAACGCTGCGGTCGCAGTTCTACTTTGACCTGGCTGGGTTTGCGTTCCCGGATCAGATTCACGGGTTGCTGCCGTATGTGAATGCGAGTCGGTTGACGTACGGGAGCGACTACCCGTACACGGCGGAGGCGTCCGTGCTGGACCTCGTCAAGGTGATGGACGAGGAGATTCCAAACGTGTTTCGAGGCTGCGCTGCGAAGAAGGATATATACTGGGAAAATGCCTTGGGGATTCTGCGGGGACGTGCATCTGGAGGACATCACTGATGGGTTTCACTGGAGTAGGTTGTGGTTATTGGAGTCGTTGGGCAGGATCTTGAGCCAGACCTTTGATCCAGGGGTCAATACACGCATCCATTAATGCGAATGCCCGAGGCTGCGTCCGAGGTAGGTTGGGCAGTCATACGTATGCAATGCAATCGGCCAGAACGCAATCACGGGATGTGCTCTCACATTCATCCTATAAGGCGACATTGAGCTGCTACGTTTGCGGAAGACTCAATAGGAAATCTCGATTCCGTCTCTACAACGGATGTCCCTGGGTCCAAGTCGTGCCCCATATGGCCGGCATGTCGTTTGCTTGGCGTACAGGGATCGCTGATCAAGAAGACAACTTATTCTTGCCTCATGCGTCGACAATCCCGAGATCAGGCCGACTCATGCAGTGCCCAGCAGCGCCAAACACACAAGCATTTCCCTGGCCCTATGTGCCCCTTATTCGAGGGTTGGGCAGTAGTTCAAAATCGGACCCGCACGCTTGACCAAAAGTTTTCCACCAGCTTCCTCCGATGCCGCGAGAGCAGTGCGTCCCAAACGCCGCCGTGACCCACCACCCATCGGAAGTTGATGGTGACTTGGCTCACTTCGATGGTGTCGACCGCGTCGCGGACATGGGCTGTAAGTCGTGAAATTAGGGAGAACTTGCTAGACCTCGAAGTTGATCACTGCTGCGCAGGAGGCTCTGCAGGACCCATGCTCCTACACAATCACGTTGGCTGTCAGAGAAGAGGTCTCAGGGCTGGGCGGCTTTCTCCGCTCCGACGCGGTGGCGATCGGGTCGGGCGGGGACTGATTGATAAGATCCTGCCATAGTGAGCGATTAAACCGGTTCCAGGCCTGACGCAATGTCGGGCGTGGCTGGGCCACTGTGGACTCGGACCCTGGTCGCATGCAAGAAAGACTTTTGGTAGAAACAGCGCACGGGCAGTTGACGCTCAGCGTCTTTGAAGAAAGACAGTCTGCTTCAGATGAATCTACCTCGATTGCCCATGCACATGCACAGTTCCAGTCACCTGAGGCAAACACAGGTTTAGGTTACAGCTCGGAGCACAGTTGCCGTGATGCAGACGGGGCCGTGGAGTTTGCGGCCCGCCAGCGCGGCGGTGGCAGCCCACACAAAGGACGGGAGATGCTGCATGGCGCACCTCGGAATGTGGACTGGCAATTGGGTTCACGGAGGGCTCGTACGAGGATAACCGAGCGGATCCCGACGAGTGGATGTTTTCTGAGCACATTTGGCGGCATCGGTGACACGCAGGATGGAGGCATCGTGATAAGCGTGCCGACGTGCCTGCTCTGAGTCCCGTCGAGTGCCGGCACGAACGCCGTGTGCTTCAGGTGCCTCGTCGCATGAGCCCGTTGCGTGTGCGGCTTGCGGCGGTGTCACGACTCACGGCGCACGGCTCACGATGCCCATTCAGCTGGCAACGGCCAGCTCAGTGGTTGTTCCGTACACAGCTTGCGGGCTCGTACGAGCGCTTTCGCCCGGCGCCCACTTCTGCACAACCCGTGGAGGCCAAACCGCGGGAGCAGGACCGGATATGGGTGGTGGAGTCCGGCTCGACGTGGTCGGCTATCTGAGATGGGACGGCGCCGAGCCGCTCTAGTCGTAGGAAGCAGCCCAAGTGGAAGGCAGTCGTCATGGTGCAGTGACGAGCAGTGGGGGGATGGTTGAGTGAGGGAGGATGCTTGCACATGTCGTCGGCTACAGAAGCCTGATGGGAGGCCGTATTGTATTAGTGTCCAAGCAACCAAATGGGGCAATGCGCGCGTTGTCGTGGCCAGCGGTTCGTGCCAGGGAAACATGGGGGCCGAGCAAGGCCACAGAGGTTGAGCAAAAAGAAGGGACCCTTGCTTGCTGTTGGGCTGCCGTGCGCGGGACCTGCAGCCGTGCGTGGCATCGACGAATGGGGGGTCGCAGGCACGGGATGCACCACCATTCTCAAGGCTGCAACTTCCCCAAATTCCCGTAGAGGCGGTGTCTCACGGCGACGCGGCCGCGAAGCCGGGATTGGAGACTTTTGCGACTGCGGCACGGGGATGGGTTGGAGGTACGTAGGATGGGACGGGACGGGATGGGATGGGATGGGGGTTGGGGATGAGCATGGGGGGGAGGGGATCACGATGGGCATTGGGGCCAACACACAAGCAGAATAAACAGACAGAGAGAGACACACGCACGCGACATGCCGACTCAAATCAAATCAACGGCTCAACAGTCAGCACTGATGAGCAGCGTCTTGTCTTTCCAGCTCGACAAGGGCCCGGCCGGGGGCAGCACAGCCATCAAATCTGGTCTGATTTCCCAGGCACCCTCCGCGCTTTGGCAGCGTGAAGCCGTCGTTGCTTGCGCAATCTCGATCAGGCGCTAGAGGCAAAGGGTCATGGCCGGGTTTATTAGCAAAAGTTGGGGAAGGAGGAGGAGGCTGAGTCGCGGCAACGACGACGACAACGACGACGGCGACGGCGAACGAATGAGCCGGCGATGGGTTTGGGAATGGCGATGACGATGACGCGCGGGAAGGGGTTCCACCGGCCCCGAGGGGCCTAGGCCGCGTGCGCGCGTGAGCATCTCGTCGTCTGCCTCTGATGAATGTGTCGACGGGCAATGACGACGAGATGGATGGCGCAGCGAAGTGGGTGTCCGGGAGCCTTTTTTCCTCAATTCCTCAATGCCTCAATGCCTCAGCGGCGGGGGCCCATTCAATCGAATTCGCGGTGGCGTCCGCTGCGGGAAAGCCCTCGGTTTCATCCATTCGCCCGCCGCGCCCCACTCCCCCTGGCAGATCCGCTCCCCCCTCTTCCCAGCGGGCGTCTTTGGGCGTGCTGGGCGTGGCATGGCGTGTTCGCTTTATAGGGGGAGATGGGGGAGGAACCAGGCCTGCCCAGGTGCCTAACCGTGTTGGAGCAGTGAGCCACTGAGCCACTGCCTGCCCAGCGGCGGGCGGAGTGGGACCGTTTTCTGGGGCCCTCTGGTTTGGCCTCTGGTGCTGCCTCCGTCCTGCCCTGCACTGGCGCACCATCCACTGGCGAGTGGTACGCTGGCAAGGCTGGTGCAAGTGGTGCTTGCTCTCCTCCCCTTCTGGTGTGCTGCTTGCGCGCTGCCAGCAAAACGCACATGCAACCTAACCAAACCAAACCCAAACCCATAAAAAAAAGGGCGGTGAAAAAAAATCCAGCGTCCCCCGGCAGGTGCCCTCGTTCTGCCCCCCGTTGCTCCAGCGTCCCTCCTCGCGACTCCATAATAATATCCTGCTCCTCCCCCCCTCTGCGAGTGTTCCTGTCCGCGTCCCGTACTCTCTCGTCACACCTCGCCATTGCACTCTTCTCTCCCACCGCGAAACCCAATTCCTCAACATGGCTTCCAGACCGCAGAACATTGGCATCAAGGCCATTGAGATCTACTTCCCCAGCCAGGTATGTGCTGCCTCCCCCCCTGCGGCGGCTCGTCGTGTGCCCCTCACCCGCGCGCGACCCCTAAATCGGCCGCGCGCGCTGCCCCTCAGTCGCCGACGTCGCTGATCACGAGCACCTCTCCCACAGTACGTCGAGCAAAGTGAGCTCGAGAAGTTCGATGGCGCCAGCACGGGCAAGTACACAATTGGTCTTGGCCAGACCAAGATGAGCTTCTGCGATGATCGCGAGGGTGCGTTTCCCCCTCGTCTCTGTCCTGCCGCCCCTTTTCGTCCGTTGGGCGCAGACCCAATGGCACCCACAGGCAGACATCACCCCCAGGGGCACAGTCGCATGCTGACGGCGAACCGCATACAGACATCTACTCCATGTCCCTCACCGTCGTCTCCAAGCTGCTCAAGAACTACAACATTGACGTCAACTCGGTCGGTCGCCTCGAGGTCGGCACCGAGACCATCCTCGACAAGTCCAAGTCGGTCAAGTCGGTCCTGATGCAGCTCTTCGGCGACAACACCAACCTCGAGGGCGTCGACACCGTCAACGCTTGCTACGGCGGCACCAACGCCGTCTTCAACAGCGTCAACTGGGTCGAGTCCTCGGCCTGGGACGGCCGCGACGCCATTGTCGTCGCCGGCGACATCGCCCTGTACGCCAAGGGTAACGCCCGCCCTACCGGCGGCGCTGGCGCCGTTGCCATGCTCATCGGCCCCAACGCCCCCGTCGTCATGGAGCCTGGCCTGCGCGGCACCTACATGCAGCACGCCTACGACTTCTACAAGCCCGACCTGACCAGCGAGTACCCCTACGTCGACGGCCACTACTCCGTCAACTGCTACTCCAAGGCCCTCGACGCCGCCTACCGCGACTACTGCCAGCGCGAGGCCAAGGTCACCAACGGCAACGCCAACGGTGCCGACTCCACCAAGACGCCCCTCGACCGCTTCGACTACCTCGCCTTCCACGCCCCGACCTGCAAGCTGGTCCAGAAGTCGTACGCCCGCCTGCTCTACCACGACTACCTCAAGAACGCCGACGCCCCCGCCTTCGCCGAGGTCGCCCCCGAGCTGCGCGACATGGATTACGAGAAGTCTCTGACCGACAAGGTCGTCGAGAAGACCTTCATGGCCCTCACCAAGAAGCGATTCCAGGAGCGCGTTAACCCCTCCATCCAGGTCGCCACCCTGTGCGGCAACATGTACTGCGCCAGCGTCTGGGGCGGCCTTGCCAGCTTGCTGAGCCACGTCGACAGCAAGGCTCTCGAGGGCAAGCGCATTGGCCTCTTCAGCTACGGCTCCGGCCTGGCTTCCAGCTTCATGTCCTTCCGCGTCAACGGCAGCGTCGAGACCATTGCCAAGGTCCTGGACATCCCCGCCCGCCTCGAGGCTCGCCGCGCAGTGCCCCCGGAGACGTACGACCAGGTAAGAGCCATGCACTGTCATGCCCCCGCCATGACCAATGCTAACCGCCGTGACAGATGTGCGACCTCCGCAAGCAGGCCCACCTTCAGAAGGACTACACTCCCAAGGGCGAGGTCTCCACCATCGCCCCCGGCACCTACTACCTGGAGAAGGTTGACGACATGTTCAAGCGCGAGTACTCGATCAAGGCCTAATGTATTCCTCCGGGAGGAACGCTCTGCCACGCCGTCTAGAAGACTTGGATTCTCTATGCGCACAGGTCCGCGCGGATGCACACGCGGGCGAGGCGCAGGTGGCCGCCGGCATGACGGAGTTTTTGACGAGGTAGACGCATTACGGAAAGGGCATCGCAGCATCCTGATTGAATCATAGACTGCCGAAGTCGGAGCGTACGGACGAGCCCTCTAATTGAGCCGTGGCTGCCAAGGTTGACGGGGCTGCGGCTTGTGTAGATACCTGGGCTCAGCGCACGACGTCGAGCATATTTAACGCTGGATGGATGGGAGGAATGGGTCAAGACGTCTTATAGAGCGAGACGCAAAAGCGGAAATGTGACGAGCAGCTTTTCGCCTTTATTCCCGCTGATTTCCCCCTGGCGTGACGTGACGCTGTTGTGACAATATATACACATATCTAGTTCTAAGAGTACATGGGTCTATTACGAGAAGGGCGTCCCAGGACCTATTCGCCCTTGTGTTTCCACTCGGCGTTGCGATGCAGGGTATAGTCGCCGCTGAGGATGCTCTTCCAGATGCCGTAGAGGCCGCCGACGGGCCAGCGGCTCTTCATGGACATGCGCCACTTGGCACGCTCCTCGCGCGCGGCGTCGACGTCGATGCGCACCTTGTCGTACACGGTAGGGAGGGTCTCGGCATGGTACTTTTTGCGCAGCGCCTCGTACCAGGCCTTGGTGGAGGCGTCTTCGGCCGTGGCCTTGGCGCCGCCCTCGCCGCCGTGGTCGTTGTAGACGCGCCAGAACTCTTCCTCGGAGTAGTAGGTGTGGGCGTAGAGCCACTTGCGGCCGCCGAGCTGGACGAGCTTGTCCTCGAGGGCGCGGTTCTTCTTAATGAAGAGCTCGTGGTCGGCGGGGCCCCAGCCCCAGAGGCCGATGTTGAGGACGTCCTTGGGGGCCACGGCGGCGCCGTCGGCGGTGGTAGTGTTGGCGGGTTCCGTTTCGCCGGTGTAGGGGTGGAAGGTGGGCGGCAGGGTCTGCTTGAGGGGGCAGAGCCAGAGGGGCCAGATGCCGAACTGGTCGGCGGTGTAGTCGACAAACTCCTCGGCCTTGGCGTAGGGCAGGGCGAGGTCCTGGACGACGAAGCGGGCGGACTCGCCGCTGGCGTGGAGGGCGCGGTAGAGCATGCGCGTGTGCATGAAGTCGTCGAGGAACCAGCGGAAGAAGGCGTTGAAGGGCACGTACTTGAAGTAGGTCCAGCCCTGGCGGCCGACCCAGAAGCCCGCGCGGTCGTAGCGGAAGAGGTACTCGGCGAGGGGGATGTAGTCGACGGCGGTGGTGGACGAGGATGATGCGGACGTGGTTGTTGTTGTTGTTGTTGTTGTCGTTTCTGCCGTGGAAGACGGGTCGGAGGATGAGTCCTCCTCGGCGGGGGGTTGCGACGCCGGCGAAGACGTCAGGTTCTTGGTCCGCTCCTCGACGTGCAGGTAGTACCAGGGGTCCCAGGCCTTGCTAAAGGTCTGAGGCGCGACGTCGTCGGGCTTGTCGTCGGTCATCTGGCCGGTGATGACGACGCCGTGGTCCTTGGAGAAGAGGATGCCGTCGACGTAGTCGTTGTCCGGGTTGCGCGTCTCCTGCTGAATCTTGGCGACCGCCTCGGCGACGCTATCCGCGCGATGATACGTCGTGCGCACCCAGCGCTTCGCCTCCACGAGCCGCAACTCCATGAGCGTCGTGACGCCCAGCGTGCCCACCGCGCCCGCCGCCCCGCGAAACAAGTCCTCCCGCTCGCCCCTCGGCTCCGCGCGCACCACGTCCCCGTTGCCCAGCACCATCTCGACGTAGTTGATGGTGTCGTTGAAGAAGCCGTGGCGGAAGGAGGAGCTCTCGCCGGCGGTGCCCGCGAAGCCGCCGCCCGCGGTGATGCCCGGGAACTCCATGACGACGGGGGGCACGAGGCCGTCGCGCAGGGTGGCCTCGACGAGGCGGTCCATGGGGACGTTGGGCTCGACGAGGGCGGTGCGCGCGGCGCGGTCGACGGACACGACGTGCGAGAGGGCGCTGATGTCGACGATGCGCGCCGAGGGGGAAGGCCGGGGGCGCGTGCTGTTGGTGCTGCCGTGGAAGATGCGGTAGGGCTCCTTGCGCTCGAAGAAGCCGCGCACGGCGGCGGCGATGGCGCCGACGGCCTGCTTGTGGCGCTCCATTGCGTGCGGCGAGCTGCGTGCGGCGTGTGACGACGCTGCTGCTGCTGCTGCTGCTGCTGCCGCTGGGGGTTGGTGGTTGGTGGTTGGTGGTTTGGCGGAGGAGGTGGTGGTGGTGGTGGTGGTGTTGTCACAAGCAAAACGGCGAAAATTGACCAACGATGGCAGAGGGTTGCGCGGCTGGGCCATCCATTGATTCTTCCCCTGGCTAACGAGTGGTGCGCCCGCCCCGGCGGCCCCACTCGGCTCGGCAGCGGCGCCGGCTGGCTGACGCCCGCGGAGGGATCGGCCGGCGATGGCGGCGGGCAGCCACGGAGCGACCTGAGCGCAATTTACTTCCTTTCGTCCGAAAGCACGCTACAGCCCGACTGCCGGTGCGATCGCAGATCTGGAATATTTGCTCTTCGTGTCGTGGCGGCCACGATGGTATTGCCCGATCCGGCATTCCGTCCAAAGTGTGCCCCGCGGCTGGACATCAATCATCAATTGAGCAAAATATCGAACGAGCAGTCTTCTTCAAGGTGTGTCATCTCTGCAGCACCTCATGACGCGTCGTAGCCTGCAAGTGTCGAGATGACTGACCCGGGCAGAAACGCGTCAAGTATGAGGTGAGCTGGATTAGAGTTGCGGGCTCCCACGCCCACCTGTCAAGTTGAAACATCCCGTCTGGCCCGATCAGGGGCCCGAATAAGGTTGTGTTTCCCCCTGGACGCGTCAACACGAATCGGAGGAGGGGGGGTCCTAGCTAACGGAGCCCGCACCTTTCCCATTCGACAATTCCGACCTGAAGGCACGCAGGACTTCCTCGACATTGTAATATCCGTCGATATTTCTTCACTCGCAGAATTTTGTAGCACCGGCTGAAGGCACGGCTGAATCCATGCCGACATCCCTGTCTACAACTTCATGGCCATTTGTACGCCTGCTTTCGTTAATCTTGAGTTAGTTACGCCAAATCACTCGGTTATTTGTATCATAGACTAACGGCTTAAAAATGACTTGGCAGTGCTTTTTGCACTACAGATGCAATTCACTTAGATCCGGGTCGAGACCCTGCTCGCCTTGTTTCACATCACATTCAATCGAGGCCACATTCATGCAACGGCGCCGGCGCGATTAACGAAGCTGGACCCCAATATATCGGATAGAAAGAGTGATGAGAAGTCTGCCAGCTGACGGAGGCTTCTCTACCTCGCCTTCTCTAGGAACGATGGACGGGGACGTTGTTCTCCACGTCATGTTGCACAGTGATGGAATCGAGGCCCCGTCTGGCGATTAAGCATTGACGACCAAGTCTGGTCCCACTGTCGAAATGAGACGGCCGAAGTCGCATCCCATGAGCCGTCATACTCGTCCCTTTGCAGCCAATGCCAGGCTAACAAGAGGTAGCACTAGCCGTGTCACTGCGCTCTTCATCCCGGACGGTCACCTTTTCGTCCAGCAGCACGTGGAACGACTTTTGCGGAGCAAGGGGTCCGCCGCGTTACTGATATATTGCGCGCCTTCACTTGCTTACGACTCATGCTTGGAAACCGTCAAGCTGATCATCCGCGACAACGGCAGCGTGCATGGGCCGGTCCATAACCGTTCATTCATGCGCCCTCGCTTGCGCGGCATGTTGCGCCTCCCGCTGGACTGCAACTGGCGAGTTGTTTGTAAGCGGGGACACACGTCGTTGCTGGTGGACCGGCCGTTCGAATTGGGATGACTGGCGACAGGATCGAGAACCCGGGCCATATCGACTTCAATGCATTGCAAACATGCTGCGAGGGGAGGCTTCGGCTCCGGGGCGGACGTATTCGACAGGCTCGACGGGGTATTTAAGAGCACAACTGTCTCTCTCTCCAAGTGACGAGTAGCTTGCACGACAAGACGCAAACACGATCTGCTAGTCAGATAGTCATTCCTTGAACGCCGCTTCTAGTCTGTCCCTTGTCGCTGTGCGATCAAGTTGCCGCGCACACTCCCTTTCTTCTTACGTTTCACGTTTCCCCCGATTAGAACGAGACACAGAGCTACTCTGCCCACGATGCGCACTGCGTTGCTGCTCACGTCTTTGCTGCCCCTCGGGTCTGCGGTGCCCGCTGGCTGGATGTCCAACTCGCTCGAGGAGGTGAGCGACGACGGCGCAGCTTCCGCTGGGAATGGCCTCGGCGGGACTCCTCCGGCTGGAGCACAGGGTTCTCAGGGTGCAGGCAATCTGCAAACCACAGGCCCCCTGGCCGGCAACAGTGTCGAGGAAGGCGCTTCGTCCGGCTCGCAGACGTCGGGCACGGGCACTCAGTCTCCGAGCAATGGCAGCGAAACCACCCCAGGCGGCTCGGGCGACGGGTCGGACAGCAACTACATCGAGGTGACCCTCAAGCTGCACAACGACAAGCGAGCCATGCACGGGGCCGCTCCGCTGGAGTGGGACGACAAGCTCGCCGACATGGCGCGCGCACACAAGTATAGATGTAAGATGGAGCACGACGCACAGGAGCGGGGAGTGGGCCAGAACCTCTACATGTCAAGTTACTCCGGTGGTGAGGCCGCACAGACGGAGGGGGCCATGAAGGCGTGGTACGACGAGGAAGAGCCGCTGTACAACTACGGCGGCGGCGGCTTTTCCATGGCCACGGGACACTTCACCCAGGTTGTCTGGAAGGCCACCACGAAGGTCGGTTGCGCCATGTACGGTGGTTGCCCTCGCGGCGGGAAGATGACTGTGTGCAACTACAGCCCGGCCGGTAAGTGACATTCTACGGCCTTGACCCCGGCTGCTTCCTCTCCGCCACGTGTGTGTGTGTGTTGCCAGTTCAAGGCTGTGCTGACAACGGGATCAAAGGCAATATGCCTGGTGAATTTCAGGCCAACGTGGTGCCCCCCAACTCCGGCACAGAGTCCAACGAGATTCCCGGCTCGGGGACAGGGACCGGCTCCGGCACCGGGACGAACGGGACTTCCGGCACGGGTACGCAGACCGGCTCCGGCACTGAGACGAACGGGACTTCCGGCACGGGTACGCAGACCGGCTCCGGCACTGAGACGAACGAGACCTCCGGCACCGGGACACAGACCGGCTCCGGCACAGAGTCCAACGAGGTTCCCGGTTCAGACACTCAATCCGGCGCCGGCACGCAGTCCAACCAGATCCCCGGCGGTGACACACAGTCACCCGAGGTTCCCGATGCGTCGGACCCCAGCGCTGGAAACGAGACCCAAGATGCCGGCACGCAGACTCCCACGCGCCGCCCCTGCAAGAACGCCAGCGCGTCTCACACCGCCGCACCCGAGCAGCCCTTGGCCCCGAATCCCGCCCCAGAGGGACAGCCCATCGAGATGCCCCTCCCCGGAGACGAGCCCGGAGGCAGCGGGTCGTCTGTGCCGCCGCAGCAACTGCCCGAGGGGGCTGGCGGTGATCTGGGAGGCACGGACCCGATGGGCTCTGCGCCGCCTATGGAGGCTCCTCAAGGGGGTCCTCAGGGACAGCCGGGCCCCATGGGACCCGCGGGCTCTGGTGACTCTATGCCTCCTCCTGGGGGATTCATGGGGCCCGGGCAACTTGGGGCCGCTCAGGGGCAGCAGGCCGGCGCGTACTGAACACGGCGCTGCTAAAGAGCTGGACGGGCGCGACACGTTTTCCTTTCTCCGCTCCAGAGCCGCCCCTGCCACCACGGCTCATGGGAAGCTGGACCCTCCCTTTTTGTGTTCCCCTGTGTCACGGGTCATATAGTCTTAACATGAGGTTAGATGGCGAATGACGCAAGTAAAAGAGTTGTGTATTATGCTGCTCATGTGCTTTACAGGACAAAGTGTGACATGCCTCTACCCGGCCTCTGCGAGCTCATGTTGCCTGCATGCTAAATCGCCCTGATTTCATGTTCCAACGCTTTCCAAAGTCTGGGAGTCTGATGTACCGGCTGCTGCGGTACGGGCTGCTGAGCCAGGCAGCATCTTCGTCGACGGCTCCGCTTCATGCAACAACATGCCACTCGTGATGACCCCCCCTGGTTTGGGCGAGTCGCAAGATGCCAGCCGCCCCCGCGTCCATGCTACAGCTTGGCAATAGCCCGCAGCGGCGTCTCCCGCGCCTTGCGGACCATGCGATCGCAGTACTCCCCGTACGTCATGTCGCTGAGGTTGTCAAATCGCAGGGCCACCTCCTCGAGGGTGCGCGCGCGGATGCCCGTCGCCGAGGACTCGATGCCGTCGGGCCCGTCGACGGCGCGCCTGACGAAGGCGCCCCAGGCGTCGAAGCAGCGGCGCGCGTTGGGCGTCTTGGTCAGGATGAGGGCGAAGCAGTGCGGCATGGCCTCGTAGTCCTCGAAGACGACGCGCACGCCGTCGGCGACGAGGCGCTTGGCGAAGAAGCGGTCCTCGAAGCCGAGCAGCTCCCAGCCGGTGCACATGTAGACGGGCGGGGCGCCGGCCCAGCTGCGGGCGGTGATGGGCGAGACGAGCGGGTGCGCGACGGCGGCGTCGGCGGCGTAGAGGAACTTGCGCGGCGGCGTCGCCGGCCAGACGTCGCACGGTACCACCTGGCCGCGCGCCGAGATGGCCGGCTTGGGCAGGTAGTCGAAGGGGTGAGGGTCGGAGCCCTCGAACAGCGGCGAGCTGTGCGTCACGTCCATCCACGGCGAGTTGCACGCCACGGCGGCGGGCAGCGGCACGTCGCGCGCCGAGCCGTGCCACATGACGGGCTGGCCCTGGCGGCGGAGCTCGAGGAGGAGCTGCAGCAGGGCGAGCGTGAGGTTGCCGCCGGCACTGGAGGTGGTCAGTCACACACACAGAGAGTTGACGGGTTGTTACGCAGACTCACCTGTCTCCCGAGACGACAATGTGCTCCGGCCGCACGGGCTCGTGGTACGCGTCCGGGGGCGGATACAGCAGCGTCAGGTACGAGACGAAGGCGTCGAGCAGGGCCGCGGGAAAGGCGTGGCCGGGGGCGAGGCGATAGCGCACAGAGTAGCAGCGGCCGCCGGTGATCTTGGCCAGCTTCTTGGTCGTGGGCCGGTGCGAGGCGGGATCGCACAGGTAGTAGCCGCCGCCGTGCAGGTACAGCACCGTCGCGGGATGGGTGCACTCCTTCATCATCTCGCGGTACTTGTCGCGCTCCGAGATGCGCGGGGGCCGCTCGTCGGGCGCTGCACCAGCACGGTAGCCCGTCCACTCGGCCTCGACGCCGGCCGGGGCGTACGGCGGCACGGCGAGCGCATCGGCGGCGGGCGGCTCGGCCTGGCTGGGGGGCGGCTTGAGGGCGGCGATGGCGCGGGCGAGGGCATCGCGGGCGCCGTCGTCCGGGGGCGGGGGCGAGGCGTAGGTGCTGATCCAGAGGCGGCCCTTGACGCCCGGGTCGCGCACGGTGAGGCGCTGGATGGACGAGACGGAGCTGGGCCGCGAGGGGTTGGGCTCGCAGAAGGAGCGCAGGACGGTGACGATGAGGGCGCTGCGCAGGTCCAGGTAGGGCGCCGTCTCGGAGAGGTTGAGGATGTGGGCGACGATGGTGCGCAGGATGAGCGGCAGCTTGGGGAGGAGCGCCTTGAGGATCCGGAGGTTGCTGACGCTGCTGCTGACGCTGCTGCTGCTGCTGCTGTTCTTGTCGTCGCTGACCGGACAGGCCTGTGATGGCGGCGCGGGTGACGGCGTTGAGTCGCCCGCCATGATGTGTGTGTCGGCGGGTATATCTGGCGCTTGAGTTTCAAAGGGTATGTATATTCCAGGCCTCCTCTCACGGTCGACTTGCCGAGGCTTTGCGCTGCTGTGCCGCTCTCTATCTCTATCTCTGTCTCTCACTCGCAACTCGCAAGCTTGGAATGGAAGACGTCAACCAACGAGACCGACTCAGACAACACGAATCATGCGAGAGGAAAAGAGAAGAAAAGAAGACGACCGCGCAAGAGGATGTCACCGTCCAAGGACCACCCTCCCTCCCTCATGCCAGCGGCGATCCCCCGTTGACGACGACATCGACGCCGCCGCCGCCGCTAGCGACCGCCCGCAGCAGCGGCACCGGACCAGATCATGGTCGCTCCGTCCCCGGCGCAGGGGTCCCTCTGGCGCCTGGGGATGGCCAGATGCCCAGGTGTGAGTGGTGCCGTCAGTGTGGGGAAAACGGAGCCGGTTCCCCGTCCGTGTGTGATCTCGCATGACCTCCCCCGTCTGGTTTGGCGGCCCGAGACAGCAGAGGCGCAAGCCGAGGCTCGTCAGTTCAATATGGCCACCGCAGCTCGACAGACATGCACCGCGCCGCGGACAGGCCCCCAAGTCCGACTTGGCCGGGATGTCGGCCTTCAATGCGACCCTGATTGCACAAGTATACACGGCATTGTTATGAATGGCCTCGCGCCTTGACCCTTCCGGATTTGAATATTCACACGTGCGGACTGCGACAATCCCATTCCTCTCACCCGTCCATACACAAGAGAGCCCGCGATGCATTTGACCCCGACGTAGGTAAATAGTACAGTATCATCAGCCCTGAACGGCCCTTCTACGAGCTGCTGCTCGCCTCCTTCTGCTCGCTACCGGCGGCCTCCCCGTTGGTGGCGCTCGACGCCGCCGCGCTCTTGTTGGCGGCGGCCATCTGCCACGCCGGGATCGACGCCTTCCCGCTTCCGCTCGGCCGGTTGAAGCTGCTCTGCGCAAGGCTCTTGGGGGGCTCGGTCGCAGCCGGCGTGCTGGCGCTGCTGCTCTCCGGGACGCTCTCGACCGTCGGCTGCGGCACGCGGGTTCCGCTCACGGTGCCGCCGGGGCGCGAGTAGCTGCTCCCTGTTGTCGCGGCCGCCGGCGCGGCGTTCGACGACATCCTCTGCGACACCAGCGTCTTCAGGCTCGTGAGCTCCGTGTTGATCTCCGACAGCCGCGTGTCCGTCAGCGTCTTCTGGTTGTCCATGGCCTTGGGGATGGCCTCCTTGAGGGCCTGCACCTCGTCGCGGATGCGCTGCGCGTCGTCCTCGCGCCGCCGGTTGGCCGCCTTGAGGTCCGCCATGACCGTGTCGAGCTCCGAGATGGCCGTGTCCAGCTTCTCCGTCCGCTGCTGCTCTGCCGTCTTGAGCGCCTCTGTGTCCTTGGCCAGCTGCTCCACCAGCGCAAACGCCTTGTCAAACTGCTCCTCGATGGACTTTTTGTCCTGCTCTAGTCGCTCCGGCGTCGGAGGCGCGACGAGAGGATACACGTAGCGCTGCGATACCGTCAGGTCCATGCCAAATTGGGGAGACGCAACAAGACGTTCTCACCTTGCCCAGCGAGTACAGGCCGTAGCCCACGCCGCTGACCACCGTTGCCATTATGAACCAGTCTCGCCAGTCTCTCCTGGGAGCCGGTGGCGGCGGCTGCCACGCATATTGTGGGTATTGCTGGTAGTAAGGTTGAGGAGGCCCGGACGGCGGGCCGCCGTACTGTGCTGGCGGGCCCGATGGCGGCGCGTGTCCGCCGGACCGGGCGAGCGCGGCGTCGATTTCCTCCTGCGTGAGGTTCTTGGTCCGGAGAAACGAGATCTTGTTCTCGACCGTCGACGAGGCAACGCTTGGATCTTGCAGGACTGGTATCTTGTCAGTTCTCAGTGCACAACGGGGGAGTCCAACGTTCGGGGGCTGGCGACTGACATTGCGCCTGCATCGGAGGTTAGCGAAGTTGGTCCGGTGCAACGAGACACGGCAAAGGAATCACTTACTGCAGAGGCAACGATGTCCTCGCGGATAGCCATGATGGACTGAAGCTCGACTCAAGCTCCCTGTCGCATCCCCGGCTAGAAGACGACTGATGCTGTTGTTTGAGGACGTCGCACGATCGGTGAGTGGGAGGGTGCAAGGTGAAGCGACGACATGTGCTGCGTTCGGCAAACAGGCTGTGGAGTCGCTGATGACTGATGGGGGCCGCCGGGGGGGCGGCTGGGGAAGTTTGGGGAGTTGGGCCGAGGCAGTCATGCCAATCCACTCGAGACAAAGTCGGCACTTGCCGCAGTCGCTCGGGGCCGACGCCAGATCACGTGCGATAGCACGTGTACGAGTGGATGCGCGATGCCGCTTGTACAATAGGCATCACGTGAGCTCGCGCAGACTCCACCTTGCAGGCCAAGCGCCGCGCCACCCAATCAGGACCCATTCATGGCCGTTTGTTTACTTTGAACCCGAGCAACGCAACAGGGGAAAATGCGCCCAACTGGCGACCCGCACTCTCATTGTCAAGACACTGCACTGTCGTCGTCGATTGTTTCTTGAGCTTGCGCACACCAACACCCCTCGCGACTTCCGCCTCCGCCTCGACGAGACCCCTTCGCGCTTCTGCGAAGCCACGACCCGAGGCCGCGCGCGCCACCATGTCCCAAGACACTGGCCTTTGGAGCGTTCGCAGACCAAGAGAGGTGAGAAGCTTCACCCCGCGGCGAGCTGTCGCATCGATGTTCTGACCCAGTCGCAGACACTCGGAGGCCTCAACATGAACACCGCAATACCCGCGCCCGGCTCGACCATGAAGCGCTCCAACTCGAGCAACCCAAATTACACTGGCGGCCATGTCCGATCCATGTCGGGATCTAGGCAGTCCCTGGCCATGTCGCGACCCAGCCAGCCGCTCTTCCAGCGCTCCTCGTCCGGCACGAACCTCACCGAGATTGGCCTGTCATCCGTCAAGCGCTCGTCCTTTCAACAGCCCAAAGGCGCCTTCTCCTCTGGCGTCCCCCAGACTCCTGCCCACGCGAGGGCGTCCATGGATGGCGACCGACGGAGCAGCGTCTACCGCCCGCGACAGTCGACGGCCGCACCCGTTCACCACCAAAGCTTCTTTCAGACGACACTGCAGCCCGCCGGTGTTCCGCGCGATCCTCGCCCGCTCAAGGACCGGTCCTTCCAAACGCGCATCGGTCAGGAGCTACTAGAGTACATGGCTCGGAACGATTTCGAGTCGCAGATGAATCACGTCCTGTCGCCCAACGTCATGAAGTCGCCTACACAAAAAGACTTCAACTTCATGTTCCAATGGCTGTACCATCGCATCGACCCGAGCCATAGGTTCCTCAAGAATATCGACCAGGAAGTGCCGCCGATTCTGAAGCAGCTGAGATACCCATTTGAAAGGAGCATCACCAAGAGCCAGCTCGCCGCCGTAGGTGGCCAGAACTGGAGCACGTTCCTGGGTCTACTGCATTGGATGATGCAGCTGGCTCAGATGCTGGACGGCTATCTCGCCAACAAGTACGTGGACGACTGTCTCGAGGCCGGCGTCGATGTCAGCGGTGATCACGTCATCTTTGACTTCCTCAGCAGCGCCTATAGGGACTGGCTCTCCATGGACGAAGACACGAGCGACGAGGATGCGGAAAGGGTGCTGGCACCACACGTCGAGGCCATGGCGCAAGCATTCGAGCACTCGCGATCCAAGTACACCTCGGAGCTAGATATGCTCGAGGCCGAAAACGCACGATTGCTCAAGGAAATCGAAGACCTGGAAAAGTCTACACCAGATCCGGCCGTCCTGGACAACAACTTTAAGATTATGGAGGAAGACAAGATCAAGTTCGAGGAGTACAACACGCTCGCCGTTCAGCGGTCCGAAAAATACGAGAGCCGCATCCAGGTCCTCCAAGAAGAACTCGAGAAGTTGGCAGACGAGCTGAAAGACGCCGAAGAGGAGCGCCGCAGCCTCCAGAAAGCCGTCGACGCCCAGGGCATCAGCATGCAGGATATCGACCGCATGACTGCCGAGCGGGAACGGCTTCAAAAGGGGATCGAGTCCGCTAGCCACCGCCTCGAAGAGGTGAAGAAGAAGGCGGCAGAGAAAGAGTCGGAGGCCAGCTACAAGCTTGATGAGCTAGAGCGCATGGTGGACAAGTACAACACGCTCGCATACCAAATCGCCCTGATCCCAGCCACAGCAGCCAACGCCAACGGCCGCAACTACGAGCTCCAGGTCATGGTCAACGACACGTCCGACTTCACGTCAAGCAATCTGCAAGGCTCGGGGAGCGGACACTCGGCGGCCGAGCGCCTGCTGGTGGACGCTACTACCGGCTACCAGCCCGGACACATCCTGAACCTGGACCTCCGCGGCCAGATCCGCAGCAGCTTCGTGTCGCTGCGCAAGGAGATTTCCGAGCGCCGCAGCGCTGCCATGGACGACATGATGAAAGACCACGATCTGCTGGACGGCATCAAGGAGGCCATCGAGGACAAGCGCAGCGAGGTCGACGCGCTGAATCACCGGGTCCGCGCGGCCGAGGAAGAGTACGAGAAGACCAAGGAGGTGACGACGGCGCAGAAGATGGGCTCGGACGCGCAGATCGAGAAGATGGAGAAGGAGCTGTCGAGGATGCGCGCCGGCCTGACCGAGTCGGTCCAGCTGCTTGAGCAGCGGGAAATCAACACGACCATCGAGTGAGTGTTACCCCTTCCCGTCAACACGTCCGAGAGACTTAATGCTGACACGCGAGCTAGGTACGAACAGCTGGTCCTCCGCGCGAGCTCCCTACGAGAAGAGCTGCACACGGAAATCGACCGCATGCTCAACGACGTCATCAAGTTCAAGATCCACGTACAAAAGAACCTGGACGACTATGAGGGCTTCGTCGCCGACGAGCTGGAGAAGGAGCTGGGCGTCGAGGAGCCGCGCGACGAAACGCAGGCCATGGATATGTAAATCCGACGCGCGTGGCACGTTGGTGGAGGGGGCGTTGTGCACCTCGTTGCTGGAGGGGCGCTGTGTAACTCGTTGATGGGGGGGGGGCGTTTTGTAACTCGTTGATACAGGGGGCAAAGACTGCGAGTAGGGAGGAAAGGGGTAGGGGATGACGCGTCGTCGGTGTGGCCGAGTTGAACATTTTGTCGCATGGTGTTTGGGGGTGTTTGGGTTTGCCAACGTTGGGTTGTTCTGATGGCGTCGAATACCCCAGGCTGGACATAGACACGACTTGATGAATCACGCACATGCTTGGAGCGCGCATGCTCTACACTCCTGGCCCCCGTCTGCGCCGTGCGTAGATGTCTCTCTCTGAATGTGTCAAGGACGTTGAGGGGCAGCACAGCACCTTACCCACTCCCCCTGGCACACGCGTGCAATCATGAGTGGTGCTTTCAAGGTTGACAGTCCAGCCATGCAGCACGAGACAGAGTCACAGACATACCGAGGCCAGTGGCAAAAGGGGGGGGGGGAATGATTATATGACTCAATTTCATGGCTACAGGCTGCTAAGCTATATCGCAATGCGACGAAAGGAGGCCATTCCTTTCAAACCACCTGTGAGGTTCAAGTACGGAGAGAGGCGGAGGACCCAAGTCGTTGGAAGCCCCTCCGACTACGGCGCAAAGGCAATGCTATTTCAAACGCGATGGAGAAAAGAAATAAGCGATGAAGGCAAGGACGCCGATGCAGATGCTATGCTTGGTGGAGAATGAGTAATGATGTGATGCTATGCCGCGCACGCAACCCGTGCAGGATGAGAGGGTTAAAAACAAAGCAGGCCGCGAGGCGTACGGAGAAACAGCAAGGCTCCGTTGGGGAGGGGGCGGGTCTAATGGGGCTTCAGAAACTGAAGAGGCCGCTGCGGCGTTTGCCGAGCGGGTAGATGATGCAGGCGCTCATGAAGAGCCCGACGGCGATGCCAATGGCAATCTGGATCATGGAGGCGGCGACCTGGAATATGACGCTGTCGAGCGGCTGGCCGGGCTGGTAGCTGACGGTGCCGTTGACGTTGGTGACGGTCTGGTTGGACTTTGTGAGCTCGTTGGCCGTGTAGATGCCGCTGAGGAGGCCGCCCGTGGAGGCAAGCCCACCGGGCACCTGGGTGAAGATGGCGGGGATGAGGGTTGCGGCGGCGACGCCGTGCCGCAGGCGCGAGTACAGGTTTGCGAGGACGCCGACGCTGAAGGCGCCGAGCGTGCTGGCGATCTGGGGGCTGGCGCTGAACTTGATGCTGCTGAAGTAGTTGACGATGTAGCCGGCCGAGGCGATGGTCACCATGACGGGCATCTGGCGCCACTTGGCCTGGTAGAGGACGCTGATGCACATGACGAAGAAGGGGACGAAGATGAAGCCGTAGTAGGGGGACGGCGGGTTGAGGCACGTCGTCTCCGAGGCGGCGTTGATGTCGAAGAGGCCGTAGAGCGCGGCCCCGACGGTGATGCCGAAGCCGAGGAAGAGGGAGTAGATGATGGCGTAGACGATGCGGATGGAGCCGGGCACGATGGCGCGGGACTGCAGCTCCAGGGCCGAGCACACTGCTTGGTCAGGCTCATGCGAGGGGGAGGGGAGGATGGAAAGGGGAGGGAGGGGGAAACAGGCGACTTACAAACAGAGTATCCTGGCAGCAACATGACGATGCCGCCCTGTGCGAGCGCCGAGAAGCAAAACAACTCCCCGTGCCTGATGCTGCCAAACGCCCGCGCCAGGAAGCTCACCGCCACTGTAGCGGTGACCTCGAAGACGTTGTTGTACAGGCTAGATTTAGGGGCCACAATGAGCTGCAGCAGGCCGACCGTGCAGCCGAAGACGAACAGGAGGGGGAGGTCGATGAGACGGGCCTTGAAGGAGAAGGGTGCGGCGGTGACGCTTGTGAGACCAAAGACAATGACACGCAGCCAGCGGTTGAACTTTTCCTTGGACTCCATCAGCGCGTCCAGCCGCTCGGTGCCCTCGTCGGCGCCAATGACATCGTGCATCACCTCCTTGTACACGTGGTGCACGTCCTTGAGCTTGCCCAGGTCGATGCCCTGCGAGGTCCGCACGATGCGAACCTCGGTCGTGTGCGTCGACCTGTCGTCAAAGGAGATGATCATGCATCCAGGGAGATAGAGGAACTGGCCGTCAATCTCGAGGACGCGAGCAGACATACTCAGGTACTCCTCGAGACGGTGCGTGGGCGCGCCGAAGAGCATGAGCGCGCGGCACAGCTTGATGATGTAGCCCTGGCGCGCCAGTGTCTCGGCAATGTGCACCGTGATGCGTGCTTCCTCCTCCTTGTGCCACAGATGGCTCAGCCGGGACGCGCTGCCGGTTCGCTTATGTGTCGGCCGCTTCTTCCCCTTGGAGCTGCTTGCGCCAGGATCGGGCGTGTTGGGGTTGGCCAGCCGCGCGGACGCCTCGATGAGGTTGGACAGCGTCTCCTGTGAGCGGTTCTGTTCGTACCACTTCCTGCGGTTGGGCGTTGCGCCCCCGGAGCCGCTGGACTGGCCGCCGGCCGAGGCCGAGCGAGAGTGCTGGCCTTGGGATTGGTGCTGTTGTTGTTGTTGCCCGATGAGGTGCGCAGGCTGCTTGTAGAGCTTAAGAAGCTCAGACAGGACGCTGCCGCGGTACTGTTGCGGGGGAGGCACGTTGTACACTCCATCGATTGAACCGTCGTAGACTTCGCTCGGCGTAGCATGCTGCTGTACTTCGTGGTGCAAGCCGCTGGGGGCCGCCGCGTCGTGGTTCGTCGCTGATGACTGGCCCTGGGTTGTCGCGGCGAATCGAGCCGCATGGGATTGCACAAGTTCGTATGCGTCCTGCATCAAGGCCAGCGTCGCCTGCCGCTCTGCTTCCGTCTTGGGCTCCTTGGACTCCCCAGGACCTAGATGCCCCAGATTGCGAAGCGGTATTCCATTCTCATCACCGCCGAGCAAGAGCTCGCCGTCATTAGTGATGACGGTGTCGGCGCGCGAGTCGAGGGAGCTCTTCCGCGAGCCTTCTGGAGTCGTGGATTCTCCTCGAATCCTGGCAGCGACTTGCTTGGCGCGTTCCTGCGCGGCCGCGGCCGAGATAGCCTTCTCTGAGCCCGGTGCAAAGTCCAAGTCTTCGCCCAGATCGCCAACGGTGCCGACGCTGCTAGACGAGTTGGCGCGGAGGACAGAAGGTCTCGGTCTTGTAAGCCCTAGAGCATCGCCAGCCTCGGGCGACGGCGTTCCAGTTGCGCTATGGGGGCTGGGAGACTGCTGCGGCCTGTTCGTCGCGCCAGCATTGCTGTTGAATCGTACGCGACCCTTTTCCTTCCTCAAGGCCGCGACGGTCGCTGCCTCTGCGGGAGGCTCGGGAGGAGTGAAGGCCTGGCCGGAGCCGGAGGGCTCGTTGCCGGCGCCTCGGTCCGGGTCGGGGCCAGGATCATCCTGCGTCGGGTTGGGCATGCCGTCCATTGCGTCAAACGAGTGTGTGTGTAATGGCGAGGAGGAAAGAGGTGGTCGTGTTTACAAGAGGTGGGATGGGGGAGACTTTTGTGTTTGCGGCGGCGGGCGAGCGCGATGGATGACTACATTATACAATGAACGGGGTCCAAACCTTAGTTTGTTTTCCCCCCAAACCCGTGTCCCGGCGCCGCGTAATGAGCTAGTCAACGCCCTCTCATCCTCGTCGTCCTCCTCCTCCTTGCTCGGCGCCGCTGGGCCGACTCGGCTCGTGAATCGGGGGGTGCGGGTGACGTCAAAGTGGGCGTTGGCCGTGCCTGATGCACTGGCCTTTCGGCGCATGGGAAACGCAACCCCTCACATCCTTGGCCTAATCTGTTATGTAACAGCTGCGGTGAGCCCTTTCCCCTGGGCACGAGAGCCTTCCCAGGAAGGGTATTCGCGCTGCAAAACGCACATTAGTTGCCCGCGCTCTCGGGCGCTCAGGTGCCGAGAGTCGGGCGACGGACGCCATCTTGACGTCCCTGGAAGCGGGCTAGCCTGCGCCCACCGCAAAGTGCCATGCAGAATCTGCAGCTCCCGGGTCCCATCCGGGGACTGGTCTCGACTCGTCCATTGGTGGGTTCGTCCACCACGGCGGCGGACGTGCCCGAGCATTGTGTGTCGACTTAGTCGGATCCCTTGGCCACAGTGGGGTCCGGGCACAGTGTCGGTGCGGCCGTGGACACGATGGCCCGTCATCATCAGCGCTGTCTCGATGGCTGATGAGTGATTCGGGCAACGCATCAACGGGTCTTGGCCTCACGGCGAGCGCAATCTCGGATCATGGTTCTAAAAGAGGGAGTCTTGGTCCGATTTGCGTTGGGCATCGTTGGCCCAGGGCCTGCCATGCGACGGCAGTAACCGAATCATGCGGCATGTGGTGGCCATTATGGCGCGCGGCTTCAGGGACGGAGTCGGTTTGAGTTTGGCAGGGGAAGGGTGGCCGGCGGTCGCGGAGCGCCGTGGCTGTGGCTGCTATTTTTGCAGGGTTCCACTGCGAAAGCGAAGTTGGACGCTTGAGATGGCGTATTGGGGGCAGCGGAGGAGGAGTCTGTGGGCCACGTGACTCGGCCACCGGCAAGCTAAGCATCCATGGAAGTTCTTTTCCCCTTCCGGCCACGAGAGTGGAGCCCATTGGCAATCGAGGACGTGGGGTCGCATTTTTTTTCTTCCCTTCACCGTCCTTGACTTTTGCTCGACAACACCACGCAAGGCAACCTCCAGCCTCTCTCCAAACAACGGCCGTGAACCTTTTTCGGGCGAGCCTTTTCTCAAACCACATCGCCAATCATGTCTGAGGAGAACGCAGGTGAGTAAAACTGTCGACCAGCCACCGTGTGCCACAGGACGAGACGCTGACATGTTTGGTTTGCAGCCTGGCCGCTGGCCGATGCCACCCTCACCCAGGAGATCCTCGATCTCCTGCAGTCGGCGACGCACCTGCGTCAGGCCAAGAAGGGCGCCAACGAGGGTATGTTGCTTCGTTCTGCCCCTCGTCACGTGCGCGCGATATGCTAACAGACGGGCCACAGTGACCAAGGCGCTGAACCGCGGCACCTGCGAAATCGCCATTCTCGCCGCCGACACCGAGCCGCTCGCCATCCTGCTGCACATCCCCCTCCTGTGCGAGGACAAGGGCACTCCCTACGTCTACGTCCCGAGCAAGACGATGCTGGGCCGCGCCTGCGGCGTCAGCCGTGCCGTCATCGCGGCCAGCATCAACTCGAACGAGGCCAGTGAGCTGGCTGGCCAGATCAAGGCCCTGCGCGACAAGGTCGAGCGCCTCGCCATCTAAGGGCAATGCTGAAGGCCGGTGCTGGGGCATGGATCTGTGCGTGTGATATCTGCAGGTTCTTCCTGAGTGAGGGATCGCTGGGCGGATAGCACGACGGGTAGCTCAAATCATTCAGCCAGGCATTCAATTGATTTTGGCCTGTGTGAACATTGATTCTCAAGATGTTTTCGTGGTGCCAAATGTGTGGAGAGACTGTAGGCAGACAACTCATTTACGATTTCCCGGACCTGCAACTCAGTGCCTCAAACGATATCTGCGAAGCGATGAGTGGCTATCCCAGGCTCACTTGGCCGTTCTATGTCAAGAACCAGAAATTCGATCCACACGATGAACGTAGATAGGCCAAGAAGAGCCATATGTAGCCTGCGAGTAAGAACGGGATGGACGCTCGGCACGGAGCCTCTGATGCTCCGCCGCCGGCCCCGGGGCGCCGAAGAGTCAGCGTGCGAATATTCCACAAACGTAAACCCAGGCAGCACCGAGACGGCGGCGGGCGGCGGAGGCGGACTTGGGCAGTCGCAATCCCGCTGGCGCGCAGGCACCGCACTTCGGGGTCGGCGGGCGGCCCGTCCGGGCTGCGTTATCTCCGCTAAGGCCACCACCGGCCTGCTCAGATGCACCTGGGGCACCTCCAGTGGAGTGCACGCCGAAAATGCGGCGTCAGCCACTAGGTGCCTGTAGGCTGCTGATGCTGCTGAGCTGAGGTGCTGCACGAATACCCTGGTCAGCACCCAATCTACCGGCCGCGTAGGGCGGGCCGCGTTTCAATACTCTGTCAGGTCATCCATGCATGCATATTACAGCTGCTGTGGCCGAACGACCGACCACACCAGCAGCAGCAGCAGGAGCTGCACCGCACTGGCACCCGGCCGCCGGCAGCAGCCACCTCAGCTCCGCACCGCACGGGGGCCCGGACTATTAAATCCATCGGGCCCTGGTAAACTTTGCGCCATGGTGGCTACCACAACGTGCCCTGCCACAAGGGGGGGCAATGGTGCTTGCCTGCTTGCTGCATTGCTAATTGCTGACTGCTGCTGCAGGTGCAGGTGCTGTGTTTTCCGAATGGGCAAATAAGGGGGTCCAGGCAGCTGGGCGGGCGTCGCGGAGGCCAGGCCAGACCCATGAAGATGCGTGCCCGCATTCGCTTGCGAGTTCAGTGGACGGATGATGGTGGTGGTGTGTCGTTGCCCAGTGTCGTCGTCACCGGGCAGTTATTAGTTCGACACACCACGCCAACGCCAAACGCCCTGCATTCTCGTTTAGTTAGCAGCACCACGTAGATAAACAGGGTCCCCCGTCCGTTCCGGTGCTCCTTCCCCCCGAGCAACGCTGCTCGCCATCTTCTGTATAAACTGCACCTAACACCCATCTCGCGCACATTGCCCTTCCTTTCGTGCCGTCGTCACTCAGCCCGTCCATGCCACGCCCCTTCGGCCAGTGGACATCCCGTCTCTGGCGCACTCACACAAGAGCATCAGCAGCCTCAAGGCCCGTGGCACTGACAGCAGCCGTGTCCGGCTCGGCCATCGTCGTCGCCGCCGCCACAGCAACAATGACTACCAAGGAGGACGCGACGTCGCCCGCCGCGGCGTCCCTTCTGGGGCCCGTCTCGACGGCCAGCTCCTCGCCGGGATACGTGACCAGCGTGGCCAAGGTCGCCGGCCGCGCCAGCATCCCCGGCGAGGCAGAGTCGAATCCGCACCACGTCGTCGGCAGCGGCGGCAAGGTGTCGCACTTTAAGAACCCCTATCCGTCGTGGTCTAATCCCGTGGGCTTTGTCTCCATGGTTCGCAATGTCCTGTGGTAGGAACCCTTTGTCGTCTTCCAGATGCGCAATGGCATCAACCCAGCCGCTGACGTTTACGACCTACTACCACAGGCCGCTCATCACCGGCGATCTCAAGCAGCCCGACACGTCTCCCCCCACCGTCCCCGTCGTCACCCCCCAGTGGCTCCCCGAACGCTTCCCCGCCGAGTCCCAATCCTCCTCTCCCTCCTCTCCCGGCAAGCTGCGCGCGACCTGGCTCGGCCACGCGTGCTACTACGTCGAGTTCCCGTCCGGCCTGCGCGTGCTCTTCGACCCCGTCTTCGAGGACCGCTGCTCGCCCTTCACCTTCCTCGGCCCGAAGCGGTACACGCCGCGGCCCTGCGCCATCGCCGACATACCCACCATCGACGCCGTCGTCATCAGCCACAGCCACTACGACCACCTGTCGCACACGTCGGTGCTCGAGATCCAAAAGAGCCACCCGGACGTGCAGTTCTTCGTCGGGCTCGGGCTCGAGAAGTGGTTCCGCAAGAGCGGCCTCAAGAACGTCACGGAGCTCGACTGGTGGGAGGACGCCGAGCTGACCGTCCAGGTGGCGGATAAGAGCGGCAAGGGCACCGGCGGCGGCGGCGGCAGTGACGCGGACCAGGCCAAGGGCAGCACGAGGAGCATCTCGGCGCGCGTGTCCTGCCTCCCCTGCCAGCACACGTCGGCGCGCTCCCTGCTCGACAAGGACACGACGCTCTGGTGCTCGTGGGGCGTCAAGTCGGGCGGCCGGTCCGTGTGGTTCGGCGGCGACACGGGCTACCGCGCGGTGCCGCGTCTGCCGCGCGGCGTCGACGACTACGGGCCCGAGTACGAGGCGCTGCCGCGGTGCCCGCAGTTCAAGCAGATCGGCGAGCTGCGCGGGCCGTTCGACCTGGGGCTCATCCCCATCGGCGCCTACTACCCGCGCGCCGCCTTCTCCGCCATGCACGCCAACCCCTTCGACTCGGTCGAGATCTTCCGCGACACGCGCTGCCAGCGCGCCATGGGCATCCACTGGGGCACCTGGGCCCTCACCATGGAGGAGGTCCTGGAGCCGCCGCGGGTCCTGCGCGAGGCGCTCAAGCGCAGGGGCCTGCCGGAGACGGGCGTCTTTGACGTGTGCGACATTGGCGAGAGCAGGGAGTTTTGATTTTAGGGGGGCGGGGGGGTTGGTTGGTTTCTGCGCTTCTCGCAGAAAAGATGTGCGGCCTGCGCTTGTATAATCGTTTGTGCCGCTGGAGATTTGATACCATGTAAATGGGTGGTGATTCGGTATTGCGGGCGTTGGGAACCTTTTGCGGGATTAGAATCGAGACGCGGTGGAACACAGAACAAGACGTCAGCTCAAGCTGTGCGTTTCAGACTCAGACATTATTATATTATACTACAGTATACACAACTACACTCCAGTATGTACGTATTACGAAGCACAATGCGTCAACTCTGCAGGCAGCTCTCTTGCCGACCCATTTTCTTCACACGAGGACAGACACGAGGGCAGACACGAGGGCAGACACGGGGGCAGACACGGGCATGGGCGCGAGCAAGGGCAGCCGAGATAACAATGCTTTGTATTTATACTCCCACCTCCACCCATTCGCGCAAAAGAAAAAAAAAATCTATCACACCGTCTAACTAGCCCTTGACCCGGAAGGGGTGCGCCTCCGTGTTGAAGACGTACTTGCTCGTGCCGCCCTGGAACTGCAGCTGCACGTCCGACTCCTTGGCAAAGATGAGGTACAGGTACTTGAGCGTCTCGGCCAGCCAGAAGCTCTGCATCTGGTCGATGTACCCGCCGCCGTTGGTCTGCATCACGTCGTTGAGCTGGGCGTAGGCGTCGCCCGTCTTGCACACCTTCTTGATGGCGGAGAAGGCCTGCCAGGCCATGTCCTGGTACTTGCGGTCGCCCGTCAGGCGGTAGGCGTAGTAGAGGCTCTCGCTCGTCTCGGGGCGCAGGATGTAGGACCCGGCCGTCGTGTAGAAGCCCGACTTGGCGTAAAAGTCCTTTTGGGCGTCGGGCGGCGGCGCGTTGTTGGTGTCGTTGGCGGGCAGCGCGGCGTCGACCCATTGGAACACCTCGGGCCCGATGCCCGCGGGCGCCTGCTGGTAGTTGTTGAAGTACGACGTCGTCAGGTCCAGCCCGAACTGCTTGTACTTGTCGGAGCCGAGCAGCACGCCGCCGAGGATGAAGTTGCCGCCCGCGAAGCTGGCCACTGCAGGTAGGTGTGAGCGCGCGCGTCAGCCATCCGGGGGGTTCAGGAGAAGGGGGGCTCGTGGCTTGTTGTACACATGCTGCTGTGCGACGACGACGAAGCCAGGTTCGACGCAGGGGAGATGACGGGAAAGGGGCAGAAGGGAGGACAGACAACGGACTCGGCAGAGCACAGCCAAGGGGGGAAACAGAGGGGTAAAACTTACGGTGAGTCGACACGGGAATCGTCTTCTGCCCCGAGTACTGCGACAGGAACGTCAGGTCCTTGCGCGACGTCGGGTGCGACGCCAGGTACTTCATAGTCGAGTCGGCAGCCAGCACCCAGCGGTCCTTGTACTCGCCGTACTTGGCCGGGTCGTACTGGTACATCTTGATGAGGTACTCGTAGAAGCTGTCCGTGCCGCCCGACCAGCCGCCGTCGCTGTTGATGAACTTGCCGTCGGCGATGGACACGTCGCCGCCCACCATGCCGGGGAAGGCCTCGGGGCTGCCCGTCGGGCGCAGCAGGTACGACTCGGCCTTCTCCGCGAGCTGCGCGTACTTGCCGTCGCCCGAGAGGTCGCTGAGGCGCGTCCACTCGAGGATGAGGGTGCCCACCTCGGCGATGTTGTTGGACGACGAGTTGCCGTGCCGCCGCGTCGGGTTCAGGTACACCGTCGGCTGCGGCACGCCGCTCGTCGTGTTGAACGCGATGCTGAGGCTGTCGGCGAGGCTCTTGGCCTGGTCGAGCAGGTTCTGCACCTTGGCCGCGTCCTTGACGAGCCCGCTGAAGGGGCCCTTGAGCAGGTCGTAGCCTATGAGCGCGCGCGCGCGCATGCGTGTAAGTTACCGTGTCCCGGCCGAGTTGCGCATCGCCATCTTCCAGCTCCGACAGCAGCTGCAAGGGGGGGAAGAGGGAGGGAGGGGTGGAGGAGCATGGCATACCAGACAAAAGACCCGCGAGGTAGCGGATGTTGGTCTCGAAGAGCGAGATGGCGTCGTTCTCCTTGGCCGTCGTCGTAAAGTCAATCTTGGAGATGTGGTCGAGCATCTTGGCGACAAAGTGCTCCTTCTCCATGATGATGGCCGTCGACAGCGCATCGACCACCGTCACGCCCCAGGCGGCTCTATAGGCTGCTGGTCAATGGATGTTCACTCTTCCTTTTTCGAGGGCGGGCGCTTGTCCCCCAAGCGCGGGGCATAGGGATAATTCGCGTACCTGTCATCCTCGTAGCTGTTGCTCACGGGGTGCAGCGTGTCGTGCGGAAACGCGTGCTTGACGTAGCCGTTCCACGACTGCTCAAAGGCCTGCTTCACTTCGTTGGCCCGCGCGTGGTTCGGCTTTGGCGCCGTGACGCCCTTGCCCACCTCGACGTCGACGGTCAGCGGCACGGCGAGGGCCGACGCGGCGAGCTCGAGGAGCACCAGCGAGCTGGAGGTGAGGCGCATGGTGGGTTGGTGGTGGCACGCGCGCGCTCCGAGATTAAGAGAGAGAGAGAGAGAGAGGCCTTCTTCGCGACAACAGGCTCCTTCACACTCGAGGAGATGACGATGAAGATGATGAAGGGGGTGCAGCCACAGCGCAGCAAAGGGGTGGCGGATTCGCAAAGATATACAGTATGTATGCTCTATTATTTAACGGGTCTCAACCGGCACGCGAGGCTGCCAACGCGGGACCCCTTCTTGTACCTTGGTTGATGAGCATCCGAGACATCGCGCTCTACTAGACCCGTCATCGCCATGCCAGAACAACAAGGGAAGAAGAGGGGCCACCCCCGGCGCACGGCCACATGCACCTGCCCGCGGGAGATCGCTCAATGTCGCGGTGACGCTCTCGAGTCTCCGCGAAGGCAGCGTGCAGTGAGGCACGGGCATCGGCATCGGCGACAGGAAAGAAACCCTGCTGCGGACGACAAGGCCTCTACTAGGCAGGTGACACGCTCGCGCGCTGCCCCCCGGGCCTGGTCTCGACTCGACTCGCATCGCATCGCATCGCTGTCAATGCCCGTCGAATCGCGCGCCGGCGCTGCTGACACGGCGCGTCACTAGATCTCGCCGGGCCGTGCAGAACTGTAGAGCATCTGTCTTGTGACGGTCGCAGCGGCGGTGGTCCCCCCCTTGTTGGCGTTGCATTGTTCCGCCTGCTGCCCGCATCTGCTGATGGCACCGCAGGAACGGCGACGGGCCTATTGGGCGGATGACCAATGAGCCCCTGCGGCAAGGATGCGGCCGATGCGACCCTATAAGGTTGCTGGTGGCCGAAGATCCAAATTACACGGTTGGTGGACGGCCAACCTTGCGCACGCGATCGCGTGTAGGGCGTCGACAGCTGTTGACGATGCCCATCGCGCGGCCCGTTCAGGCACCACCACCACCAGCCCAGTTCCGTGCGCGAATGACAGGCAGCGCCTCGCACAAACTCGGGCAACGAGTCCATACGTGCTCGTCGACATTGGCATGTGCCGCTGCCGTTGGCTCCAGGTGCAGGTGCAGGTGCAGGCACAGGTGCCGCTGCGAACCGTCGTCTTGCTGCAAGGTGCAATGTATCACAGAACCTCACGAGGCCGTTCGCCCATGCTGCAACACCCGCGGCGGAAAGCGACCTCTGATGTCCGAACCCAACGGTACCACCATCGCAGGTCGCAGCTGACCCGGCCGATGCCGCGGCGCCGACCCGGCAATCGCAGGTGATGCATCGTTCTGTTCTTGACCGCCAGGGACAGGCCACCCTCTGCCGCCGATCGCTGCCCGTGGTTGCCGGCACTAAGCTACCTCCGATGCCCATATCAAGCCTTCCCCGCACGTCCGTGGGGGTTTTCGCGATCCTTTCAGTGCGGGGGGAGGGGCGTTCGGGCGTCTCTCCGCGAGGGCAGGGGGACGACTGTCGCTGTTTGCCTGTTTGTCTGTCTTCGTTTCTCCAAACAACGCGGCAAAATGATGACCGGAGAGTGCGGCCCTGCTGCCTGTATTGTTCCCCGCCTGTTCGAATCAAGAAGGAGCACGGAGCAACACGCTGCATGGTCTGCAGAGGTTCCAGGTTCCTGCCCGCGTCGTTCGGCTGTTCCGCGGCGCAATCAAGGAACCGAGATGGAGCATCTCTCACGCACCTGTTGCAGGGCTGCGCATTCTTAGTCTGTTGCCCGTGCATATGTTGGCCGTGATACTACTATAGGCAGTAAGTCGCGTCAGCCATTTTCGCGTAGCTTGGCCAGGGCCGCCGCAACCCCTCCGGCGAGCTCCTCCTGCGCCTTCTCGGCTGGCCGGGCCGGCTGCGACGCCCCTGCGCTCCTATCGCCGGCCGTCTTCTGCGACTCTTCCAAGGTCGCCGCCAGTAGCGCCTCCTCGTCGTCGCCGTCGTCGTCCAGGTCATCGTCGTCGAGGAAGTGGAACTGCTTCGGCGCCGACTGCCCCGACGACCGTGCAGCCGCGGACTGCCTGCCGGACGGGCCGACAACAGCACCGGAAGCACCAGCACCGGAAGCAGAAGCAGAAGCAGGCATGTCGCGAAGCGGCACACGAGAGAGCGGCATGGCCTGCTCCAGCCGCGCCAGTCGTTGCTGACTCTCGGACGATTGTTCGGCTTCCCTGCCTGCGGCCGCTTGCACGCCTCGCTTGGCCGCCTTTTTGGCGCGAAAGGGCTCCTCGACGGCCGACGACCACCTCTTCACCTTGACACCGCCCCATCCGTTGAGCATCCCCAGCTGCTCGGCGTCGGCGTTGATGGCGTTGCGGAGGCTCCCAAAGTTGGCCACCAGGGCGACCGCGTCCGACTTGTTGAGGCTGCGCGGCACCGTGACAAAGTCGACCAGCCGATCGGCGTAGCTCGACGACTGTTGGCCTCGGATGGCCGCAAAGTTGGCACTCTCATACGACTTGTACAGCTCGAGGTAGCGGGCCGCCTCGGCCGCCGACCAGCAGAGAATGATGGTGGCGTTGTTGACGAGTGACGTCTTGGATAGCTCGCGCAGGGAGTCTTCGTGGTTGGGGATGTCGACCATGGTGAGCAGGATGCGGAGGTTGTATCGGCCTTGCAGGTTGCGGATGCGCGTGTAGATGTACTCGGGATGGAGGCGATGGTACTTGAGGCTGTCATTGTCAGGCTCTGCTTCACTGTCCGACCCAAGAGCGCACTCACCTCAGGAACAGAGCGCACGTAGTCACGCCCATGACATAGTCGGCCGGAATGTCGCTGTACTCCCACGGCATGGACCGGAGGTTCGTGAGCACGGGATTGCCTCGCTGACGCGGCGAGACTAGGATCGTAGACCCGGACTGCCGCTGCGGGAGGGCCTGCGGCGTCGGCTGCACGATCTTGCCGCCGCCCGACGACGATGAATTGGCCGGCGGCGCCTTGTCGAGGCGCTGCGGCGTCGGCTGCTGGATCTTCTGCGGTGCAGGCTGCTGGACGGCGCGGCGAGCCGGCGGCGACGGATCGGCAGCCGCCATGGCCGCCAGGAGGGCATCGTCAGCGCCAAAGTCGTCGTCCATGGCTGCGGTGCCTGCGTCGAAGCTCCGGGCGGTGCGCTGTTGCGGGTGCTTGGCTCTGTGTGGATGCTGGAGGTGGAGGAGAGCTGGACCAATTCACGGTCGGGGATTTTTGAAGCTTCACAGCGACGCCCACAGTGACGCAACCCGTTTTCTACCAACGCCTACCCTGAACCGCACAACCACATCTAACTCCACCCCAAGGTCGCATCACGGCGATGTGGTGTCCAGCACGCACCGTAGCATTGCATTGGGCCGACGATCTCATATAAATGCGAGATGATGTACGAGTTTGGAGTACGCACACGTCGTGAGCCAGCCCTGTACAGGGGCTGACGTAGCAGCAATCAAGACTCAGGCTGTAAACGACATGGGCTTTCGCACACCTCCACACGCGCACGGCCATGGATTCAAACCCCAGATGGGATAAACAGATTGGTCTTTGCAATCATTCTAGTTGCTATAGGGTATCAATCAATCACTCTCTATCCAGTCATAAGTCATGCTTCCCCGCTCAAAGAAATCACATCGTCGTCCTCGTACTCGCTGTCACTATACGCAGCCCCATCCACCATGTCCCTGTGTATCGCGTGCAGCGCCTCGAGCCACGCGTCGATAGCCATTCTAACCTCTTCGTTCTGCGTGCCCGAGGCGGCGAGCTGGTCCCGTAGCCGCTCGTACGCCTCAATCATGAGCCATACCTGGAGCCCCGAGGCACGGTTGCCCGAGCGCGGTTCCTCCGTGCCGCCGTTGTTGCTGGCGAGCGCCGATGACAGCTCTCGCGTCAGCAAGTCGAGGCCAACCTGAAATCGTAGGGCGGCTGGTGCCGGTGCGGTGCTCTCGGTGATCTTGTCCTCTTCGTGGCCCGGGCGAGGCGACACTGGGGACGGGTATCGAAAGAACTTGTGCTGCCCTTCTCCATGGTCTTGGTCGGAGGGCACCAGTGTGCCGTCGTCTGATACCGGTGACGGCGTGAAGAGCAGGCTCTTGCGGTACTCGGATGGATCGTATCTCGGAGCTGGGCTCGGCTGCTGGGCGAGGAACTTGGGGTTGATGGGCGGCACCTCTGGCACGTCTGGCTCCTCGGGGTACTCGACCAGGTCCCTGTACTGGCGAGCTATCGTGCTGACGCTGGACATTCTGTTGACGCCCGCAGCGGCCGACATGCGCTTCTGCCTCGCCGCCCGCTCCAGTTGTCCGACTTTGCGGACCGGCGTCTTGGCCCGCCGCAGACCGGTCGACCTCGTGATCGTCGCACGGGGCGGCAGGCTCGCGGCCACCGAGTCGCGTTGTTCAGAGGCCACGGCGATGCCGATGTCTGCGGGGAGTTCGGCAAACAGCGGCGGCGGCGGAGGTGGAGGGCGAGGTGGTGCCGCTCGCACCGGGGCAGGGACCGGGGGTGGTGCGTGCATCGGCACCGGAGGCGGCGGCGGCGGAAACGGCGCGGGCTCCCGGTCGGGAATCGGCTTCCTGTTGAGCGGCGGCGGCGGCGGCGACAGGTACGGCGGCAGCCTGCTAAAGTTGTGCACCTTGTTGTTGTCCGACCTCGTCACCACCCGCTCCTCGAATTCATTGTCCCTCCTGCGTTTCTCGTCCTGGTGCACGCCGCCCGTCGACGGCGACATGGCGTTGGCCGGGTTGCCCAGCGCGCCCATCTGGACGCCGGCAAGCCGGATGACCTCGCTGACATCGGTGTGGTGCCCGTTGCAGTCCTTGAGCTCGCCCTCGCATGTCGAGCGTCGCGAGCCGGCGGGCCAGAACTTGTGGAATTTTCCGCGGCCGGGGATGAGGCTGCTGGGGATGTTGATGAGCGAGCGGCGCTTCCTGTTGTTGTTGTTGTAGTTGCCGTTGCTGCTGGCGCTGGCGCTGGCGCTGCTGCAGGAGGGCGTGTAAGTCGGCGACTCGACAAAGTCGCGGGGCCCGTTGCCGGGGATGACGAGGGATATGTGCTTGCTGCTCATGGTGCAGGTGGTGTATGATTTGAATAAAAAAACATCAAGGAGATCGCTAGCAGAGGAGAGGAAGGAAGTGTTCTGGAAAATGCCAACCACCGCGAGCGAGAGGCCTCGTATTGTCTATATCACCGCGCGGCCTCGCCCTCCTCAGTCTCACTCGGGCTGGCGATGTTCCGAGGGTGCACTGCCTCGGGCGCTGATGGCGCTCACGGCGCTCAGCCCCGCCATTCCCAGGTTGCCCAGCGCAGGCTCACCACCAACCTCCGCCAACCTCCCCTGGCCTCCACTGGCACTCCCACCGGGAAACGACCAACTCGGCAGACGGCCCCCCATAGGACGGCCCATGACGTGTGGCGGCCCAGCGTCAGCCTATCAGCGCCATGTGGGCGTCGCCACTGCATCGCCATGATTGACATGATTGACGGGGGAGCGGTGGGTTTTCCTCCTGCTGCTATTTCAGAAACGCCTCAAAAGCTTACGACGGTTGGTTATGCGCCGCGTGGGAACCCGCACACACTCGTGGGCTGTTGGCCACAGCAGCAGCAGCAGCAGCAGTAGCGGCTGATCAAGTCTGGGCTTTCCTCGCTGCTCAGCTGGCGATGCCCGTATACCGTGAAGCCGAGTGGGATCCCCCGAAACAAGAGACGCGCATCGACGACGCCGGCGAGGGTCATGCGTCGTATTGCATCCCCCTGGCGTGACTCGAAATGCAGGCAGACGGCACTTGGAGGCAGGGCGGCTGTCGGTAGTCGCGATGATGCATGCTGCACGTCAAAACCGGTAGTACTATCATGTACTGCGGCTGACCTGGCAACGCATACCATTTTACGCCGTCCTCGGCGTCGCAGACAAATGGACAACGTCGAGAACAGCCACAACGGCAGTTCCGTGTGTGTGTGCGACACGCCTTCTTACTCACCCCGTCGTCGACTGGAGGCGGTACTCTTCCGCCACGGTTGCCTGCCTACTTCGTACACACACAACACACAGCAACCACTTCACGCTCACCCGACGGCTAATAATAGACGCTTCTCGTAATGGCCAGTAGTAGTAGTACTAGGTACCTTACGTAGGTAGGTATGCATTATTTGCGAATACGGGTGCGGCCCCTCCCGAGTCCTATCGCGCCTCGCCCGCGTGTCCTCCGACCGACTTCCTGCTCCACTGGTGCACCAGGCCCTTGCCGGGCTTCCGCTGGACCTCGTCCCACAGCCGGGCCGTGAGGAACTTGTATATAAAGGTGCTCGCGCCGTTGTAGCTGATGCCGTGGTCGCTGTCCGTAAAGGCCATCATCTTGAACTTGTCGGGCGACACGCCGCCGCCGACGAGCAGGTCCACGAGTGCCGCCGCGTTCTGGAAGTGCACGTTGTCGTCGCCCGTGCCGTGCATGAGCGAGAAGACGCCCGCCACGCTCTTGAAGCCGGCCGTCTTGCGCACCGCCGTCTCGTTGTACCCCGCCGCGTTGGCCCCCAGCGTCTTCATGTACCGCTCCGTGTACATGGAGTCGTAGAAGCGCCAGTCCGACACGGGCGCCGTGCTGAGCCCAAACGTGAAGACGCCCGAGTCCTGCTCGATCGTCTTGGCCGTCAGGTAGCCGCCAAACGACCACCCCCACATGCCCACGTGGTCGGCGTCGATGAAGCCGTTCTGCGCGATGAGCTGCTGCGCCGCCCAGATCTGGTCCTTGGGCTCCAGCCGGCCCAGGTGGCCTGCCACGGCGCTGCGGAACTTGCGGCCCTTGGACCCCGTGCCGCGGTTGTCGACGACGTACGTGATGAACTGCAGCTCCGGCTCCGACGCAATGTACGCGTTCCACCCGTACGCCTGGAACTGCTTGACCACCTGCTGCGAGTTGGGTCCGCCATAGGGGTTAAACAGCACCGGGTACTTCTTGGACGCGTCAAAGTTGGGCGGCAGCGTCTGCCGGACGTTGAGCGAGAAGCCGTCGGGGTGCTTGAGCTCAAAGTAGGTGATGTTGGGCAGCTTGTACTCGTCGATGATCTTGTACACGCTCTTGTTGTCCACGAGCGTCCGGAGCGGCTTGGTGCTGTTGGACGCGTACAGCTCCTGGTAGGGCACGTCCGGCCCGCTGTACGTCAGGATGTAGTAGCCGCCCTTGGAGGAGAACGTCGCCGTCCAGGTGGCCGAGACCTTGTCGTCGACGAGCGGCGTAATCTTCTTGGTCTTCCACGACACGCTGTAGACGTGCCGCTCGGTGCTGTGATGCGTCGTCGCAACATAGTAGACGAGGCTGCGCTTCGCATCCACGTACAGGATCGACAGGACCTCCCAGTCGCCGGACGTGAGCTGGATGGGCTTGCTGCCGTCCGTCGGGTAGAGGTAGACGTGCTGCCAGCCCGACTCGTCCGAGAGGTCCACGTAGTAGGTCCTGTTGCAGCTGCCCTTGAGCTTGCCGACGTACTGGATGGCGAGAGTGTTCTCGAGCCACCCGTCCGTGCCGTCTCGCTCGCGGACGACCTTGGACGTTTTCGTCTTGGGATCGACAATGACGTGCTTGTCGAGGTCCTGGACACGGTTGAAGACGCGATAAATGACGGACGAGTGCCCCTCGGTGACCCATGCGACCTCGCCAATGATGGCCTCCTCCTTGGGGAACGCATCGATCGGGACGGCGCTGAACTTTTTGGCCTGCACGTCGAGAATGTTGAACTCGACTGTCGGGTTCTTGGACCCGACCTTGGGGTAGCGCAGCTCCAGTTCCTTGGGGTACGGGGGCGCGACCTTCTTGCCCGCCATGTAATACGGGATGGTAAAGGTCTGCACGCCCGTCTCGTTGAAGCTCAAAAACGCAACGTACTTTGCGTCGGGCGAGAACCAGAGCGAAAAGCGGTCGCCGAGAATCTCCTCCTCGTACACCCAGTCGGGCACACCGTTGAACATGTCCGGGCCGCCATTGCTCGTGATCCGCGTAACCTTGCCGTCGCCGTCGCGCAGGTACACGTCGTTGCCGCGCACAAAGGCGATGGACTCGCCCTTGGGCGCCTGCACGGCGTACTGGATGTCGCCGGCCTGGTCCTCCACCAGCGGCGTCTTCTTGCCGGACGCGACGTCGAGGATGAAGTAGTCGGCAAAGTACGAGTGGCGGTACTGCTTGGTCGCGTTGGCGGAGACGAGCAGCGCGCGGTTGTCGTGGCGGATCCAGTACTCGCCCGTGCCGTTGGGCATCTGCGCCGCGGGCACGAAGATCTTGGAGGCGTTGGTGGCGATGTTCTCGAGCACCAGGTCGCCCTTGTCGTTGGTGGTGATGTACTGCCCGTCGTCGCCCGTGGAGGCCCAGCGCACCGAGATGGACGACGTGCGGATCTTGCGCGACGTGACCGTCTCGTTGTACGTGAGGAGGCGCTCGCCGTTGCCAGTCGGCTGGTGAGGATGTCGCGGCGGGTCGATGGCGAGGGCCCACGATACGAGGGACAGCAGCGCTGCCCCTTTGCCGAGAGAGAGGAGCATCGCGGGCGAGTCTCTTTGGTTTCACGGCGGGATCGAAGCTGGGGACACGCCTTTCGCTGCGTCTGAGGAAGCCAGACTCGAGGGTCAGTTGTCTCGGCTGCAATTCAAGGACAATCCCCTGGCCTTATACATGATTTGAGCTTGCGTTGTTCGTTCCGGCTCAGCGCCTTATCAATCCCACCCCGCGCGCCTCCCCCCGGTGCGCATGTAACATGAGAACCCCGAACAAGATTATTACGGGGAGCCAATGACGCGTAGCTCTGTGTAGCCTCCCCCCCCCCGGCGAACCGTGGGACTGCACTGCGCACCTCCCTTTGCCGCGCTGCGGTTGCAGTCGCCCGATGCCGACATGCAAGTGTTTAATGACGAGGGCGCGTCCGAATTGTGGGACGACTTACATTTGGCTCTTGGGACCTGCTGGATTCGTCCAGGTGCTCCCCCCCGCACCGCGAGGATTCCCTGGTGGCTTCGGGAACTTTGGAAGCTTGGCTTCAGCCACCGGGTGCTTGGTGCTATGCTTGTCCGATTAGAGTAGCGCTCTGCGCCGGCTCATAGCCCGGATGGCTCTAGCACCAAGGCACAGGGGCCGCTTCGATGCTAAAATCCACGGTCAGGCGCGGCCTAGGATTCGGCGAACCTGGGGAGAGGACGCCCGCGCCGTCTTCTCAACGGGATGCGTACCCCGTCCCTCTTTCCTGCGTGCTTTCCTCTAGCAGTGTGGTTGTCAGTGAAAGTTTGTGTCTCAATTGCCAAGGCGGCAAGCATGAGATGAACCTCGGGGCCTGGTGAGCGATCACGTTCGTCCGGTTCTTGTCTCCCGATGAGCGGAGCGAAGCAGATTTGGATCAATGCAACCCCCGCCAGCAGCCCGCTGTATTCCATTGATGCCACTTCCAGGCATCTGTCCTAAATCGTTGTCTGCACTGCGAACGCGGTACGCCGAATGCTAATTTAGCGCTGCATGTGCCGCAATGAACCTGGCAAGGCTCCTGCATTCAATGCCTGTAGGGGTCTGCAAGCCACACCTTGATATCTGCCTGATGTTTTACTCTCATTACCGTCTGCGACTCCTTCCAAATTCGTTCTAAAGGTGTGACGAGTGGCGCAGCTTTCGGGGACTGCTACTTACGAGGGCCGACGCGCCAACCTGGAATCAAATTGAAGGGCATACGCGTAGAGTACGCATGGCGACTACCAACCTGCTAGGCGTTGTCCACGGAGCACGTCGCGAACCTCTTGCGGGTTGCGGGCCGTAAGCAACTGTGCATCCAGTTCACTGCGCCACGTGGTCATGTCTCAACGTTGACAGTGCCCAGCCAAATGCTCCGTGACCATGCGCGAGCTACGATAGCAACCTGTAAGTCGCCCTTGCAGTGCGATAGTCCGATACGAGGCTGCTGTCAACTCCAATCCACCGAGTCCTCAATTGGTAGCAAATGGCCCAGGACTGAGGTATTCATGTTGTCACAAAGATCAAGATGCGACGGGGCTCGAGCGACTGGCCTCTCAGCCCGATCGAGTTCCAAGTGACGCACTGTATAACCCAGCTTTTTTTTTGGTACAACATCGCGTGAATGCGAGGAGACGTCCACGCAGCTTTCGTCTTGAATTTTGATCAAAGATAGATGCCGTGTTATAAATAGCTGGCAGTTTCGGGGATTCCGGGCACGACCCACTCCGCGGGGGAGCCCGGGGCCGGGGCCGAGACAGTAGATCCCCGCTCGCATTGAATCGGCGGAGCAGCGTCAACTTCGTTTATGGAACATGAGGTAGCTGCCTTGGAGTCATCATGCCATAGCTCGAACGAAACTCATCTCGGTGACTGTATTCGCAAACTTGATGACATTCTGCTACATCGTGTATTGCTCTCACGGCTTCGGCATAGAATATCGTAGCGGGACGTGCATGTGGCCAGCGGACTTTCCGAGTTCAAACTCAACTACACAACATGTACATATATAGACTGGCGTTCGCCGGCTGGGCCGGCTTCCTTCAACAGTTGATGCCTCCTCTTCTCAACACACTCATTAGTTATCTTTCAGTCTCTCATGTCTTATAATCCCATCACGCCTTTCAGATGCAACTATCCCTCTTCTTCGCTTTTCTGCCGCTGGTGTTGGCCTCCCCAAGCGCGACCGTCAAGGCCAAGCGTTCCTCGCCCGCCCCTCTCTTGGTGCCGCGAGGCGAGGTCGTCGCCCGAGACAGTTACATTGTCAAGTTTAATGATGACGTCTCGTCGTCCGTCGTTGACGAGGCCGTGCGCCAGGTCCCCGGTGACGTGCAGCGCATCTACGGCGACGTCTTCAAGGGTCTCGTCGGGACCTTGGACGAGAAGACGCTAAGCTCGCTTCGCAATCGCCCTGAGGTGGGCAACTCCGCTTCTGGTACCCAAACGAAATATAAATGCTGACTTCAACAGGTTGATTTTGTCGAAGTAAATGGCATTTTGTCTGAAACCCGAGTTGACACGCAGGCTGGGGCTGATTGGGGCCTCGGCTCCACTTCCACCAGAGACGATGTGTTTACTTTTGACAACAGCGGCGGCAAGGGAACTTGCGTCTATATCATCGATTCGGGCCTTAAGGACACTCTTGAGGTGAGACCGGCCCTTCACCCATCGTAGTCACGGCGTGGGCACAACACCACTTTCGGGTACATATGGGCAAGTCATAGGCTAACAGGGCGCACTGCTAGGAGTTTCAGGGCAACGCGGAGCAGGTCAAGTCCTTCGTACGAGGTCAGGAGACCGATGTTACAGGTCACGGCACGGCCATTGCGGGCGTCATCGGCAGCAAGACCTACGGCGTAGCCAAGCATGCCAAGCTTCTGGGCGTCAAGATTGTGAATGACACAGGCCAGGGACAAGAGGCGGATCTGATCAAGGCATTCAACTTCGTGGCCAGTGATGCCAAGAAGCGGAAGTGCCCAAAGGGTGTCATCGTCAACGTGTCGTTAGCTTGCAACCACGCTGAGAATGTGGATCGGGCCGCCGCCTCCCTCACCAATCTCGGGATATTCGTGGTAACCGGCGCGGGGAACGCCCACGCCGATGCGTGCGAGCTGTCACCCGGATCAGAGCCCAGTGTGTGCACGGTGGCAAGCACTAACCGCAAGAAACGCTTCGCCCCCTGGTCCAACTGGGGCAAGTGCGTCAACATCCTCGCACCCGGAGAGGAAATTAAGACCGTGGACCTAGACGGCGGCGAGCTGGTTGTGTCTGGGACTTCCCTTGCGGCGCCGCACGTTGCCGGCGTTGCAGCATACCTGCAGGGGTTGCAGGACAAGGGCGCCAGGATGAACGCCAGGGAACTCATGGCGCACATCTTGCAGCTCGCGACCAAGAATGCCATCGGCGGCGTGCCTTATGGCACTCCCAACCTGCTGCTTTTCAACGGGGGCGGCGCCAAAGTCCAGCGACCAGAGTCACCAGACCGTCAGGGTTCTCGATGGGCGCTATTTCGTACTTCCAGAGCGCGGCATGGGGTTGCATAAAACTGCATCTTTTAGACCTACGTGTACTTCGTACGGATAGTATACGGCGTACAAGTAGATTGGAATTTAGTTCTCCAGTAGCCTGGCGCCCTCAAACATCGCTGGAACACTGTATCTAGACACATATGATATACCTTGCCATTGAACTCACTTCAAGTCGTTCTGCTTAGCTACGACTGTCAAAGCGGCGTAGTGGGCTAAAGGCGCAGGTTCCATCTAGCCATGTCGTCCAAGTGTGCAGCCCAAATCGCGAGATACTGATCCTTCGGTTCCTCCAGCGCTTGTAACTTATCGGCCGCATAGCTGTACGGTTTCTCGTCCGCAAAACACGCCGTCTCCGTGTCGCTTGGCAACACTCCATCAAGGATGTAAGCGCGCACGGCGTCGTCAGTACACTTGGACTTATCCCGAGAGCTATGTCCATAGCCGTGATGCACAATGAGTCTTGCGTTGCTAAGGCCCATCTCGGCCAACAATTCCCTTGCATTGCGCAGCGGTGTGGATGGGTCGTGAGTCTCAGCAACAAGAAGCACAGGCGCTTTGAGGGTCTTGTTGAAGTCGCCACGATAGACCTCGGCGACTTGGGGCCAGTAGTCGGTGAACCGCTGGCAAGGGAGAACGTAGCTTAAGCCCGAGTCTCCCGCAATCCAGGACTTGGCCGTGATGTTGTTCCAGTATGATTGCCACCACTCGATGGGGTTGGCCGGGCGCGGCGCGTCGTACACATCTGCGCAGATGACCAGAAGCCCCAGTTCATACGACGTTGGCTTCTTCTCATCGGATGAGCAAGGGAGGGCGGGGTCGTACTGCCAGCGCTTCTGAAGGAACTCGGCTGCTAGAGTTGAGTTGCCCGCCTCTAGCTGGAATAGCATTTCCGCCAGGCCTGGCCAGGTTCGGGGATTATAGAGGGCTTTAAAGATGGCGGCAATTACTTGTGAGTAGGTGACGACAGACGGACCGCCGGAAGGCGTGTAAGCCGGGACCGGTTGCTCAGCGAGAGAGTGAATGAAGGATTCTAAGCGCTCTTGAAGTTTGTCCAGAGTCACCGGTTGGTCCTGGCCGGTCGGTGGCTTGGCCAGCGCGCAATGCGCCGGGCCTGCAGCGATGCACTCGCCTAGGAAACCTTCTCGCCAAGCATCCGTCACGTTGTCCAGCATGTGCCAGGTGAAGCCACCGAGAGTGCGCTCGTTTCTGGCGTTGACGACGCCATCGAGGATGATGCGACCTACGCTTGATGGAAACATGCTGGCATATTCCTGGCCAATATGAGTGCCGTAGCTCACCAAGTATCCAGTCAGCTCGTCCTCTCCCAGCGCCTTGCGGATCTCTTCGAGGTCGCGCGCGACAAAGGCCGTAGACATGAACCGAGGCAGATCCCCATGCAGCTCGTGACACGCACGAAACGTCGCATCGTTCATGGTGTCGAGAAGCTGCAAGTGCGTCTCCGGGCGACCGACTTCCTTGAGGGCCTGAGATGTCAGGAGATTCCAGCGGTCTCGGTCGGCATCGTAGGGAAAGCAAGCCAGCATGGGCTGCGACATGTTGATCCCACGGGGATCCCAGCCCAGAACATCGAATTGGCCCTGGCTGAGACGCCCTGTCATCTCTTCAGACGACACAAACGCAAATTGGGTCCCGCTTCCTCCAGGGCCACCGGGATTGATGACGATGGTCCGCGCACTTTTCCTCCCCGCGGATGGAAAGTTGTTATCAGAATCACCGACGCGCGCCAGTCCCGAAACCTGGTACTTGGTCACAGCAAGCCGGACAATACGCGGCTCTGAGGCGTTGGTATAGTCAAGAGGGACATCAAGATAGCCACAGAGGAAAATTCCGCGCCCAGAGTAAGAATCGGAGCCGTTGGTAGACGGTGCCGGCGACTGACGACTCCCCCAGAGCCAGTGTCGCGGATCCGTATCAAACTGCTTCGCCCAGGTCTGCGCTGGGTTCGGATCGTCAACTGGCGGATAGGCAGTCTTCCCTGTGCAAGGGAGGAACGAAAACGGGTCGTCAGGGACCGGGAACTGGCCAAAGGAAGAGTGTGGTGTCTCATGGTGTCGACAGGGCCCTCGCGAGCCGGCGATCCAGCGAGGGATCGAGAATCGCGTGAGAAGCCAGAGCGCGACGGTGAGGCATGCTATCCTCCAGGGCCAGGAGGAGCGCTTCTCTCTGCGGGAAGGCTCCTGTGATGGCGCGTCTTTGAACATGGCTGCCATCATTCGGGGTTAACGTTGAAGGTGATTGACTGTCAACGGGAGCAAGTTTGGCGAACTCGGCGAGGCATCCTCCATGCATAAACATTGGTCTTGGGCACGTATGTGCAGACAACTGATCCAATACAAACATCACGTTGGCTGTGCCTCGGGCCCGTGCTCGTGCTCTTGACGGACGGCTACCTGCCGAATGTGGGAAAGTCCACAGGGCTGTGTCGATGTTGCACGCTTATTGCGGCTCGGTAACGGTACCCTGCCATGACCAACCCCAACGACACGCGGCATGCGTCACATCGCCGTCGCCGAGAGTCGCAGCTTTGCAGCAGCGATGCGTCACGCCGATATTGGTGACGGGGTCTGTTTGTGTTGGTCGTCTCGGTGTATGTCGGTGAGGGCCAGGTGAAGGCAAGGTCAGCGCTCAGACACAAAACACCCGTCGGCAAAATGGCCTAGCAGTGGTCAGTGGAGCAATTGTCTGTATGGGCTTTCACGGCTCCAAGCCCTTCACGCTCCACAGCTCACCGTTTGAAGTCGGCCCACAAAGCATTAAGAAGCAAGCATGCCGCTTTTCTTGGTAGTGAGGAAGGGAGGGGATGAGATTCGGTGGACTTGATGGTTGCTGGCTAGGTGGTCAACTCCTGGCGGGAAGGCACGGCCAGCGTTGCTTCCCCATTTCGATGCGGGGGCGGGGTAGTGTCAGTCTGTCAGGCCTTCGATGGTCTGGAGGAACCAAACCTGTTCCCAAATAATCAAGCAGGCACTGCCAGCTTGCCCTGTCACTTCGCTTCACTACTTTGCTAACAATGTATTCCATTCCTTTGATTCCAGTCGTCCACAGGTCGGCACTCGAGATGTCGCCTCGGTTAGCTTTGCCCCGAGGACGACGTTCGTCCCCCGAAGACGGCATTCGTTCCGACTGGGATGGATACACGGCAGTAACACAGAGAAACATGTGGCAGTCGAACAGGCGACTCGCCGCCAGCAGCTTCCCACCAAGCCCAAGGCCAGCCACCTCCTCTGGGCGCCTCAGCCGGCGGGCCATTTTCTCCATCAATCACGGCCGCCCAGCGGGCGGCAGCTGTCCGGTCTCGGTCCCCGCACCCCACTGCACACAGCCGTTGACCCGCGAGACTTGAGCGGGTATTGACCCCGCCGGGCGGGAGTGGGACGATGATGCACATCAGGTATTCTGCCGTCGCGTATAATAGCTCGAGCTTCGGCTGTACCTGGGCTTCGTGACGCTTGACGTGGGGGCTTCACTCTGATCTACATAAAACTCTAGACAGGCTGCACACAAACTTCACCGGCGAAGTACTCTCGTGCTTCGTGTATGAGACGCGCCGACTCACTCCAACCTCAAAGGGGCACTCCATTGACTCCAAGACCCGACCACCGGTCGTCACCGAGCAAATCGCCGCAATGGCTGAAATCACAATCTCGGGCTTCCGCTCCCGCGACGTGCGGTTCCCGACATCGCTCGACAAGACGGGATCCGACGCCATGAATGCCGCTGGCGACTATTCCGCTGCGTACTGCATCCTCGAGACCGATTCGCCTCACTCCGGCCATGGCATGGTACGCATTTTGTTTACCGAGCTGGTATGGATGATGAGGTAGCTAACCGTCGCCAGACCTTTACCATCGGCCGCGGCAATGACATTGTCTGCGCCGCCATTGACCACGTCGCCGACCGCCTCCGTGGCCGCACACTCTCCTCTCTCGTCGCAGACTGGGGCAAGACATGGCGCTACCTCGTCTCCGACAGCCAACTTCGCTGGATCGGGCCCGAAAAGGGCGTCATCCACCTCGCACTCGGTGCCGTTGTCAACGCGCTCTGGGACCTTTGGGCCAAGGTCCTCGGCAAGCCCGTTTGGCGCATCGTTGCGGACATGACCCCCGAGGAGTTTGTCCGCTGCATCGACTTCCGCTACATCACCGACGCCATCACCCCCGAGGAGGCTCTCGACATGCTGCGGGCGCAGGAGTCTGGCAAGGCCAAGCGCATTGAAGAGGCGCTCGCCAGCCGCGCTGTCCCCGCCTACACCACCAGCGCAGGCTGGCTGGGCTACGGCGAGGATAAGATGCGCGCCCTGCTTCACGAGACGCTCGGCCAGGGCTACCGCCACTTCAAGCTCAAGGTCGGCGGCAGCCTCGACGACGACCGCCGTCGCTTGTCCATTGCCCGCGAGGTCATCGGTTACGACAAGGGCAATGTCCTCATGGTCGACGCCAACCAAATCTGGTCCGTACCCGAGGCCATTGACCATATGAAACAGCTCGCCGACTTCAAGCCCTGGTTCATCGAAGAACCCACAAGCCCAGACGACATCATTGGCCACCGATCCGTGCGCGAGGCTCTCAAACCCTACGGCATCGGCGTTGCCACGGGTGAGATGTGCCAGAACCGCGTCATCTTCAAGCAGCTGCTCATGACAGGTGCCATGGATGTATGCCAAATCGATGCCTGCCGACTGGGTGGTGTCAACGAGGTCCTCGCCGTGTTGCTCATGGCGAAGAAGTATGGTGTTCCCATTGTTCCACACTCTGGCGGCGTCGGCCTGCCAGAATACACGCAGCACCTGAGCACCATCGACTATGTCGTCGTGAGCGGCAAGCTGTCCGTGCTCGAATATGTTGATCACCTGCACGAGCACTTCCTCCACCCGTCGGTCATCAAGGACGGCTACTACCAGACGCCAACAGAGCCGGGCTACAGCGTCGAGATGAAGGCCGACAGCATGGACCGGTATACATACCCGGGCGAGAAGGGTGTGAGTTGGTGGACCAGTGATGAGGCAAAGCCTATTCTGGAGGGGGTTAAGATTTGATGTATATCGACATGTGGTAATGAGCGGCGGGCGCACTTAATAGAAGGTCAAGCTTTGCTTATATCTGTGACTATCCATGAAGGATCCAGCCGTCGAGACAGGAATGCTACGACGTGTTGTATCATTTGAGGCGAGCATTCATGCTCAAGTCCGTTGAGCGTCTCGAAGGCGACGTCGACGCCCATCGCGATGAGGAGGTCAGCGGCCTCTCGCCCGTGCCGAAGTTCAACGTTCCGGTCCCGCGTCCCATGTCCCAGGAATACGGGGGTCTCGAGAAACGAACAGCGCGGTGGGGAGGGCAGCCCAGGCAACTCAGCCTCTTGGCGCAGTGCGACCACTGCCCTTTGCAGCGGCGTTGCAGGGCTGTCCATGCCATCAGCGTCGTCGGCATCCTCCGCCTCGAAGACGATGGCCCCGTCGTCACTAGATTGCTCAGCTGCATCGCCGTTCAGTGTTTCCATCAGGGATGAATACACAGGCACGAAGCCACACATGCCGACCACGGCGCCCAAGGGGTCGCCCTCCCAAAGCAACATGCACGTCAGCGCCATGGCACACCCCTGGCTGAAGCCGGCCAGCACGATCTTGCGCGCATCTCCGCCCACGAGAGCCATCTCAGCGCGGATGAGGTCGTGGATGTGCTCCACACTGGGCCTCATGTCCCCCCGCGCCTCGGGCTCCCAGTCACCTGTGCCGTCGTACCACTGGTGGATGACCGAGCGGCGGTACTTGGACGCGCGCATCAGGGGCGCCGTGGGGAAGACGAAGCGCGCATGCGGGAGCGCCTGCTGGAAGGTGGCGTGGGTGGTGACTGGAGTGGAGAGCAGAGGGCCGTGGGATTCGTTGGCATTGTATCCGCGGCCATGGAGGAAGATGATGGTGAAGTGATGGGGAGCTGAGATGGGCGGGATGACTATGGGAGGGATGAAGGCTCCCAGAGCTGTGCGCCGGGTCGACTGGGACGACGGCTCATTATTGCAGTCCATCGTGGTGCATTCGTCATCATGTCGCTTCCGAGTCGGATTCAATTCTTGAGCAGAGCGCGGATGAGAGTGGTACGTAGACTCAGAGTTCAAGCGCTGATGATGTTTTGGACGACAGCGGAAATGGTGGGGCAGTTGGGGTTCACCTCCACTGCAATGGATTGATGGACGCGCCATATCGCGGCAGGCACAGCCCCAGCGTCAGGGGCACCTTCCGACTGCCGCCGCATCGCATGGGCCGCGTCTCGCGTCGTCAACGTCTTCTCACTCCACCTCTCAATCCCAACTCACCCAACATCGGCCACGCGGTGTCGCATCGCCGCTCATCTGTCCTCCCGGCCGTGCGGTTCAATCGGCAGGCCGAATCGGATTGAGCACCCAAGTTCGAGGCTCACGGGCGCCGTGCCGTAGCGTCGAAAATGCCAGCTCTCTTCTCCCTCGAGACGCCAGTCAAGTCCCTGACGACGCTGTTCGTCGCCTGGAAGGCCGTCCTGCTCGCCTTCGCCCTCGGCGCCGTCATCGGGCCCGACTACGACACGTCCACGTCCATCTTCTTTGAGATCCTCTACGGCAGCAAGGCGCACGTCCCGTACCTGGCGACCGTGCTGACGAGATGGGACGCCCTCTACTTCGTGCAGTACGCCCGCCAGGGATACGTCTTTGAGCAGCAATGGGCCTTCGGCGCCGCCATGCCAGCTGCAGTGCGCGCCGTCATGGGCTTTATTCCCTCGTGGCTTGTCGATACCGACGCCGTCGTCATTGAGCCGCTCGTCGCCATCGCGCTCGTCCACGTCTGCCATCTCACCGCCGTGCTGGCTCTGTACCGGCTCACCATGCTTCTGTCAAACGACAATAAGCTCGCATTTGTCGCGTCGGCGCTGCACATCTTTTCACCCGCCGGCGTCTTCCTTTCGGCCCCGTATGCCGAGAGCCCTTTTGCTGCCCTGGCGTTCGTCGGGAACCTGCTCTTCGCCCTGGGCATCAAGAACAAACGCGAGCCGATGAAGCGATTCGTCCTGATTGTAGGAGCAGGGATCGTCTTTGGTCTCTCTACTTCGTTCCGGACCAACGGGCTGGCTAGCGGTGCGCTTTTTGCGGTTGGGGCCATCAACTGCCTTATGGCGCTCATGAAGGAACCAAGCGTTGGCAGGGTCCTCGCCCTGGCAGCCCCGGGCATTGGCGGTCTTTGCGTAGCCGCAGGATCCGTCATACCGCAGTACTTTGCGTGGAAGCGCTACTGTCACGATGCTCTACCCGAGCTGGGACCACGACCGTGGTGCTCGCGCACGATTCCAAGCATCTACGAGTTTGTTCAAGAGGAGTACTGGTAAGTAACAAGCCCGTCGTGTCGACACCAATCCGAATCTAACATTTCCCAGGGACGTTGGATTCTTGCACTACTGGCGGCCGAGCCATGTGCCGCTGTTCTTCGTCGCAGCTCCTATGCTCATGGTCCTCATCACGTCCGGAATCGAGGTCACGCGCGACCCGTTTAAGGCGCTCCGCATGCTCAAGTCGAGCAACGGCGAAGACTATCGAGTCTTTGTGCGTACTCTCGCCGCCACTCAGACGGTCATTGCGGTGCTCGCCATCACCAATTATCATGTCCAAATCATCAACCGCATGTCCTCAGGGTATCCCATCTGGTACTGGTGGGTGGCCAGCTGCCTGATCGACGAGAAGCGGCAGGCCCTGGGCCGCAGGATCTTTGTCTTCATGGTCATGTACGCAGGGGTCCAGAGCGGCCTGTTTTCGTCTTTCCTCCCCCCTGCCTGAGGCATATAGACTATACTTAATGTTAATGTCGAGCCCGATGATCATAGTCTACTACTAGGCTGCTACCACGCGCGACCTTCGCAGGAGGATCTCTAAGATGCCTCAAGAGCAAACGGATGGTCACCCAGGAGACGGTCCGTTTGCATCGATAGATGGTTTATTCGGCGTAGAACGAAACGCATGCCGTTACTTCGTCAGTCACCAGTTTAAATGGGCGGGTGTGAACACGGTGTGCTGTTGCGCAACTGACATCCCGCCACCCCCAGTGACTGATCTCGGCTCAGCGAACTGTTCAGATAAATAGCCCAGCCTATCCCAGGCGCGTGCGTGTTCAGACCACATCACTTGCACACGCCCGCAGCTGCGCGCACTCGTGAACTCGAAGCTTCTCTCATCTCCAGAGCCGCGCAGCCCTCGTGTCAAAACCTCCCTCCCGCATCGCACAAGCACCTGGCCTTGTTTGCTCTGCACATCAAAGCCTCGCACACACGCGCCTCTTCTCTTCTCTTCTCTTCACGCACCCTTTCGATTCACGATCTCGGCTGGATCACAGTCGTCTATACGCAAGCTTCGATCCACGTCACGGGGCTTGGATCAAACCAAACCCTCTCCAAACTTGCGACTAGGTGTGCAGGCATCTCGAGTTTTGTCAGAAGACGCGTTTTCGTTTGCACGCAGAATCGTCATCACGCATCTCAGACGGAGAAAAAAGCTGCTGATCGGCGTGGCCCAGCAGCCCAAGGATACAAGACCAAAGCCATGAACAATAACAGCGACACCAATACCTCCGACAAGGGCAAGCTCATGATGTCTGTCCTTCGCGGAGAGATGGGGATGCCTGCCGACGTCGAAAACCCGGGCCACGGTGATGGCGGCAGCGGCGTGTCCGGCATGAGCCGCCTCGAAATGGACGCCGTACTGCTCGAGCTTCTCGAGGGCGACACCGACCTCAAGCTCTGGCTCGAGCACACCCACTACTTCGACCTCGCCCACCGCGAGCGCGTCGTCGAAGGCATGAAGAAGCTTCGCGCCGTGGAGGAAGAGCGCGAGAAGCTCCTCCAGGAGCTCCACGGCACCGCCGGGCCTGGAGTCTCGGGCCCCGTCGCCGGCCCTACGTACACTCCCGCGCCTGAGTCCGCCCTGGAGGGCCGTGTCATCGGTGCCAGCAGCATGGCTACTCCCAACTTCACGATGCCCAGCTGCGAGACTGCGTCCTTCTCTGAGGGCTCGTTTGCCAACGCCCCTGCGGCCTCCACCGCCGCCCCGGGCTCGCCGTCCGGAGCTGTCGTCGCCGTCGCCGCCGGCCACTCGGCGCGCCGTACTTCTCCTGATCTCCTCAAAGGTGTGTTGCTTCACTCCCATGTGCAGCAGAGGGGTTCGCGCAACCTGACGCGGGGTAAAGACACGCGCTTTTTCCTGGTCAAGTGCTTCAACACGTCCAACGTGTACATGTCTCAGCGAGACGTAAGTGTGCCTCCTTCGAAACTCAACGCGTGGGGATGCTGGACGAGAATGAGTTTACTGACGTGATGATGTCTAGGGCTTGTGGATGACGCAGGCCAAGAATGGCCCGACCTTTACCGAGGCGTTTGAGGAGTGCGAGAGCGTGGTGCTCTTCTTTTCGATCAACAAGTCGCATGGCTTCCAGGGCGTGGTGAGTGCCAACTTGACATGCCCAGCACATGCTTCTCCCCCCTCGTTGCAACAGTTTAGCTAATGACGCTGCTTCCTTAGGCCCGCATGACCAGCGCCCCCGACGCGTCCATCCCCATGCCCGACTGGATGGCCAACGTCAACCTCCCGGCGGTGACGGACCCCTTCCGCATCGAATGGATCACTAAGACCGAGACCGACTTCGAACGCTTCGGCGGACTGTTCAACCCGCTCAACGAGGGCCGCCCCGTGGTCGTCGGTCGCGACGGCCTCGAGTACCCCGCCTACCTTGGCCGCAAGATGATGGAGCTGATGATGACTGCCGCCGACGAGAAGAAAAACGTCATCCCCGCCATCCTCCCCAAGACGGGCTCCGTCTCGACCGTCTCGTCGGCTACCAACGTGGCCCCCGGCACCCCTCCGGTCCCTGAGGGCGTCGCGTTCCAGGGCCGCCTGGCGCACAAGCACAGAGGCAGGGAGACGCGCGGACGCAGCGGCTCGCCCACGGACAACACGGACAAGGTACGCACCCGGAAGGACTGGCGCGTTCGCGACACGGTCGCGCCGAAGTCGCCGCGGGCCAAGGCCGAGCTTGGCCCGGCATATTCCGAGCCTGCTGGCCTCGGTCTGCAGCCCCCCTCCTCCGATCCCGACTCACGTCATCTAGGTCACTCTGAGCCCGTCGACCTCATCGAACTCTGACGGATCATCATCGCCCCTGATAGAATGGCTCTAGAGCTGCAGGAAGTGTCGACGACTCGAGTCCAGGAATGAGGCAATGCAGAGGGCAGACACTCTGTAACGTGCAAAGGGATGTTTAATGTATCAATAACACAGGAGTCACACAAGGCGCAGTTTGGTCAGAACAGGAAGCGAACTCACGGGGAGATCAATGTGCCTCTACGGTCTGGTTAGGGGTAGTTAATTGCTTTGCTTGCACAACTGAATCACACAGCTCCCTCCTAGTGGAGCGCTCAGGGAACCTGCCTCATGTCCCCCGTAGATAGAGAAGCATCATCGCCTCGGCGACGCTTGCGTACACTCGTCAAACGCAGGGGCTATTACTTCGCCTTTCCGTAGAAACGTGCCTTACAAAGAGGACAGCTGTCATGCCTCGCCACGGCCCACGTCAACAGACACTCCGAGTGAAACACGTGCTTGCACGGCAACACCCTCACGACGTCTGCGTCCTGCAGCGTCTCCAAGCAGATGGCGCTAGATAACGACACAATTTTCAGCATGACCGTGCTCGGAAATCTTTGGCAGCATGAAGGAACTCACCAGTCCGTGGCCTCGCACCCTTGTCTCGGCGCCGTCTCGTCGGCAGCAGCGCAGGTCGCCTTCCACGCGCTGTAGAGCTGGCTGCACGCCGCCTTGTTCAATCGCTTGACGATGCTCAGCTCGTCTGCGTTCTCCAGGTCTCGCGTGAAGCGCCGTCCACGCGCAGTGGTGCAAATCACGAAGCGGCTGTGTTGATTTAGACAAGAAAATGGTCAGCGATAATTCACATCCCATCATGAACTACCACTACACACACACTTCGTACACCGCACATACACAAACAGACGCACACGCACGCAACGCAACAGGGGGGGCGTCCCAAGACCCGCAGCGGGATACGGCTTACTGGGAGATGTAGACAAACACGGCGAGGAATATTATGGAGCAGCCTATGATGAGGACGGGGACCCAGATGCTCGCCGGAGAATTGGAGGTCGCGGCGGTCGAGCTGGTCGAGTTCATCTCGGGCGAGGACATGCTGGCGGTGGTTCGCTACACGCCAGCTAGGGTGTCAGCAGCTCATGTAGCTCATTAGATGGTGCATCGGACTGATGAGCATGTCGTCAATCCACCGCTCGTCCGGGAGCTGCGCACATAGCAGGTTGCAACGACGAAGGACGGTCTGGACTGCCGCGCAAGCCAGCCCGTCCAGCGAGCTGTTTATAACAACGGGAAAAGAAGCGGGCTGCCACGTTCGTGTGGACGACGACGCAAGCAAGCAAGCAAAGCTGCTCGTGCTACGGCTGCCACAGCTGCCAGGTGCGGGCGGCCCCACGATGCTCCCAAAAGCTTCCTGCTACTACGCCGACGCCACAGCTCAGCAAAGTGGTCTGGCGGCATGCCTCATCGTTCGTCTTGTTGGTCGCGGCTGTGCGCCGCCTGGCTGGGGGTGGCGGCGCCAGCATTCTGTGCGCGCGGCTGCTCGGAGGGGAGAAACAGCCGCTTCCTCTGACGCGCGCGGATTGCCAGGCCAGGTCGTACGACCCCACCAAAAGGAGGCCCCGTGGCGACGGGATCGCGGCACCAGCTGGTGACTTGGGGGGGCTTGCTCGGAGCTGTGGGGGTGGCCGCCAGTCAGCCCACGGGGCGGGCACTTGATGATTGATGGATCATGGCTGAGGAGGCCCGGAGTCCAGACTCCAGCCGGCGAAGTGGGGCCACTTCCGGGACGGGGTTGCGGCGCTGGCGGGGGCTGATGGACCGGATACGTACCGAGGGCCCCTCCGTTGTGGGTTGAAAGCACGAGACAGCCGACCGGTCTTGCAAGCGCTGTCGGGCTATAAGAACGTACGGTGCAGCAGCACCTGTTGTTTCATGTGCCTCGGCCACTCCGATGATGTTATCGTCTTCCGCCGCCCAGAGCAACTCGGGAGACGAAGTGAGCATGTGCAACATGAAGTGCCTGATATCGCCGCGGTTGATGGCCAGGACAAGGCACGCGCCAGATACTTGGCTTCGTAGCTTTTCTTTGAGCGCAAGGGGCATCAAATGATTGGTCAGAGATCACCGAAATATTTGCGTCTGATGGTTTCCATCTTCAGGTCGTGCGGCATGGGCGTTACGAATCGATCGACCGGATCTGCCCAGAATGGATTCTGCGGGTTGACGTACTTCGCACAGGTGTACTCCCAATATGCCGGGAACCACCCTGCCGTCTCCCAGTCTAGTATTCCGACGACGGAGTCCCCTTGGACCATAATATCGAGACTTGCTCCTCCCGCTTCAATCGCTCAATCTCCTGCTTCAACTGCTCCATTGCCTCGTCCATGTCCTCGTCTAGCCACGGGGCTGTTCCACATATGGACTCCACCAACGTATCTGTGCCCAAGACTGCCTGCCTCTCCGTAGTGCAGCGAGTTTCACACGCCGGCGGAGTCTCCGAGCCTGCTGGCTCTATGGGCAGCGATGCCGCGCCTGAGTCTATCGACTTGATTTGCTCTTCCAGTTGTCTGATATTCGCAATCGTCTCTTCCAAGGCGGCTTCGTGCTTCTTCTTGCGCCACAAGGCAGCCATGACGACTATCAGCTACGTCAGCGTCGGCCCCCTCCCATTTGAACCCTGCGTTCGCCATCGGGGTGTATACAGTTCTCGTTCGTTCTGGCGTGCTTCCGGGCCAGGCCCTGCTCGAAATCTACTTGGCTCTGCAAGTGCCGCTCTCGCTGCCGCAGAAAACCCAGACTCGCCCGCAATCTGTCAATCGCATCTTTTCGGGTGTCTTTGTTGCGCGGCGAAGCGCCGCCATGCCAGCTCCACATCGCCGCCAACGCTGCTGAAGAACCGGATGGCTCGTTGAGTCAAGGGCTGTTGCTCCGAAGAAAAGAAAGAGGCTAGCAGGCGGGCGAAGTATTCCAGGCAAGAAGTGGTGGGAAAGCGCACCTAGGCAGGAACGTGTCCAAGTCACATGCAATAAATAGGGTTGATTGTGTCAAGGTAGCAGTGCTTTTTGCGAGCAGCGAAGCTATATTGCACTCTGGCGGCTGCTTACGAACCATTGCACGTGTTGTGAGGCTTCCAAACCGGGTCATTGGTCACAGCGACAGCTGCCTGGCAGGCAGTGATCTTATTCCGCCTAGTACAACGGCCGCTGGCGAAGAAGCTCACAATCAACCTAGTGTGCGCAAGCAATCATTAAATGGGAGATGCGAGGTACACGTAGATAGCTACGCGTCCACCCATGACAAAAGCGTGTCGCCTTGTCAAATTATGCTACGCATCGCAGGAATTGGCGGCTAGTCTGTCACTGGGTGTACGGAGTAGTCAAGGACTTTTATGTTGCTGAAGTCGGCGCGACCTGGCGGAGCACTGCGCGAAACGGCACAAGCCCTGTAAATGAGATGCACGTTGCTCAATGGCGTTGCTCGAAACACGTTGCGCGGCAGCTTCATAAACAGGTCACCACGCTAGTCGCCGCATGGCTGGACCTGTCTAGTTCATTGATAGCACGTTCCGCCATCGGCGTCGAATCCTTTGCCCGGTAGATTGTGTGAAGGCTCTGTGGAAAAGTTCACTTCGTTCTTGGACTGAGAGTTCGGAAAACCGGCAAGCAACATCTGCATGCCATCCCTGAGACAGCCAATCTCACAACGTCGACGCACCACATGGGCGACAAGGTGGGCGGGCGCTAGCGAAATTGGGGACCGGAGATCAACTGCAAGATGCAGGAACCCCGTTCTCGGCAGGGCTCTTTGCCGTCGCGGCGTGCTGTACGATGCGTCCCCAGTTTGCAGTATTATCCAGAAAACTTGAGAAGACGGGTTGCATATAATGCAGCAGGGGCGCCGATGCTACCGGGGCGGAGGAAGAGTGCGCCGTGATTCGTGACGTTTAGGCCCAGACAACGCTACACCTCGCTTTTCCCAGCATGAAGGTCCTCGTCAAGATCCTCGCGGCAGTCGTGCCCATCGCCGCTGCCTTGGAGCATACCTCAACGACGGCGCAAATTCGCCTCGCGTACCATGGCGACGATGGCATGACGGTTAGCTGGAACACTCTCCAGCACGTCAAGCATCCCAAGGTGCACTGGGGCCTCTCAGAAGACAACCTCAACAACACCGCTTCGTCCGACGTGTCTGTTACCTACCCGACATCGACAACCTATAGCAACCACGTGCTCATCACTGGTCTGGCTCCAGGCACCACCTACTACTACCTGCCTTCGCCGCTGTCTGTCAAGTGCAAGGATGCCCGGAGGAAGCCATATAGCTTCACGACGAGCCGCCGGGCTGGCGATAAGGCACCGCTGTCCGTCGCCGTCGCCGTCGACCTCGGCACCATGGGCAGCTTGGGTCTCAGCACGACGGCCGGCAGCGGGGTGTCTCCCAACAATGTACTCAAGCCTGGGGAGAAGAACACCATCGACTCCTTGACCAGCAGCCAGTCCGGGTATCAGTTCTTGTGGCACCCTGGCGACATTGCCTACGCCGACTATTGGCTCAAGGAAGAAATCCAGGGCTTCCTGCCCAACACCACCATTGAAGAGGGCTACAAGGTGTACGAGTCCATTCTCAACGAGTTTTACGACGAGATGATGTCCGTCACCGCCACGCGGCCGTACATGGTCGGTCCTGGCAACCACGAGGCCAACTGTGACAACGGCGGCACCACCGACAAGGCGCACAACATCACGTACAACAGCACCATTTGCTTCCCGGGCCAGACCAACTTCACCGGCTACAAGAACCACTTCCGCATGCCGAGCGATGTCTCTGGAGGCACTGGCAACTTCTGGTATAGCTTCGACAACGGGCTGGTGCACTTTATCCAGCTCGACACAGAGACAGACCTGGGCCATGGCTTCGTCGGCCCGGACGAAACAGGTGGCTCGGGAGGTATTGGCGCGGATCCGGTCAACGCCACCATGGATGCTCAGACGACGTGGTTGAAGGCAGACTTGGCGGCCGTTGATCGAAGCAAGACTCCTTGGATCGTCGTGGCGGGTCATCGCCCGCTCTACCTCAGCCACGCCAATGACAGCACCTTTTGCTCCGCGTGCCATGAGATCTTCGAGCCGCTTTTTCTCCAGTACGACGTCGACCTGTACCTATCCGGTCACGCTCACGTCTATGAGCGTCTTGCCCCCCTCGGTCTCAACGGCACTGTTGACCCGGCAGAACTGAACAACCCCAAGTCTCCGTGGTACATCACCAACGGCGCCGCCGGGCATTACGACGGCCTCGACTCTCTGCAGAGCCCTCGAAAGCCGTACAGCAGATTTGGCTTGGACACCAACAATGCCGTCTATGGTTGGAGTCTCTTGACTTTCCACAACAGCACGCATTTGACTCATGAGTTTGTTGCAAGCAACAACAATACTGTTCTCGACTCCGCAACTCTGTATAGAGCCCACAAGTAAAGGGTCGTGTAATGTGCCTATATGGTACAGAAGGGCTGCTGTAGCAGCGATTGTGATTACTTCTACTAGGCAAGTATATAGAGTCAAAAGAATTAACGTCATCGTATCTCTCTGCCAAGCTCTATTTGTGTGGAAACAAGTCTCAATCCGACATAGCATTGAAAGAGAGGTCAGCCCCAGCCCTCATTAGGAGGATGGCACAGCCAATTCAATGTTTAGCAACCTCGGAGTCGGCACGATCAAGAGAGTTGAATGACGATGATTCGGGGGCCAAATTCCGAGAGATCCCCCCAGCCTGCGCTGTCCCCGGCGCAACACCACCCATCGATCCCCACCCTCCCAATGCGCGGAAACTGGGTCCCGCCGACTCCACGGCGGCACACCATCCGGCAACACTCCGATCGGTTTCATGCTTGCCGTTGGACCTTGTCTGTAGTCGTCAGCCAGCTGGAGGAGTCAAATTATCATTACGTTACCGCTCCCCGAGGTCGGCACAGCGTCCGTGCAACACAGTAGCCTTGGCCCCCGAGCGGCATTCGCCTCAGATGGATGGCAACATTAGTTCCATCACCGGCAACGACGACCAGTGCGTGTCGAACCTGACGACAACGTAGAAAAGGAACCCAAAGGAATCCGCCTCACTTCCCTTGTCCGTGGGCCCTTGCTCGCCTACCTTTTACGCCTGGCTAAAGTAGCTTCACTGCGTGGGTTTGCCTGCCCCTCTCGGTATGCGCACCCGTGTCGTGGCGTCTAACGTTGGAAACCGCAGACCCCGACTGGAGGTGCCACGTTCTCAGCACGTATGTGGGGGCCTCGGTTTGCCACTGTGCAGCTCGGGAGTCAGGACGAAAAGCCAATATTGCCTGTCTGTGCTCCGACGGAGTGGTTGACTTTTTCGCTGCATCCTTTTCTGGTCAGGCCCGGGGGGTTCCACGTTGCCGTTGGCACTGTCTCCAACCTTGTACCTGAACACTCGTGAGCGTCATCGAACATCCGTCAATCATGAAGCGTTCATCATCTCTGCCGACATAATCCTGTCTACTTTTCGCCGCCTGTTCGGTCCCAGTCGCAGAAGACCGACGTTGTCGGGCGGCTTTACATCATGTCAGTCACACTGGTTCACGGGAACCCCAGGAGCGGCTCCGTTTATCAGGGCCATGCCTGCGTCCGTGGCACGGCCTCTGGCACCCTCATCGCGAGCAACCAAGAACTGAGCTTTTGGGGAGGCGTGCATTCCGAAACGGGCGAGATCGTTGATCAGCATCATCCCTTGAAAGGAAAACATCTGAAAGACAAGATCCTTGCGATCCCCGGCGGCCGTGGATCTTGCTCCGGCTCAACCGTACTGCTGGAGCTACTCCTCAACCACAAAGGCCCCAGGGCGATCATCTTTCAGCGACGAGAAGATATTCTCACTTTGGGGGTGATTGTCGCAGAAGAAATATTCAACAAGGCCATTCCGGTCGTGGTTCTGGAGCCGGGGCATTTCAAGAATCTTCTGAAACTGGATGGGAGCACGATTTTTGTTCACGACGAGTGCATCTCCAGCGTGGAGCTCGGGCACATCACCTGCCAACACCTAGCAGATCATGGCGCAAACCAAGCCGAACCTCACGCAAGCCCGGTCAAGCTTTCTGCCGTTGATCAAGAGCGTCTGGACGGCCAGCATGGTCGAGCTGCGCAAGCATCCATGCGGATCATTCTGCGTATGGCAGAGCTGATTGAGTCTCAGGAGTTGATGAGCGTTACCCAAGTCCATGTGGACAGCTGCATCTACACCGGGCCCGCGTCTCTGGCTTTCGCCGAGCAACTCCGAGACTGGGGTGGAAAGGTATTGGTCCCGACAACGCTCAACTCCATCTCGATCGACCAGAAGCGATGGCGTACCCAGAAAATTGACCCGACGTTTGCTGGTGCTGCCACGAGGCTGTCAGACGCCTTCACCAATATGGGCGCGAAGCCGACCTTTACCTGCGCCCCTTACCAGCTGGACAGCGCGCCCAAACTTGGCGACCAGGTGGCCTGGGCTGAATCCAATGCCGTCGTCTACGCCAACAGTGTGCTTGGGGCGAGAACCAGGAAGTACCCTGATCTGCTGGATATCGCCATCGCCCTGACAGGCCGAGCACCCACAGGAGGCCCTCATCTAGAGGTCAATCGGGTAGCAACACTCATCATCCGAGTCACAGAGCTCGGAGGCGCGGATAACATTGACGACTCCTTATATCCACTCCTCGGGTATCACGTCGGCTCCGTATCATCCGATCATATTCCTGCAGTTGTTGGACTTCAAAATCTGGGCCCCTCTAAAGACAACCTGAAAGCATTCGGTGCCGCTTTCGCAACAGTTTCAAGCGCCCCCATGTTCCACATAGTGGGAGTCACACCAGAAGCCACAGACCTCGGCAAGGTCATTTCCCAGGAGCCAGGCGTGCGAACTGTCAAAGTTGGGCTGAGAGAGCTGGCAAGCAGCTGGGATGAGCTCAACAGCACGTCAAAGGGCCAGCCAGTTGGCCTCATATCCCTTGGAAACCCGCACTTTTCCTTTGCCGAGGTGAGGAAACTTGCTCAACTCTGCCAAGGTCGCAGGAAGGACGACAGCGTTGCCGTGATAATAACATGCGGCCGGTCGGTATACCACCTAACCAAACAAGCCGGATTGGTCGACGAGCTGGAGAAGTTTGGATGCCAGTTCATGACGGATACGTGTTGGTGCATGATCACGCAAGACACCATTCTACGCACGACAGACGCCATCATGACGAATTCCGGAAAGTATGCCCATTATGGGCCCGGTCTCACAGGCAGGCCGTTCTATTTTGGCAGCCTGGCTGGTTGCGTCGATGTTGCTTGTCAAGGCGGACACGGAGGGATCAAGCCGCACTGGCTTGCAGAGAACGCGGCTTAGTGACCTGCTGGGCGAGCCTTCGCGCCGTCTCCAGGTCTCAACTATGATGCCAAGTAATCTTGGAAAGCCGCCAGGATCATGACGCATTTGTTCCGCCCTGTATGTAGACTATAGACTCGCTGGAGTTTGAAGCGAAAATATTTCTTTGGCGCAGTTCTGCGCAGAACGAATTTAGCATCGATTTAGAATTCCTCAATTGCTTATCTGCCTCTTCTCGCCGATACAACTGTGATAGTTGTCGGGGGGCAGGCATGGGGAGTTTGACCGTTAAGCAGACATCCGTGCATACCTAGAAGCTATTAATACAACCAAATTATGAAGCCTTAAACCTAAGACCAGACGTCAACAAGAAATGCATATACGTTGTTCAGGACCAGAAGATCAAGCGGGGTTTTCCTCCAGTCTTGGAACTCGGCAGCAATCCCATGAAGCTGCTGAGCGATAGTCTCGGTCGGTACGGCATCCCAAGCGAAGGCATCTCTTCTGGAGTTACGGCCTCTACCTCGTGCATGTTTTGCGAGTTGAACATGCATAGGGCCCCGACGGTTGGCTCGCAATAGGCCTTTTGCGCGTCTTTGACCAAGTCGCGATGATAGCCGTAACTTTCGGGGTCACGGTATCGAAGGGCATCTTTTGTCCACTGTACGTCATGAACAATCTATTGCGCCTTGTCAGAGTAACTGAATACCACAATTAGTCGTATGATGTGTTCGTTGCTTACCGTTTGTCCACCTTTGACCGGGGCTAGAAAGAGGTTAAACACTGCCTGGTGTTCAACGGAATTGATGATCCATTCCTCTGTCAGACTATCGTATGGGGAAAAGTCGCAGTGAAGATGGGTAGAGTCGTTCAAGGCTCGAAAGATTCCCGAAAAGTAATTGAGTCCCGGGCCCTCAGAGGCGATTTGTACATCCCAGTCTGGGAAGAGCGCGGCGATGCGGTTGATCACTCGATACCAGGCGTCGAGACCCTTTTCCTCGGCAAGCTTCTGGTGGAAGTTCTCCCATTTCTTGGCATCGGCGAAGTACCTGACCTGCTCTAGGATTGATGTTAGCGGATTGTATGCACCCGTGTGAAGGGCTTTCGGAAGGTCATCACCATCGCTGCGATTTTTCAAGTCCTCTTGCGATTGAGCTTGATACTCAAACTATCATCAAATCAGCCTGTTGAGCTTTTGTAGGCAACAAAATTGCTCGACAACGTATGACATACCTGGGCGATGCCCACCTTGCGCATGGTCGGCCCTGTATTATGCGTATAGGGAGTGACGAGTCGGCTCAACTCCCGCTCATACTTGGCGCACTCGCTTGGCGTGAGGAACCCATGCTCTTTGATAAGCGGTGTTTTGCCATACAAAAGATCAAGCATCGTGTCTCGAGTAAGAGGCACGCTGTCTGTCGTTTTCCATTTGGACTGCTTTGGTACCGGGACTGCCGAAGGAAATTGATCCGAGCTGAGATGGTCGGGCTTCAAATCGGGTTTGACAACGCTGTACTGCACCCTTAGGCATGCATTGGCCCTTCTAGACAGAAAAGGGCGGGTTTTGGCGAGCTGGCAAAGCATGACTGACTGGTTCGGGATTCTCTACAAGAGTTGAAGGGACGAGATTCTAACAAGAGATAGATAATCGGTTGTGATCTTTTCCTCCTTTATTCCGAGGCCAATGCCGCCCTGTAAATATGATCGTTATATACGTACAGGTAAGCCGCATGCGTCCATGGTACCGCCACCACGGCGTCTAAGGACGTACCGCTGCCGTGTCTCTGGGTACATGTAGTGGTCACATGCCGGTCAGTTGCCTCAGCTGTACATAGTAGGTATTTCAGATCACATGCTCTGTTACTCCTTCCTCAGAGCACTGTTACGCCCAACTATGCCGTATTCATGAAGCTCGTAAGACCAATGAAGGGAAACGGAAGCAAGGCTGCAGCATTGCCACATGTACAACCATTTGCTCGCCCTAGGGCGCCACACAGAGACCCGGCCCGCCGATGCCTCAAAGTTCTCATGGGTACTTCCCCAAAGTATCCCTACATAAATGAAACTTATTGAGACTACGAATGGAAAGGCAGCGAAGTGTGGCTGGCTGAGCCAGCCGTCTTCAGCGGCAAGCTTCTTTGGCCCCGGAAGCAGAGCGAGACGGAAACTGTACCAGTTTCTGAAGCCTGAACAACGCGTTTGGCAGCAATTTGTTTGTCTCTGCAGGTAGAGTAGCTTGTCTTTTCGCGAAAGTCATCAAGGACCAGGTCACGGGTTTGTAGCCATCGATCGAGACCACGGATGACTGTGGGTGCCATCATGCCAGAGGTTCTCCGCTACGTTCAGCACCCCTCCGACCTGACGGATTGGTTACTGGTGTTTCAGCCTGCGTGTCTGTCGAAGTCAGGGCACACCCGGGCGCATTGCGTCGATGGCTGATCCTGTTTCCTTTCCGTGTCTGGACTGCTCGGCGTCGCGCAGCCGTGCTCATGGCAATACACGCAATGGAGGGGTGGCATTCATGTTGGCCGGTGAACTCTTCGTCCAGAACGATCTGCTGTCCGAGTTGCGAGGCACCGGTTCTACTCTAGCACTATGGTAATCACGAGGGCATGGCTTGAATATGGCTGCGTAGGGCGAAGGGTTAGCATATTGCAGCTCATCCAGGCCTCAGACCATCACTTTACACGCAACGGATATTATTCCTGAGGTTCATTTCCAGTGGCTTCGAAATGGTGATGTCAAGGTATGAAGTGAAGCATGGCTCAACGGCATCGGCGTACGGGTATCACTGGACCTGGGCTATGTCAGGAGTTTCGAAACAACACCAAGACCTAGTACGCTTCGTGGCGCAGAGGGAGACACGCAGGCGAGACCTTTGCGGCGGGAACTAGAAAATTAGCTCCCGCAGTGATCCGAACGGCCGCAGATACGGATGTACTGGGTGTGTAAATCGACCTAGACTGTTTTCCCCAACGCGTTCTTCTCTACCGGCCACCAAGTTGGACTCACTCCCCGGATTCGTAATAAGCTTCTCACGCCGAGGCACTCACACAAGTATATTTCTTGGGCTCTTCCCGCGGAGCAAGAACTCAGTCCGGAAAAGGCCTGGCCACACCAGCATCAGCAATGCACAAGTCGCTCCTACCGGCAGCCGCGTCGCATGGAACATCGCATGCCAGATGAATCTGGCCCTTGGAATGTCTCGACTACCAGCTAGCCACAGGAAACGCATTGTACAAGATGTTTGAGATGGCAAGGGCTGGGCCGTCTTTCCGCGTCATGTCTTGAGCCTGTACTACCCCATGTCTCGGCCACTGCATCAGAAGTAGCGACATGCAACGGAAGTGAGCAGTGAACGCCTCGAGCGTGACTCTTTGCTACTTTTGATAAAAACAGTCTGCCGGCAGTGGACTGGAAACAGCCGTCTTGGCGTGCTCAGTTGCCGGAGTCTTACCCATCCCTACATGTCGAGTACTGGCCAGAATTCAGGGAGACCGGCAGCACGGATATATCCGAAACTAGATCATGCTAAGATAACACACAAGACTAAAGTACAGAAATACTGGTATTACAGTGAATTTTGCTGTTGTCCAGGCTACTTCTATTGTATCTAGGAGACATATGCGTATGGAGGAAACACTACGAGGCACAAGAGCCGCGATCATCGTTGCAGCGTCGTGCGACAAAAGGATGTCTGAGATGATCGCAGCCGACAATAACAAAATCCCTACATGTACTACAAGCACGCTTTTCATATTTCGAAAGACGCAAATCGGACGAAACTTGCGCAGCGATTTCCCCTAAAAGTAGTCATTCACCCGCTGCTAGGTTTCTCATCGACATCATTCGCTCCCCCCGCCGCGGCCTCTCTGCGTTGCCGAGCCCTCCCGTTGCTTGAAGACGCAGCGATTGTGTCCTCAGGTAGTTCAGCGAGGGTCCCCGTGCTCGTGTCAAGCTCCAGCGGGAGCTGTCTACCGTCCCCGATTTCGTGAATAGTGGCAACACCAATCGCCTTTTCCACAACTTCTTTATCTCCCCCCCTTCCAGCCCAGGATCCCGATTGACTCTGCCTCTCTCGTTTTCGTCGCAGCAGCCAGTATACTAGGCCGCCAAGGAGCAGCAACGCACCGACACCGACACCAATGCCGATGCCGGCTTTGGCACCACCGCTCATTCCGCTCTCAGAAGGTGGTGAGGTAGAAGGAGACGGCGAAGGTACGAACGACAGCGACGGTGTTGGCGTGTCGGTGACGGTATTCAATGTGGTTCGTGTCAACGATGTCTTGTCCGTCCTTGCGGGTTTGGCTGGACCGGTCGGAACGCCAGAGGCAGCATAGCTCGTCGTTGGAACCCCTGACACGCCCAATGTCGTCTCGCTGCGGTCCTCGGCTGACAGCAGGAACGTGACACTGTTGACGCCATTGCCTCTTTGACCGGTCTCATATATATTGAACCAGCAATAGTCGGACGATACGTTGAAGTCGACGTATACCAGTGTGCTGCCAATTGGCTTGACGTTGTCGACTGAGTTTACTGTATGGGTCGCGCACAAGGCAAGATCAGCATATGTCCAGTTACGCAGTGATGCGTGGCAACGGACCTATGAAGGTTGGCCCCTCAGCTTTGGTGCGGTCGACGCAGAAGAGCGTCAGGCTGGCCTTGTCCAGCGTTGACGTCCAGCTGACATTGATCGTCTGTCCCTCATGGAAAGTCAAGCCGTTTTCCACAGGGTACGTGAATGTAGCAACCTGTTCGGCATGAATTGGCTGTACCAGCAGTTGGCAAAGAGTGATTATGCCAAGCGCGGTGTTCCATGTCGATGAGTCCGGTTGCATTTGGTCCTCGCTTGGGACTGCCCCGATGTTGAGCGTTCGCCCAATTTGGGGCTTCAAAAGTACCGATATCGCACACGCGGAGGTTCATGTGAGAGCAAGAGTCGAAGTGCAATGATCACGCTACTGCGTGTCTTGTTGCTGAGCGCCTGATGATGCTCAAGTTGGCGAGTCCCGGCGGGACAAAGTCTCACGCTGGTGCAAAATGAGAAATGCGGTACAAAGTGAACTTGTCGAGACGTTTGCTACTCGCTGTGACATACAGCCCCTTTCTCGGGCCTGATGACTGAGGCATTAGTGCAGAGGTAGGGTTACTTCTCAGCCGTGTTTCCCATTCTGGGCATGATTGATGCCGGGGATGCTTGGATCGGCGCTTAAGGCCGAGGTTGCATGTCGGCGGCTAACGACGGGGTTGTTCATGTTTGAGGACGCGCCGAGGCGTCGTCAAAGGGATCGTTCGCGGGGTTCCAATTGCTTCCGCATTCCTTGAGAAGATTGTCACGACTATTCGACCTCAAGTTACGGACTTGTATCTTGAGCTGCTTCTGAAAGTGTTACTGACCCCGCATGGAAACCCAGCGGGCCGGCATACTAATGCGTGCCGTCGAAGAAACCTACGCCGAGTCGCCGACGAACATGAGCTGACGCCTTTTCAGCGACGGCGATGACTTCATTGAGAAGGACTTTCGGGTTATCCGGACAAGGTCCGGTTCCTGGTGAAACTCAACGTCTTCAACTTTGCACAGATACCAGGCCTGGCTCAATTGTCGCCCGCGTCCGATTCGTCCCACGTTCTCGCTTGGCTGTCTTGCCGGCTTGTTCCCTCTCTTAGCTCCCCTGCTCGGCCCCCGTGCAAGAACCTGCAGCTTTAGCGGCGGCAAGGTCGCGCGCCAGCCTGCGAGACGAGCAGCGCTTGAAGAGTGGCTATGGCTGCAGGTCAACGAGGATGTCGCGCCGCGCCTCTGCCATTTAAAGCCGGCCAATCCCTGCGCAACCATTCCCTCTGTAATGTAGCATTTGAGGGTTTGATCAGTTCTGTGGGGGTGGCATGTCCCCATGAGGGGTTTGTTGGTCCTGAACCGTTGCAGCACTATTTCGTGCAGGAAAAGGGCTGGACATTTCAGTGTGCAGAGGACTTTACTTTGTACTGCTGTCCTATTATGTACGTTGAGCCAACACAAGATTTTAAGGCGGGGATCGGGACATGGCAGTGCCAGTGTTTCCATATAGACCAGTTCAACGAGCTACTGCGAAGCATCAATGATTGTGGCATGCGACCTCGTCAGCTTGCCTCAACCCATCTTTCTCTCCGAAAGGTCTCCATTCATCTCAAGTGAAAGCTCTCTATATTGACAACCGATACCACCCTGTTGCCTCCTCCGCCGCGCCTGCACGTCCAAATGACAGAAACAGAAGCCACAAACTCATCCCCCGCCGCAGTACCACAGCCCCCGCTTCGTCAATCATGGACGCCGAGCGGGTACCCCGTCGTCAACAACTATCGCGACCTCGCGGCGGGGCGTATCGCACTAGTCAAAGCGAGCGAAGAGTTTGCCCCCGGGCCGCCAGCGCTCGAGGTGTACTGGCACAACCGAATGCAAACCGACCGCACGGACCTATTCGGGGGACTCGTGACGGGTGCGAATGTGGACGTCACGGAGTATCTGAGAAGGGTCGGTCGCTTTCTCGACGCCAACTCGTGCGAGGTTCTTGCGCTCAATGCAACCAAGTACGCCGTCAATATCATTCTCGCGGTGGATTGTTCTTGTCAGGAGATGAGGACTTGGCTTACTGAGCATGACCTCTTACACGCCCGCTAGTCAAATCTCAGAGGCACCGCATGTGAGCGAGAGACGGAATGGTTTGGCTTGAAGAGCGTTATAAGGGCGCAGCCTTTGCATTATTCGAGACGCAAACCAATAAGGTGTACTGTAATAAAAGCACCTCTTCGACGCTTTACCGAGGAGGTTGATTCACTCGTAACCATCCTGACTGTGGCCACATCAAGTCGCCTGCGTTGAGAAACGCTCAACGTGCACTGCTCATCTTCCAGCTGCTATGTCTCTCGGCGTCCGAAACACACAGGGGTGAAGGTTCACGGCGAGGATAGCTTGGCGTCCAAGGATGACGGCAAAAGCAATTCGGGCAACAAACCACCCCCCTGGTCACGAGGAATCGCAGCACAAGACCTCGAGTTTTATACTGCAAATTGCAGAGCCACACAACTTGAACATACCGGCGTATTAGACTACGTACATGCATAGCGGTCTCCTGGAGAGCACGCGTCACCAGAGTAACAGCCGACATTAGTGAATAGTGTTGGGGCCGGTCTCGATTAAGACCTTGAGCGCTCCAGTCTCTCCTGCCCGGGAGAATGTCCTGTACGCCTCCTCTCCCTCCTCCAACTTGAAGCCTGCATAAAATATGAGATTTCACGTCAAATGCGCTACAGTGAAGGGAATACGGTGACTCACGGTGAGTGACGAGGTCCACTGGCCGCAGCTTCCCGGCCGCGACCTGGTTTATCAGCATGGGCGTCACCCCAGCATCTACCAGTCTCGTGGTGATGGCTAATTTCGAGCCGCCCTGTCAGTAATCCGAAATGCCGTCCCGTGAAGTGCGAATTCTCACCAATATTCTTCGCCCACAGCTGGTCCAGGTGGAGCTTGACGGGGACGCCGTGGACGCCCACGTTGGCCAGGACACCGCCGGGGGCAAGCATCTTCTGGCACAGCTCAAACGTCGCGGGCACGCCCACGGCCTCGATGACGGTGTCGAATCCCTTGCCGCCGGTAATCTCATTGACCTTGGCCAGGGCGGCGTCCTCACTGCTGTTGTTGATGGTCTCGGTGGCGCCGAGCTTCTTGGCCACCTCGAGCCGCTTCGGGTCCTTGTCGAGGACGACAATGGTCGCCGGCGAGTACATCTGCGCCGTCAACAAGGCCGCCAGGCCGACCGGCCCGGAGCCCACAATGGCGACCGTCGAGCCGGGGCAGACCTTGCCGTTCTGGACGCCGCACTCCAGCGCCGTCGGGAAGATGTCGCTCAGCATCACCATGGCGCCCATGTCCACCGCGCCGGGGATGGCGTGCAGGCTCGAGTCGGCGTGCGGGACGCGCGTGTACTCGGCCTGGGTGCCGTCGATGGTGTTGCCGAGGATCCAGCCGCCCGACGTGCAGTGGCTGTACATGCCGCGGCGGCAGTACTCGCACTTGGCGCAGCTCGAGATGCACGAGATGAGCACCCGGTCGCCGGGCTTGAAGCGCGTCACCGCGGACCCGACCTCGCCGACGATGCCCTCGCCCTCGTGCCCCAGAATCGTCCCCGGCTTGCACGTCGCGACGTCCCCCTTGAGGATGTGCAGGTCCGTGCCGCATATCGTGGTCTTGGTGATCTTGATGATGGCGTCTGTGGGCGACGAGAGCTCCGGCTTCGGCCGGTCCTGCAGCGCGATGCGATCCTTGTCGCGGTACACGAGGGCCTTCATCGTGGCCAAGTATCTCGCAAAGTTGAGCACAAGGGGGGTTCGGTTTCTCGCGGCGGTAAACGCAAGAGGCTTTTGTCTTGCAACATTGACGAGGCGCTGCATGATTGGGAAAGGACCAAAGCTGGGATTTATAACAAGACTGTATGACTAGACCCTAGAGCGACTGGCCACTCATTGCTACCCTGGGTGTCGAGAGCTGTCAAAAGCCAGTGGCAGCAGAGACGAGAAAGAGCCGTGGCGAGGCCCCCCGGCGCCATCGGAAGGGACTGCGCTGCAGCTCTCTCCGCAAACGGGGAGCCGTTTAGCGAGGGTCGCATCGTGGCGTGACAGCTGGGCTGATGTCAATCCCGAGCGGTGGATTGAGTTTCGCGGGGGTGGGAAACGTCACGGGTTGGGGCCGCCGAACTCTGTTTCTGCCAAGAACCGCCGTTCAGCTGGCCTCTCGTAGCATTCTCGCCTGGGGTTCTGGACCGAGCCTGTTTCCGTGTTGTGGCGAGACGATCTGTTCCAAAGAGCTGAAAGGACTGGCGCGTGTGTGTAAGTTAACGCGGGCTTCGGCAGTTGAGCCACTCGACCATGTAAGTGGTGATGGTATATCAAGGCCAGGCCACCCGCATCCTCCCGGCTGCAACGCCATGCATGACGCACGTATTTATCCAGCGCCTCGCTGTATGGCGGAGATCCAAAGTCGTAACCACATCTGTCTGAAGCTTCGTATCTCATCACGCCTCCACCTCTCGGCAACGCAACAGCAAGCATGTCGGGACTCGACAGCTACACTGCCGGCATGACCGAGGTGCCCGAGAACCTCTTCCACACGGTCCTCACCGTCGTGGATCTGCACAACGACCCCTCGGGCGGCACGCGCTCCTACTACGTGCTGGGCACCCACGGCACGCTCGAGGCCGCCAAGGTCTACAGCACCGTCGCCCTGCAGGAGCTCGGCTTCCACCGCGATGACTTTGACGACTATGCCGCGCGTCCGGCCCCCGGTGCCGGTGCTGCCGCCTCCGCCTCCACTGCCGCCGCGGTAGAGCAGGCCGTCACGGCAGAGGCCTGGCCGCACGGCGAGGGTGTGCTGCTCTTCGCGCGCGCCCCCGCCGGACACGAGTTCACGATACGCATCGACACGACGCCCAACAACGAGTCCCTGCGCGCCAGAGCCGGCAGCACCGGCAGCGGCGGCGGCGCGCTGCTCCTCCCGGACGGGGCGCGCTTCCTGCACTACGTCCTGCAGACGACGGTCGACTACAACGTGGACCGCACGGGCGCCGCGCAGACGGCCGAGATCGAGGGCGCCTACGTCCACCGCGCCGACGCCTGGACCGCCGCCCACAGGTGCCTCGACAGGGACGACTATGCCGAGTACGACTCCCGCGGGGATGCCGAGTTCCTCGGCGAGTGGCCCTATGGCGAGGACGTCGTCGTGCATGCCGTTGCCGACACGGGCCAGAACTTTCAAGTCGCTGTAAAGACGCCGCCCCATGGGGATGAGAAGCGCCGCGCCGAGCTGAAAAAGACTGTCAAGCGGCATAAAGCCGAGGAGGCAAAAGCCCGGGTGGGAAGGGATATGACCGACTAATGCAGAAACCCGACCCTCGTGTGCTTCGTGTGGATGTAGGTCTCTCTGATTTCTGCTGACCGTGAGCAGGAGTTGTTGCTTTCAAATCTTGTCTGCGATGCCGTGAGTCTGCCAGCTGATGTCCGTATTCTCTGTGTAATTGGTGAGCATGTAGCATATCATTGACACATACCCAAATTGAAGCAGCTTCTTAAATTATGCCCATCTACTTGATCCCAAATCGTGTGCGCCACGCCATGTATCGAACAGTTGTACATTCGAAAACCCCAAGATCCAAACTGCATGTGCGCCCAACGCATGTGCTCGCTCCATCCCCACAACTGTCCTCAATCGGTCGATAATGCCTTCTATCACTAATACTCGTCCTCAGAGTCGCTATGGTCGTGGATCCGGATGGCCCGCCATCTGCGATCAGTCAGGTCCTGCGCCGCCGTCCCTTCGCTCTCCGGGTCGACGTAACCGCTCCCGCCCGCGATGCTCAGCGCCACAGGCAAAAATACGAGCGCGTGCAGCGCCGCAAAGACGACCAGCGCCAGCCACACGCGGAAGTAGTAGATCTCAAAGATCTTGGAGCGCGTAAAGGCAAGGACACAAACGCCCAGCAGCTTGGTGATGGTGATGCCGGAGAAGACGGATCCGCCCACATTGACCAGGGCGGTCCAAGCCCGGGCGTCACGGCCGCGGAGCGCGTTGTTGTTGCTCTCCATGACTGTCCGAGACGGAAACATGAAGGCACGCGCAATATGCGCACAAAACTCGACTGATATGCCGACACAGATAATGAGGTTGACCAGCGACACGGCGTTCAGGGAGACGTTGAACACCGCCATGGCCCCCATGATGTCGATGACACTCATAATGACCGTAATGGCAACGACAGCCGAGGTCAACACGGATCCTAGCAGCAGAGAAGCCACGACGAAGATGATGCCAACCGCGGCGCAGAGGAGTCCTGCGGTCAGCGGGATAATGCTGAGGTACTGGTCAAAGAAGATGTAGAAGACGCTGTATGGGAAGACATCGGCCCCGGTCCGCTCCTTAATGTCTGCTGCGATACGGCGAGCTGATGAGTAGGCGTTGATGAAGTCGTCTTGGCTCCGGAGAGGCGTGTGCGCAGAACGGAAATTGGTGGCCTTGACGCTATTATCCGCATCGTTGATCACGACCGCGTCTCCGTACGCAGCCTGGCCGCCCAGTGGGCATTCGTCGTCCGCAGGGGCAGTCAGGAACTTCTCGAGGTAGTGAATGAACTCTTGGTTCTCTGGCATGCCCGAGAGCGTGGTGTTCCATGCCGGCTCACGGCCCGCAAAACAAGTCTTGCCATTCTCGATGCAGCAGCGTTCATAGATTGGGTTGAGCCACAGGAAGAAGTCGTCAATCCAGCTTGCCGTAGGTGATGAGATGAACGAGATGTCGGGTCGCTGTCTTTCGAGCTCAAGCGTATTCGTCAACGAAAGAGACTGGCACGTCGTGAAGCGCGAGCAGAGCTCCTGCTGCTCTGTCCGCTGCGATGCGTCCACGCCTCTCGTCACAAAGTAAACAGGAGGCCCGACCTCCATGTAGTCGTACAGGTCGTTGAAATACGGAATCAGGTACGATCCGTCAGGAATGGCCACGCGCTGGTCCAGGCCAAGCTGAATCTTCGGCAGAAGTGCCAACGCAGCGGCAAACACACCCAAAAAGATGGTGACAACCCCCAGCTTGACCTTCTTTCCGAAGAGACTTGGGGCGTACGTGTTTTTGATGAAAACTTGCAACAAGCTCTCCTCGTCGGAATCAGAGCCCCGGCCGCCGGGGATGAATCCGTTTCCGCCGTTGAGATGCACCCGTGCCTTGGTGACCTGCCAGAAGGGCCAAAGCTCGCAGCGATGATCCTCCACGCGCATCTGGTTGAGTGCCAGAAACGACACAAACATCGTCATCTGCAGAACAGCGTTGACGAGAACTGCACCTGCGGCATACGCGGCGAAGTTTCGAACAGCCGGCATGCCAACGGCCGAACCGAGGGCAAAGGCAACGGTCTCGGTCAGGGCGGAGAATAGGATCGACGGGCCCATGCGACCGACGGCACGAGCCACACGCTCTTCGACCATCTGGTCAGGGCAGCTAACGTTGACCCGCTCCAGCTCATGGACGATGAGGAAGATATTGTCGACGCCGACGGCCAGGACAATGAAAGGAATGACCTCGACGATGATGAGAGTGGCTTTGAGCCCTACCCAGGAGAAGAAGCCAATGGACGCAGTGATGGACATCAAAACAATGATGATGCCGACGAGACCCAGAGTGACCTTGGACTCGACAAGAAGCAACGCCGGGTTCCTGAAAATGTGCTTGAAAGGAGTCCCTAGAGCCATGCAAGCGTAGATGAACATGACAATGTAGCTCACCACGATGATCTTGGCATCCGTGTTTGTCGACTTGTTGAGTTCTTGCTCGAGGCTGATCTCGGTGTTGAACGACAGCCGAAGGCCTCGGCCCTTGGCTTCTTCTTGAACCTCGAGGAGTCGATCGCGAAGAGCATTCTCCCAGTCGATGGCTCGTGCCAAAGCCGCGGTTCCTTCCTCGGCATTCCTGACGACCCAGGTGGTGGTGATCGCTGGGGCATCAGCAACGTCGTCTCCATAACTTCCAAGAACCATGTCCGGCTCTATTGGCTGTCCAAACTCCGGCCTGCAGTCGACCGGGGACTTGGCGCAGCTCCGAAGATCCTGCTTCCATGTGTTCTTTCCGATGCTTCCCTTGGCCCACCAATAGCCTGTGACCGACTGTACTACACAAGCGTCGTTGACCGGCTTGAAGCAAAGGTCGTGGAGAAAGTCGCCGAAGGTCGGGCTCTGGATCTTTTCAATGCTCTTCTCGACGTCCGCCCACCACTTCAGCGTGTCATAGCTCAAAACAGGGCTGGGTCCGGCGGCCGTAGTATCGTTGACGAGGAAAATCTTTTCAGCACGGTAAAACGGACCAAAGTTGGAATCAAAGTAGTGCTTCTCCTGGGCAGCGGCAGAGGTCGGGCTGACCCAAAGACGGGCAGGCTCCTTTTCCAGGTCAAACCTGAACCATCCAGCGCTGAGAATGGCCACCACCACGAAGCTTGTCAGAATGGTGAGGCCAGGGAAGCGGGCGGCGGCGTGGCCAAGCTGATAGAAGAGCTTGTCGCATCGGTCGTTGAGCCAGTACCGTCTGGTAGGGCGGTCGCGCATCGCCTCAGTCAGAACTGGGCCACCCTCATCCTCATCGTCGCTCAGAGATGATTCGTGGAGGAGCCTCGTGCGCTCGACACGATGTTGCGCGTATTTCTTCCATGCGACGTGCCCAAACACAAACACCGCAACGGCAAGCAGCAACATGCCATAGGTGAAAATAGAGGCAAAGGAGAGGCACGGGAGCACGCCCACGCGGCAGGAGCCGGAGCGCTTCACAGCTGGCAGCTTGGGGCAGACTTCGGGGCAGTCGACGCAGACGCAGCGATAGTCGGGGTCCTCATCATTACACTGCTTCGGTTTCATATCCAAGGGGCCCATGTTCGAGTCGCTCGTCGAGTTGGGAAAGTTGATTTGGAAGGGCGATCCAACGAGAGGCTTCTTGTCGCCCAGGAACTTGAGCATCTCATGGTAGTTTTTCGCGCCGCCTCCAATCAAGTCCATGGCTCGGCTGTTGGCGCCGCCAAACTTGACTTCCTTGCAGCTGTTGTAGAGGCCGGTGCCGTATTCCTTTGAAATGAGCTGGTCGAGCTCCGTCACGAGCTGCTTCCCATTCTTGGAGGCGGCGTCGGTGATGTTTATGAAGATGGATTGGTCGGGCGAGCAAGTGAACTTGCAAAAGAGGTTGAAGAAGTTGTGCTTGCATGCTGGACACGAGCCGATGAGGGTATTTGGCGTCCCCATCTCAGACTTGAGCGCCTTGACCTGTAGGACGTCAGTATGGGGAACAAGGCCGCGGATTCGACGTCGCATACCTGCTCGATGGTACAGCAGACCGGGCCTTCGCTCCATTCGCTACCGCAGAGGTCGACGAGCTCCTTCCGGAGCTCCGCATCTGGATCCGTAGCGGCGCCATTGTCGACGCACGGTAGCTCTTTGCCGAAGAAGCTCTGCTTTCCGCACTGGCCCCTGAATGCGCATCTCCCCGGCTCGTGCTTGGGAGTGTACGGGTCGGCGGCGACGAGTTGGGGAGCGAGCAGAGACGCCGCCCCGAGCAGAGCCGCGACTCGACGACGCATCCCGTTGCGGTGGGCCGTCTCGGCCGCCTCGGAGTTGGCGAGGGCCTTTTCGACGATGCGTATACCTGGGTCGAGCGAGAAACGGAGTCGGATACAGGAGGCGACGAGGGAAGGGATGGTGCGACAGCAGGGAGGACGCGCTGTGTCGTGCGCGGGACGTCGACGAAATTGTTGGGGGGATGTTGGAGGCTTCAAGCTCTGGCGGGCTCACGATGGACGAAGCAGGCAGTATGTCACCCGATGCGACTGGGGAAGAACTGGACCTTGGCCAGCCACTGAAGGGCCGAGTGCGTGTGCCTGACGTCGTGGCTTCAGTGGAACGCCGGGCACTAACATTTGCCGGCGGCGGCGCTCGGATGGGGAGGCTGGGCTGGGTGCTGGTGTCGCTGACGGGCATTGACCCCGCCCCATGATTCCATTGCGCTTTGCGCTGGCGCGTGACACAAGCACCACCGGCAGCACCAGCCTGAGTCCAAGCTTGCACGGCTCAACGCTTGCAGTGCATAAACCCACCCGACCTGCTTCTTCGATGACGCGCTTGCGTCGCAGCCAGCCGTCTGCGGTGGCTTCCAGGTCACGGCCGCAGCTATGTTTGGGACCCTAATTAAGACAAGCAAGTGATCCGTTAGCAGGTAAAGTAGAGTCAAGGAGTCCTGGCCGCGACAGGCTGCCTCTCTTGTCGCTCGGCTTCCAGCGCTGTCGGTGTCAGTGTCGGACCGTCCTTCCTACATGCTTGCCTTTGCCGGCACCTGACTATAGCAAGCCCGAAAGCCATTTTTGCTACATGTTGCTAGAGTTTGAATCACGTATGATCACAGACAAACATGCCCTGTACTCCGTCTTCATGTCCGAGGTCGTCATGGATGTGAGTCGGCCAGGTGCCCGTCAGAGCTGCACGTGACGTCGGTCCCCCGCTGCCAGCTGCACCACAGCCCACTGCCGCCGCCCACAGCGCCCCGCCGGCGCGTCTGTGTCACTCCTGTCCCACGTCAAGACTCAACACCAACGCTACCTCACCCAGTCACTCAAACTCACTCACTGACACCTCGCGACTTCGTCACCCAGCGCCCGCCTCAGAGCGATGATTTGATCTTTTGTCTTTCAGACTTGAGTCAGCGACGGCCCAACATCAACTTTCTCTCTTTCCAAACTCAAGGAGAATGCCTGCGCTCCAGAGCCTCTTGACCTTCCCAAGATCCAACGTTCCGTCTCCCCATTCCGCCGTGGCGTAGAAGCGGCATGACGAGTGAATCCAAGCCGGACCCCGTCCAAAGCCTAGTGGTAAGCGTGAGATTTCCAGCTCATCCTCGGGTCAAAGCTGGCTTCATGCGAAGCCTCGCGGACCGCAGACGGGCTCGGATGTAAACATTGATCTCACGCTGACGTATCGCAGGATGCTTTCCACAGTCTTCTCGACGAGGCCCTCATCGTAGCAATCGCCAGCGACTACAATCTCGCTGATCCAAATGCCTACGATGCAGCCAAAGCTACTCTCGAGGACATCGCGGAGAGTGTGCCGTCCGAGGAGGCCACCGGCTTCAACCCCAGCGGCATTCCCATCGTGCCAGAAGGCGACAGCGACGGGCTGAAGGATGAGCCAACGACCACAGCCAGCGTTAGCCAGCCGGCTTCCCAAACCAATGCCACTGATCCGTCAAGCGTCGGTTCGGCCGCCGCAGACTGCTCGGCAGCCATCCCCCGGCTCACGTCGTTTGACAATGACAGCCAAGAGACTAAGGTGCTCTTGCTGCAGTCAATGTTCGCCGACCTCAAGCCATACGACGTCGAGTACGCCCTCAAAAAGGCCAATGGTGACGTCCAGACTGCTCTGGATTACCTTCTCAACATCCAGTACCTCGCTTCAACGGGCCAGCAGATGAAGGGCATCGACGGCTTCTTCACGCCTGAAGAAACAGCAGCTTCATCCAAGGGAAATCGAAAGAGGAAGGGGAAGAAAGCTCTTAGCCCGAGCTCGGACCTGTCCGACACAACGCCCCCCAATCTCGAAGCCAACAGTGAGTACCCCCCGCCGTCAGGATTGTGCTCCAGCACGAGCTCACTGCGTAAACCAGGCCAAGACGACATTCAGTTCATCGCCGAAAGATTCGGCATGCGCTCAGAAGAGGTATCGGACGCGTATCAAAAATGCGACCGCTCCAAAGGCGCAACGGCAGTCGAACTTTTGGACCAGTTTCTGTCCCACGGAATCGAGACTCAAGATGAGGCAGGTAAGGAACACGCAGACGCACTGGCGCGCAAGTATCGACATGTACCCGAGAAGTACACGCCCACCATCGTTCACGTCGCCGGATCAATTCCGCAGTTTGCCGATGACCTGGCCTCGCTGCTCAACAAGCATTTCACAAAGCAATCCAAAGCGCAGAAGCTAGATCTGACCTACAGACTGACGCCACTGCCGCGAGAGGAAATCGAAGGCAGTGACGTCTCGGCATCGGCTGGCAAAAGCGGCGGACAGGTCGGGCTGCTCGGTGCAAAATCCCCCGCTGCGCCGTCCATGGACTACACGCAGGCTGTTCAGGCTGCAAATAAACACCATCAGGATCGGGTGGACGCGCTGTCCTCGGCCGCCCAGCTCCATCGGAGAGGCGCCTCGAGCCCGCTGTACAGGCAGGCCGCGGGATACTACACAGACCGGGCCCGCGAGCAGGCCAGGTACGCTCAACAGGCTACCGCCACGGCCGCGGACCTCCTGGTCCAGGAGCAGAGCACCTCCAACTCCATCGACCTGCACGGCGTCGTGGTCCAGGATGGCGTGAGGATTGCACGCCAGAAAACGCAAGACTGGTGGCAGGGACTCGGCGAGTTCAGGAGCAAGCGGGCGAAGGAGCAGGGCGGCTTCACTGTCATCACGGGCTTGGGCCGCCATAGCGCTGGTGGCATCTCGCAGATGAGACAGGCTGTTGCCGCAGCTCTTCTTCAGGACGGGTGGAAGTTTCACGTAGAGACAGGCAGGTTTGTCGTGACTGGGCGTCGTTGAACGGTGCCTTGTGCTTGGGAGGAGTAAGGGGGCTCTTGGGTGCTGCATAGTACTGTTTTTGAGTGCATGTTTCTGGCATAGCGGATGGACTGGATTAGAAGGCAGGATAGATGTGATACCAACTGTAGAGGCGTTAACTGAAAAAGTCTACCCATCTATCAATCTATGCTCCTGTGTCTCCTGGATGAAAGCCTTTTGCTGGCAATTTTCCCGTTGCCTGACCTCTTTGAAGCCGACTGCGACGCGTCTATGCCTTCTTCTGCAGCAGCTGCTTCGCGCACCTGTTCCAGACAGCCGCGCCCGTCAGGATGGTGCTGCAAAACATGGCAATGCCAATGACCCCGACATGGACCTTGACCCACCCCAGGCTCGACGCCGGGATCACCAAGTCGAGCATATCAGCAAGCAGCTTCATGACCAGCGCGCCCGTCTTGGCATTGACCTCCTTCATCCACTCCTTGCGCTCCTCCTTGCGCTTCTTAGCCAGGGCACGCTGCTCCGCCATCGTGGCGCTTCCCTTCTTCTCCCCATTTGCGTCGCCGCTGCCGTCTCCGCTAGGCGCGTCCGCGACGCCAAAGCCCTCACCCGTCTGCGGCACGGGCTTGTGCGCCAGCAGCCGCAGGAGCTTCACGCCCGAGCTCAGCGCCGAGGCGTACAGCGCGACGAACCACAGCGTCTGCGCCTGCGCGTCCAGCCGCGTCGCCTCGCCGAGGCCCAGCAGCGCGACGCCCGGCACGCGCGCGAGGTCGACGAGCGTGGCGGACTCGACGAGGCCGAACATGCCGAAGCACGACGCGGCGATGATGTCGAGCCACGTCTCGAGCGGCTTGCCCACGCCACCGCTGCTTCCACCACCCGACGAGGACGGCGCCGAGTCAGCCACGTACAGCGTCCAGCCGGCCTGGAAGCTGCCGAGGAACCAGAACAGGCGGATGGCGCGGCGCGTCAGGTTCAGGCGCGACTGCAGCTCGAGCAGGGACGTGGCGGTGGAGACGTGCACCGAGGCAGGACGCGAGGAGAGCAGGCACCCGGCGATGAGGGAGGGGTACGAGGTGAGTATCAGGAAGACGGACTGGATGAAGCGCAGGAGGCGCTCCAGACCGACTTCGGCGGCGTCAGTGACTCTGCTGGCGAGAAAGGCGTCCAGCCCACGGGGGAAACAGGCGCCGTACCGATGTCCGTCCCAAACGCGGTGAATTGCTCCACGATGCCCGCCATGGTGGAGAGTCTGTAGGGTGCTTCGCCGCAACCCAAGGTAAAAACGATGATGAGAAAATGATAGCCGCAATAGAGACGCGCGTAATGAATGCCAAGGAAGCGCCGTGACGGTGAAGCCAAAACGCGTGCGAAATGCAAAAGGTGGTGGGATTCTGCGGTGATGAGGTGCAAAGTTGGGCCCCGAGTGAGTGAGTTGTCGCCAACGCATCCCGGTTCGCCGAAGTCGCAGCCGTGCCCCGGCCCGGCCACTCCCGGCCACCGCGCGACGACGCTCGTCCGGATATCCTTGTCTGTGCGTAAAGTCTATATGGTGCAATCTTTGGAACATGTTGTTCAAGTTGATTGTAGCTACGGTCGCCAAAGGGCGTCACTGTGAGAGTGACAGTGTGACCAAGGATCACTTCTCTCGTCGCTCAGATTCATGGCCATGATGCACGACAAGGTGCGAACATAAGGTTCAACCTTACACATCGCATTCAGCACATAGAAAAATACTAGATACAACACCGGCAGCGTGTGCGGATGTAGCTGCGGGCCAAATGCCCGCTGTCGACGCTTGACAGCATCGCCCCAACTCCCGGTATCTAAACCCTCTTTCGTCTGTCTAGGTGCATCAATTACATTCCGGGAGAAGTCAGCTTCCCTTGGGCCCGGGTGTCGCGCGCCCAACCGCCAGCCAGCGCCTCGCCGTTCTCCTTGGCAAAGTTCTGCATCCGCGCCTCCAGCTCGGGCCGGAAGTGGCGGATCAGGCCCTGGATGGGCCAGGCGAAAGCCTCTCCCAGAGCTGCGTAGCCAGTCAGTCAAATCATTGGTGCATATCGAGACAGGGTGTCGTGTGCTTACCGCAAATGGTGTGTCCCTCGACCTGCTTCGTCAGCTCCTGGAGCATGTCAATCTCCCGCTCGCGGCCCTGGCCCTTCTCGAATCGCGACATGATCTGCTCCGTCCACTTGCTTCCCTCTCGGCACGGCGTGCACTGGCCGCAACTCTCGTGGCGGTAGAAGTGGCTCAACCGAGCAATGGCGCGGACGACATCGGCGCTCTTGTCCATGACGATGACGGCAGCGGTACCCAGACCGGACTGGCTATCCTTGAGCGCATCAAAGTCCATCAGCTGGTCGTCACAGACCGACTTGGGCAGGATGGGCGTCGACGAGCCACCGGGAATGATGGCCTGCAGGTTGTCCCAGCCACCGCGCACGCCACCGCAGTGCTTGTCGATGAGCTCGCGAAGGGGGATGGACATCTCCTCCTCGACCGTGCAGGGGTTGTTGACGTGGCCGGAGATGCAGTACAGCTTGGTGCCCTGGTTACGCTCGCGGCCGAAGCCGGCGAACCAGCTGCCACCGCGGCGGCAGATGGTCGGCGCCACGGCCACCGTCTCGACGTTGGCGACCGTGGAAGGGCAGCCGAAGAGACCGACGGCAGCGGGGAACGGGGGCTTAAGACGCGGCTTGCCGGGCTTGCCCTCGAGCGACTCAATGAGAGACGTCTCCTCGCCGCAGACGTACGCACCACCACCGCGGTGGATGAAGACGTCAAAGTCGTAGCCGGAGCCGCAGGCGTTCTTGCCGATGAGCCCTTCCTTGTACGCCTCGTTGATCGCGTTCTGGAGGACCTGGGCCTCGTAGACGAATTCACCTCGGATGTAGATGTAGGCGGCGGTCGCGTTCATGGCTCGGCCGGCAACAAGGCAGCCCTCGACGAGCTTGTGGGGGTCCTTGCGCATAATCTCGCGGTCCTTGCAGGTGCCGGGCTCGCCCTCGTCGGCGTTGACGACCAGGTATCGCGGCTTCGTGTCCTTGTCCCAGTCCTTGAAGTTCATGAAAGACTGCGGAAGGGGCGGGTTAGCCAAGCGGCTCGTCCGAAGGCCGAATTGAATTGATCGCGAAAACATACCCACTTGAGGCCCGAGGGGAAGCCGGCGCCACCGCGACCTCGCAGGCCCGAGGCCTTGACCTCGTTGATGATCCAGTCATGGCCCTTGAGGATAATCTCCTTGGTCTTGTGCCAGTCGCCCATCTTCTTCGCGCTCGCGAGGTCGGCGGGATATCGTCCGTAGAGGTTCTGGAAAATGCGGTCCTGGTCCTTGAGACCTCCGTAGGTCCGCTTGGGGGTGCCATCCTGCACGGTGGCCAGGCCCCTCACGGCGGTCCGCGAGAGGCTGACAGCCTTGCTGGGCGCCGCTCTCGTGGACAGCATTGCGTCGGTGTCCGGTGCGCGGCGAGTGTGCGGAGGGAGGATGGGGGGGAGAGGAGGAGTCGTTGACGGCGCTTTGCGGCACTTGGCGGCGAGGTTTGTTCGTTGACCAGCAATGTAAGCGTCAGAATTGCGGGCGATCTGGTTGGCCAATCCGCACCAGTGGCAACCGGAAGACGTCGTTAGCCGATACTTTATGTCTCACACATGCTCTGGTGCTAGCCCAAGTATACCACAACGCCCGGATTCCTGCCCACACCCCACTTTACCCCCGTTTTGTTACCGGGTCCCCGAAGCTCCAGCTGCAGCCTCCCAGCGCGGTGACGGACCCGATCAGGCATATCAATCGCTGGGAGCGTTCCCTGCCTCCAAATTCGTCGCTGCAACAAATGACCTTGCCGTTCATGCCAGACGACGCTGGCCTCTTGTGAGCCCATCAAGGGGTCAACCGCCATCATGTCCGGCAAACGTCACTCGATTCTCCCGGCCATCGACCGCAGCGGCCCGAAACCGCCTGTCAACTTCTCGTCAACGCTCACTATATCCGACAATGCCATCCTGCAGGGCACGCACTCGATTACGATGCAGTCGGAGACAGTGGTCCATCCGCGGTCCAAGTTCGAGTCCAATATCGGAAGCATCCTCATTGGGCGCCGTTGCATCATACACGAACGCGCACATGTTGGAGCACGACCGCAGGACCTCGACAACGCGAAGCCAGGAGGCGTAGCTTTGGGTGACTACGTGATCATAGAGGTTGGCACCATTATCGAATCTGGAAACACAGAAATTGGTGAGGGCACGACGGTACAAGTAGGGAGTCGTATCGGCAGCGGTGCCAAGGTGGGCAAGGTATGGCGTCCGTCAATGCGCGAACGGAACAGCAACTCACGATTTGAAGCATTGCACAATATCGAGCATGTCAGTGATACCCCCGGGTGAGGTTATACCCGACTGTACGACCGTCTACTCGAACGGACTACGGCGAACAGACAAGCGTGGCGTTGGCGAACTGCGGAAGCTCGGCATTGTGAAGCAGATCGCTGTTTTGCGAAAGATGATACCCAGCAACCCGGACAAGTTCAAGTGATATGGCCTTGAAGGCTCCTCGGGATACGAAATCTTATCCACTTCAAGCCCTTATTCGAATTTACACGATCATATATACAGGGTTTAGTGGCTCATGGCATTCTCAAACAGCTTACGCAGCTGGTCCTTCTCGGCCTCGAGCTCTTTCGACAAGCCAGGCGCCAGCATCAGCACGCGCGCCTGCGGGATGGTGCCCTCCACGAGGGCCTCGATGTGCTCCGTCCCGAATCCGAGATCCTTTAGGCCCTTGGGCTGGTCGCCCAATTCAGCGAGGAACTTGGTGATGGCCTCAGCCAGGACCTCACCAGCACTCTCCCTCTTCACGTTGGAAATGTCGACTCCGAACGCTTCGGCGGCCTGCAAATGCCGGTCGGGGTTGGAGGCGGCGGTGAAGCGGAACACAGCAGGAGCGGACACGGCGACGGATACGCCGTGGGGAATCAGGGGCGCGGGGACGTCGTAGCCGGCGTGCCTGTAGCCTGGGTTCTGGCCAGAAATGGGATAAGACATGCCTAGGAAGGGTGAGTCCGATGACAATAAACTCTAAACTGGGCGTGTACATACCGTGGCACAAGTGAACGCCTGCGTTGCCGAAGCCTACACCAGCCAGCGTGGCGGCGAGGAGCATCTCGCTCTGTGCCTCAAAGTCGTCCGGGTTCTTGACCGCGCGAGGCAGGTACTTGACGGTGCTTCGCAGGGCGTGGAAAGAGAAGACGTCGGAGATGGGGTTGGCGCCCTGGTAGGCCGGACGCATGATGGGGTTGGGCGGGCGGGGCGTACGCTCGTTGTACGGGATCGCGGTCCACGACTCAAGCGAGTGGCACAGGACATCGAGTCCGGAAGCAGCCTTGACGGCGGCCGGCATGGTGCGCGTGTTGATGGGATCACAGATGCCGAGCGTGGGCTTGAGGTTGCGGTGGGCGACGCCCGTCTTGGCGCGCTTGGAGACGAGGTCGAAGATGGCAGTGCCGGTAGTCTCACTACCGGTGCCGGCGGTGGTGGGCACCGCGATGAGCGGCTTGAGCGGCTTGTCAACGGGGCGGCCCTTGCCGAGCGGCGCGTTGACAAAGTCGAGGAAGTCGGCGTCCGGGTACGCCGTGTACAAGTTCATGAGCTTGGCCGTATCCATGACTGAGCCACCGCCGACTGCGAGGAAGGCATCAGGCTCGCGTGGACGAGCCCAGGCGATGGCGTCCTTGATTCTGTAGTGGCCGACGTATCAGCGGTTGAGACAAGACCACGAATATGAGAAAGCGAACTGATGGCACGCACGAGCTGTCCTTGGGCTCTATCCTCACGTTGGAGAAGACTTCAAAGTTGATGCCCTCGCGGGTGAGCGCCTCGCGGACCTGGCGCATGGCGTCGAGCTTGTCGACGGTGGGATCCGTCACGACGGCGACCTTGCGGGAGCCCATGTTCTTGAGGTCCATGCCGACCTCCTGGGTGACGCCCGGGCCGAATCGGATGGACGAGGCAGCCATCTCGAATGCGTACTCCTTTTGGACCTCATTGTTGGCGGTGGGCGTGGCGTAGCGCCGGTGGGCAAAGTCGCGGGCGCGCGGCACGATGCTGGGCGGCGCCTTGTGATATCCCGGGTTGGAGTGGCAGGGACATGACGGCGGGTGAGTGTACTGGATTGTGCGGAGGAGGCTGGTGGCCCGCTTGGCAGCCTGCGTCATGCTATTAGATGGGCCATGTTCCTATGAAGCTGGTGGTGATGAGACTCACATTAGGAACGGCTCGCACAGGGGCTACCATGTTGAACTCGACACGTCAATCACTAAACCTGGAAAAGACAAGTGAGGTGAGGAAGAAGGTGAGAGGCGAGGTCGCGCCGGCGGGAGACGAGACGCGGCGGATGGGGGTTTGGAGGGGCGTTGTGCCTCGGGTATGGATCGGGGTGGTGGGTTGCCCCCCAGCGTTAGGTTGTGGGGGAATCGGCGGGGCGGAGGGACGGGGGGCGGGCGGCTCCTCTCCAGCGCTCTCCACGGGGCTTGCGGTGCCGACTCCGGATTGCCTGAATCGGCCTGCGTGCTGCTGCTGCCCTGCCGTCCGCATCAGCTCAGCTCGGACAACACAGACCCGACGCCTGAACAGTTTACTTTGCTTTCGCGGCCCGCGAGCTGAGAATGATCAATCCGGGTTTGACGGCAAGTCTCGCGGCACTTGGGTTGCTTTACCAAAACTCATGATCTACTGCGTGGGTACGGAGCAGACGACGGGGATCTCAGTCCCTGCTGTCCGTTACTTGCACCTCTTAGGGAGGCCCAGTCCGAACAACGATCCATATTTGGACGCTATGTCACGATGAAGCGCACAAACCTGTGCCAACCACTAAACATTCAGATATGTATTAAATGGTACTTGGAAATTTTTAGCTGCAGAAACTCCCGTACTCGCTGCCACGCAGAGCCGGCTCTGGTCCCGGGTATCGGATCCGGCAGGCTCATGAGGCCACCTCGGATCCGAGACCTGGTCACGCCGGAGGCATTTGGTCTTCCGCCCCAAGTGCTACGAAGTGGAAATGCGATAGAAACACCATTAAATGGACGTTCCCTCCCAGGTTTTGAAGAAGCGGGACCGAAAGAGTCGTCGGAATATGCCTGAGTCACCTTCGATGGGCGTCATGATCGCGGGGTCGTGCCGACTCATATCTCCAGCTCATCCCTGCCGCTCATCCCCGCGTTTGCAGCCCCCCAATGGAGCTTTTGCCTTAATATCATTATTGCGACTACAAAGTGCACTGAGACAGCAACACAGAGCTGGCTTTACTTCTCACTCGGTGGTGCCGTACCAAGACACTCATGCCTCGACCGGGACAAGCGTCCGTGTGGTGGAAAGCCCCGTACGCGATACACGACCTCTGCGTCGATGCTATTCTCTATGGCCGCATATCTCAAGAAAACACAACTTGAGGTGACCTCGAATTGCTTTCTCGGCACATTGGCATGGGTGGCAGCAAGTGTGGGGTGCGGTATGGTCGATTCCTTGGCTCAAACTGGACCTCGGAGGCAGTGCCTCAGCAGAACCACCCATTGCCTTGCGAACTGCGGAGTACCATCAGGCCATCTTGTACGACACAAACACGCACGACAACTCAAGGGCCGCACCTCGCGTGGACGTCGAACTCTCGGGCACAGACCTCGAGATGCTACATACGACCGTTATCAACAAGCTAGGCGAACAGATGTCGGAAACCCGTTCCGTCGACGGTCGCGCCATGTTTCGGCCCCCACCGGCCAATCGGCTTCGGTGCGCCTATTCCGCAGATTGGAAAGCAGATCGCTCGCGCCCTCTGCTCAGCTAAACTCGGAGAGGCCAAGGTAAGAATGGCAACATGTTACGTACGTACGTATGTACGTGCGCCAGACTGCCGCTACCGAATGACTCAAATACGTGGAACATTGCGACGCAGTGGTGCGGAAGGGTGCCGTACCCCTGCGTTCGTATCATCATCGCTCCGCTTCCCGTTTACGCGTGGAGGGGCATCCGCTTTTGCGTCGTGAGTCGACAGCCCTTTGTATAAGACTGCCTCATCCTGTGACGCGGGCCTGTGAGATGTGGCAGATCGCTTAGAATCGAGGCCGACTCTCCATCCGTCTACCCATAACGCCCATCATGTCGCAGCCCACCAAGTCCGGCCGCGCCCGCATCCGCGATGTCATCCCCAAGCTGTATCTCGGAAAGTGGTCGCCCGGCCGCCTCAACTCCATCACCGACGTGCCGGGCGTCCTGGTGCACACGCAATCCATCGAGCCGGATCAAGATGTCCACACGGGCGTCACCACCATCCTACCGCGGAAGAACTGGCACGAGTACTCGAGCTTCGCCGGCGTCTTCCGCTTCAATGGCTGCGGTGAGATGACGGGCTCCCACTGGCTCAACGAGACGGGCCTGCTCGCGTCGCCCATCATCATCACCGCGACCTCATCTGTGGGCGAGGGCTACCGCGGCGTGACCGAGTACTGCTACCGCTACCATCGCAACGAGCAGGGCGACATGGACCTATTCATGTTCCCTCTGGTCGCTGAGACGTTCGACGGCTACCTGAGTGACCCGGCGGCCTTTGCCGTCACGCCAGAGCATGTCATCCAAGGTATCAAGAGCGCCACGGCTGACCGCGTGCCCGAGGGCAACACGGGCGGGGGCACGGGCATGATCTGCCACCGCTGGAAGGGCGGCACCGGCTCCAGCAGCCGCATTGTCAAGGGCTTCGACGTGGACGGCAATGTGCTCGACTACACTGTCGGCGTCTTGGTCCAGGCGAACTATGGCTCCCACGACACGCTCCGCATCGGCGGCGTGCCCGTAGGCAAGATCCTGCAGGACGAGGGCAGCGTCCCGTCAGCCGCGGAACGGCCCACCGACGAAGGCAAGGAACCGCGCAAGGACGGCAGCATCATCATCATCGTCGCGACGGACGCGCCTCTCATCCCCATCCAGCTGCAACGTCTGGCCACTCGGGCGACCGTCGGCCTGGGCAAGGTCGGCGGCTACGGAAGCAACACATCCGGCGACATCTTCCTGGCGTTCTCCACAGGGAACAAGGTGCCGTCGCAGGAGCTGTCCATGTCGAGCGGGCCTGGGCTGAACCCGTATCAGCCTCTCGCCAGGGCCGTGCAGATGACAGACAACGACACCATCAACGGCCTGTTCGAGGCGGCGGCAGACGCGACTGAGGAGGCCATCTACAACGCCATGGCCATGGCGGAGAGTATGACGGGCTTCAAGGACAGACATGTCGAGGCGTTGGACCTGGCCAAGGTCAAGGAGATTGTCGAGCGGCGCCTGTAGGAGTGGCCAGGTCGCTTGACGCTGACGGTCATCGGTCAAGACCAGAGCTTGACATGGTACGTGATGGGCGCAGGAGTGACAGCGCGAAACAAAAAGAAAGAAAGGATTTGATGCCAATTTCAATTCTCGGATGTGCGAGCCAACAACCGTTTTCGCGGCTGTGTCGTCGGCACAGTTGTGCCAGGTCACAACCTCTGCCGCGAGGTTAGAGCCAGCACGGCACCTGTGAGGCTCCGAGCTCCACACCTGTGATAGACCGCTACAGCTCCAGGACATTGGCATCGCCCGGTGTTGGGCCCAAAGCTGGATTACCATAAATCATCAAGACCCGTAGCGTCAAGTAGACTCGCCTGTTCCCTCGTCTGCACCATCGTTGCGAATTTGGCATTGGATCCTCGCAGCTGCCAGCCACCCTCCAATTCATCCATTCCAAGTCGCCCCTTAGCACCACCTTTGGGCGATCGCTGCGCCAAAAGAGCAGCCCGCCAGCCCATCAGCGCCCCTCGCTCAGTGGCTGCCGCGCTGGAGCCGCGAGAACCTTACCCACCCAAGCTCCTCTGCTGCTACTGTTGCTGGCCGTGCTCTCCACTGCTCGCAATTGGATTGGAACCTCCTTGTCCCGCCTCCTTGGCTGATTGGCGATTCCCATCCTCCCATACCTATTTCCTAGCCACGACAACCTCTCCGCCCCGAGCCCACGACGGCGCACACGTAGCTTGCGCGAGACGCACGCACGTTCACGCCTCGCCACGAACCGCCGCTCTCCCGAAACATGCCCGACCGCCGTCTCGCGTTGGATGCCCCTTCATGATCCCGCCCCCCAAGCCGCGCACTCATGGACCGCGCAAATGGGCCTGGCGCGGCCGCCACGCGGGCGGAGCGGTTCGAGGACGAGAAGCGCCGCATCATCGAGAGCTGCTTCAACAAGAAAGATTCCGATGGCTCGCGTACGTACTGCACAGCCCAGACGCTGCGCTTCTCCCGTCGGGACGCCGGCGCCGCTCGACGGCCCGGACGAGCTGCCGACGGGGAGGTGGGAGGCCAACAAGGCATCATCGACTGACCTAATGCAGTGCTCGAGACCTACATCACACATATCCGAATCACCGAGTACTCGTCCCATCCTACGACGCCGCCGCCCCCGCAAGCTCGGACGCCCGATTCTGAGAAGCCCCGAGTCATCATCGTCGCCGTTCGAAAGTCGGGCCGAGTCCGCATGCACAAATCCAAAGAGAACCCCACCGGTACCTTTTCCATCGGCAAGTCGTGGAATCTTGACGACCTCACCCAGATCGAGTCTTTCACCGGGCCCCAGGTGAGCCCCAACCACCGCCAATGGGGCGGCGACACGGGCTTCCTCGTCAGTCTCGGCAAGCCATACTATTGGCAGGCCCAGACCGACAAGGAGAAGAAGTTCTTCATTGCGAGCCTGATCAAGATCTACGGCAAGTACACGGGCGGCAAGATCCCCGAGCTCAGCGGCTTCGACCAACGCGAGCTCGACCAGGTCCTCGGCGCTGGGAGACGGCCGCCACCCGCGGCCGCGCCGCGGCCTCCGCCCTTGGAGCCTTCGCCTAGCCAGCCGAGCGCCCCTCCAACCGCGCCAGTCCCGCCTGTGCCTTCGGCATTGAGCACTCCAGAGCAGCCGCGCTTCCAGAAGCCGCCGACTGTACGGCCCCCGCTGAACGGCTCGAACTCCCCGGCCGCTAGCTTCGACTCGACGCGATCGGGAGAGAGGCCGCCGGCGCCGCGATGGACGGCACAGAATAACAGGAGCCAGGACTCTTTTGCGAACAGGAGCGATGATACCTCCAGCATACCGCCTCGCTCCCGGAACGGGATGGCTGGGCCTGGCGCCTTTGCGCGTTTTGGAGAGTCGAGAGAGCCGTCTGAGCCGCCGGCGGACACTCGCACTCCTCCCCAACCGCAGGCTGACGAGAAGCCGCCGCCAGAGAGAAGAAGACCGCCCATGGATCCGTCTCGCCCTCAAGACCGGGATCTGGTGCCCCCACCGCTTATGAGCCCTACCAACAAGCGAGATCCCGTCGCGCCGCCGCCGAGAAGCACAGATCGGATGTCGCCAAGAAAGGGCTCGGCCACGGGCCAAGAGCGTGGAGCTCCCACGTTGCCGAGCGCGTTCAAGGATCGAGACGTCCCGCCGCCGGCCATGGCACCTCTCGACACGACCATGAAGTCAGAGTCGCCTATGCCTGGACTGTCTCGGGGGGCGCCCGCAGCCGCCTCCGTCGCCACCACCTCGCAGCCCGAGACTCCGGCGGCCTCGACTCCTACTGCGACGGAAACCCCGCCCGTGCCAGACATCCCAGACGAGGAATCAAGACCCGGCCTGGGACCCATGATCAAGGCGAAGCGGTCCAAGGGCGACATTGCTGGTGCTCTTTGGAAGGCCGCAAGCGCCGCCAACGCTTTCCGCCCGCGTCCCGGCGGTGCTGGAGACCGCCTTCGACAGGCGCAGAACAAGACGACCATGGAGGGACCGGATGGCATCACAGGCGTCGTGCCAGCCCCGCCTCGCCCCGTGTCAAAGGACCAAAAATCAGATGCGCCAGAAGCCTCGAAACCAGCAGAGAGCGAGTCGCCTATCCCTGAGGTAAAGATTACGCCGTCAACTTCAAACCAGCTCGCGAGCAAGTCCAGCACGGAGACGGCCGCCGCGTCGGTGAAGAAGGAGGAACCTCGAAAGGAAGAGACTCCTGGACGATCAGTCGTTGCTGGAAACGACGCCAAGTACATGCAATCCCTTGGCATTGACCCAACATTTTTGGACGGCCGAAGCGAGGAGTTCGGCAAGTGGCTCGACTACTTCGGCTGGGTTCCGGGAGACCGCATGCGGGCACAGAGCATAGACGAGATGAAGGCCGATCTCGAAAGGGAGCTGAACAAGGCCCAGGCTGGCGGCTGGCTCGCCCGCTTCCAGGAGGAGGACGAGAGGGTCGGCGCCATCAAGAGAGGCATCGATGTTGCCATCGCAGAGTGTGAGGAGATGGATAATTTGCTCACCCTCTACTCTGTCGAACTCTCGGTACGTTCTTTGGGCACGACCTGGCAACTCATAGCTAACATGGCGAGCAGACTCTATCCGACGACATTTCCTACATTGAGGCTCAAGGCCAGGGTCTTCAAGTACAGACTGCCAATCAGAAGCTGCTGAGGAAGGAGCTCGAATCCCTCCTCGAGACCTGCGCCATCACCTCATCAGATCTCGAGGCACTTCGACTGGCACCGCTGGACGATCTGCGAGGCTTAGAAGAGGTCGAAACTGCCCTTGTGACGCTCTTCAAGGCTATGAGCAAGATGGATCCGTCCATTGGCACCAACGACGCGACCCCGCCTGCCGGCAGCGCGTTGGATTCCGACCGAGCCCTTGGTCTCAACAGCGACTACGGGCAGATGCGAATCGTGCAAGAGAAGAAGGACATGTATCTCCAAGAGAACGCCTACTTCATGCGACGGCTTCTCGAGGTCATGGCGCTTCAATTTGACGAGGCGTATTCTGAGACGAAGCGGTCCCTCGAAGGTGCTCTGGCGAAGAAAGTCGATCCGTCCAACTACGACGCGGGCCGTGACCTGCTCTGGAAGTACAGCCCGTTGATGCTCTACGCCAGGGATGCAGACTTGGACAACTGGAACAGGCTGGTGCAAATCTATCAAGACAAGAGCCACCCTGTTTACAAGTCGCAATTCCAGAACGTTGTGGCCATTTGGCGCAAAAACGCCCGCAAGATGACGGCCGAAGATGCCGAGCTGCTCTTCTCGTCACAGGTAGAGAAGCAGCAAGAAGGCGTGGCGAGCACTGCGCGGAAGTTGACGGTCAAGCGAAGCCAGACGTTGGCGAGAGCTCTCAGGTCGCCCCTCGCAGACGGAAGCAAAGCACATGCAACAGAAAAGGGTGGCTCAGACTCGAGGAGCTTTCCGTACGAGGTATTCGCTGGGGTTCTGGACGATCTCCTGCCGCTCGTGGAGATGGAGCAAAACTTTGTCACCGACTTCTTCCACGCCTCGACGCTGGAGCAAGTTGACTTCCCCGACGCTGTTGCGGCTAATCCGCCTCGCAATCGTCGCGGAGGGGACCTGAAGCGGCACCGCCTCATGGAGCCCGACAGGGAGCTGGCTCGTCGGGTGACCAGATCCATGGAGGTTATATTCGTCTTCCTCGAGTCCGAACTGCAACGCTTGATGGAGTGGGTGATTGGGCAAGATCCATTGTCAGTTAAACCCATTGTGCTTATTCGCTCTATGTACTAATGAGTCCTTAGGCAAGGTATTGGCGTTCTCGCCGTGCTGGAGAAGAAAATGTCGGAGATGGCCCAGTCGAATCAAGACTACCTCAACACCCTTCTCCAAAGGTTGCACAGTCTGTTGGAGGGCCGCTTCCACAAATTCGTCGATGAGCAGATCCGCGCCATCGAAGAGACAAAGGTCAAGATCAACAAGCGCAAGGGTGTCATCTCCTTCATCCGCGTCTTCCCGGCGTTCATGACCGCGGTCGAGAACATGCTTGTCGGCCTCGACTCGAACCTGGCCCTTCGCCGCACCATTGACCGCGAGTACGACCGCATTCTCAAGTCCATGTTCGACTCGCTCATGGTCATTGCCCGAGAGCACCCTGCTGCCGGCGTCGCGAGCGGGGCCGCTGATCCAGAGGACAAGGAGGCGCTCAACTTCCACATCCTGCTGATTGAGAACATGAACCACTTTATCGAAGATACGGACACGCGCGGTCTCGAGGTACTGGAGGACTGGAAGGAGCAGGCAAGCAGGGAATACCATGAGCACATGGGTCTCTACCTAAACGCCGTCATGCGACGTCCGCTGGGCAAGCTGCTGGATCACCTCGAAAATATCGAGGCGCAGATCCAGACGGGCAAGTCGCCCACGGCCATCGCCGGGCAGCCCTCCAACAGCAAGCTCATCTTCAACAAGATCCTCAGCTACTACGACTCCAAGGAGGTGCGCAAGGGCATCGAGGCACTGCGCAAGCGAGTCGAGAAGCACTTTGGCGACGCCGACGACCCTGCGCTGAGCCGCGGCCTCGTGCAGAACGTGACGAGGGAATGCGAGACCTTTTACAACGAGGTGGAGAGCCGGATAGGGCGCGTGACGACGGACGTGTACGGAGGCGAGGTGGCGTTCGAATGGCCCCGGGCCGACGTCAAGGCTGCTTTTCGCTGAGATGGCAAGGTCGTGATGGGGGCGCTGGCCGTGAGCATTGCGGGAGGTTCTGTTGCTTCTTTTACATTCATGCGGACGTATATGCTGAGGAGAGAAAGGGGGGTCTGCTGCTTCACCGTGTATGACCGAGACGCGTCGGCGGGCGGCGCGACGAACAAGCTGTTGTACAATACCATGAAGATGAGACGAAACACGTTGAACATGCGAAAGGTGCACTTGAAGTGACTCGGGATGGGAGGAGTGACGCGGCGTGTATCTTCCGTGCCTCTGTTATTGGCTGCCGCAGTAGTTCTGCCACGCCAACTTGCTACCATGGTATCAAACTGAGCGTAGGATTGCCCGAGGCAACGAAGCAAAATGCATCTCCTGCATGGAAAAGGCGAGCCTTTCTAGCTATCGCTCTCGCTCCTCTCGTTCCTCTCGTTCCTCTCGTTCCTCTCGTTCCTCTCGTTCCTCTCGTTCCTCTCGTTCCCTTCGAATACGCCGTAAATCATAGATTCGCTCTCCTTCGTCCCCAGTCTAGGTCGATATTGTCGACGTACTGCGCATGTCCCTGTGGCACACTATCCGATAGTAGGGACGAGCTGGGCCGGCCTGCCGGGCTCTGATGCTGCTGCCGCCACCTCCCAGGCATTTGAGACGGCGACGGCATCGAGGTTTGCCTCCATTTGTTGAATTGTACCGGGCCCAGCCTGTACATAACGCTCGCCAAGACGAGGAACGTCAGGGTTAGCCAGGAGGCAAGAAAAACGCCTCCGGACACGAGCTGAGACGGGATGACTCCTGGTTGCATGCTGAACAGGGCGGCCGTGGCTGTGAATGGTACGAACAACTAACAGGATCAGCACAAATAGGTCGCTAGGGCGTCCCTATATAGGAGAATAACAATTGCCGTACTCACCAAGCCGATAATTGTCAAGGTCTTGAGCAGCTCGCCGGTGAGTTGCTGCTCTGTCGCGGTTTTGCTGCCCTCCATGACGAGTTGCATTTCCAACTGTATTGTATACGTCAGACATCGGTTGTCGGGAAGGACTCGCGTTTACCAGAGAGCATATCTCTATTTGCCCACTGCATCCCTCGAGGGCAAGAGCAGCAGCAGTCGTTATGGATGTCCCGGCCTGCGTCAGCCCCGGTCGCTTGCTGCAGCGTGCAAGTGCGGCTGCACTGCTGCCACTGCCTGGGCGCGATAGGCTCAATAGCTGCCAGATTCCGGCTGCCTTGCTGGCGTGCGATGCCTCAGCTGGCTGCCGGTCGCGCCGACGCGTGCGTGGGCAAACAGAGATATGCTGGCGGGGGTAAATAGAGCCTTTCAAAGCTGCCCAAGCAACACGCACCAAGGGGGAAATACCTCGCGCGCGACGCCGGCACAGAGCTCCTGCTGCTCTTCTGCGCGGCGTTGAAGATCCCTCAAGTCGTTGATGTGATCCCCTATCAGAGCGAGCACTCTGAAAGGGGGCTTTGGATCCTGTCCACCTCGGGTCCCGTTGGATTTCAGGATATCCGACAAATACGCTGCATCTCGGCTGTTGAACCTGTCCCAAACTTCTGTCACTCGAGAGATGGAATGGATGACCTGTCGCAGTATCCTGTTCGCCTCGTTCACCATCAATTGCATCTTCTTCTTTCTTCCGAAGTCTAATGGGTCCGTCTCGCTGCCGTGCCGCGGTACGACGTTCACGGAATCATCAACCTGGCCAGTCTTAGCCGCCTTTCAACTGACGTCGAGCAGACAAAATATCGCATAGGTATTGAACTCACATAGGGCTCCAATTTTAATAGCAGCCTCGATACGACGGTATGGAGCGCATGCTTCACCTGCTTGAGACGGCACTCATATACTAAGAGGAAATACTCTCGTGGCGTCCAAGTGGGCATATTGGCATCCACGGTGCCGGTTAAGAGGGGATCAGGTTTGAAGGGTCCGCTTTGCTTGGAGTGGTAGTGCTCGACACTCTCCGACGAGGATTCTCCCTGATAATACGTATCGACAAAGAGATAGGCGACCCACGAATGGTGATCCAGGCCGGAGATGAGGCATGATATCTGTGCTTCATAGATGTTGGCTCTGAAGAGGCTAGATGCCTGGCCCTCTTCGGTGAAATCTAAATCACGAAGCTCGTGGGATCTCCGAAGAGGCTTGCCGTTTCGTTTTCTTCGCCCGTCTTCCAACAAGGGTCCTCCTTCTCGCCAGACATAGAATTGCAGGTGGAACTCGAGCGCAAAAGAAAGCGATCCGTGAGACTATTCCGAAGCGTTAGCTAGTATGAAAGCAGACTGCGGGAACATGAGAACCAACGCTTTGATGGATACCAAGGGAAGTCTTAAGCCCGAGGTACTTGTAGAAGAAATCGGGGAGGTATTGGGCTTGATCCAGCGGTGCCGTGTATGCCAACGCAAGAATCACCCAACAGTCCGGATCTGCAACGTACCTACAGTTTAACAACAACGGTTTAGCCAGGGTTTCGTGGACAGCCTGCGACTTGAATGTGTCTCACAATAGTCGACGAGCGGCATCGGGTTCGGTGCTGCAGCGGTACCGCTATATTGGGCGCAAAGTAGTCAGACAATGGCTTCTAAGCCTTATATCAAGGAAGTGGTACGTATAAATGACCGCTATGCGAGGTAGCTTGCGTACCGGTTTCCTGAGCTCGCGCAAGAGTTGGGTTGCGTTCAGCGGACCAGCGTTGTTGCGACACAGGCCCGCTTCAGTGACTTCCGTTGCCTGGTCGCTCCCGCGGGATCTGTCGTCCAACAGGACTCGCAAGGGCGTCACACGACGGTCTGTTCCCTCTTCTAATACGCTGAGACTCGCTGGGGTACAGATCGCCTCGAGCTCAACATTTTGGTATGCGCTCGGCCCGTGGGGCATTTCAGCATCACCTAATATGGAAAGGAAGGCTCGGATGAGATCGTCAACGGTTTGGGTTTCGGGCCGCCCTTGGGCCCTCGTCATCACATAAGGCGTGTTTTGCGCCTCATACAGCCGGCGCCGTGGTTCTGAGTATATGCCATTCCACTCGTATGCGGACAAATCCACCGCAGCGACGGGCATCGCTAGGAACGTTCCGGTTTTTCAACAGGGCCCGGCCTGCTGCCTGGCCTCAGATGTTATCGTGCAGTTGCCGCAACGATAATGACCGCATTGAAGGCAGGCCGGGACTATGCTGACAAAGTATGCGCCGCCGCCACACATGTCCTTGTTTAACCGTCAAGTCAGTGTCATAACGGGAGGTATTGTGATGTGACGGGACTGACACAATACCAGGCGTAATACGTCTCGGTGAGGTGAAGAGGGTGCCGAGGCGTGGACCCGGCGGGCTGCTGCTCGACGGGCGGCTCGGGCAGCTTCAAATAGGTCATCAGCCTACGACCAGGGGTGAGGGCGGGGATGAGAACAGACTGGACGGACCCTTGTGCCAGTCGGGCTGTCCATGGGGACGGCCGGGGGTGGTTGGGGTTTTAGACGAGATATATGCGTATGAGGCGGGCAGGGCGAGAAGAGGAATCGAGAGGGAGGCAGAGTTATAGCAGGTCACCGCCTGGCCCCGCAGTCAGCCCGGCCCGGAGCCTGGGGCTGACAGTGTGCGGCGCCTCGTCGATCGATTGGGCCGGGCTCGACCTTCGATGCGCCGGTCACCTGCAGGACGAAGCAAGTCACTGGCTCAGCCTGGGTTAGGCCTGCATCAACCAACAGCTGGCGAGTCTGGCGTCCGTCGGAACCGCAGACCCATACAGCGAGCATGCGCTCAAGGTCGGGGGACCTGCAGCCGAGGGGCTCCAGTAGTTGGCGTTGCTGTCAGACTTGTTTTCAGACTTGTCTCTGAATGGGGAAGAGAAGAATAAGAGGAACGAAAGATATAAGGGAAGTAGAGGAGATAAGAGGAGCGGAAAGTACGACGGGAACGGAAGGCATAATAGCAACGAGAGCAACGAGAGCAACGAGAGCAACGAGAGCAACGAGAGCAACGAGAGCAACGAGAGCAACGAGAGCAACGAGAGCAACGAGAGCAACGAGAGAAGTAAGCGGCACAATACTATGCGATACCGTGTAAAAGAAGCTATGGCTATAGTGCTTAGGGAGTTCTGTCAGGGCAATCGGTAACGGGTGCTTAGGGCAGCGTTAGCCATTATAATTTTGGCAACGCAAAAATAGGGTGGACTTTCTTGCCGGATTGCTTTACCTCGCATAACTTATATGTAGGTCAATAGAGTGGCGAAGCGGTCAGGTCCCGAGGCCTGTGCGTTGGGTCACTTTGGTGAGCCGTGCAGTACACAGACGTACTATACTTTTATTACTACGTAAGGGACTTCGTTCCCTAGATTATATGCAGAATCCCCTGTACTTTTGCTGGGGTCGATGGGACGGCAGGTGTGTCTGGGTCGCTGCTGCACGCGTCCCACTTAACGCGTCGCGACTCACACTTAACGCCACCCCAACTTCACCAACGCCAAACTCCACAACAATCCCGCCCAACTCTTTCCACCTTGGTCGTGTAAGTCGGTCCTTGAATGGCATCCACGAACGGCTCCTCCACCATTCCTTTGCATTACTCGTCCCCTGATCAACTATTCACGGCCTGAATCTACCACCGATATCTGCAGCCCTCGACGACACACAAGCGGGCCATGGCCCCCGAGACGCGCTCCCGCGGCGTGCCTCCCCCAAACCGCGTGTACAATTCGTCGCCCGCGCTGCAGCAGGTGCAGTTCCCGTCACGGCGCAAAAAGGTCCGCACGTACGGCCGGCAGTCTTCGTCGCATACTCCTTCTCTGCGGCAGCAGACGCTCACGCAGATCGACTTTGTCTCGAGCTTCGACGACGACGGCGAGGATGTCATTACCCTGACGGACAGCGAGAACGAGCCGCAGCAGGCGCCCGCGGAGCAAGGTGGCGACGGTGGCGACAAGGAGAATACAAATCCGAAAGGCAGAACGAAGGGAAAGGGCAAGGCCAAAGCGAGGGTACGCATGCAGGAGGAGGAGGATGACAAAGATGACGATGAGGAACCCGTGCCAGTGTCGAGGAGAAGAAAGAGGCCATTTACCGGCGCGACGGTCAATAAATCGAAACGACGACGAACCCTAGGCGATGATTCCCCCGATGATACGGCGGCCAGGCCAAAGGGCCTCAAGGAGAGCAAGACTTCGCGTCGGCGGACCCTGGGCGACGCACCCTCATCATCGTCCAAGTACCACACCCAGACCTTGACGCAGTTTCTTGGTCAACGCTCCTTCATCGCCGACTCCGACGATGAGGGCGACGATCTGGGTCTTGTTCCGAGCGAAGACGAAGGTGACAAGGGTAACGACGACGGTTTCATGGAGTGGCTCGGCGAACCGGGAAGCCCCAGTGTGCGACGATCCAAGACCCGACGGCGAATGTCCGCTTCACCATCGCCTCAGAGGCTGAGGGCCGGCAAGCTCAGCCAGGCGCAAGTCTGTCCGTCTAGAGAAGAGTCTGTGATACCGCAGACGCCGGCCAAGCTTACCACCACAAAAAATGCCTTGCCCGAGGAACCTCCCTCCAGCAAAGTTCTAGACTCGCCATCGACAACGCTCATCGACCGCTACGGAGCCCCAGATGCGCAGAACTCCCCGCTCAAGGACCGCGCCTCGCCTACCGCTCGGCCTTTGCAGCTGACGGGCGTGCCCAAACACCTCGACGCGACGCCCACGCGGCGGAAGCCGGCTATGGTGATACAGGACTCGTTCGCCACGACAGGCAGCTGGGCGTCTCCAAGTCGAAGCCAACACAAGGCCACTCAAAATTCGGACCTGTCAACCGCAAACACGCCAACGAAGGGTTCTTCGCGGCAGGGACGAGATGGCAGCTCCGAGCTAGGAGCCAGTTCCGTGGCTGGACGCGCGAGCATGTCTCCCAGCAAGGCCAAGAAGAACAGGTCACCAAAGAAGGTTGCTGGTGGCTTGTCTGAGATCCCTGATTCTGACGAGGAAGACGAGGGCTTTGACATCGAAAGCATGCGAGGCGGCGAGCTCGAGGTGGAACCGGACCGCGACGAGCATCGTTTCGTGGCCGGGGCAGAGACGCAGCTCGTCATGAATGAACTGGCGTCAAGCGAAGCGCTGCAGCCTTCCCTGGAGAAGAAGGCATCCTTCCTTGCCCAGTCCTCTTCGTCTCTTTCTTCAATATCGGAGCAGTCCTCGAGCGCCGCTCCCAAAGCCATCGGTTCCCCTCCAACGACTCTCCCGCAACCTGTGCCGTCCAAGCAACAGGAGCCCCCTTCGCGACGAGAGCAGCCAACCGCCAAGCCAGTCGCCAAACGCATCCGCAAGCCCCTTCACCACCCCCTATCGCCCTCGCAACCTCGTCAAAGCCAGCCCTTCGAGTCTCAGCGCGTCCACGTCTCTATCCTCCGGTCCTTGCCCCCTCCAGCAGCGCGCTCCGATATCCTCCTCCCCGTGTCCGCCGAGCAGCTCGCATCTCTCGTGAGCGGCCACGCCGTCCACGTCGTCATGCCGTTCAAGATCCCTACGCAGGTAGTCCGCTTCTGGCTCCTCGAGGGCTCGATGCTGCGATACATGGCCTGTGTCGAACACCACCAGGCCAATGAGAGACCGCTGCCATCCTCCGTAGCAGGTAAGGGGAACTCGTGGCAATACTACATCTCTCAGGTGTATGAGCTCAACAACCCCGTCTCGGAACCCGACATGCGCGAGGAGGGTTGGTGGGACGAGGGCCAGGCTATTGGCAGGTATGTTTACTTGCCGCCGGCGGTCATCGGCCAACTGCTGTGGAATCTGAGGCACGCTGTTTTTGGCGAGGGTGCCGAGGACCAAGCCTCTGACTCGGAAGAGGAGGTGGTCGCAGAGGCGGGCAGCCACGACGAGCCGCTCGAAGTGTTGCCCGCCAGGGAGCAGACGCCTCCGGGGAGCTTGACCGTCTCGCAGCAGGTCACCGCCCAGATACACAGCGACATCGCCTACTCCACGCAGTTCATCCCTTCCACGCCCCTCGGCGACAGCGAGACTCACCACGGCACCTCACCCCGAGGCGGCGACGGCACGACTCCACGCCAAGGCGAGCCCCCTTCCTCATCCATCAATCCTCCTCCACCTCCCGGCTTTGCAGCTCCATCCTCATCCTCTTCTTCCGCCCATCGTCTCCAGCAAACTCCACGACCAGCCAAGGGCACCACCTCGACCAACACCATCCGGCCCTCTCAGGCAACGACCGCATCCCAGCCATCCACGCCCGAAAAGTCCCATCCCGGTCCCCCTCGGAAGCATCACGCTCCTCCAACGCGCCCTCCCCTGCGTTCCACGACAAATACCACCACCACTGCCACCACCCACCCGCCCCTACAGCACTCCTCCAGCACCAGCCTCCACTTCCTCGACCACGGCGCCTCCCTCGTCTCCATGCCCCCCTGCTCGCCCACCTCTCCCCTCCAGCCGGGCGACTCCCCACCGCCGCCCTTCTCCTCCTCCTCCGCCACTCAGCTCCTCACAAAGAGCCAGATGCTGCCCGACAGCCTCCTCCGCGACGGGCAGCCCCCGCCGCCCCTGCCGCCGGGAACGTTTGCAAAGTCGGGCACCGCCTCTGCGCGTGAGATTTGGGACTCTGACGATGATGATGTGCCGCTGTGAGGGGGAAAAGACAAGATGGGGGAAGGAGTGAGGCTACGAGAGACTCAGTTACATGTTGGCGTGATAACTTTGGTTCGGGCCTGCGATGGCAGCACCCACAGCAGTCAAGTATATAGATAGGCATCGCAAACAACCCTCACGAGACGAATGAATGAATATTTCAGCATGCGCAAGCCAATGTCAAGTTTCGTCCTGTTCCTCGCTAGCCTTCGCGGAGTAATGTCAATTTGCAGACTCATGCGGCCAATTTCTCTCATTGTTCTGCCTATACATCAATACTTCTGCAAGTCCGGGGCCAGTCCTCTCCGACCCGGGAACAAAGAACCCATAGAAACTACCGTTTCGCCTTGCCAACAAAGCATGCCCGCAGAGCCATGAACCGTCTATCACCGTTGCTTTTCGCGCTCTCTTCCGCGTAGTTCCTATGTCCTTGTTCGTGTTGTGCGGTGCGCAAGCAGAATTTTGAACCGGCACCGCCGTTCCTTACAAGCGCCCCGGAATGCAGCGTTCCTTGTCCTTCATGATACATGCGGGAGGCTGGCTCCTCTAAACCTAACATGTCAAGTTGCCCTCGACGGCTGTGAATTTCTCGTCCTGTCACCACATTTACGACAGGTGGAAGGCACCCTGTCCTTCCTTCATTGCTGTGGACAGCTGCTTCCTCATAATCTCGACGGTGGTGTAGTCGGGGAGCTTCAGGTAGTTCACGCAGGTCATGACACTGGGGAGGTAGTCGTCAGACGTATACGGATGCTCGCTGGGCTTGCACACCACGGTGAACATGGGAGTCAAGCTCCTGAAACCTGTTGATGTGCGTTAGCATAGACATTCATGAGCAGATAGAGAAGAAGCAACATACCTCCAATTGGAAGCTTGGGGCTGCCGGTGGTGAACTGCAAGAAGTCGCGCCGCTGCGGTGTGTCGAAACTGGCCATTGTCTGCAGCAAGTTCTTGACACTTCGGCTGTCCATGTTGTAGCCGTGGTCGGCTTTGATCGAGTCGGTGAGGGCTGCAAGCACGTCAGAAAATGCCACAAAAGCGTAAATAGGGCCTAAAGGACACTTACTCTCAAGAGACCAATCCTCATCCACCTTGCCGAACAGGCTGACAAGTTCGTCGGGGGTGAAAGCGCTCAGGGCTGAGTAGGGGAAGACCTGCGAGAAGCCGGAACGGAAAGCGTCTACCTGCTGACGCACACCTGTGCCAAGGGTCATGTCGATGACCTTGTCCAAATAGGTCTCCACATTCTCCATGGTGACTCGCTTGTGAGATCCGTTGTCCTCGAGCTCGATGTTGGGGTACCCTGGCAGCGTAAAGTCCAGACAGAGATCCTCGAGGCGGACATTATCCACGACGAGGTCTGTCGTGTCGGCCACCTTTTGCGCGGGAGAGCGCTTCGCATCTTCGTCGATCTCCTTCTTCGCAAGAGCAAACTTCTTGATGACCTTCAGCGAGCGCGCCAGGCCTGGATCAACAAGCTTGACTGCGCCCAGGGACGGCTTGACGCCCGTGGAAGGGCCATCTCCAATGCGGAAGAAGATTGGGTTAAAGTGTATGTCGACGATGCGCGAGTCGATCATGGATCGGGCCACAAACTTGCCGAGCATCTTGAAGAGGTGGAGGATGCGTTCTCCATTAGGGGCCGACAGCTCCTCTTGGCTAAGGGGACGCGGGAACAGTCCGACCGGGCCCGAGACGAACTCGTCAGATCCGATCGAGTCAACTTCGCGCCAGAGCTTGAGTTTCTTCTTGGAGAACTCCTTCGATACAGTCGAGTAGAACTCCAACGTAGGGCCGAGACCGGTGCCAACCTCCTCAAAGTACTCGACTTCCAGGATGCTCTGCGACGCGCCGTACAGGTCCATGACCTTGAGCGCTGACTCGAGGATCTTGAGACGCGAGATCCGCACCTTCTGGCGCTGGAGGCGGCCAAGGAATGGTCGGTCGTTGTTTCGATCCCGACGGTTATCGTCGCCAGACTGCGCATTCTGCCATCGCGCCATCGATCGGGCATATCCGAAGGACGTCGACTGGAGGAAGAGATGTCGAGTCTCGAACGGGAAGAGGAAGGGATACAGGCGCGCCAAGTCTTCGGACCAGCTCGGCAAACAGCTGCTGGCCACGATAAGAGGCTCTTCGAGCTGACGATTGAGCTTGGCTGTGAGTTTCGTGTTGACGAATTGTGACGGCGGCTCGACGTTCAGGCTCACGGTGCTGTTGCGGTTCTCGGCCAAGACGTCCTCAATGTTGGCATTCAGCTCGTGGAGGATGTTCAACAGACGCAGGATAAAGGACGTCGTAGGGTTCTTGGCCAGCGAAGCGGGGATACCATTCTCAGTCTCTCCCTCGGCCTCCGTGGTCGATCCGAACGACTGAGGCTCTGCGGGCGGTGGACCAGGGACTCGTCGAAACTTGATGGGGTGCGTCGCCGACCAGATGCTCCGGCTAAGTAAATCATCCGAGGTCGACGTCGAGGTGTGAACTGCACGATATATCGTCGTCTCGTTTGGAATGACTCTGCTGTCGAAGCTGAACTCAATGTGCCAATCTTGCGGCGTAGCTTGCAGAGCGGATGCGTACGACATGCCCTGTGGCCGAGGTGCGGAGGTTGAGGGGGTCGGCGTGCCTTGCCCAGAGCTAGAACCAGAAACCCCGCCGGTGCGTGTGGCCAGGCCAGAGCCTCTGGGAGTAGGAACTCGCGTGCCGTCTTCCTTTCGGGCTGTAATCTTGCCACCGGTGGCAACCTCAAGACTGACAGCAGAGGGGTCATGGGTAGGTTCATCTCCGTCCTCCATGTCCTCGTCGAGCTCCCCAACGATTGCATCCAGAGCACTCGTATCATCGCCATCATCTTCATCATCAGACAGCTGCTTCTCATCGGCACATTCTAACGTGCTTTGGACATCGTCGTCATCGGCTGGGGGCGGCCGAGGGGGCGGAGGGGTATCGGCGGAAACAGGGTGACGTCGCGATGACCTGCGAAGAGTGCCTTTCTCGCGAGATGGGCCGGCAGCCTGGTCCGGAGTTGAGGGATCATGCACCGGCGGATACGACCTATTCTTGGAGCGACGCGAGTGTCGTGATCCCGACGGTGTCGAAGCCGCCGGCGGCGGGCCCCCAACAGGAGGGACCAGAGGCCCTGCGAATGGGCTGCGGTCAGCAAGGCGGGCAGCGGCAGCACTGCTTAGCGGCAAGCCACCAGCAGCACCACTAATGGCCGCAAAGGCCCTTGCCAGCCCGTCTCGACGCGCGCCCTGAGGTCGGTCCGCCAAACTGATTCGTGGACGGAGATAATCGTCCAGAGACTTGAACGTGGCAATTGCGTGAATAGACACCATGATGTTTCGGTACGGTCGCGGGATGTTGGAGTCGTCGTCTGCAACCAGTCGAAGGCGAATTTGCTTTCCCAACATCGACGCGGGGCTGCTTCGGTTGCCGTCGAATGAATTGTGATGCACAGTGATAACCTCAAAATGCTCCGACCTACTGAGCAAGTCTTGCAGCTTGTGTATCATCACGCTGAAGGGCGTCGCCGGTGATTCGGCGGTGGCCGTCTTCGGCTTCGACTTAAGAGTGTGGCCCATGAACACTTCTAAGAAGGTGGACTGAGCGGATCGAGCAAGCTCCTCGTCTGGATTGCTGAACACGTCGAGGAGCGTTCGTACGAGCCCGGACGCGAGCAGCTCGGCGCTTGTCACGCTTTCGAGCAGGTCCGTGTCAAAGTACGAGGCCAATTTGACGAAAAGCTCTCTGCCCGCTTGAGTCGAAAGGTCGGCAGACGTCCTCTTGAGGTAGAAGGCTTCGAGGTCTCCGGCCAGATCCGAAAGGGTGTTGAGGATGGCGGTCGCCTTGGACTTCATGGCTTGACCATGTCCTTCACCCTCGTGTGTCTCCAGGAACTTCTTTGCCACGTCGCGGATGCGGGACTTCATTGATCGAATGTCTGACACGTAGCGGTGAGGGGGAACATCCAGGGACATGGTAGACCCCCGAGAACTAGCCGGTGACATGTCTCCTGGGATCACCTCATGTTCTTGGTCGCCATTCTCGTCCTCGTCTTCGTCATCGCCCTCCTCGTCGTCACCCGAGGAGTCGTCACCGTCGTCATCGTTGTCGTCTTCGTTGGCGTCCTCGTCATCCGACTCCTGCTCCTCATGGTCCGAAGCGCCATCAGCAGTGCCAGAGTTGCGACGATTTTTAGATTTCTTTTCGCCTGCAGCATCCTGCGCGCCGTCGCTGGAGTCCTCTTCGGTTGCAAGCTTGTTGATCTCGTAGATGACTCCTTCGCGGTAGAGTTGGTAACGGTAGATGTTGTCGAGGCGACTCAGGAGAAGCTCGGTAGCCTGAAGGCCGAGCATGACGAGAGACGGGTGATCCCGCTGAGACAAGATCGATGCAAGGAACGAGGCATAAGGAACAGGGGTCAAGGCTTCGGCGAGAATCTCCTTGTCCAGGTTGGAAAGCATCTTGAGCTGCGCTGTGAGGACCTTTTGGCGAACACTCAGGTTCACGGTGCTCGAAAACGCATCGGTTAAGGTCGGGAAAATGATCAACGCGAACCGTCGGACTTCCTCCTTACAGTCCTCCAAGAGTTCGATCCGCTTGTCATTGGGGGTGCGCCGGCTCCTGCCACCAACCGACGATGGGGTGATTGGCTCTGTGGACGCATGAAGTTCAACAAAGTCCCCGTAGGATGGGTCAGCGTTCCGGGGGAGACTAGGAAGGAGCTCCAGAATGACATTGAGGGTCTCCACGATCTGCTCCCGGGGGCGATGGATGAGAGCCTGCATGACCACCACACTGTCCAGCTTGGAGGCGACATCTTCGGTGCCGCTCGGCGGTGAGACGCCAGTCAGTATCTGATATAGTGTCTCGACGACGTTGAGCTTGAAGAGCTCAGCAGACAGGCGCGGGCTGGCTCGGGCGGTGAATGCCAAGACGCGGAGGAACTGGGTGTGGATGTTGGATCCAATAAGATTCGTGGTGCCCGGAACCAGAAGCCTCAGGATTGCCCGCAGCAAATCGACGCTCACCAATTCTTCAAGCTTCGCAGATTGGTACTTGAAGCTCTCCACAATTCCGGACACGCAAAGTGACGCCTGTTCAACAACACGCTGGTCGCTGCTACCGAGAACGTTGAGAAGAATGGGCATGACCTCCTTAACCACGGGGAAAGAGTCGTCAGGAATGTTGCGGCAGCAGTTGGCCGCTGTGGTCACTGCCGTCCTCTGGGTGCTCGTGGCAAAGAAGTCAAGATAGGACAGACAGGCCGTCAGACCTCCCTCGCGAACGATACTCGAAGGGTACTCTGCCGAAATCTTTTCGAGTGTGCTAAGAGCCTGCTCGGCCAAGTCGATGAAGGAAATCTCGAGGAGCTTCTGGCACAGAACGGGAACAGCATTTCCATAGACGACGTTGGCCACACTTGCTGGCAAGGCTTCCATGAGATTTGCCAGGCACCGGCACGCCAATAGCATGACCTCGGGGCTCTCTTCCTTATTCATCAGAAGGACCAGCTCTTTCACGAAGGCGTCTGGGGAGAAGTGGCCGGACAAATTGTCCTCGTTCGACACGAGCAGTATCTCCGACAGTTCTTGGAGGGCAATGACCTGTATCGAGAGGTCGTCCTGACGCAGGTTGTTGAGGAGCTCACGGAGTCGGCCTGACAAGCCCGACATCATTCCGGTCAGTGCTCTCAGGGTGTTGGACAAGCCGGCGCCTCCGAATCCTCCGAAGGGATCGTCGTCGTCATCGTCCTCGTTCTCGTCGAAATGATCCCGATCCTCGGCACCATCATCGTCCTCGTCGTGGTCGTCACTATCGTCGTCGGCGGGACTTTCAACGGGCGGCGGGGGCGGAGGGGGCCCCGGATCGTTGTTCTCATCCGTTCCGCTCATAGCTGTGTCTGGGTCATTGGCGCTGATCGGGTTTCGTCTAGGTCGTCTCGCTGCCGGCGTCGGAGCTGAACCTTCGCCTTTCGCCCTCGTCAGTCAAAGTTCTTTGGTTTGGGGACAGAGAGCGGCGGATGGTACCTTGAGCTGCCGATGTCGACTTCTTACTTCGGCCAGACTTTCTACCAGAGCCAGTCACCTGGCTGGTATTCTGGGACTCGTCCGCGGGGCCAGGCACGCCGGAGCTGCGTCTGAAGAAGTTAGGTAAGAAACTTGACCGCAAATATTCTGACACTGGTTGTACATACTCTGCGTTGTCCATGTCGGCTGGAGCTGGAGCCTTGCCCTTCCTGCGCGGCTGAATGGCGGGCGTAGGAGTTGGGGCCGGCAGAGCGGCAGGCGCAGGGGCTTCGGGAATCTTCTGTCTCTTGGACCGTCGACCCGAAGAGTTTGTTTGCGAGGCGGTATTTGCGGGACTCTTGTCCGTGGCCGCCTTTCGCTTCCGGGCCTGTGGCGTGGACGCAGCGGCAGAGGAGGTCGTCGGAGCGGATGCAGGTGGCGTGTCGGAAGCTTGGGCCGCCTGGCTCGCAGCTTGGCGGGCGGAAGACCTGGTGATTCTGGGAGACATGAGTAATCTGACCTCTGATAACAGGGTGACACAAAAGCCGTCGAGCGACACGGCGTGAAGGCGGCGACGAGGTGGGGGAGCCGCCGGCGACCGGAAGCTCGAGCACGACGTTCTCGTGCCGAAGGTGACCGGGCGGCTCGCTGCACGTCGGCGCTGGCCAACAGGGTTGTGGTGGGAATTACGATGGATGCCTGGCGGCCAAAGGTGCTGCACGTGCGCGGCGACACAAGGCTGGTGCAGGTCGATGGCAGGAGGGGTCGAAGAAATGAAGAAATTATAGACAAGGTGAACGAGGGAGAGGCGAAGTAGCAGCAAGATGTTCACTTGCGAAGAGAGAGAGAGCCGGTGTCGAGTGCGTGCGTGCAGTGGAGCTGGACCAGTGAATCAGGGACGCAACCAACTCGGCGGTCCAGACAGGCAGGCAGGCACCTTGATGCTTAGTAGCAGCAAGGAACCTTGGAAGGCCGGCAGGCAGGTGCCGGGGTTCGCGACGACTGCCCAGTGGCCACAAAAAAAACTCCGGGTCCAGGTCGAACACGCAGCAGGCTGGGCGGCACCGAGCTCTGGGCTGCGAGCGACCGATGCTCGCGGGCGTTGGGATGGGATGGGATGGAACGGCTCGCACGTCTCGGCGTCGAGGGGCCACTTGAGTCGCTCGCTCGCGGGACGTGACGACTGCGGCGGTGCGGTGCGGTGCGGGCGTGGACTGGAAGGGGGAAACGGAGCTGCTGACGAGAGAGATACGGACAGAGGAGGCAGAAGGGAGAAGACAAACGACGGGCCGATGCTGCGATGCTGCGATGCTGCAACGGGTTGCTCCTTCCCTGTCTCTTATACACATCTAGATGTGTATAAGAGACAGGGACAGAGGAGGCAGAAGGGAGAAGACAAACGACGGGCCGATGCTGCGATGCTGCGATGCTGCAACGGGTTGCTCCTTCCCTCCCGTTGCGCGGGCGTGCTCGAGATGCTCGACTACGTACCTTGTAGGGCCGGCAGCGGCTGGGGCTGTCGACGGTGACGAGGCAAGTCGCGCTTCGTTATCGCCTGCCGATGTTCGTTCTGCCATGCCCGGACTACGCCATCAGGGAAGGCAGGCGCGGGACTCAGCGTCGGGGTGGGCAGGGGCGCACGAGACGACGGCAGGCAGGAGCGATGGGCGGCGGCGGCGGCGACTTCGGGAGGGGTGGCGGGCGAGGCGAGGAGAGGCGATATCGCGGGACGATGCGTACGAAGTCGAGGACAGACAGTATTTGGACGGGGTGGACGGACGGGACCCCTCTCGGTTCTAGGTAGGTACTGCTAGCGCACCGGGAGCACTACTGTTGCGTTGTATGGCCTGCTGCGGTGCACTCCGGTCGACGAGGCGGCTCATCGAGGAGGGGGCAGGGGGCCGGTCGGTCGGAGGTGCTCGATTTCGAGAGGCGGTCGCGGGGGCAGATATGGCGGAGGGGGAGGGATGAGGTGGATGAGATGGCCGGGTTGGAGGGGATGGAGGTTCGAGGTGTGTTGGGATGCGGTGGCTGAAGCGAGGATTCCCATGGCCCGCCTGTCGGTGGAGGTGAGGTTGGAGAAGGCCCACGGCAGACAACCCACCCACACCCACACCGCGTGCATGAGGTGCGTGCCCTCTCCTCGGTGGTGCTGCCAGCCCAGCCCAGCCCAGCGCGGCGAGGAGGGCGTGTGCCCGAGCCTGTGCCCTCAGTACGACATGTGCTTGTCTGCCTTGGGTGCTGTGCCGTCCCTGCTAACAGCGGCAGGCTCCAGCCATTCATTACCTTAGCTCGACCGGCCAGTGGGCGAGCTAAATGAACCTCCCGCGTCGACCCTTTGGGGAGCATGCAATTCCGCTTCAGGCATGGCGCCTGCGGCAGCGGCTTCCGGGGGGTCCAATTGGCAGCTGTACCCCCCGATTGCATGACCACCACGGCGGCATAGCATCATCGTTCAGGTGCCTCCAGCCTCCATGAACGCACTGCCCAGGTCCATGATGCTACGCGGCTGTCCCGTGAGCTCCTTCGCGGCACCCGCTCCGACAGAGCATCCTCATTATGACATATCGGGCGCGCAAACACATCTGCACGAGTCACGACCGCTTCCAAAGGGTTCCAGCCCATTGTAAATGACGTATTTGTGGCCGGAATGCATGCACCTTGTGCCGACTGGAGCCAGCGAGGCAGCGCGGTGCCCACCGCAACCTCTGCAACGCACGATATTCATTCGCCTGCCGAGTGTGATCCGCTCTTCGTCCTAGGCCGCGAGAGGTATACACTTGGGTCTACTAGTCGAGGGAAATCATTCAAAGGAAATCGAACACGTCTTGATGAGTCTATTGCTGAATCACGGCGCGCGCGCGCTATGTACACTTTCAGGTTGCCCGATCCCGCCTGTAGACATGCCACCATGATGCATCAATACCCACCCCCAGCCTTTCGTCAGGTCGGCTCCTAGGTATCGTGGCTTTCTTTTCTTCTCTACTCCTTCAGGCTGTCCTTGCCGCCGTCGTACTCGGAGACGTCGTACTCGTTCGGGTACTTGTCCAGCATGTCCTTGAGCTCCCGCATCTGGCCCTTGAGGTCGTCCGTCAGGTCCTCATAGACGTCCTCGAACATGGTCCGCAGCGCCGGCTTCTTCTCCTTCTCGGCCTCGGAGAAGCCCCGCAGGATCTCCTTGCGCAGCACGTCGCGCGTCTCCTTCTCCTTGGCCTCGTCCCAGCAGCCCTTGGCCTCCATCCACTTGCGCAGCCGCGTAATGGGGTTGTCGCGCCGCTTCCAGTCCTCCACCTCGACGCGCGCGCGGTACGCAAACGAGTCGTCCGACGTGCTGTGATGCGACACGCGGTACGTCATGCACTCGATGAGCACGGGCTTGCCGCCGTCCTGGAGCGCCATCTCGCGCGCCTTCTTGACCGACTCGCGCACCGCCCAGATGTCGTTGCCGTCGATGCGGATGGTGTCGATGCCGTAGCCGATGCCCCGGCTGGCGATGCCGTCGCCCCGGTACTGCTCCAGCGTCGGCGTCGAGATGGCGTAGCCGTTGTTGCGGCAGATGAAGACGACGGGGCACGACCGCGTCGCGGCAATGTTCATGGCCGCGTGGAAGTCGCCCTCGCTGGCCGCGCCCTCTCCGAAGAAGCAGATGGCCACCTTGGGCTTGGAGTTGGGGTCTTGCAGCCGCTGCATCTTGAGCGCGTAGCCGGCGCCCGAGGCTTGGGGCAGTTGCGTGGCAAGCGGTGACGAGATTGTGTGCTGCTCTGGTCAGGATCCAAGTACCTCAGTAGCGGGTATGCAAGGAAACGTACAATGTTGAGACGGCCACTGCCGTAGTGGATGGGCATATTCCTCCCCTTGCCGGTATCATTCTTGTTGGCAAACAGCTGCGACATGAACTCCTTGGTCGTGAAACCCCTCTCCTTGAAGAAGCCTTGCTCGCGATACTGGCAGTAGACGGGGTCCTCGGGGTCCAGCACACTTGAGCTCCCCACGCTGACGGCTTCCTCGCCCGCGCTCACCATGTAGAAGCTCAGTCGGCCTTGGCGTTGCGCATCGAACATGATGAGATCCATAATGGATATGTACAGCATATCCTTGTACAGCTTGACGACCTGCTCGTCCGTGATGTCGGGCGTGAAGGACTGGTCGACGACCTCGCCATGTTGGTCGACGACACGGTACGTCGGCAGCGCCTGGTACGACTCGGGCACCTCGTACTTGAGGGTGCTCGTGAAGGCGCTCTTGAGGGCACCCGGGAAGGAGACGTAGTCGGAATGCGGCCGCTGTGAGACGCTGCTGGCGGCGCGGACGGCAGAGGCGGCGGCCGCAGCGGGCGAGCGCGTCGTCGTCGTCGTCGTCGCCGTCGCCACGGACGTGGCCCTCCGCAGAGGCATGCTTCGCAGAACGCGGGACTTCATTTTTGGAGTGCTTGCTTCGACAGTCGCGACGATGCCCGTCTCTCCAGAAGAAGAAGGAGTAAGAGAATGGAAGGGATCTTTTTCTCCGTCGCCCCCGGCTGACGCTGACCGTTGGGGAGGATGGTGGTGGTGGTTGTCGACGGCCTGGCACGGCGATGGCGCTTTGAGCCGACAGAACCCGTGCCGGCAAACACGACGCCGTAGCCCGAGGGGAGCCCGCGCGCCTGCTACTAACCCACCGGCCCCGGATTCTTGGCGGGGCCAATTGTAGCGAGGGAGTTGTCAATGGCACGACGAGGCCATCGAGGCATGTTGCGAGCATGCGTTGCTGGCGCGTTCTCAGGATGGAAGTAGTACATCCTATCCATGGATGCTCGCACCGCCGCTCGTGCAGCGCGAGAGACCGGCACTCAGTGCCTGCTCAGTGCCGTCATGCCCCGCGCCGTTGGGGTCCGGGGTGCTGGGGGCTCCTGTAACGCCTCCATGTTCAGTGTGCCGCAGCCCTAGCCACAGCACTCGAGGAGAATATGTGCGTTTGCAGTGTTGAACATGGACAATGATTCCTGGCTCCATTGACCACATCTCGTGTGTTCCGTCACAAATATTTTCAACCTCCCCTCTGCGCCGTCGTGTTGCATCGCCAAAACCCCAGCAATCCCCCATCCCGCATCGCGCATCCCCAGACCAGCGACCGTCGACGCCCATTCCCGGCCCCACAACGGCTGCATCAAACAAGCCACAGCACCTCGTCAGCCTTGCCGGTCCAGCCCAGAGGGCGGCAATGGCCACCGCGCGCGTCCAAATCGCCTGCCTCATCGTCGGCCTCAGCATCGGCTTCGGAGCTCTCTTCTGGTACAGCCGCCGCCAGCTGCAAGCTTTCGCCAGCGGTCTCGACAGGTGGAGGCGAGAGCAGCCAGAGACGGCTCCGCCCGACTCAGAAGCGGGCGACACTACAGCTGCGGTGACGCGCAGCGATTAAGGTGAGCTTCAATGGATCTACTTCTTCTTCGTCTCCTTCTCTGTTCCTTCATTTCGATTTCAATTTTCGACTTCTCCCGAACGGGTTGCCTTCACCACGTCCCTGGCTATGCTTGGCAAGCTGCCGTCAGCCACACCAATTGTGGCGAACCGAGACAAGGCTGACCCCACATGCCCTTCAGGGACGTTTCGCCGGGTCGCATCACGCCAAAAAACTGACGACTTCTGCTTCACGCCCAGAACAACGCCCACGCCGAACCCCCCCCTCCCAATTCGACGTCCGTCGCGCGCCCCAGATACCACAAAGTCGACCATGGCGGCACGTCGAGCTCTCCGGAGCTGCACCGCCCGCTCCTTTCGTCCATCCACACAATTCGCCGCCCAAACATGCCGCCGCACCTTCGCCGCGAGCGCCGTCAGATGCGCCACGACGCCCACCGGGAACCGCGAGACGCACTTTGGCTACGAGACGGTCACCGAGGCCGAGAAGCAGCAGCGCGTCGCCGGCGTCTTCAGCAGCGTCGCCGAGTCGTATGACCGCATGAACGACTTTATGTCCCTAGGAATCCACCGCCTGTGGAAGTGCGTCCATCTCTGTGCCTCGTGTTCTTGCCCAACCTCCACGTCAGGTCAGCCAGCTAACGGATATCTGCTTCTCTTTAGGGACCACTTCGTCTCCTCGCTCAACCCCGGCGCGACCAACCCTCCCGGCCGCCCGCAGCGCATCCTCGACGTCGCCGGCGGCACCGGCGACATCGCCTTCCGCATGCTCCAGCGCGCCCACGAGTACAACGGCAACCCCAACGTGCACGTCACCATCTCCGACATCAACCCCTCCATGCTCGCCGTCGGCCGCCAGCGCTCCCTCTCCCTGCCCGCCTCCCACCAGTCCTCCCTCTCCTTCCTCGAGGCCAACGCCGAGGTCCTCCCCGCCGCCATCGAGGACAACTCGCTCGACCTCTACACCGTCGCCTTTGGCATCCGCAACTTCTCCAATATCCCCGCCGCCCTGCGCGAGGCGCACCGCGTCCTCAAGCCCGGCGGCGTCTTCGCCTGCCTCGAGTTCTCAAAGGTCGACAAGTACCCCCTTTTCAATGCCATTTACAAGCAGTGGTCGTTCAGCGCCATCCCTCTCATCGGCCAACTCGTCGCTGCCGACCGCGACAGCTACCAGTACCTGGTGGAGAGCATCGAACGCTTCCCCAGTCAGGAGGATTTCAGGGACATGATCAAGGAAGCCGGCTTTGATGTGGCCGGTCAGGGCTACGAAGACCTGACGGGGGGCATTGCCGCCATTCACCGAGGCATCAAGCCTTTGTAGAAGCTGGGGAGGACGACTACCCTGGGTGCTGAATGGCCATGTACGAGTAGTGTACTATATACATACCAAAGCTTAGAAGCCCCTCATAATGCGGACAATAGAGACGCACAGCGCAAGACCAGCACGATTACTAGTTGGCAACACAGACGTTCAGATGCCGCTCCTCTCGCATTCCAAAGGGGTCTAGCTAACATTGCCACGACTCAACTCCATACAAATCAAATGATAAGGCCAGCCCGCAACGTCGACAGCTCGGCAGCCTCCAAAGTCTTCATTAGGTACGCGTACACGAAAAAGCAGTCTCACGGAACCCCTTGCCGCCCTCGGCTTTTCCTCCAACCTTGCTCCAGAGAAACCTAGAATCACACGGCGAGAAAGTGGTATCGAAGATCACAGCTGGGTTCCACGGTCATATCTGCAAGTCGGTTGACATGTCGACCGATCAAAATCAGGAGACGTATATCGTAGGCGATCCGTCTCCACATCACTCGGCAGCCGGCGTGGCCGGCGCCGCGGGCGAGGACGTGCCGCCCTCTCCCTTGAGTCCGCCTCGGCCACGTCCACCACGGCCTCGGTCACCGCCACGACCGCCTCGGCCGCCTCGACCACCGCGTCGGTTGCTTTCGGAGTCGCTCGTGCCGCCAGCGCTGCGGTAACCGCTCGCGGAGCCGCCGCCGCGGGCATTTGCTCCCCAGTTTCCGGCACCGCCTCGGCTGTTGAACGGCTTTCCTTCTCTGTGCTGGAAGATGCGGACCAGGGGCTTCGAACGGTCTTCCTGAGTTCGCGTCTTGACGTCGTCAGGCAGGCGAGACATGGCCGCGTCGCGGTCCTCGACCGTCTTGAACTGGACCACCTTGTTCTGAGCGCCCCATTTCTCCACCTTCACAATCTTGCCCTTGTCCTCTTCGTCGAAGAGGTCACGGCACTGTTCCTCGGTGTTGACATTCATGATGAATAGGCCGACAATGTCCGACGCGGACGTCTTGGGCGCGGGAGAGGCGGTGGGTTCGGGAGCATGGGCAGATCCGTTAGCTGCTGCCTTGTCTGAGTCCTTGCCAGAGGCGCCGCCACTTGTAGGGCCCTGGCCGGGTTGCGGGGTGCCGGGCTTGAGGGCTGCGGCCGCGGGGGCGGAGGCCGCTGCCTTGGGAGGCTGGTTCGCGGACGGCTCTCGGCTGTAGGGCGGAGGCGCACCAGTCTGCGTCGATGGCTGAGCGGGAGTAGCAGGGCCGCCCGTCGACGCCGCTGGGGGAGCAGCGGCAGCACCGGGTTGTTGCTTAGCCCCACGGTGAGAGAAGTTGAACCCCTGGGCGCGCATCTCGGTGCCAATGCGTCCATCCTGGACCTCCAGCACAAGATAGCCAAAGGCAGCATCGGCCAAGTTGAAGTTCCACATGTTCTTGAACGCGCTCTCGTCCACCTGGCCGAGAGCGGCCTGGCCACCAGCCGCAGGTCCGCCGAAGGGGTTGCCGCCGGCGGCTGTGGTGGGCATCTTCTCCACGAGCTGCAGTGCGTTCTTCAAGAGGTTCTGCTGAGCCTCGTTCTGCTGGATAGCAGGCTCGACTTCGCCCTTGACCGTTTCCCAAACGTCGTTGAAGGAGGCCTTGGAGGCGGCGAGCTTTCCGCGATAGTGGTCTAGAGTGGGGTTGACACTGAACTCGTTGTAGGAGCTTCCATACCGGAAGTGCAGGCCAGCCGAGATGGAGAAGTCGGCCTTGAGGGTGACGGAAAGCTGGTTCAAGATACCCTCGCGCGCTGGGGAGGCGTGTGTGATGAAGATTCGCGTCTCGGTCGGGTCGTAAACGCGATAGGCCGTGTCCACCAGCTCCCCCATCTGCAACAGCGTAGTCCACATGGTGCCTTGACCACCAGCAATCGTGGTCCGTCCCTCGCCGTTGTCGAAAAGCTTGTGCATGACCACAGCGCCGCCAAGGCCGAGCAGTCTCAACTTGACGCCACCAATCTCAAGAAGCATGGAGCGAGCCTCGTCGATGATGTGGAGGTTGGGCACCTTGTACTCGGAAGACCGAAACTTCTCCAGTACGCGGACGTCCTCACAAGCACCCCAAACGGTATAGACGGGCACATCTAGCTTCAGTTCACCGCTGAGCAGGAGCGGCAGCTCAGACAGCGGCAGGTCGCTGGCGGGGAATCGGGTCTTGACGGGGCCGTTGCCGCCTTGCTGGATGGCCTTCTTGACGGGTTCGGAGATGAGCGGCGAATATTGGGCCACGTGCTTGAGAGTCTTCTCCACGATTCGGTCGAGCGAGGTGTCATCGTAGAAGCCAAAGTCACCGGTGTGAATAATGTGGTCGGCGCGTGCCTGCTTGGCCAGCTCGTTGAGAGATCTCAGGTTTCCTGCGACCGGGGTGACAGGCTGTCAGCAACCGTGCTTCCTTTCGTTTGCAGCCCCAAAGAAGGTTTCAAGGCCGGGGGGGGAGCACTTACCTCGAACATCTGCAATGCAGAGAACTCTGATGGGACCGGTCTGGATGACGCGGCCATGGTTGGGCAGGAGAGGTGCGGTTCCTGGCTGAAGGCTAGAGGCGCCGTTCTGGAGGTAGCCTTGGTTGTTGTATGGTCGCGACTGGCAAAAGTTAGCATCGTAGCGCAGCTGCAGCAGTGCCTGGAAACGCCGATTCTCCATGGCAGCCAAGGCCAGGAATCCCGGTAATGGCTGAGCAGACGCCGCTTGGCGATGGCTCCGGGATGGACAAAGCCGGTGGTCGGAAGGGATCAGGGCGGAGTGGTTTCTCTCGAAGCATCGAAGCAAGGAGGCGCCACGCAGAGCAAGGCGGTTTGCGTTTGTGCGGTGGCGGGAGCGTCCGACTTCTCGCACCGCCTCGATCATCGACTCTTGCAGCAAGGCCAGGGAACAGTCAAAGGGGAGGAGCAACTCACAGCAGCCATGGTAGTATCAGAGGCGCGCTCGGGTCTTGTCGCGGACTGGCAAGGAGGCGGCGGTTGTCGGCGCGGCACGGAGAAGAATGAAAGGCGGCGGCGGTCGATGGGGGAGGAGGCGACGGCCAGCGGAAGATGGGCGGAAGATGGGTCGGGTATCAAACGGATGGCGGCGAGAGAATGATGGCGGATGATGGACCGCGAAACTCAGGAGCAAGTAAGGTAAGGCAGGCAGTTTTTCGCGCCTCCGGGGGGAAAGGTACGGCTGGCTGGCGGGCTGCTAGCTGGGGATAATTTTCTGGAGAGTGAGGACGGGGGTCAAGGTTGTTTGGTTGCTTTGCCTCGTGCAGCTGGCGGGCCAGTTTGCTGCTTGACTCCCAGCTTCATAATAATCGGGGAGGGCAGTGGGTTATGCCCGATTAGGGCTAGCCTGGAGCCACGCGCGCTCGTTCGGCGGCGCATCACTGAAGCCCGCACCCCCGGCCCATTAAATCCCCTCCCCCCAGGGGATAACTCAGTGAGTGACTGCTGAACAACTGCCCAGGAGGCGCCTTCACGCAGTCACTCTGGACGGCGGTTGCTCGCGTCCGCGGGGAGCAAACAGGAGCGGGAGAAGCGGTTGGAAATGTTCCGAGCAAAGAGACACGCACGCTGTGAGGGCCGCTCGCGCGCAAGTAATCAATCCCAACTTGACTCAACAGGCTTAGCCTCCCTTGCAGTCCGTGCGATGGATGCTCCAGCTATTGCTTCAGCGCAGCTCAGCAGGCGACCTGCAAACCGAGCCAGGTAAAACAGTAGCCATCTACCCTAGAGAGGACTGCGTCCCGGTCAACTCAGCAGTTACTCGGACCCCCGAACAACGTTGTTCGTGGTTTCCAGCTGCTTCATGGTACTGTAAAGCACTTCCGGGAGCAGATGCCTTTCTGGCGACCGGGTTAGCCAACTATTCCTTGCCGCCTACATGTTGTATGATGCTGCCGACCGTGGATGTCAACCTCCACGGTGGCAGCCTCACTGGGCCGTGTTAGTTTGAGTGTGGACCTCGCCCGACGCGGCGAACCTCCCTCCCGTCCCGCTCACGGTACGTAGGACGCAAAAAGCGCCGGGCACCAGAGCGTGGCTGCACTCAGGTACCAGCCCTGAGGTCTGGTTGTCATGCAGTCGAACCAGCGCGTTACTCGCCCCGCCAACAAACCGCCTAGCCATGGAAACTCGGCCAAGGTGCGAAACTCTATGTCGCGGACCTCGTGGGCCACTGCCCTTACCTGGCCCCAAGCCCAAGTACCACTTAGACCACCAAGACCGCCACCCTCGCCGTGGAGGGTGTTGGTCCCTGAAGACGGTGGCGTGCCGCCCTGTAAAAATAGCACGAGACAGCCGGAACTCTACCTTGCCGCCAGGTCGTAGGAAGCAAGCGGCATCGCGGGGGCTAAATGGACGGACGGGCGTCACGGCGTTGGGGTATGTACGTGACGACGGGACGCGCCTGAGCATGCGCGCCTTTTGCACGTAGGTTGACGTGCATGTCCCACGTACATTATACAAACCCCTGACACACAGCGGCCTTGCCGAGTGGTATAGCGCTACCCAGCACATCCCTCAAATACGAGCCCAGACGTTGGTTCGCGAGCCTGACACGTCCAGTGATGGAGGACGGAGGTGGTCTTGTGCCCGACAGCCCGCGACTCAGTGGCCGCGCCGCCCACCTCCAGTGGGCTTCGGCAAGTTCAGGTACCCAAGCGGGGCACCGCACGACTGGTTCCAGGTGGCCGCAATGCCGCGCTGGCTGGGCTTCCGGCGGGGCCACGTGACACACTGGCCGCTTGTCCCCCAGTGAGCAAGCCATTTGATTAGCTCGCCGCGCGGGTTCCATGCTGAGTGGCATGGGGCCTTGGCTGGATCAGGACGGCGGCACTTCTTCAATCACCTGTCCCGACTTCACGACGAAACCACGGCAGCGAGGACCTCGAGACAGGCAGCGGAGCGCTCGATCGTTTCCGCAGAAGCCTCGCCACACGTGCAGGCGCGAGCATCGTCGACACCCGTCCTTCTTCACCGCGTGCCCAACAGGCCTCATGCGACGATAAACCGCCCCCCCCCCCCGACCAACGCCCACCGACTCAGGAGGTATATGTCGCGGCTCGCGCTGTCGACGACCCGAGTTCGTTTCTGTCGCGCCCACGTCGCCGCAGTGCTTGCCTGTCCATGATAGGGCTGTAAGACCGCTACCATCGGGGTCGGCCGCCCATCAAAGACAACAATACACCAGGGGATTGCGGCACCGTTGCCCCCCCCCTGTGCTTGCACTCTGCCCTCGATGATGGTGCGTCACATACTCCGTGCTCTCCCCCCTCCGCCAACTGGATGGCAGCCCTAGCGAGATCGCGTCGGAGGGGCCCAACTCCATGTCTTGTGCCAGAGACTTTGGGACGGACTGGATTGAACGCCTCACTCTCCCGCGACCCCCTCGCTGGTGGATAGGATACTCCGCCAGGTATGGTCGAGCGATTTCCAGTCATGCTGACATGCGTCGATTGCTCTCCAGACCTCATCTAGACCCCGCGACGATGTACCTGGCAGCTTTGGCAGCCGGCGAGGCCATGCCAGCCAGCTGTCCATCTCAGACCCAAGCCACCATGTGACCGAAGCGATTGGAACCTTGTATGGCGACGAAGACGACTCAGGCTCCGAAGGAGGCCGACCTCTGAGCTTCATTGACGGGTCTTCCTACCACGAACAGATTCAGAGGCCGTCGCCACAGGAGCAACGAGACAGCCAATACAGACCAAACGACGACCACCGAAGACGCCTCTCGCGATCCCTTTCGGAGCAGCCGTCCATCTCTCCGAATTCTGGCAGTGATCAGCTCAGCCTTCGCAAGACGCAGACTCTCCCCATCACGCCCCCATCGCAACGGGGCATGTCTTATGAAAATGGTGGCAAGCCACCTTTATCTCCGACATTGTCGTTGCGCGACGTCCAAGCAGATGCGACGGGCTCTCAATTTCCCTTGACCAACATTGACAATCCTAGTGATATCGCGCAGGAACTGAGCAATCTCCAGGCACTGCGGAGGCTGTCCATGGATGTCGGAAACAATATTGATCCAGACATGCCACCCATGAGCCTCTCCGTCATGCCCTCAATAGCGCCCAGCGGTGACGACGACGAAAATGACCCATCAAGACTCCTTTGGGTTCCTGCCAGGGTCCACCCGGAGCTCGCACCAACCGAGTTCAAGTCCTTTCTCGAGAAACGCGTGCAGTCTATCCGGCGGAGGTCTGGAGAGTCGTTCCTCTCTGTCGACGGTGACCTGAGCCGGAACGACTCGGGGTCATCCTTGAGGCGGAAGAAGTCCATGCTGTCTCGGCAGATAGACAACTCTGGCGGACGCGGCGCCGTCGGCTACGTTGACGGTGCCGAACGCCTCGAGCGGAAGAAATCTGTCGGGAACAGACGCCACAGTCCGGAACTCAGCCTCGAGGAGCTTGTCAAGGATCCAACCAAGGCGGTCCAGAAGCTCGCTCAAGAGTCTCAGGGTGCATCAAGTGGAATAGAGGGCAGCGCCGACGATATGCCCATCTTGCCGATGGCCCCAGGAATGGGCCTGCGCCGCTCCACCAGAACAACGTATAGGAAAGGCGGCAGCCTGCGCTCCGGCGATAAAGGCTCGTTCTCCCGGCGATACGCGAACCGCCAACAGGATAGTGAGTCGTCTGAGGCGAGCCCACCACCCACGGCGGACGCACCGCCAGGCCACTCGTTTGGTAGGGTTCAGTCTGAGCCCGTCGCCGAAAACTACTCACGCCCAACGCGATCCGTCCGGAGGCAACGCAACTTCCCACAAGACTCCCCTGCAACCTCGGGAGGTGCTGACGGTTCCTCCGAGGATCCTACTGAGAATCGTACCGCGTCTCCGCCCCAGGTCCACCAGGACCAGCTGCCAGCTCGCACCTCCTCAACCTCGTCCATGTCACCAGGCTTGGAGTCGACGTCGCCCGCGAAACGCACAGATCGTCTTGAAACCCAGTTCAACCAGCCCTCTAGATCATTTCCGCAGCGGTCGTCATCTCAGAGCGCGGCATCCGTCCACGAGAACCAGCCCGAAATCGTTGTGGAAGAGCCGCCACCTCGTTCCAGCCGACGCTCGGCAAACACCAACGTCATGAAGCACACGACACAGCCTCAATACACCTCCAAGTCGCCTGCTACGATGCAGATGCACACCATGAACGACGCTCTTGCGTCGCCTTCTTCCATTTCCGGAGGCGACGCATCCCGTACTGACAACCTCACATTCATTCCTACGCTCGCCCAAGGGGACAAGAAACCGGAAAGAAAGTCGAAGAAAGACCGGGATGACGACTCTACCAGTGGGTCCAGCAGGTCTGGCAGCGCCTGGAAATGGCTCAAGGGTGTGACGGACGACCGGGAGAAGAAGAAGGAGGAGAGCAAAAAGTCCAAGACGAGGACACTAGCCGCGAAAGCCCAGGCCCAGGACAACGCCAGGCTCGACGTCATACAGACGTCGATCGACAAGAACAGCGTCAAGGGTCGCGAAAGCCTCGTCTTGGATCGCGAGAACGTCGACAGCAAGCTTCTGGAGGAGCGCAAGAAAGAGAGCAACCGCAAGAGCGACTCCAAGAAGGACAAAGACGGCAGCATCTTTTCTTCAATATTCGGCGGCAGCAAGCGGAAAGAGGAAAAGGAAAAGGTTCACAAGAAGAACCAACATCTCCAAGTACCGGAGGACCCTCCGTACAAACCGCTGCAGCCGGACGTGGACTACAACTGGACCCGTTTCCCGCTCTTGGAAGAGAGGGCGATTTATCGGATGGCCCACATCAAGCTGGCCAACCCGCGTCGATCGCTTCTCAGCCAAGTCCTCCTGAGCAACTTCATGTACAGCTACTTGGCCATCGTCCAGGCGATGCACCCGCAAATGAACGTGCCGACCTCGCCCCAGCAGAAGCGGCTTGAGGAAGAGGCCCGGCGCAAGCAGCAGGAGCAGGAGTACCTGGCGCAGCAGCAGATGCAGGATGATCAAGACGCTGAGAACAGCCTCGATCAGTACAATTTCGACTACCACAGAGTGAGTAACGCCGGCTACGACGAGTCGACGCGTCCAACTAACCATCCCTCCCAGGCTGCTGTTCAGTATGCCGATTCTGCGGGCGACGGTCAGGTGGAGTACGTCGACGACGCTCAAATATACGAGGACGAGCACGGCAACGACAACAGTCACGAGCCCTATGGGTACGAGGGCTACGGCCACGACATGAAAGACTACTACCAATACAATGACAACGCGGACGAGGACCGGAACCACCGTCGTCAAGATGACATGTGGTGAAGCGCATCATATGTCGGCGTTTCGATTTGGCTCCCAAACTTTTTCGATTATCTATCTATATAGCCACTTCCGCGTTTTAGGCCAGCGTGGAGAATCGCGCAGGGACTGTGTACGATGCGTTGACACAATTTAGCATATGGCGGAGTTTGGGATGGAGGCACAGAGCGCGTACTAAGTTTGTCGACGTCTTGCAGGGCTCATTTATGCCAGACATCGTTTTGGGCTGGCACAGCCGAATGCAAAGATTCAAGGATGCAAACGCGATGGCTTTTGTTTCCTTGACGTCAAATGTCACTCCTCGGATGAGATACACGCGCACATAGCCTCGCAGCCTGCTGACGCGGTGGGGCGCTGAGCTGTATCAGACGCCACATGGACATCTCAATTCGACTCTACAGGAAGGCTAGACGATGGCGTGCCTGCGGGTGCGAATCATGGACCAGAATGGAGTTTAAGAGCGCAGCCTGGTATATGTGGATGACGGACTAGCCGATACAGACCCTTGATATCGGAATGCAACACCGTAGTGCGCCCCGTGGCCACATCAGAGCGAAACACGTCTCGTTTTCGAAGGCATGAGGCGATTGCCGCCAACAAGACTTCACTGAAAGCCAATGACGCACTAGAGTAGACTTGGCAGAAGGCAGCAGCGTGCCGTTTTGGAACACGTTAAAGACAAAAATGTACAGTACAGTCCCCGCCATCTATTTCTTGGGCTCCTCCTTCTTCTCCTCGGGCTTCGGCGTCGGCAGCTTGAAGGAGTCGGGCCTGCGGTCCTGACCAGGGCCGATTTGCTCCCACGCACTAGATCCACCCTCGAAGTTGCGGAAGGCCTGGGTGAGCTCCAGCGGCTCCGTGACGATGCGCTTCTTCTCCTCGTCGTAGCGGATTTCCGTGTATCCGGTGAGCGGGAAGTCCTTGCGCAGCGGGTGGCCCTCGAAGCCGTAGTCGGTCATGATTCGCCGCAGGTCGGGGTGGCCGGCGAAGAAGACGCCAAAGAGGTCGTAGACCTCGCGCTCGTACCAGTTGGCGCCATCGAAGAGGCTCGTGACGCTGGGAACCGGGGACGCCTCGTCGGCGTACGTCTTGACTCGGATGCGGGAGTTGTGGCGCACGGAGAGGAGGTTGTAGACGACCTCAAAGCGGTTGTCTCGGGTCGGGTAGTCGGCTGCGGTGATGGCGCTGACCTGGGTGAACTCGGCAGCGGTGTTGTCTGCAGACGGGTTAGGCACGACGATTGTGTGTGGGACCAAGTGGATTCGTACACTTCAGGAAGGAGAAGACGGGGATGACGCCCGAAGGGGAGATGTAGATGGTGAGCTCGTCCTTCCAGACGGAAAACTGCTGGATGTACTTGGGCATGCAGCCCATGAGCCAGGCGCCGTAGCGGTGGAGGTTGTCGGCCTTGCTCTGGTACTTGTCGGCCGGGTTGACAATGGGCGCCTTGAGAACGCCAATGTGGTCGCGGGGGGCCTTGCGCATGTTCTCCGACTCCTTGGGCATTGCGACAAATTGGCGGGCCGAGACGGAAAAGGCGCGGGCGGCATGCTCGCCGCGGCCCTGCAGCGACGGCCTTGCGGGCCGCAGGGCTGAGACGAGCGTCCGGCTGCGTGTGAGGTTGGTCGCCATGGCCGATTTCGTGCCTGCTGGTGGCCAATTGACGGTTGACTGACTGGCGTTTGCCCGGGAGGTTGCGGCGGATCGTGATGCTTTCAATGGCTGTCGGAGGTGGTCCTTTGGTGGTGGTGGACACTGGGGGCGCCAAATCTCCGAATATCTGCCGGTCATAGAAATTTACCTCCAGTCTTGCATGCATCATTACTCAGCGCCCCCGTAGCTGCCTAGCGCTCGCCACGCCTCGTCGCGCCCTGGGGAATCACGTTGGCACGTTGCGCGCTAGTCACGTGAACCGCGTTCTAGTGGCTAGTCCAGATCAAGACTAACTCAGCTGGTAACTTTCTCTTGCACAGCTTTTGCAGCGCCCTGCCTGCCTGTCTGCCACCTCCAAACCATCAATCCCTATCTACCAATATCTCTCCCCTTCGCTCCCCTCCGCCGACTCACCCTCCCGCCTCACCGTCTCTCTTTCTCTTTTTACGAGCCGCTCGCGAGGGCAAAATAGAGCCGACAGGATGGCCCCGCAGGACCAATACATAGAAGAGGAGGAGGATACATGGTAGGTTCTGCCCGTTGTGCCTGGCTGGGCTCTGCACGCGCCACCGCCTCTCGCCTGCCGCCTGCCGCCTGCTCGCCGACACTGCCTGCTAGAAAGCGCTCGCTGACAACAAACAGTCCGCTATGTATCGAAGAGTTCGACCTGACGGATCGGAACTTCCGGCCCTGTCCTTGCGGCTACAAGGTTCGTTGTGCCTTCTCGTTCGCTTCCCGGCGGCGCCTGCCCAGTCCCCGTCCACGCAACCCCGTTACTAACCTCACCGTCGTGACAGGTCTGCCAGTTCTGCTTCAACAACATCAGAAATAACATGAACGGGCTTTGCCCAGCGTGCCGACGACCCTACGACGAAAAGACAATCCAGTATAAGATTGTGTCTCCCGAGGAGTAAGTCGACACGCCCCCTTTCCCCATAACATTTCTTGGAGTGACGCATTGCTGACACGGCGTGCAGAGCGGCCGACTTTGCGAGAAACATCCAGAAGAACCAAAAGAAACGTGCTCAAGAACAGAAGCAGAAGGAAGCGCAAAAGCGTGAGGTTGAGAAAGAATCCCGGAAGAACCTCATCGGTGTACGCGTGGTCCAGAAGAACCTCGTTTACGTGACCGGCGTTGCACCGGGCGGCCGGGAAGACGAGCTGCTCAAGACGCTTAGGCGGCCAGAATACTTTGGGCAATACGGCGTCATCCAGAAGATCTCCATTTCCAACCGGAAATCCCCCGACGGTCAACACCATTCCCTCGGCGTCTACGTCACTTTCGAGAAAAACGAAGACGCCTCCAGGTGCATCCAGGCCGTTCACGGTTCAGTCAACGGAGACCGTGTACTCAAGGCGCAATATGGTACCACCAAGTACTGTTCTGCCTGGCTAAAGTTCGAGAAGTGCAACAACCCTTCTTGCATGTTTCTGCATGAGAAGGCAGATGAGGAAAACAGTTATTCCCGGCAGGACCTATCCTCTATGAACAGCATCCTTAGCCAGACACAGCGATCACCAAGCGCCGGCGGACCCTCGTCTGCACGGGCTGTTTCTCGACAGATACCCTCCCAACCTACTCCACCCCCCCTCGCAGCCCAACCCCTACAACGCTCCTCGAGCAGAGAGGGAACGGACACTACCGTTGACTCGTCCGCACTGCCCTCGTCAGCAAGCTGGGCCCGCAACCCCCAGCGGAGCCGTAGGGGCAGTCACGCCACGACCGGAACTGCTTCCAGCCCCGCCGTGTCGACATCTCTCCCCGCAACGAACGAGGCTGCGGAGCAGGGATCTCTCCCCGCTACGAACGAGGCTGTGGAGCAAGGATCTCTTGCCGCTACGAACGAGGCTGCGGAGCAAGGATCTCTCCCCGCCACGAACGAGGCTGCAGAGCCAGGAGGTGAGGATTTCTCACTCCCTGCTGGTATTGTCTTTCCTGACCGGTGTACACGAGATGAAGTGCGTTTCGTGTCTATCGCGCTTCAATCGAAGCGGCCGAGTATTAAGGATATTTACAAGACGTTGGCAAAGAGCATGGAAATGTCGCGACATTCCAACTTTCCCCCGGAGAAACGACACGGCCCCGAATATCGTCCGATGTACGACACGCACGGCGCCGATAGGCGCAGAGGCATGCGAGAGGAGAATCAAGCTGCCCGAGTCGGCGTTGGAGTCGAGCTGGGCGAAAACCAGGTCGCCTCTGAAGGCGAGCCTGAAATTGGTGGTGGCAGTCTCGCTCTCGGCGGCGAACCCGAGGAACGCGACATGGGTGGAGACGGACATGGTTTCGAGCAGCGCCAGGCCCAGCCTCCCATTCAGCGAGGCAGCACTGACGGCGTCCTGGGCGGTGCTCTGACGGGCTCTGGCTACGGTCTTGGTCCCAGTGGCAACCTGAATCGGTCCATGACACCTCAGCAATTGGCGATGAGGGGCCAGAGCGCTTACGGCGACCAGATGCCGCCGGGCATCTCGAGCCAGAACACCATGTTTCAAGGCGCCGGCCACAACCGCCAGTCGTCGCGCTACAGCTTCGCAAACGAAAACTCGAACTCGGCCACGACTGTCAGGCTCGCCGGGAACTCGAGAGCCATGGCCCAGCAGTCATCGATGATGCCCAACTACCAGACGAACCAGTACTACTCGGGCGCCGTTGCCGGGCCGCCGCCCGGCCTCAAGTCGACGGGTACGCCTCCTAGCATGTACAACCAGTTTGGTGCCGCAGGCATGGGCGGACCCCCCCGGGAGTCATCTACCGAGCTCCTACAGAACGTTGCTGGACGTAACCGAGGCGGTGGCAGCCAGCCCCACGATGCGGGAAAGCGTGAGTACATGATTTCTTCTTATCAAAACCACCAGTACCCACCTTCCTCTACCTCCACCCCAGCCCCCGCTGCCGGCCTCATGGCATCGCTCTACGGTACCCCTGGGGCATTCCAAGACTTCGGTTCCAAGCAGAAGAAGAAGGGGAAGAAGCACAGACATGCTAACACTTCCTCCTCTGGGGGGAGTGGCTTAGTCGATCTTGTGGACCCGAGCATCTTGCAAGCACGGATGCAGCACCAGTCGCAGAGCAATGCCGGAGTCGGCCAGGGACTGTTTGGAAGTCAGAGCCAAGGTGGGTACAACCCGAACATGATGTACAACGCCAATTATGCACGGTGGTAGCCGTGTGGAGGTGGTGTTTTTGCTTTTCAAGTCGCTTTTGATGTGGACACGCCATCTGTTTTTGCGTGTTTTGATGAATCTGGGGATAATGGGGGGGACTGGCGTTTCAAGGGCATTTGGGGAACGAGCCGAGAAGAGGGCGACCATCTGCTCCACGGAGCATGAGATTTGCATTTTATGTTGAGGCACGCATTGGCAAGGCCATTGAGACTCTACACCGAACGGGTCTTTCTTCCCTTGCACCAGGCGTCTACTCGATTCTTTTTCGTTGTCACAAGATCGGACGACGGCATCTCGGATTGCCATTTTCTATTCCCTTCTCCTTTCATCAGCTGTTGTTCTCATCGTCCCCCTCGGCGCGGCCGCGACGTGGTACGTTTGAAGAGTCAAGTCAGGCAAGCCATCATCGTCTTCCACGAAAGCCCCGCATGTATGTTAACAGATCGCATCGATGCGCCCTCTGGGTTGGCGGCATCTTTTGGTCGGAATAAGACACTGTACCCTCTATTCTCTCCAAGATTGCCTTCCCCTCGTTGTTCCCCGTGGAAGACGATGATGGGAAGCCGTAGCTTGACTTCCCGCTGCCCTGTACCTGTATATAATAGCGAAGCGGTGTCGTGACCCTGGCTGTGGTCGTCTGCGTTTCGTTTCTGTCTTTGGTCTCGGATACAGCAAGCTTTGTCTGCGGAAGCTGACGGGCCCTTTCAGCAGATGACGAGCTCGCCTTTGACCCCGAGGCACGAAGCTACGTGGATCAACTAGTCGATGATCCGCCCAACATGGTCACCGCGGCCGGGGTTACGACTCCAACGACTGCTGGACCTTCCATTCCCCCGGGTTTTGCTAGCTTCTACGGACACGCTGAGCCTTTGTCTCGGGCCTCGCCATCGCCCACTCCTACACGTCCAATCGGTGTGACTCCCGCGGTGCCGAGGATACCGCCGCAGGGCTTTGATCGTCGTGTTGTCTCACAGGGACAGACGGCGCAGAAGAGCGCCAGCGCCACGGCATCAGAGACGCAGCAGAAAGGTAAATTCGCGGCTAGCAACAGTGGCGCGCCGACGTTGAGCTTGGCGGAGCCAGTCCAGGGCCGGCATCGGGCTGGGCTGTCGGCCGAGGAATTCCCTACGTTGGCTCCGGCCGCAGCTTTTAGGAAACAGACCACATCGCCAGCCATCCTGACGATGCCCTCCCCATTTGTCGCTCCGGGCACCAAGAAGCAAGACAAAGGCAAAGCGCCCGAGAGACCGCCGCAGAAGGCAGCCGAGAAAGCTCCTCAGGCGACTCCGGGCACCTCCGTTCCCCCGTCTAAGCCCACAGGCAAGAAGGCGGGAAGTGCTACCCCCAAAGCAGCAAACAGGGGATCATCTGCGGACCCTGACGACGTCGTCAAGGGAAACACATCGGCCCGATCATCGGCCCAGCCTGCTCTCCCAGTTCAGCAGTCTGCTCCCAGGGCCATCCGAGTGATACCGGCTACCAAAGCCGACATCTCAAGCCAACCTTCTCCTGTCCTTTCGGTCGCGGCCAAGACGGCGGCGGGGTTCCAACGGCCAGACACACCGGGTAGTGAAATGGTTAGTGACACAGCTAGTATGGTGTCCGCTTCGGTAGACGCCTCTCGAGCAGGCTCGCCTCCGCCAGCTCGTGTCGGCACTGCAGCAGTTCGAGCCTCGACCAAGAGCTCTCAGCGCAAAGAGCGCAAGAAGGCCATGAAAGAGGAGACGAAGATCATAGTAGAAACCCCCAAATCAGAGCCGGAGGAGCACGCGCCAATCGTCGGACGCAAGAAGAAGCAGAAGAAGGAAAAGCCGCCGAAGGCACCAATTGCGCAGACTCAGGAGGAATCTTCGCTTCCGACCATCGGCAAGGGCGACGAGCCAACCAGCGTTGCCGGAAACGAGATGGCCACCAGCACCAAGACCCCGGACGAAGCCGACACCAAGGCCAAGAACCGAGGCCAGAAGAAGTTGGCCAAAGCAAAGGCCAAGGAAAAGGAGTCGCAGCCGGAGCCGCCCGCAGAGACTTTGCAACAAGAGCCGGCCCCCGCGGCCATGGAACCCGAGCCGGAATCGCAATCCCCTGAGCAAGATCGACCCAACTTTCCTTTGGGCCATATCTTCTCGGCCATACGGGATCGACTCTGGCGGGGACCTCTTGGCGGCCTGCAGATGCTCAGGACCGTCCAGGGCGAAGGACGAGGCAACGGACCACCGCGACAAGATCACGGCGGTTCGAGCGGTCCAGCCAACAAAAGTGGCTACTGTAAGGACTGTGCGTGTAAGTGCGGCGAGATCAGCGAGAACGACCTCGCGATGCTCCGTGCGGGGAAGCCGGTTCGGAAGCAGTTTCACAGCGATGGCAGTAGGATGATGATTACGCCTAATGGAGACTGCGTCCGCTCCCTGACACCCGAAGAGGAGGACGCGTTCCTCGAGCTTCAGGCGGCCATTGCCGAAACCGCCGACAACCCGGGCGTGTTTGTTGCGCCTCGCCACCAGCCCGGCAGCGGCGCATTCTCTCTCATCAAAGGACGGGCCGTCCCCAATGGCCGCCCCAACATCTTTCCGGCCACGTCGCAGCCTCAGTCCCAGGACCCGATTGGCAAGATGCAGCGCGAAGACGCGCTCAGCTACATCAACCAGTACGTCCTGCCGCGTCTGAATTTGGGCGCCAGCAACATGGGATTCCCTAAGGGGGCGTCTCCAGCCCGCGACTCGGCCGCGGCCAGCCTCAACTCGCTCGCGCCGTACTTTTACGGGCCGGACGCGGCCGCCGGCGTGGGCATTTACAGCGCGCCCGAGGGCGCCCGCGCGATGCAGGACTTTACGGGCGGCGCCGGGTTCGTGCCGCACGGCGAGGACGGGCCCAAGATTCCCGGCGGCAGCAGCAGCTTCGGTGGCATGCCACTCATGAGCGTCGAAGACGCCGAGATGGCCTTGGCGGCCGCCCGGAAGGAGACGGAGAAGCTTGAGAAGGGCCTCAACGCTGTCATTAAGCGTAACAGGCGCCTGCTGCTCGGGTCCGGCAACTGAGCGAAGCAAGGCGATGGGAAGAGGACGAGGCTGTTCGTTTTATTTTCGCGTTTCCCACTCACCCACGGCGAGGAACTCGCTACCGTGCATCATGCGGTATCTGGCCGTCATGCATGGACGGCCATCACTGCGCCGTCCCATTTTTTCAAGCGTTGGCTTGCTTGCTAGACGCCAGCGAGCTTTGTGGCATATCATGTATCATCACATGCTGTACGGACATAGATGTATCAACAAGCGCACGCATAATGCAATAATGTGTATCACTCCTATCTACAGTGGCCTTTTTTGTATCGTGATCGGAATTCGAGCCGTAGTCTGTCTGCCCAGCCGCCAATATCTTGTGAGCTCCGCAGGTGGAACACGTTACAAGCGGAACACATACGGACAGGGGGAAATCGAGCATCAGCTTAAGCATTCGCGGAGGCCCGCGCACTTTATTTGCTCCTGTTGCCAGCCATGAACAGCAACCTATCTGAAAGGGGTATCAAAGATGTATCTAGGCCACGCAGCACCACTCTCGAAAAACCAACTCGTACAAACACCGAGGAGAAGAGGGCAAGGGCAGCCCATCACGGCGACTCGTCAGCGGCTTTGGGAGGACAGTCGGCGACCTTCTTGGTCTCCCACAGCGACTCCTTAAGCCGGTCCATGAGGCGCTCCAGGATCCACTCGCTCTCCTCCTGCCCGCCCATAAGGGGACTGCGGCGGCCGACCCACGACCACTTTAGGCGCTCGCTGTCGTTGCCGTCCTCGTTGCTATTGTTGTTGTTGTTGGCGCCGGGCGACTGCTGCACGTCGCTCTCCTCGCCCGAGACCACCTCGTCCTCGGGACGACGCCGTGGCGGTTGGCCTTCTTGATCTTGGTTGTGGGGAGAACCTTCCCCCTCTCGCTCGGCTCCGTGGGCGGCACGGCCGCGGCGGTGGTGATTGTGGTTGTGCTTCTTGTGATGATTGCCCTTCTTCTTGTGCTTGTGCTTCTGCTTAGGAAGCGCCTTGCGGTGTGTGTCCGGGTCGCGCTCGTCCTCGCCGATGAGGCCCAGGTACCACGCCCACTCCTCAAAGGTGTAGCGCCGGGGATTAGCCTCGCGGACATGCTTTGCGACGTTCTGTATCTCCGAGATGAGGAGGAGGTGCAGGTCGTGCCCAGTGGGCAGGTTCCCGAGCCTGCGGCGAACGACAGACAGCGAGCGGCGCCCGTGCGTCGACATGGGCTCAAGGTTGCTCCTGGTGGCGGCGTCTGAAGTGCCGCTTGGCGGCGAACCATCGGTGGCGTTGGACGAGGTCTTCGCCATGCCGTCGCGGTTGGAGCTCGGGGTCGAGAGCCGGTCCTTGAGCTTGTATCCCACTGGGGAGTCGTCGGCCCCAGAGCGCTGCTTCTCGAGGTCGTGAGAAGCACCGCCCATGCAGTCGAACAACGAACCCAGAGAGAGCTGATGGGCCACATACTTGACGTAATCGGTGAAGCCGCGCTCTCCCGGGAGAATGGTGATGTTGCCAAGGGTGATGGTGGCGTCTCGAATGAACACGACCACTGTGTCGCCCGCGTTGGAGATGAGGACTGTCATGGTCGGCAACGCCATGAGGGACCAAAAGACGAAAAAGGACTTTCCGGCGTTGGACGTGGGCACGACATCGCCGTAGCCGATGGTGATGAGCGACACGAAGCAGAAGTAGACGCCATCAAAGTACGTCCAGCCCTGGTACTTCTCCTCGCACTTCTTGAAGATGAAGGCGCCCAGAAGCCACAGGACGAGCCATGATCCGGTAGATATGGCCATTGCGACCCATTTCCTCCGCTGCGACGCCTTTTCCTGGATCTTGCGCATCAGCTCAAACTCGGTCCGGCGACGCTCAAACTCGCCGGGGGGCGGCTCGTCAAGCGTCGGCTCTCGCTGGATGGGTGTCAAAACATCATCCTTGCCCTTCTTCGTTATTGTCCGGATGACACGGCGGCGGTTCTTCTCCTCCATTCTGGCGTCGAGTGCCCGGCGGCCACGCTCGAGGATCATGCTGCGAATCGAGCTGATGACCAGACCGAGGCTAATAACGCCGATGAGGGCGTAAGGGAACAGCAAGGCTCTCGCAAGCGTGGTCGAGGCAGTGAAGTCGCCAAAGCCGACGGTGAAGAGTGTGACGTCGGCAAAGTATACGCCGTCTAGGTAGTTCCAGCCCTCGATAGACGAGAATATCAGGGCGCCAAGCAGTAGGTACATGAGGAACATGATGGTCTGCAGCATGAGGGTTCGCTGGCTAGGGGTGAGGTTGAAGTCTTTGCTGTAATGTCCATAGGATGCGCCCAAAAAGGTCACAAGCATCAGAGAGGCGTCTATGAAGTAGAGAATGGCGGCCCAGATTCCGTAGTAGAACGCTTGAGACCAGACAATCTCGTTGGCGGGGATGCCGTTCAGGTCGTCGTCCAAGGGCCCCGCGGCGGTCGCATTCAAGGCGATCAGACATATGGCGGAGATGTACCTGATCGGGGTCAGCACCGCGGGCCATCTACATAGTCTGCTAGGGGTCATGGGGCTCGCACCATCCGACTATTGTAATCGGCTGCGCGATGGAGAAGCGAACTCTCTTAGTCATGTTCAGCAGAAGGAACATGTTGGAGACGAGGGCCACGGCCAGCTGAACAGCGTTGACGATGGTGAGCCTAGCACGGGTGTTAGTCGAGCGCAGCTGGGCAGCATCGCCGAAAGATCAACTCACCAGGCGGGATCCGGAAGAAAGGTGGCATTGTCAATGTCTGTATTCGGCGGCCACCATTGTCTCCATTGGCGCACCAAGGCGCAGATGCTGAAGGCAGAGGCGACGGGGCCGAGGGTTCCGGCTATCATGGGAAACGCCGACGAGGCGAACCACCAGCGGCTGCATGGCAAGCTGTCAGTGGCTGTCCACGAGAAAGCTGGACAAGGGTAGCACTGACCTCGGCGCGAGATGGACCTCGTCATTTTGGAAGCGAGACTCTGGCGAGATTTTGTGCGCGAGCTCCTCTTCTACCTCGGCCGTATGCTCGTCGATGGGGCCCTGGAGGCTGCCATCGTCCATGGTGTCGCTCAGAATCGTGTCTCTGGGAGCGTCGAACGTGCCGGACGGATACTGAGAAAGAGGAGCTGATGAGGTCGGCAGCCTCGGTTCCGGTAGTAACGTAGGTGACGTTTGGCGGAGGTTGACCACAAGGTGTCTACGGTCCTCGAAAGTCGGCGCGAAAGGCTGCGTGGTGATGCATTTACGAAGTAGAGCAACCGTCTGCTTTGGGATGCCAAGAGTACGAAGGGACAGGTGGAGAAGAGGAAGAAGATGCAAGCTTGGGGGGGGATAGGACTGTAGGGAGGAAAAGGCTAGCGATACTACGTCTGGAGAAATGGGGGCGAGGGCGAGAAAGCTTGTGTCGGGGAGAGTATAATGAGGTTAGTATCTCGATGCAAGGCCTGGAACGCGGCGACGCGGAAACCGGGCTTGCAAGTCGGGCCAGCCACTGGAGCCCGCATGACGTCGCGCCGGCAGCCACGACCCGACCTTACTGGGCCGCTTGTCGCTGAGGTGCGGGTGATCTGCCGCCCAGGGCAGTAGAGCCTCAGTGCATTCCCGGCGGCACAGCAGGCGCCCCGCCCGCCGTGGGCGCCCGAGCCACGGGCAGGCAGGCCGCTGGAGAGAGCCGCCTCTGTCCCCTGGAGCCACCTGCGTGACAGAGGGGGCTGGCAGCCCGGTTTTGCGCCGCGCGCGACTGCCACACTTACAGGTTACAGGTTCCAATGGGGGGTCGCGTGGCCCCGATTGGCGACGGATCGCCTATCTGGCGGGCTCTCGGGCTTGCTCTAGCGGCAACGGTTCAAGGCGCCTAGCCCAACCCAGCGCAGTGCAGTTGGTCGGGTTCCACCAACCTTCAAAGTGCTCCAGGGCTGTTCGTTTGTGCTGCAGCGCCCCCTGCTCCAGGCTGCTGCAGCTTGCACAACCAGCACTCGCCGTCGTGGCGGGCCAATTGACGCAAGCCCATTCACTCCGTTCACTCACCTCACCCTCATTTTGCTCGTCACACCTCGACGCCACGCGCGCAGACGCGTTTCGGCTACCGGCACTCACGTCTCCTCCCTGACGTCTGCAAGCTTCCAAGCTTCCAGCTCCATCTCAGATCGGTCGTCATCAATCGCGAATTCGGATCTGACCGGTAATGCCCACCCTCAAGCCCGGAAGCGCGGCGGTGCTTTCCTCTCAGCAGTGAGCATCGTTGGCCTGACCCCCTATACTTCCTCGTCGCCCTCTGTCTTGACCGCCGCTGATCGCTGCGCCAGGAAGTGGTGTGGTGGACAAACCACACATGCATGAGATCGACTCTGCCACCAATGCCCAACGTCTCCCGCGAGGAGGATGCAGAAATGGGCTGCTGCGCTCCGCGTGTTCACGCCGCGGACCTGTCGCAGAGCCTACAGCTCCGGCGGCCGACCTGAGAGAGTCGACGTGAGATGCGGTTCTGCTGGCCATGTATCGATCGAGTGCGTTTGCTTCCCTGACAGAACTCGTTGCGCTCAGGACTGACGTGAGTGCAAAGCCTGTACAATGCTCCAACCTCCCGCCCCGACTCAGCGCTGTTAATTCATCTCCCTGCCTTTCCAGCAAACGGAAATCATGAGCCCACACTCCCCAGCTTCCTCGAGCACATGCCCGTCGCCAGCATCAACTACCGATGGCGGCCGGGCTACCTTCCCGTCGGCAAAGACAACGCCTCAGTGCCCATGTTTTGGCCGACTCCAATCCACGACGCGGCGTTTGCCTACGCCTGGCTCGTGGAGAACCTGGCGCCGCCGAAGAACGGTCGGCGTAACATCTACGTCTACGGGTCTTACCTCGGCGCCGGCCTTGCCATGTCCTTGTCCCTTACCGAGACGCACGCTCACTCGCGCTTCGGCATTCGAGGCGTTGCGGCGTACAACGGCATCTACAACTGGACAATGTTTTTGCCCGACCACCGGATCAACAAGCCGCCTAAACGCGGGCGGATAGGAGCGCGCGTCACGCAGGAGCTGACAGAGGAATCTCATATCCAGCATTTACGAGAAGCAATGCCCGACTTGTTTGACAGCCCGTCGAATCTCTTCGATCCGTTTGCTAGCCCGAGTCTGTTCTTTCACAGCCCTGGACTGCACGTTCCGCCGTCCTTTACCATGTCCATGGACGATTTAGCAGCAATAGACACCATGACATCCGACGATGACGAGCCAATGATCCCGATCAAAACACCACGAAAGTCACACCTCATATACCCCCCACGCCAGTCGACACTCAAGATACCCCAAACACTTCTTCTCTACGATTCTCAGCCGCAGACGACACCATCAACCACCAAATCAGGACGACCGAAGAAGAGAGCCAAGGCGCCCGGCAACTCGTTTGAGTCTCAGGCCTACGAGCTGGTAGAGCTGATGCGGCGCAGCATAGACGTCGTCGAGCTGAAGGAGCGCAGCAAATGGGACGAGGACGTGCAAGACAAGGAGCACGAAAAGTACCGGAGGGTCCAGGTCGTCCACGCCGGGCCAGAGACGGAGGCGACCGAGCTCGGCACAGGCGGGCAACAGATGGTGTCAGCCTGGCTGCGGGATAAACTGTGATTTATCCGAGTGAATCTAGATGATTGAAACGTGTCGATCGTCACTCTCGTAGATGAAGGAGGCGCCAGGTCTGGTCGGCCGTGGCGGTCGGGAGGTGGTGGGTCTGACCACGGGCCTTCTTAAGCAAAAATACGCGCTCATTCCCCACCGGCCAAATGGTCTAGTGGTATGATTCTTGCTTTGGGCTAGCTCAGCTGCAAGAGGTCCCGTGTTCAATCCACGGTTTGGCCCCAGGTGTTTATCTTTTTGCCATTTCTACGTCTGAGCCGGCCGGCTTTGTTTTTGGTCGCCGTCTCTCATGGCGATATGTTGACGTCTTGTTCTTTGCGCTGGCGACGAATGACGAGTATTTCCTTTTTGAGTTTTTTCTCCCGGGACATGCAGCATGTACGAAGTACTGTACCACCACTGCATGCAAGACGCCCACCGATGTCATGCATCAGACGACCGCTCAGTCAGTGGCGGCGCCGGAAATTACAGGGTCTCTAGAGGTTAATGAAAGCCCCGGGTGTTAATCACTCTTCTTCCCGCGACTGCTTTTTTCTCACTTTACCCGCCGCTGCACTGTGTTGCCACGACGAGCTTCGTTGCGCAACAGTCTGTCGCTGGGGCAAGTGGATCGCCCAGCGGTAGGTACTCGCTGGGTAAACGCGGCTGCGGCATGGGCTGTGCCCTCGAGGTGTTGGCCAGGTCCGTGATGCGTCACACAAGCATGGGGAACGGGGGCGCTTATACACGGCCATGGTACGCAGCCACCGACCTCCACTGTTCCGCGCGGCGGATAGAACCTGGAACGTCGACAATGGATTGTCCCGGCGGCGGCGGCCTCCAGCTCTCTCACTCTGAGCTGGTGGACCGCTCCGTCGCAGGGCCATGTCATGGATCCTTGGAGCTTGGTAGTCCATCCGTGCCTGGTAGCACTAACACGTCCAGCCGGTGATAATGGAAGTGAAACTGGACGTGCCCAGCTCAGATCTTGAGCTCAACTCTCCGGGAAGGCATGCATTTGAGTGCTACATACGGATATGCTGGAGTGCGGAACAGATGGGCGCTTCGTCCAAATTTAGCAGCTCCGAGTCTCGTCATTTCCTACGAGGTATATCCCGGCCATTCCGTTTGATGCCGCCGGGCGCTGCCACGACCTGGCTGGCTGGCTGGCTGGCTGGCATGCAATCCCAATGTTGGCTCCTCACCACCACCTCACCTCCCACCGCCCACAGGCAGGTAGTGCCACCCCCCACAGTTGCGCGCCAGCGGCGCTCCCCCAACCATGGCCCCTGGAGGCGTTCACGAGGACCCTGGTCCCACCTAAAACGGCGGCCGCCCAGTGGCTTGGCCCCCCAGGCCCCGTTGATGAAGCTCCAACGGCTGCTGGTCCGTCTTGCTGCCGTCACGACTTGCTATCGACGTCGGGTACCCGTCAAGGGCAGCTTCGGTGTCCCTGCCTTGGCCATTGCACATCAAGTACGGAGTACATACTAATAACGTGCAACTGCGGTGCCCGCCCAGTGGCAGGGACGGGAGGGACGACGTCAGACGCGCCCGCTCTTGCGAAGAGAGCTTGCCGCCGTTTCAGCGAACCCCGGGCCTGCCACCTGCACCACCCGCGACCACCACCTGCAGCTGTGGCCCCCGTTTAGTGGTCGCTCGGGTAGGGCGTGCAGCGCAGTTGAGCCTGTCCGATGGCGCAGGAAGCGCAGCCCAGGGTTTCATTGCCCAGGGCAGGACCGCCCCGGGCAGTGGAGGCGACGGGAGGCCGTACGGATTCGGTACAGGTACAGTACCTCCCAGGCGGATGGCTGTAGGTAGGCGGTAGGTAGAGGGCACACACAGCAGCGCAGCCACATCAGTGAGTGGACTGCCTGCCCGGGTGGGGAGCTACCTACCGCTGACGGTACCTGCCGCTGGTCACGCACCCCTCCCGCGCCAGCGAGCTTTCCCCAGACAGCTTGTCCTGCCACGGGTGACCCTTCGTCTTCGTTTCCTTCCTTTCCTGACCTCTTTCTTCTCTTCTCTCCCCTTTCCCCTCCTCCCTCCTCTTGTCTCGTCCTCATCTCTCGTCTCCTCCTCTCACCTCGGATACTCTTCTCGTCTACATCAAACACCTCGCCGCCCGCCAACAGCAACAAGACTGCTTTTATTATCCGCGCGCAGAGGCAGCCACCACCCCCCTTGTTTGTTAGAAGGTGAGTCGCCCCCAACCCCAACTGTGGATGCGCGCCCGCCCGCCCGCCGCTGTGGCCAACCCTTTGCCGTGTCTCCAACGGCAGTCGGCTTGAGCCAAGACGCGGACTCGGGCGCGCCGCGCCACGAGGGCAGAGCTCCACGTCTGACAGCACGCTGACTCGGACACGCAGAACGTATACCTTTCAGACGGCAAGAACAAAAAAATTAGAACATTTCAAGATGCCTGGCATTCGTGAGTACACCCCAGCTGCCCCTGCGGTCACAAGTCTTCCTTTTTGACTGCGTTTTGACCGCTTGTGTTTTTCTTACCTGCGACGTTTGTTCTGACGCTGTGCCTGCAGCTCTCGGAGCTCTCGACAACCTCAAGGCCAAGCTCAAGGCTGCCTTCAAGAAGAAGGGCGAGAAGAAGCCCGCCGAGGACAAGCCCGCCGACGCGAAGCCCGCTGATGCCGCTGCCACCACGACGCCTGCCGCTCCCCCGACGGAGACCAAGCCTAGCGAGCCTGCTCCTGCCGGTGAGTTCCTCACAGACCCAGGCACAGAGAACATCGTTGACTGATTCTAAATCTAGCTGAGCCCACGCCTGCTACTGAGCCCACCAAGGCTGAGGCCAAACCTGAGACTGCCGCCGAGGCCGCTCCTGTGACTGATGCAGCCAAGGCTGCTGAGACGACTCCGGGTAAGTTGGCCCAAGCTGCTCTTCTGCGTTCTGGATGCTCATACTCGCCAGCTCCTGTCGAGCCCGCCAAGGTCGAGGCTGCACCCACCACTGAAGCCGCTCCCGCTGCTGAGGCTGCCGCCACCGAGGCCAAGAAGGAAGAGATTCCTCCTGCCCCTACCGCTGCGGCTGCTGTTGCCCCCGCTCCCACTGCATAATCGCCGTTCCTTGCCTGCCTCGAGGGCATTGCCGACAGAGGCCATGATTCTCACGCCGAACGAAGGGCTCGCTATTTGAAGCGCTGAAGCTTCAGAAGCGACTGCCACGGGACGAGGGTGGGTCTCGGGCCTTGGTTTCATTCTGGTCTGGCTGTGTTTGTTTGTTGGTGCGCTGGATACCCTGGGCAGAGGAGCGGCGGATGTGCTTGAACTTATACCCCACACCGCGCCGTCTCTGTCTTCGCCGCGATGGTTGTCTTTCTACTATAATGGACTGGTAGTCTAAATACATGGTTCCGTGATGAGCGCCATCGCCTGCCTATGAGTCTATGTCGAACCTTTTGCAGCAGTCGTACTTTTAGCCCGCTGCACCTGTCAAATTCAAATCGTCCTGGTAATGAAGAAAGCATAGATGCTGAAGATGAGACAGTTCGTTGTGGACATGCAACATTGCTGGCTACCATGCACACTCTGCGTACGAGACCTGTAACACAATGCCGTGCAAGGAATGCAGAGCCTATCAGGCATCTCTTGCCCACGGAGCCTTTGTAACCGTGATTTGCGCGGCCGTCGAGCCGGAATCGGATGCCCTGCCCGGGGGTGGTCTCATCCCCAACGTACCGCTCCTGGGGCCGGGAGGGTTCGCTCTTGTATATGGGATCCCCGAACCCGAGGCAGGGGGCATCCTGGTTGCCTGGGCCCATGGCGCGGCAGTGCCGGCCCCAGAAGGAGGAGGTGGCATCGGGGCCTGCGCAGATCCCGCGGCTGCGATGGGCTGATTGGCCATGTGCACGCTCTGCTGCGGCGCCGACGCGTGCGGGTCGACGTCCCAGGAGAAGAGGGAGCCGAAAGGGAAGTGCTGGACGACGGGGAACTTGGAGAGGACCTCCGCGTTGAACATCTTGATCATGCCCTTGTTGATCTTGCCCCAGCCGTCGCGGATGCCCGAGATGTCGAAGAGGATGGGGGAGTGCTCCCAAAAGGGGCCCGTCTTGACGTCGTTGATGAAGCCGATGGCGGAGAAGTACATGTTGGAGTGGCGCTGGTCGTCGACGACGGCGCGGTTGGTGACGGCGCTGGGCTTGGGGGCGCCGGGGACCGAGCCCTCGAGCGGCATGGGGTCCGTGGAGGAGGCGTGGATGGGGCGCGTGAGCTGCGCGGAGCCGAAGATGTAGGGGACGAAGGAGTGGTCGTCGAGGCCCCAGACGCCGTGGGAGCCGGCGGGCTCGAGGTTGTATGTGAGGATGAGCTTGCGCACGACACGGAGATACCTGATGGGGAGCGTCAGTTGCGACAGGTGTGTGATAAGGACCGTCAGACTTACGGCTCGAAGACGTTGAGCACAATCTCGCGCTCGATGCTCCCATCCACGTCTGACCCGTCCTTGAAGAAGCCCAGCTTCCAAAGACAGCCTATGAAGGCCACGAAGCTGAGCTCATGGCCGGTGCCGTAGTCGAGCCGCTGCGGGCTGCCAAACGCGCCGAGGAGGTAGCTCCCAACCTCGTCCCTGGCCGCGCCGGCGCCCAGGTCGAGGGCCTCGCCGAGCAGGCCCGCGCGCAGCAGACCATCGAGCTTGTCCTCGACGAGGGCGTGCCACGTGCGGAAGCTGACATTGCCGAACCTGCGCGGACCGGGGTCGGGCGGCGCCTGCTCGACGAGGCCTTCTACTTCGGAGAGAAGCTTCTGGAGGGCCTGAATGGAGGGCACGGAGGTAGAGGAGCCGGCTTTCAGGGGGAATATGGTAGCCCGACGGGAGGTGGTGGCGGTGGTGCTGGTGGCTGGCGAGGGTGAGGTTGTAGAAGACGGCGGCGGCGGCGGCGGCGGCGGCGGCGGCGGCGCGGGGACGGCAAGGTCTGAGGGTAGGCGCGGGCAGAGGGCGCGGTTGAGCTGGAGGATGAAGACACCGATGTCTCGGTACGCGAGGGAGGTGAGGAAGCGCTCGACGTCGGGGCCCTCGTTGATGCGTTTGACGGGCTTGGCGAAGGACGGCGGGGAGCTGGCGTCAATGAGTTGCAGGGTAGGGAGAGGTGCGGGGGCTCCCGCGGCGGCGACGGAGGCCATAGCGGCGGTGATGCTGGTTTTGCTGCGTGCGTCGCTGTCTGACCAGGTGGCAAGGACTTAAATTGAATGGATTCTTGTCGCCAGGTGTAAAGAGGGGGTAGTGGTGCGTGTCGAATGCGGGCGTGAGGGAGAGACTGGTTTGGGATGCTGTGCGAGAGTTGAGGACCCGCGTGGAGTTTTGGGGTGGCATCACGCGTTGATGGAGCTGCCCCTCGCAGGAGGGGCATTCTCGGGGGTGACGTGCGGGGTTAGTCAGCGGACGACACTCGCGCACAGCGGGCGCCCATGGGGAGTGCCCATATTACGTTTTGGTTCGCACGTCACTGTGAGGATTGGGGGAGTGTGGATTACTGCAGATATTGAAGTGCCCTGATGTTTCTTAGGCAAAGGAAGCTCGCCGTTGTGAAGGTTGAATGCCCTGTTTGCAAGATGCTCATCGTTTGCCAGGGTTAGCGAGGGGATTGGTGGCCGGCCAATGTCAGTCTCTGTTCAGTTGAGCCAGCCAATAAAGTTTGATGATCTTGCCGAAGTGGCATAGCCTGCAGAAATTCCTATCGAATTGCGTTGGAAGGCGGATGGTAAAGATTGCAGTGACAAGCTCGTATAAGTCGCTGCCTCAGGTGCTGCCTCCCGAAGCCAATGACGAGACGTACTCGTACCTTCCAGGTTAGCTCCGGCAGGGGCCACCCACGTGGGTCGCCCCACCCGAGCTTTGGGCCCCATCGCGTTTACCTTCGTCAACCGCGTCTGCGACGAGCTCCACCCCTTTCACCCGTTACTAGCACTCTCATGATCATGAAGGTACGAACACCGTGCTAGTGCACCGGCCAGTCTGCAGCAGGGCGATTCGCAATCCTCGCCGCCATAGCCCTCGCATGGGCTCATTGGCTGGCCGTCCAATGTCCAGAATCGCCGTGCCACACTTCTTGGTGTAACTCGACCATCAGCACGCCCAATCACACTGTTCACCAATCACCATGCCGCGCCCCGGCCTTCGGCCTGGGACCGCAACGGGGTCGGAGCCCACGGAGACGGAGACAAACACGGTGCCAGCACGCTCGACGCGCCAGACGCGATCCCGTGCGCTGATGGCCACCGCGGGACGAGAGAACGCGCCGAAGAGCGCCAGAACGAAACGTGCACTCCAGGGCGGGTCACCTGAGCCATCGTCAAAGAGGCAAGCCGGCCGCACGAGGAACCGCACCACGGCCACTGTCTTTACTCGCAACAATGGCAGGCCAGCCGAGCATGAAGAGGATGAGGCGCCGCGAGATCAGCACTTCTACAACAGGATCAATGCGACCGCGGGAGCAGCCCGGTCGCAAGCACCTCAAGTTGGATCGGACCCACCAGCTCAGCAGTTGCTGGATGAGACTCAGCGAGTGTCGAACGACGCCTGGGACGGAACGAGCGGTAATGACAGGGAAATTGCCATCGAGGTCTCAGAGCAGAATCAGAGTGCCGCCTCGTCGAAGTCCAAGCAAAGGGTGGATGGCATTTACGAGGTTCCGGACGACGGTGGTAACAACAACGCTGGCAGGAAGTCGAGTCGGCACCAGAAAGCCCCCTCGCCCGAGTTGGGCGGCAATGGGTCGTCTTACGAGCCGTCGGATGAAGAGAGCGAACAGCTGGATGGCCACGAGTCTCCAGACGAGGAGCAGCATGGTCCCGAGCCAGATCTTGGTGCAAAGGATACAACTAGAGTCGAAGAGGGAGTGCCCATCACTCTCAATATCCCAGACACACCAGAGAGCGCCAAGGATTCCGAGGCTCCTGAAGACGAAGCATCGACAGTTGGCCTGGAGAAGCTGAGGCTAATGCTGAAACTCATGGGGCGGCGCGGCTGGACGGGAGACAATGACTACGAAGACAATTTACTCCGCGGCAACCATGAGAGCGCTAGCGACTGGCAAAAGCGTCACGGAGTGCAACTTGGGACACACAACCTGAGGATCTTGTTCGATAGAGCGCACCGGCTGATGAAAGTCATCGAACCGATCCCGAGGGTACCGCAATACGGAGAGCAGGTCGACTACTTTCGTGATAAGAAGGAAGATATCGAGAAGGCGCTGAATTCAGTACAACGAGCGACTGTTCGTGTCGTGGGAGAGATGTCAAGCGAGGAGGACTCCCCGGATCTGCGGAAGCGACGGGGGAAAGCTGCCAGGAAAGCCATCTGCGGCAAGATCATGCCAATGCTAACTCTCTGCCTGAAAGAGGCCTTCCTCGTGGGCACGAATCTAACATCAGACATTGATGCCCCTCTCCCAGCGGAAGGAATCTTCATCCCATCTGCTCTCGACTTGCTTCGCCTCGTTCTCGACTGGTGCCTCCAGCTGTACGAAGCGTTGGCACCGCAACTTGACGAAACCCAACTAAGGCCCGAAACCAAGGATGCACAGACGGCGCTGAACAATCGTCGGCGGCTTAGAACGTACCTGGAACACTCACACCGGACACTTAAAAAGGCGAGGAATCCTGCGGAGGAGCGTTTGCGGAGACAACAAGCGATTGAGATGAGTGAGGAGGCGCGCAAGAGGCGCGAGGAGAAAGCGAAAGACGAGCGCGAGAAGCAGGAGCGCCAAATGCAACTGGTTCGGGAAGCGTCGCAAAGGATTCTCATTGAGGACAAATACCTGAAAGAGCACGGCTGGCACATGTGGGAGGACGAGGCACTGCGCGACACGATCGAAAAAGTCTCGAACCCAAAGATCGAGACGCTGGTAAGCCTGATACCAAGTCGCACCGTCGATGAGGTCAGGCAGCGAGTCTCGGAGCTGAGGCTGTTATCCCAAGACAGAGGCGGATGAGATTGCGTGCCGAAAACACGTGGCGATCTGACGACGAGACGGCGACGGGCGTCGATGATCTTTTTGGGGCACAGCAGGCGACATCATTTCTTTTTCATCCACCTTCACGTTTGCTATTTAAAAGGGAAGACAAGGGGGGCTTCTGAGTCCTGAGCGTCACATCAGTGCGCATTAGCCTAATTGCTTGCCGAGTCTTCGGCAGTCAGCATAGCACAATTTAGCTGCATTCGGTTTTGGTGCAATTCCGTCGTTGCGAACGCCCGCTTGGGGTACTGTACTTGCACGACTCGGTCATCCCGTATCGGTTCCATCGCCGGTCTCCTCTCCAGGGCGAGGCTAGAGCTTTGGGGGGGGAATGGGATGGCCACGAGGCAGGCGCCCAACGAACGGCTGCCACATCATCACCAGCCGCGCACAGGTATGATGGGGCGGGCGATCACTAACACGGCCAGGCACCGTCCGCCTTGAAAATGCTTTGGGGTCGCGAAACCGGTGGCAATTGGGTTGCTGGCACGAGGCCGGACTGCGCACGAAGCACAACGGGAGCCAGACACAAAGACAGTCAAGGTGGGAAGTGCGGTACGAGTCCACACGTAGAATGTACATACAAGGCGAATGCCACCGTCACTGCTATGAGCACACACTTGCGCGGGTGACGCATGCAACGGCGTCACATCGCAACCAGCCAAATGGGGGACGCGGTGATCCCAACTCCCCAAAGCCAGGCCACATGTCGCGCCCCATGCAACCATTCGCTCGGTTCACTCATCAGGGTCTCTCTCTCTGTCCCAAAGGGTCAGGCCAAGACCGGGACGAGTCGACAAACGACCCACCCCGCCGCGAGCGCCACACCGCCAGATAGACGCGACTCGCGCCGGGGTCGAGAGCTCAATGTGGAGATTTTGAGAACCGAACGGTCGGTCGGTCGGTCGGCCGGCGGAGCGAGGGGCAACGCGTCGTCGTCGTGCCGTCGGGCTCTGGGGCCATACGCCAAAGGAAGAAAAGAAAAAGTTTTTGCCAATTGGGTCGTTTCGCGGTGGTGGCTCAGGTGGGAAGGGCCGCAATCTCGGGAGAGCTGTCACTTTTATTGCCCTTTTGTTGTTGGGGCGGCGGGAAGGGACGAAGGGGCGGGCCTCGCCGTGCGGGCAGCGCACCAAGGGCACAGAGTACGGACAGATAGGTAGATGGACGGGCGGGATGAAGCGACGGCAGTCCGCGGTCGTTGCTCGGCTCGCATAAACGGTGTCGTTACAGATGAGTTACGGAAGTATTAGAGCAGTGGGTAGGAAGCGGCAGAACCTGGAAGGGGGCGATTAGCTGCGTTGGGCAGCTGCTGGTACAGTGCAGTACTCGGTAGCGGCCAGCCAGGGACACCGGCCCATTGGAATGATATGATCAGGGTCCGGGGCGGGATCCCAGGCAGGGACAAGACCGTTGCGGCTGCCGACGACCGACGATGTGGGAGTGTGACTTACGGCTCCGGTCTCTGCGGCAGGATTGCATCAGAGCTCGGCCAGCGAGCGACACGGTTTTCTTCTTCCCGTCTTCTTGCTGCGCTGGATGGAGGCGGTCGGGCAACAATTGCAAGTGCCTGGGAAATATATGGGGCAAAGTGGAAAGCTTGGAACCCACCTGGGCAACAGCCCTGGAGCTCTAGCTGAGCTCCAGCAGCAGGCGGCAACAGTTGCAGCACCCCGACAGCACTGGGGCTCAGCAGGTACTCACTCAGGTAGCCAGTCGTACGGCACCGCGCGAAACCCCTGGGCGGCAGGGACGGACGATGGAGCTAGTAGAGGTCCCCTGGGCTCGGTCCCCTGGGCTCGGTCCCCTGGGCTCGGTCCCCTGGGCCTGTCTCTTATACACATCTAGATGTGTCCCCTGGGCTCGGTCCCCTGGGCTCGGTCCCCTGGGCTCGGTCCCCTGGGCTCTGTCCCCTGGGCGCCGCCCGTCCATCCCCTCCCCATCCGTCCCCTCCTTTCCATCTGGCGAGGCCTGACAGCCCACCTGCGCGCGCCGCGCCCACCGCACATCCCCACGCCGTCCTATCCCGTCCCGGCAATCCATGCCATCCCGACCTGAGGTCAAGGCCATAGTATCCAAGCTCCCTCCTCCTCCACACCGGCTTGCTCCTCCCCCCTGGAACAATTTTCCACCTCTCCAACTCCCCGTCGCCCTCCTTCTTGTTGCCGCTGCTGCTTCACACGTCGTTGTGTTTTTATCAATCGCCGTTCGGTTGGTTGGTCTCTCGAGGGATCCAGGAGCCTCACGCGTGCCTGGCCCCCCTTTTTGACCTTGTTGCTGCTGCTGCTTCTGCTGCTGTGCACCCTCTCCTTTTCGCGTGCCGCTTGTGTCCTGTGAGCGAGCTCGACTGCCGCACAAACGCCCTTGTGCTACCAGACAAACAGGTAAGCTTGGCATTGACTCGCAAGCTTTGAAACCCCTCCCCACGGCGCGCCATGCATCCCGTCCATCACTGCCTCTGCGACGGACTGTCACGGCTCTTCGCCTACAGTGACTTGGTTCAACGGCGCCGCCCCCTGATATAGCCGCCACCCTTGGCCCTGGAGCTTCACCTTGCTGACACGACAATGCAGCGTCGCGACGCCTGCCCCGCGAACTCGAAACATCATGTCGGACAACAAGGAGAACGTCGAGGTCGCTCCGCCTCAGGACGCGCCCGCCGCCGAGCACGCCGAGCCGTCGACGCCCAAAGAGGCGACGCCAACCCCCGAAGGAACGCCTAAGACGCCCAAGGAGACGCCCAAGGGAACGCCCAAGGAGACGCTCAAGGAGACGCCCAAGGGAACACCCAAGGCCAACGGCGAGTCCAAGGCCCCGGCAGCTGCTAAGCGCCCCGGCACGGCCACGACCTCGACCACGACCACCCGTCGCCCCGGCACGGCGTCCTCCGCCACGAGCTCCAAGACCGCGACGGCCACGACCTCGACCCGCACCGCTGGTGGCCTGGCTAAGCCGCCCACGCGTCCGCCCACCACCACAACGACGGCCGCCCGTCGCTCGACGGCTGCGCCTACGACCTCTGCCGCGAGCCACCGCAGCCGCCCCAGCGTGAGCGCCAGCGAGGACGAGAAGAAGCCGACACTGAGCTCGGCCGCCCGGCGGACTAGCTCCATCATGTCCAGTCCCGGCCGGACCACGGCCGACAAGAAGACGACCACGGCCACCACCACGGCCGCCGCGCGCCGGCCCACGACCTCTTCGACTTCTGCCACCGCCAGCCCGAGGACCTCGACCATCGCCTCTAGGACGGGCAGCACCGCCACCTCGGCGACGCGAACGGCCGCCGCGACTCGCTCCACTGCGGCCACGGGCACGACCGAGGCTCGCAAGCGACTCTCCACCGTTGGCGTGCCCGCTGCCGCCTCTGCTACCCGAACGACCACCCGCCCCGCTGCCAAGTCCGACGCTTCTACCGCTTCCTCCAAAGAGCTCGAGGACCTCAGGTCCAAGGTCGCCGAGGGCACCGCCGAGATCGAGACCCTTAAGGCGCAGATCAAGACATCGGAAGAGACTATTTCCGAGCTCCGCGAGCAGGCGGCCAACGCTCCTGCCACCAGCCAGGATGCCGAGGAAAAGCCCGTCGAGGACAATGATGAAGCTGTCGCCGCTCTCAAGTCTGAGCACGAGTCCGCCGTTGCCACCCTGGAGAGTCGCGTGAACGAGGTCCACGAGAAGCTGGAGGCGGCCGAGGCAGAACTCGACAAGCTCAAGACCGACCTGGCGGCTGCGATTGGCGCCAAGGAGGCGGTCGAGTCGGAGCTCGAGGCAGTAAAGAAGTCGCTCCAGACGATCCAGGCTGAGAACGACGAGAAGCTCCAGGCCAGTGAAAGCGCTCTGCAAAAAGCTCTCGAAGAGCAGTCCGCAAAGATCGAGGAGCTGCAGGCTTCCCTGACGGGACAGCACCAGACCGCCATCGAAGAGTTGGAGGCCAAGCACAAAGAGGAGCTTGCCAGGGGCCAGGGCGATGCGTCGTCGCAAGAGGCTGCCCTGACCGAGCTCAAGGCTGGCCACGAGACGGTGGTTGCTGACCTGCAAAAGAAGATTGACGAACTCACCGCCTCGCACGAGGCGTTGGAATCCGCAAACAGCGACAAGTCCCGCTCCGAGCAGCAGGCTCACAACACGCAAATCGCAACGCTGGAGAGCGAGATTGCTGAGCTCAAGGCCAGGCTCGAGGTGTCTGGCAAGGCTGCCGAGTCTACCAAGGGTGAGCTGGACTCGTTCAACGAGCAGCTTGCTCAGATCCAGAGCGACCTGACCGCCAAAGAGACTGCCCTTGCCACAGCCCAGGAACAGATTACCGCGCTCGAGGCCAAGTCTACCGAGGCGCACACTGCCCTGGCTGACAAGGAGAGCGAAATCTCGAAGCTCAAGGCCATGCACGACGAGCGCATGAAGAACCTTTCGCAGGACTACGAGAACGAAATCGAAAGCCTTCGTGGCGACGCCTTCTTCAAGCGCAAGTTTGAAGAGCTCGAGGCTCAGCACAATGAGCTCAAGGCATCATCCGAGGAGGCGACCGCGAGCGGCGGCCAGGCCCTCGCCGCCGCAAAGGCAGAGCACGCCGCCGCTGTTGAGGCCCTGGAGAAGAAGGAGAAGGAGCATCAGGAGACGCTCGACGCGCTGCGCGCGAGCCATGCCGAGGAACTCGAGTCCGCCAAGACCGGCGCGTCGGCGGACAAGGATGCTCACATTGGCCAGATCGAGACACTCAAGTCCCAGCACGCTGAAGAGCTGAACGTGGCCAAGGAGCAAAGCGAGGCTGCCCTCGCCAAGGAGCTGGAGGCCCTCAAGGTCTCTCACGCCGAGATTCTCGATGCGCTCCAGAAGGAGCATGCCAACGAGAAGGAAACCACCACGGCCGCCCACCTCGCAGAACTGGCTTCTGCCAAGGACGCTGGCTCCAGTGCCCATGTCGCCGAGCTGGACGGCGTCCGAGCCGAGCTCGAGGCAGCCAAGGCTGAGCTGGAGAAGGCGCAAGCCGAGAGCCTCGAGGCCGTGGAGGTGGCAAAGCAGGAGCTTGAGGAGAAACACTTTGCCAAGGTTGAGGAGCTCATGAACTTTAACTCGGATGTCATGAAGCAGATGGAGGCGAAGGGCGTCCAGGAAAGGCAGGAGCTGGAACAGATGACGGCGGACCACTCCAAGTCTCTCGAGGATGCCATCGCCGAGTACAAGAACAGCAACACCAGCCTCGAGGACAAGATTGCGCAGCAAGCGGAGGCCAACGCCGGCTTGGAGACGGCGCTGGAGGATGCACAGGAAGCTCTCGCCAAGGCCCAGGCCGAGGTGGAGGAGATGGGCCAGCAGCTCGCCCATGAGAAGATGGAGCGCATGACTGCTCTTGCTGATCTGGACGCCGTGAAGAGCGCCAAGCCGGACACCTCTGAGGCAGACGCCCTGCGCCGGGAGCTCGAGTCACTGAAGGATTCGCACGGCGCGGCAAGCTCGTCTGTCGAGGCAACGCTCAAGGCCAAGCAGGACGAGCTCGACGCCGCCCAGGCGCAGCTGACGGCCGCCCACGAGACGCTAGCCGGGATGAAGGACAGCCTGGAGCTTGCGCAAAAGGACCTCGAGGCACACAAGGCGGAAGCGGAGGCCCAATCCAAGACGGCGCAGGCAGACTACAAGGACCTGAACGACAGTATGACGGCACTGGTTGAGGAGGCCAACAACAACGCCAAGGAGCTACAGGCGAAGCTGTTGGACACGGTCAAGCGAGCCGAGGACATTGAGGCGCGAGTGAACGAGCTCGAGGCGCAGCTCAAGGTCAAGGAGGCCGAGGTGGCCGAGGCAAAGGTGAGACGACGAAGCGCAGGAACGTGTCGACGGTGACTAACCGCGACTGCTACAGGCGAGGGCCGGCAAGCCTAAGGGGCTGGCCAGCAGCCGATATGCCGACGCCGAGGGCGCCGACGAGTCTGCCGGGGCAAACGGCGACGAGCCGGAAGGTGAGGACGACGACGACGAAGACCACTCTTCAGCGGCATTGGCTTCGGTGCGAGAGCCCCTTGCTTACGCAACTGCTTGCCATGCTCGACTCGAAAGGACACGTGCTGACATGGATTCTCTCCAGCTAAGTAAAGCGCGCCTCACGGCGAAGCAGATTGACGCCCTCGACCGAGAGATGAGGGACCGCAACCTGCAGTAGGTGCTCTGCGCAGTTGGTTGGAGGGGCAAAGGCTAACGAGGGCAGGCTTCTCAACTCGATCACAAACCCGGGAACCACGCAGACGTCGTAGGGCTGAGGGCGGGGGGCGACGGACCCATCCGGCGTGAGGCCGGGGGCCGCTTTATTTCTTTTGTGTGTAGGCAGCGCACGCGTCTCTGGAAGGCTTTGCTCGAATACCCCTGTGCTTACCTCGAGTCAATGATTGGTACCGATTGCTTGGCCACGGGCGAAATGTGTTTATTAGCGGCGGAACTCGGTGTGACGGAGTGCGAGGCGACGCGGGTCAAGGCCACATGAGGGGGGGTGTTTGCTTTCCATTCTGGACGGACCGTTTTGACGTATATCGATGGTGACGGGAAACATGTTTAATACGAAGGAGCGTGTGTATGAGGCGCCGGGCGGGACGGCATAGCGATGCATGCACTGCATAGCAAAGCACTGCACAGCGCAAACCACATAGTAGCACAGCACAGCACAGCTAGTCGCGATTGAGCAATGACGATACCCCCTCATCCCACTCCGCCTTGACGTCCCGCCCTGATGCCCACTTTGTTTCTTCCATGACGCCTCCTCCGTTCCTGCTTGCTGATAAATGACGCCGGCATGGCTGGCTGGGATGTTTTAAGGTTAATCCGCCACGAGGGGGGCGCGATGGGGGACTAGGCATCTAGGGTAAGGGGGGACAGTGGAGGGATTGCTCCG